AATGAAATTAAAAAAGACTACTCCTTAAGTTTTTCAGTATTGCCAAAGGAACATTATAGATGCAGTCCACAAAAGTGAAGACCTGGAAGTCGCATAAGGTTACCGTAACAACTGTATTTAGATAGTACGCATCCAGCGGATGATGTCTGGAATATGAGAGTAAAACTGGGACAACGAAAGTGAAAAATCTTCGTAAGGCTGAAGTAAATTGTCGATGTATATACCTGAGACGTAGACCTGAGATGAAAATACGAGGCCGGGGCCTGCATATGAGAGTAATTAAAAACGATGGAGTGGAAGATGCATGCAAAATAGACGTTATATTATGACAGTAATATAAGAATACATATGAGAATGAACGAATAGAGAAGATCATCAAAGAAATACTAACATTATGCGACAGAAAATTTACTACATGAGCAGTCCTCTAAGAGTTCTGAAAGCTCACTGCGGTTCATCTAGAGTCTGACATCTAAGAAAAATATCATTTGTGTTCATAAATCATTAGTTAGTACATCAGCGACGAAAGCCGGTCACAGCCTCTAGTGTACGCACCTCAAGTTCTTGACATGATATTTTTTCCACAACAGAAAAGGTGACGTTATTTATAATAACCATCTTCGTTTGTGATGACAGTATTTTTCTAGCATATTTGATTCCTCTCATTCTTGTAATAGAGACACGAGACACAAGTTAATAATTGATGAAGGTACAGCTCCATGGTCTCTGGGTTGAGGTGAAGTATTCTTAAAATATGTCACTGGGACAAATGTGAAGCAAGAAAATCACAACTGGCAGCTGTCAGTATTAATCCTGACAACTAGATTGATACTGAGGCGCATGAGCGACAAGTAAGACTGTACTTTTCGTTTCCTGCGAGTGTATCATCACATATCATGTTGACGAAACACTTTCCTGCCATTCTTCGTAGATCGAACTAATACACGAGAGCTTACGGCGCATCAAACTTGAAGTACGTTATGAGGTAGTTCACAGAACAACACTTCTTTCTGTATTCACAAAATGGAATTGCTTTCATATTTGCTGCTGACGCTGATTTGTCTTTACTTTATTTGCCACTGTGTTCTCATGAAAAAGGCGAACAATAGACTGGAAGATGGGGGCATGGACGTGCGTCTCACTACTTGAAAACGACAAGTTTCATTCGTTCACGACGAAAAGGCCGACGAGCCAAAATAAGCTTTTGTACAGCCAAAGACAATATTGAATGCCATACTGAGGCTTACGGAAGAAGTATCAGAACATGTAATTAGGTCTTTCGAACTGCAGATATGTTTCCTCTCCTTTGCTTGCTGCCAGTTATGTTAGTACGACTATGGGAGAGACTGAATCTCAACTCAATTTAACCGGCAGTGGTAGTAATAATTGCTATACTTTGATGTACATATATATGTTTATCCTGAATATCGCAAAGGACTGCGAATCATCAGAGCTGTAATCTGATATTATGCACGATGTTGGCAAACTGCCATGACCACCTTACGCCTCTACTTTAACCGGCTTCATTTATACTAACTTCGAACTCAGTTCTCAGTTAGAAAGAACTTCCTAAGCGGAGACAATACGACCATTCTATTATTGACTTCTTTAATACCCTACTTTGTATCAAGACATCCATTAATACCCTCGCTCCGGGCCAAACTCGAAAAAGGTCCAGGTTGATGTCTAGCAAACAGGAAACGGTACTTTTGAGACCTGTCAGGACCGACGCAACTCGCACATTGTAGTTTTAAAACGCTGCCGGAAGGCCACGGAGTACGACAGTCGCATAAGTCGCCTGTGGTGGTAGTACTTGCTGCGTTGATGGTGGCGAAGTTAGAAACCCAGGGACGGGCCGGAAAGCAAATAACCTTTGGTTCGTTCCAACCAAATGAACAATCACTTAAAATTTACTTAGTCGTTTCAAAGACATATACTCTTGGTTCCGGCCGCGACGCGCTGGTTATTTCGGTTGATGTCTACTGTGCCACAAAACTTTTAAAGCAAGGCATGTCGTTTACCATGTCGCACAAATTCTTCCGCATGTGCACACGAGCACTTGTAATACGTCGCATAAAATCTTGAAATCGTTGTCCGAACTAGATATCTCAAGGTCGTCTTGAAAATGCAGCCGCATCAAGATCGTAGCCAAGACGATGTTTCCGTGCATCTCGAGTGGATAACCTGTGCGCTCTTCCACCATGTCTGTCATTTGAGACCCACAATCACACGTGCTTGCTTCCTTCGCATGGGCAAACTGCTGGTTTAAAGTGTGGCTGGTGATATCGATACGGCCAGCCATACCCAAGTAAACGTACGGCGCAATACATTCTACCTTGCCACCTGCCTTGCCAGCTTGTCGCTTTGCCTCTACACTGCGCCCGTTGCTTCTCCGTGTCATCAGAGCCGGGCGACTACTCTCTGGGAAATGAAGCTCCTTTATTGCGTAGAGATAATTGCATCTCTACTGAGCACCACAGCGAATTTGACGATGACGAACAGTTTTATAAAACTGGTAGCAGATGTGAACAATAAATCAACAAGATGGTGAAAGGCGAGGACTTCATCAGAATGTTTGGGTAGTTGGAGGAGCGTGCCAAAAGAAAGAGATATCTGCCCGTTGAATTGTATTGATCAAAGGTGAGAGAGCTGCGGGCAGAGTGGAGCCCGACAAACGAGTCTTGGCGGCGATGCCAGAATGGCGGGGGACACTGCAGGTCATCAACGGGCAAGTGCGCTTGTGCATTTTATTGTCGGCTTGTGATTCGAGTCGTGGAGCGAGCATCGCTCTTGCTTTTTTAGTTGCCATTTCATCGCTCTTGCTTTTGTTTTCCATTGTCGTATTGTCTTGCCTCTCGACATAACAAAAGAGAGATCAGCGTTACCCACATCAACTTTGTGCTGCTGTTATCAGTAATGCCTGGTAGATCGTAGCGCTTTGAACAAAGCACCGTGCTGCACTACACCGCGCGTCGAGTGCTTTTTGTTTATTGTCACAAAGAAATGGCCGAGACTTACAAGAGAGAGGAGCCCGGGAACAAAAGGAAAGAGCGATTTCGCGGACCACACCGACAGGAAGGCGCGACCAGCATTCGGCCGTCACAGGCCCCATACCTGCAGATTGTGGAGCCCTGCACGACGAGAACGGCAAGGCCAGCCAGCCTCTGGTCACCGTAAAATACCACACCGCAGCGCTAACATCAGATACGACACAGGCCTTTCCCCGCCTCCTTCCTCGATAGAATCTAATCCGTTTTGATGTGCTGAGGAGACGACAAGGGCAACCTGCCAAAGAGGTGGAAGCATTGAGGGGTATTGTGCACATGTCTGGCATCGGTCGAAGCGGCAAATTATGCCTTCCTTCTTATCCTGTCAAGTGTGTTGTGCCCGTTTTGTCAGTGCTTCTTCCTTCCCCTTCCGGTATGCCTCAAGGGTTGGGCGTAGAAGGCGCAGCGCTTGGAAGGCGTTCCGCCTGGAAGATAGGCGGCTGAGTGTAATCGAGTTCGAGCTGCTGCCACTTCACTCTTGTGACTATCATATCTGGGAGACGTGGATGGAGCGATTCGAATTGGCCTCGCCGCCTCTGGCCATCCGTCGCGGATCTGCCGGCCACAGGCTGAGAGCTGTCACTTGGCCACTAGCGCATGGGATTGGCTGGCGGGTGTTTCGGTCAGTGGAAAGCATGGCCGACAAAGCCAGTCCAGGCCCAGAGAGGCCTGGCCAAGAAAAGAGTTGCAGGGGATTGCGCCGCACTTGCCTGACCTGGCTGAGCAGGTGGTGTGCTACAGAGAGTGTGTGCGTGGACGACCTTTGCCATTTGCACCTTCCTTCTTGACTTTGTTGCTCAAGTAATCCGTGGTAATGCCTGCCATTCTCCCCGCCCCTCCTTCTTCGCTTTCGACTCGGTCTTTTGCCCGTTCCTTTCTGCTCATGTCGCCTTTTTGGTGGCTACCACTTCGGTCTATCGCTCGTAATCTACAGTCAACTCAGCTATTCCCCCGGAACGGCTGCAAGTCACCAACCGACAGCGCCGCCGCTTCCTTCCTGGAGAGGACTTCCTCGTAAGCCTCGTACAACAGATTTCTCTTTCGTATCTCCTACTTTTGCCGCGCCTTCTTCTTTTCGTTCCTAAGCTTTTCCCTTTCCACTTCTTCACTTCCACTTCTTCCTCTCTCATCTTCGCTCTATCGACTCTTTTTTATTTTTGTCAATCACGTCTCTTGACGACAACGCTCGACTTCTCCCAGTCGCCAAGAGCAACTCACCGATTCACCAGCCGCCCACAAATCACTCGGTGTTTACACATTTGGACCACTCACCACCATTCTCCAAACCTCACCCAAACCCCAACCGCACTTCGGCTGCATTTTCCGCGCACCCTCTCGCTCTCGTCGACAAATTTTCCGCCTTGGGATCGTCCTCGTGCATATATACTACTATACCCGCCGAGACGAACCCCTTCGTCTGGACCGCCGTTGATCGTATCCTATCCGTTCGCTGCGTTCTTCCTGCAGATCGGCGCTCAAACAGAAGTTGGCATCCGGTGTCGCAAATAACGAGTCTTTCGACACTCCTTTAAAACAGCAAAACAAAAATAGCAACAAGACAGCGACAGGACCGGCTGGCCCCTTCTTGGAAGCTGTGCTGAGCACGATTTGGTCGCATTCTTGATTTGTGTCGATACCAAATATCGTCGAATGCCACCGCAAGTTTTCGCGTGCTAAGACAAAAGCACGCCACCCTCAACTGTTGTCACTTCCGCGCGGCTCTGTCACCTCCGGCCAGTTCGCTCTTACGGGCAATTGCAAACATCCACGTTGACATACTTGCACCGAGTCTCTGTCCCCATGTCGACCAACTTGTGTTGATACGTTTTCCTCTCCCTCATGCAAGGCGGCATTTCACGGTTACAGGCCTCAGCTTCCTCGAGTACTCAACGGTCGCTACCTCATCAGCATCAGCCACGTTGCATCCTACCGACCTAGTGCACAGCCGCAGCAATGGTGAAGCCTATATTAAAGAAACGGTCCCATTCGGAGAAAAACTCCCTGGACTTGGATCGTCCACTGGAAGAGCAGCACGTCCCCGGACTGGCAGGCCTGGTGTCTGGCTACGAATCCGGCGGCCAGATGCGCGGTGCCCGCGATATCAGTTTTTCGTTCAACGACAGTTCCGCCTTTGCAAGCAAGCCACGATACCAACATGGCCGGTCTCACAGCGGTACCTCCCACGTCTCAATAGCGACGACTGCAAGCGGTGGAGGCGCTCGAGCAGGATCCTTTGTCCACCCGTTTCAGCAGACACCACGAACCCAAACCCCACCTCTGACCTACACGAACTCTTTGGCCTCAGTAGACAACATCGGCACTGGCTACAACAACACGGGCACTAACAGCATCCGTGACTACTCACCAACCATCACGGAGAACGATGACGACGACGACTTTCCTGTTGGCTCTCTCCCTAACCATCGTTACAACAACGGTCACACTGCGTCACTTTCACAATCGAGCTTACGACACCCATCTCTTGCCAACCAACGGGCTGCGTCCTTTAGTGATATCAACGCTGCTCCTCCGTTGCGTGTGAACACGGCGGCTCGTTCCATGCCGAGTGGGCGCCGAGGCCCTGGCAATAGTAGTCTGTCAACGAGCCTGTCGCATTCGGACCTACATTTACACGCTTTTGCGGAGTCGGCAGTAATGGATTCGCCATTGTCTGTTGGGCCTGCGGCTCCTGCGCCCCTCTCGTCGAGCTCGTACATCCCGATTTCCCCTCTCCGCAGCTCCCTTGAAGGTGTTGCGTTCCCTCGTTTGCGATCTCGTTCCGAGCTCGATTCTGGGGCACGTGCAGACCAAATTCGCGAAGCACGCCGCAAGTTTGAGGAACGCGAGCGTGCCAAGGCCGAAAAACACGACCGCGAAATGCTGCGCAAACGCGAGCGGCGCGACCACAAGGAGGCCAAGTCGTACGAAAGACAGGCTGCACAGGTGCGCAAGAACAGCGCTGGTGCGGTCAGCGACGTTGTCCGGCCTTCTCTGTCTCGAAAGTCTACACCGACGTTTGGCAGCAACAGCGGCAGCGGCAGCGGTAGTGGCTCTGGCGAACATGAACGGGGCCGTGACAGTGGTCGGTACTCACGACAAGCGGCGCATGAGATTACCGAAAAGCCGCTTGCATTCAAGAGCAACAATTACGAAAATGTGGCTGGCGGCATGACGCCCAGTTTCGGACCCACCGTCGATAGCGTGGCTTTCAAGAATGCGCGCCGGAACAACACAACCAAGCGGAAGACGCAGGGCTACTGGAACGGCTTTGTTCTGTGGCTACGGACCCGGATTTTTCGCATGGGACGGAACTAGGTGTGTCTTTCAAGCAGACTCCCCAGCCACGGTCCTTGATATTTATCTTTGCCGCTTTTAAAGATGCATATCCGTTCACTAGAGGAAGAGGACTCTCTTTCCTACATTCATCCTACTTCCTCTTTCTTCTCTTCCATTCTTATACATTGCGAAACGCCACACCTCTTACACGCGCATCACATTTTACAACTTCCTTTTTATGACGACACGACTACTTACGAACGCATACCGGTTGGCTCATTTGGTACAACAGATCAACCGTCGGGACGGAATGGGGCACAGAAACACGAATACTCGGAGTCCAGCGGACGGCGTTTTGATTGGGATTTGGTCTTTTTTTGGTTTCTATTTGGTTGCTTTTCTGCTAGCGCATTGCTTCCATATTTTGTCGCTGCTCATCGCGTTCGTGATTCTCCATTGTATGGAGTCGGGGCCTTGACGGACCTGACAGACGCAACTCTGTATTCTTTTTATCTTTTTTTTCTTCTCTTCAGGTCAATTCACATATGTGCTCACTTGGACGAGCGCATCTTTTGAACAGCATCGTCAGCTTCATTCGTTCTTTCAGCCTCTTCGCAAAGATACGAACTCCCTCGGACCGTACTGCAACAATGTAGGACAACATGGGGACTAGGAAAACCACTTAGCGCTCCCTAACTGACACCACTCCGAATGAGATTAGCCCCAGTCGCACGTTTCCCCCAAACCAAGAATTGCCAACGGGAGGGTATTAATACTAACCACTTGCATATGCATACACTGATTGGCTGCACCATGAACGAACCCCCTCAATCTCACTCTGACGAAGGTCCGCCCGCTCAGCCCTGCACATGTCAGCCTCGGTTTTGCATACGAGTGCCTTTTAGCAGAAAGTACGACAACTCGCGACTGAATGTCCCATTAGCAAAGTTGAAAAGCCCGGCTCACCTCGTCCTTATTGATACAAAGCATCGATTTGAATCCTCCAGGGTCGTATATTTGATCTACCGCCAATCGTTATCGTCAATCCCACATGTTTTGTGGTTTTGGCATTTCTGCAGTCTCGGCATAAAAACGGGCGAGGTCGCGTCTCCTCTTAATTTTTGGGGACTTCTTTCGGCTGTCTCGCCATAATTTTGCTCGTATTGTTTTCCAGACGTCTTTACGACCACCACAACATCCCAGCACGGCAAGAATCTGTCATTAACCGTTACACAACACCGTTTACAACAGCAACACGACGATACCATGGCCGCGGCACGACCGTTCATTGACTATCCTGTGCCTAAAGAAGGCGACGACCTCACTTATGTCTTCCCTAATGACAAGAACCCGGCAGTGCGCGGTCTGCCGCTGGTCCTTGTGGCCGGCCTGTGAGTCCAAGAACAGCATGCCTCTCGGTTTCTCTTGTTCCGCGGCTTTTGTACTGACCATCCGGTGAAGAGTGACCCGTTCCGGTTATCTCAACCGCTTTCTGTGGCATAACACTGGTTTCGGGCGTGTCAAGGACATTCCTGGCCTGGACAAAGAGCTCGTGACATTTAGAGTGAGTGTTTTGAGTGCTTAGCAAATATACATCGAACATCGACTGCATAAGTGCAAGATACCACGAGTGCCTCGTAAGGCTGGCCGACTGCTGACAGCCAATCTCACCCAGCCTCGGGTTATTCCCACTGCAGTGCCCGGCCAGGATGCTACTGCGCAGACCATCCTGCCTTTTGGCCCCGACATTCTGGAGCCCCAGCACACGGAGCACGATGTGCGCTACTACTCAGCTGCCGACTACAACGCACTCTACAAGTCCGGCACCCTGTCGCCTGTTGATGTCGTCGAGGCCCTCCTGCCACTGGTTCAGCGTGGCAAGGGCTCCATCTATGAGAAGGCGTTTCTGGTGACCAAGGTCGACGAAGTGCGCGCAGCAGCTCGGGCGTCTGCGGCGCGATGGGCGGCCGGCTCACCGCTGGGCTTGCTGGACGGCGTGCCTGTCACGGTCAAGTGCGACATAGACGTCGAGGGCTACGTCACGACAGCCGGCATCAACCCGCGCCTGGAAGACGATGCCTTTGGCAAGCGATACCCACGCCTGCGCGAACCGTCCAAGAAGACGGAATGGACGGTGCAGAAGCTGCTCGAAGCCGGCGCTCTGCTCGTGGCCCAGAACAACATGCACGAGCTCGGCATGGACACTACCGGCTGTAATGTACGTTTTCTCTTTCGGACAATTCCCACGCCCCCCTTTTATGACGCGGTGCCTAACATACACATCAGCCCCGCAATGGCACGCCCGTGAACTGGTACAACACAACATATTACCCCGGCGGATCATCGTCTGGAGGCGCGTCCTGTCTCGGTGCAGGTATCGTGCCCATCGCGATCGGCACTGACTCGGGCGGCAGTGTGCGCATTCCGCCCAGCTTCAACGGCGTGTTCGGCCTCAAGCCCACGCACGACCGCACCGTTGTCATGGACTCGAGCATGTGCATCCAGGGTCCCATGGCCGCCACCGTCAGCGATCTCAAGGCCGCGTACCGCACCATTTCGCAGCCCAACCCCGACGACCCCGTGACTGGCAAGTTTGCCATATCGCTCCCGCCCGCGACCAACGCGCGCCGCGTCATCGGCGTACCGCGGGAGTGGGTGGCGCGCGCCGACCCCGTCGTGCTCGAGCACTTTAACCGCGTCGTGGACCACTGCCGTGACGCGCTCGGCTACGAGATTGTCGACATCCAGATCCCGCTGCTCAGCCAGGGCCAGGCCGCACACGGGCCCTCGTGCCTGCTGGAGTCGCTCGACAAGGTGCGCGACCGCGCCGCGCCCAACCGCGACGACTGGGCCGGCATGCTCAACGCACAGAACCGCATCCTGCTCACCATCGTCCAGCACGCGTCCGCCGTCGACCTGCTCAAGTTCAACCAGCTGCGCACCGTGCTCATGCGTCACATGGCCTACCTGTTTACCGAGAAGCACCCGGGGATGATTGTGCTTACGCCGACGACGCCCATGGCGGGATGGAAGAAGCTGCCCGGCGACGACGTCTACGGCTTCATGGACGGCAACATGACGCTGCACTGCATGTTGTACGTCTGGCTGTCCAACACGACGGGCTGCCCATCCGTGTCGTGCCCCATGGGCTACGCGGAGCCCGAGCAGGGCGAGGGCCGCGTACCGATGGGCGTGCTGGCGATGGGCGAATGGGGTGCCGAGGAGCAGCTGCTCGGCTGGGCGGCTGAGGCGGAGTTGTACCTGCACAACACATACCCAGGCGGACGCATCCGACCGGCGAAGTGGATGGATGTGATCGCGCGGGCCAAGGAGCACAAGGCCAGCGCGGCGGCAACCGGAAAGGCCAGCGATGCCAGCGAAGAGTGATTACGCCTACAGGGTGTACGAGGACCTAAAACCGGATGTGTGGCAACATGTCAGTGTACTTGGTCACTTATTAATTTGATGGCTGTGTTACCATATGTATGACGTATCAAAGGATGATGCATAAGTGATACTGTTGTCTGCGTTCTGTGTACGTATGATATGACCGTCTGACAAGTATGATGCACTGACATTTCCGTTTCTTAATACTATGGACAAGGAGGGAACCTGGCGCGAAATATGAGAGACAGAAGGCACATTGTCTGTGGCTCAAATGTAGCTGTGAGGCGTTCTGGAGTACCGAATACTTTCTGTAATCAGCCAACTTGGGCCATAGGTAGGGTCACGCTGTTCAAGCCGCCAAAGCCGCAGTGACAAATCGCTAACATAGGGGGTTAATGTGTCCTCGGGCGCAGGTTACCGCCATTTACAGTGCATTGCGGGCCAACCGGACCGCTAACACAGGGCAACAACGGCTAGGCCACTTAGGATGGTGCTTGGCTGTGGCTGAGCGAATGCCATGCTTGGCGACACTTTGCCTCAAATGGGAATCTATGTCATCTTCATAACAAATGCGCAGTCGGTGGAATCCAGTTGTCGTCTTCCAAATAATGTCTCCTTTTTCAGGTGTATTGCCGATAGCCGCGATATTACATTCCTGTTGCCAGTTACTCTTTCCCTCTTAGTTGCAACAGACTCTCGTGGAGGTAACCCGATCGCACCTTCCTGGCAAACACACCGAAACACGATACGTATTAAGAGGAAGCTCCACCGCCATAAACTCGACGTCCTCATCTGAGTCTCACACAAATCCTCATTCACTTTCCTTCGACAACTTTCCAACGACTACTTCCCACCACACCTTTTTATGAATTACTAGCCATGTGTTTCGGATCTAAAGAACCCCGGGCCGCCGACGACGCACCGTCTCGGCCCGTGCAGCTCCAACAAGCCAATAACGGAAACGGTAAAACGTCTACCTACGATGCGCCTCCATTACGTCCTCCACATCAGCAGCCGGCGCAGGAGCGCAACGAGTATGCACCGCCTCCTGGCCCTCCTCCTGAGAAGGCTTCCCGTGCGGCTGCTGCGGCGCCGGACGACGTCTTTGCACCCCCGCCGGGCCCGCCGCCTGGACAGGCATCTAGCTCGCAAGCTGGTGCTGCCGGCGATTTTGCTCCCCCGGCCGGCCCTCCTCCATCGTATATTGGCGGTGGCAGCGGCTCCGGTGACTATGCTCCGCCGCCTGGACCACCCCCAAAAGTGCACGACTGGGAGTCGGCGGTTCCTGACAACTCGCTGCTCCCACCGCCACCCAACCTCTTCTCGGGCTGGGACCAGTCGCCCGTGAACAATGCCACAGAAAAGCAGGCTAAGGCCGGTGCAGCATGGTGCAACCAATTCCCGATCAGCACGAGCATGAATGTGCAGGACAATGCGGCCACCCGGCAAGCGATCCAAAATGGCAACTTCGGTTTGCAAGCCCCGCCGAATTTCGAGGGCACGCTCGTCCGCCAACCGGATGGCTCGTGGAAGGGCGAGACCAAAAGCGACAACGAGGACAATTGCATAATAAGCTTCCCTCCCGTGTACGCGGCGAACATACACCAGCCTCAGCAGGCAGGTGAAACGTTCACGGCGTACTACGAGGTGCACATTGCCCGTAGCAACCGCAAAGAAGTCAGCCTGGCCATGGGCTTTACAGTGATACCGTACCCGCACTTCCGTCTACCCGGCTGGCACCGCGGCAGTCTGGCAGTGCACGGCGACGACGGCCATCGCTACGTCAACGACATGTGGGGCGGCAAAGAGCTCATTGACGAGGACTACCGGCTCAAGCCTGGCGGCAAGTACGGTATTGGCATGACCTTTACACGCAAAGACGTCGCCGGCGGGTACGCGCCGGCCAAAGACTTGTTCAACGTGGAGGTATTCTTCACTGACAACGGCCGTACCGTAGCTTCGTGGGACCTACATGAAGAGACGGACGCCCAGCAGGACCTGCCGGTGACTGGGCTCGAGGGTGACTACGATCTGAGCGCTGCCATTGGCTCATTCGATGTTGTTGACTTTGAGGTCATCTTCAATCCGGCACAGTGGGCGTGGAAGAGATGAGTGGATAGACTGTTTCCGTTGACGGTTGTCTGTTGTGGATGCTAAAGACCGTCCATACTTCCCATTTCATAAAAGACATTAACTTGCCTACTATCATAAGGGGATAGAGGGGTATCGTATGTTTATTGTGGTGCTTCTTTTTATCGTCTACGTCAGGATCGCTTTTATATAATACAAATATACCCAGTTCCAGCCATGCTCCCCGTTCCTTATCCTATCGTCCACAACTATTGCTGTACAGCATCGTCGCACCGTCTACACAAGTGATCCTCGTCCTCAGCAACATACCGCCAGCATCGTGGACACTTGGCGTTCTGGGGCGGCAGGACCACAGCCGTGGCCGACCCACCGCCTTGGACATCAAAGGGTGCTGTGTACTTCCATACCGGGCTCACTTCCTCAGTTGCTAGCTCGCTATCGGCGGCAACCACAGATACAGACGAGACAACAAACATGCTATCGAGCTCGGCGGCGTGTTCTCGCAACAACGGCAGCGCGGTGCTATCGTTCGGAACCCGAAGCACAACAGAGCACTGCAAAGGCGAGCCGAGCACTCGATCGTTGCGCGCGTTCTCGAGTGCCGTCTTCACCGCGGCGTGTGCAGAGAAGATGACTGGGATCACCGCCCGGAGTCGACTCGTGTCCCCCGGCAGTCGGGCTTCACCGACCAGAGGATCGTTATACAGCTGCCGAAGAGGGTGTTCAGTCGACCTAAAGGAGGCTGTGTCAGTATATTGTCCCAACAAACAAGACAGAATCAGGGCCACGACGTACTCTTTCAACCAGGCCGGGGCATGGTCCCAGGCTTCCTCGACAAGCATCGGCACCACCGGTGCCAGCATCCGCGTGAGACCAACAAAAATGGGCTCCAGGACGCCACCCCCGTCGGCACAGTACAGCCGGTCCTTGGCGGCCTCGAGATAGAACGAAGACAAGTCGTTGGTCAGCCAGCGGTTGAGGCTGGCCAAGGCGCGGTAGAACTCGAAGCGGTCGTAGGCGGCAGCCACCTCCTTCATCGTGTCTTTCAGTTGCAGCAGTGCAATGTGGTCGACTGCCGTTAGCGGCGTCGTCCGGGCCGACTCGTGCATGGAGCCTAGCAACATTTTCAGGGTGACGCGGTACTTGATGAGCGCCGTGTGCGTAGCCTGAAGCACCATCTCGCTCATGACAACATCGCCAGTGTAGTCACTGCCAGCAACCCACAACCGCAAAGCATCGGGCCCGAGGGCGTCGTACTTTACAACAGTCGCGCTGCTCGGGTTCGACTTTGCGTTTGTGTTGGTAGAAGGGGAGGCACCATCCGCTGCCTTGGCTTTGCCCCGGCCCTTCTTCTTCTTCTCCTTGATGGGCGGCAAGAGCGTACCATCCATGACCTCGGCGCCGGTCACAATGTTGCCCAGCGACTTGGACATTTTCTTGCCCGCGCCATCGAGCATAAAGCCGTGGGTGACGAGCGTCTTGAAAGGAGACAGCGTCGCAGCACTCGAAGCCGAGGACGATGAGGTGGCCGCACTGCTCAGTCCTGCCACACGCGTCAACAAACTCGACTGGAACCAGCCACGGTGTTGGTCGGATCCCTCGAGGTAGACGTCCGCCTGCGCATCGTTGGCAGCCTGGGTCCAGCTGCTGCCGCTGTCAAACCACACGTCCATAGTGTCGGTACCGCGACGGTATGCGACGCCTGGGTTGGCTTGGCGCAACGCCTCGGGAATCCAGGCCGCCTCGTCGGCTGCGTCGGACCACCACGCATCGGTGCCGCGCTCTTTGACTACGGCCAAAATGTGCCTCACCGTCTCCTCTGTGAGGACAACACTGTCGTCGTCGCCGTACAGTGCCGGGATCGGCACACCCCAGGCCCGCTGCCGGGAAATGCACCACTCGCTGCGGCCCTTGACAAAGCTCTCGAGCCGACTGCGGCCCGTTTCAGGGATAAACTGGACATTTTTCAAGCTCGCCACCGCCGGATCCTTGATCAGATCCACGTCCGCAAACCACTGCGCCGTGGCCCGGATGATGATGGGCTTCTTGGTCCGCCAGTCATACGGGTACTTGTGGCGGTATTCGTGCATAGTGATGACGGCATCGCCTAGGATTGCAAGGACGGCCTTGTTGCCTTCGCCCTGGACGGGCAAGCCTTCGAGACGGGAAGGGTCATCCGGATATGCCTCGGATGTGAAGCGGCCCTCTCCGTCTACAGGTGCCGGAATAGGCAGACCCAGTCGCATACACACCACGTAGTCGTCAAAGCCGTGGCCGGGCGCAGTGTGCACCAGGCCGGAACCAGATCCAGCCGAGACAAAGTCTGCATGGATAATCGGTTGGGGTTTGCCACTCTTGCCGCGTAGCGGATTGGTATATTGCAGCTGAATCAGATCGGAGCCTCGAATCGACCGCGCAATCACTTCGGGTTGAGGAGTGCCTTCGGGGCAACACGCAGCCGTAAAGGACTCCAAACACGAGTCCGCCACAAGAAGGAACTCATCCCCAAGCTGCACAAGAACATACTCAAAGTCCCGGTGGACAGCGATGGCCTCGTTCGCAGGGAGCGTCCAGGGCGTCGTTGTCCAGATTACGGCCGACAGCGGCCGGCTCCCATCGTAGCCTGGGACGGCAGCACCTGGCAGGATGGGAAACTTGACGTAGGCGGCCGTCGATACATGGCGGTCGTTGTACTCGAGCTCGGCCTCGGCAAGGGCGGTATGGGACGACGGAGACCAGTACACGGGCTTGTACTTGCGGTAGATGAGGCCCTTGTGCACCAACGTCTGGAAGAGCTGCAGTTGGCGCACTTCGTACTCTGGATCCATTGTGGTCCATCTGCTGTCCCAGTCGGCCATGACACCAAAGCTCCGGAACTCTTTCATCTGGTCGACAATCGTGCGTGAGGCGAGATCGCGGGCAATTTTTCGGATAGCGACGGGTGTGAGTTCAGCTGCCGAAGAGGACGACGAAGACTCCGACGCAGCTGCGAGAGCCTTGAGTTCGATGGGAAGCCCGTGGCAGTCCCACCCTGGCCTGTAATGCACACGTCGGCCCTGCTGCATCTTGACGCGCAAGCTCATGTCTTTGAGGATCTTATTGAGGGCATGGCCGACGTGCAGCTTGCCGTTGGCATAGGGCGGGCCATCGTGGACTACAAAGAGGTCATTGTCGGGGCGGTTCGCTTGCTGCCATTTGTACAGCTCGTCGGTGCTTCGTCGGAGGTACAGCGGTCGGTGTTCAGCCAGCGGCCGGGGCCTAGGATAGGGAAATCACACGAGTCAGACGACGATAACATGGAGTAGGTCGTAGATCAGATGAAATAGCGTACTCACGGAAATGTCGACTTGGGCAGCCTCAGCGTCGATGCCCATGATTTTGACATTGTTTCCGCAGCCCCATACAATGTGCGTACAACAGCACACTGCCCTAAGCAACCGAGGAGGGTATGTGCGGAAGCAATGGCATCGAAGTGGTGGTGGAGATGTTTCTCGAGATGTTGATTTTGGACTTTAGCGTTTGATGCCCCAATTGAATTTTAAAGTGGGTCCGAAATCGTCTGCGGGATGGAGGTTTCTCCACATTTTCAGGGGACCCACTAACGACTTCAGCATCGTCATAGTCTACAACTGCAGCCTTGCGCCAGCCCGTGAAAGGAAGTAACACCTCCAGGATCGCGACTACCCGAACTGGCCTTTCTTCACCAAACGCCAGAACATCGACATCGCGAACAACGGTCAATTTCGCGTCGTACAATGGCGCCTGTTCGGAGATATCTCCGCATCAGCAAATATTCGGTGCTAGAGTGCCGCATCTACGTCGACAACCCGGCCCTCGTGCAGTCTTGGCTGCTGCACCCCCGCGATCCAGTGCTCCCCCGTGTCATTGAGAGCGTGCGGCCCTTGGTACTTCCGAAGTTAATGGAGGAAAGGGAACGGGCAAAGAAAAAGGGCACAAAGAAGAAGGGTGCGATCCGTGACGTGCTTGTCGAAGGTATGCAATGGCGGGCGGTAACTTCCAAGATTCACACCGTACGCCAAGGCTAATGAACAATTCCTATGTTGTGCAGAGGACTTTGAGGTGTCTTTGTTTCTCACAGAAACAAATACAAGGCATTCGTTGTTGTTTAAGCATCGACGTGCACGCGACAAAACCCAAACGCGGCTGGTTTCTAACTCGTCCAAGCTCACCGGTGGGACGAGCGACGCGCCCATTGATGTAGAGGACGGTGGCAATGGTGACCTGCGGGTCGAGCTCGACCAAGATGGAAATTTCGAGAACGGCGATGGAGACGAAGACGTTGTTTTGACAGCAGCAAGTGTGGGAGGCACAAGGCAACAGCCTGACCGGGAAACCCCGCCAAATCTGCTTCTGGAAGACAGCGACGACGAAGTCCCGTTTGCCCTGCAGGATATCCCTGATATCCAAGAGGACAAAGAGGGCGGTGTTGATACTGCAGATGCTACGACACGGCGGCCCAAACGCCAAAGACAAGACCCTGTACAGGTCAGGGACAGTGGTGACGATGAAGACGGCGCCAACAATCGTGAGGGGGCCGAAAGTGACAACGACTCACTATTCGTGAGTGACAACGAGAATAATGACGACCACGAAGCACCTCCGTCGAAACGCTCGCGGGTCGTCCCTGTGGATGCTGACAATGAAGACGAGGCGAGCCGCAAGAAGAAGAAGCTAGCTATGGACGTCATCTACGAAGGTTTTGCCATTTACGGCCGCGTCTTGTGCCTCGTGGTAAAGCGACGTGGTCCGCCTCGTGGCCGAGGTGCGCAGACTCTTCTTCCAGCCTCGGTCGGTGGCAGTCGACCAGGAAATACGTCGACTAGCCTGGAACCTACAAAACCGGGGGGGCAAGCTGCCATGGAAAACTGGATTGCCTCGACACAAATGCCAATACCCCAGGCATCCGAGACGGGGATGTCTTAATATTTGTGAATGTTTAAATTAGAATTGGGAATTGTATTACACTATCTGTTTTCTTTTCATGACACTATGGCCTTATCAGCGAAGCAACAACCCCTTCATGCCATCATCCTTCTCTTGACCTCTGTAAATATCTCTTCTACTGACGTACATGATTTGCATGTTTCTGTGTTCGCTGCAAACACGTCGTTCTCCAAGAGTCCCACCTTGCCAGGTTTCCTGAGTGCACTAAATTGAGCAAGGGACAGCGACGACCAGCTCTTCTCCGAAACGAGGAGGGCTGGGCAGTCCCGCCTCTTCACAACATCGCCCTCATCGCTCCACAGCAACATAAAGATTTCTGCTGGGGCCGGTCCTTCTGGATACCGACGCCAGACCTCATCTCTCAAATCCCTTACTTTGCGCTGTATCTCCTTGCCATCGGTACGAATCGAATCAAGACCAGCCAACACCGCAAAGGGCATCGATACCTGGAATAGTAAGTGATAAACAGGCGGATCCTCTCCAACGGGACTTACGTCCCCTATGAATGGGTGTTTGAGAATAGTGCAAGCGCGAGCACGCGGCAGCAACTCTTCTACCGTGAATATTGGGTTTTCGGTCCAGGCACTTTCCAACGACAAACATCGCTGTAATATCGTGAGGAACTGCAGTTCAAACTCGTGCGTGTAATGCCCCAAAAGAGCCAAAGCAGACATTCCGGCAAGACCTGCAACGTTACCAGCGACCGCCTTTCCTTGAGGCCAGTTTTCGAAAACTCCCTGGTCCAGCATCCAGAGGATTGACTCGTAGTTTCGCAGAAAGAAACTGCCAGCAGGCCTTCCTGCATAGTGGTTCCTTAACAAATTGTACAATATAAACGCTTTGTAGTCTTGCGAGTATACCATCGGCCATCTCCGTTGAGATAAATTGCTGTCAGCAACCTGCATAAGGCTCCCCGTGTCACTGAGATCGGCTCCAAGACATGACGCAAGGAGTTCCGGGTCTCCAAGTCTAATAATGAAATCGCTAAAGTCATTTGTTTCGACCAGCGGCCCCAAGAAGTCTTCATCGGGGTGTTCCCATTCAACAGCTTTAATACGGCGCCCTGTGAGTTGGCTACTCGCAAAAAATGCCTGTTCACACAGATGTATGAGAGACAACTGCTGCTCCCGGTCCACATACCCGTTGTGGAAGGCACCAACAAAAGCCAGCATGAAATCTTGGATTATCTTGGGTTGAAGCGGGTTCTTCAATGACAGCAATGATTCTTTTTCAAACCAGTTAATCCAAAGTCGACATAAGATGCCTCGTAGAATACCACCTAGCCGCCACGCCTTGGTAGTCGTGTCTGCTGCTAAGAGGCGCCGTCCCTCAACTGTATTAACAAAGAATTCTCTGGCAGAGCGATGGATGAAACCAATCTGTCCAATTTTGAGAGATGACGAAGCAATGGTTGTGACTTCCAATAATCCGGCCGTCAGTGTCTCGATACGTTTGCCGAAGTTGACGCTTTGTGACTGTATTGTTTGGATTGAGTGCCTGCTAGGATTTGCAAAAAGCCTCTGTACTTCGCCCAGATGATTGGCAGCGTATAGTTGGATGTCGCATAAAGGAGGCTCTGCCTTTGCGTCGCCCAGAGGTACGTACGAACTCATTTGGAGTCTTTCAAGTGCTATGTTGATGTAAAGTGCGGCCTCTCGTTGGTAGATCTGCTGGTCTCCTTCATCTAGGCGATCCCACATATTTTGATAAAGTTTGTTGATATCGCGTGGCAGCAGTTCTAATCGCTCGTGCAGCTGGGCGAGCGTATCGCCATTGACAAGTCCTTGGAGGAGACTCCGCATGACAAGACGGACCCAGAGAAACACGCCATCAGAGTATTGACAAACTTTGGCTGCCAGATCTTGCACCATCGATTTGTCATGATCGTCTTCATTCCAGCTTGGTGGTAATTGTGATTCAAAATTGTCCACGACGTATGCCATGATGTCGTCACGGGTAAGGTTCTGTACCAAAAGCTGCGAATCTTTGCAGTACTTGGAATGAAAGGCAGGCTCCGGTCGGCTCGAGATGCATACTTTGACGCGGGGCAAGCGGCAGAGCTTGTCGACGAACGATAACACAGGCTTGGGACTAGCCGATTGAACTTCCATGTCAGCCTCATCTAATCCATCGAGAAATATGCACACTGTGGAAGGAGATGCTTCCAATAGGGCCTCAGTAGCACCGCACAGTTCCTCGTAGGACCAGTCTTGCGCAGAAACTTTCCGGGAAGCGCTCGGCACGGCCCGAAGAATGGCGCCAACAGCCTCTTGGGTCCAACGTCGTCTAGTTGGTTGCATCACCACCTCCTCTTGCTCATTCTCAATTTCGAACTGGCTCAGAAGCTGGCTGAGCAGAGACAGCGCGACGCCTCTTAGACTGCGTTGAATTGGGCTTCCAGAAAGCCAGAAAAAGTGTGCTACGATCAAGGTGGGACCGTGGGCTTTCTCCAGCAGCCGTATTGTGTTCTTATGCCTCATAAGAAATTTGACCAATGTGCTTTTCCCTGAGCCAGCCTTCCCGCACAGCCAGTATGGACTACCAGGAACCCCAACGAGCCAGCAAGGAAAACAAGAAAATGGTGCCGATGATGTTGGGCCACACGTGTGACTTGAGTGGTCATCAATGCGTAGTTCATCTCCGTCGTCCGTGGTTCCGTTCGTAGATGTGTTATTGGAAGCGCCAGGTCGAGATGTCGGTTTGCTCCACTTATTAGAGTCATAAATCCATTCGAACGTGCCGCTGTGAGAGACCACGACTTGACTGTTTCGGTCGTTTAGTCCGTCGCATCGAAGGCTCTTCATCAGCTTCTCGTAGGCTTGCTGTGTATCGTCGATAGCGTCATACGTCCTAGGTTTGTTGATCTCGAATTCTCTTGTGATGTGTTCTTTGATCACATCAGTGTGAGCTGCAATCTCCTCGGAAATGTGCGCATTGATGGCTGATTTCTGTGCTTCGATGAGGTGTTCGATAGATTTCTGGCCTTGGGCGATGTTTGCGATAAATATCCGTAGCGTGCTCTCAAGGGCATAAAACTTGGAGTTCTGCTGAATAGCGATGGCATCGGTGGTTTTGCTGCACAAGACAATTGGATTCAGAATTGGTTCAGTCTCGTAAAGGATAGCTTGCATGAAATAAGAAGATAGTCAAAGACACCAAAGCTTACCATACTTTCATCAAGAGATGAGACTCCATTCGAGCCTGGTGTTTGTTGATATCGGCCTCCAGTTTTGTCAGACGTCCTTCTTTCCACTTGGCGGAAACCCCGGAGTATAAGGAGCGTAAAGCGTTGCCCTTTGCTGAATGTGACAGTTTTCCGGCCGCAGTTTTCAACTTATTAGAGGCACGAAGGCAGTCTCGGGCGATATCAAGTAGCTCCTTCTCGTGGGGATCGAAATCGTCGCCTTCATCCTTGAGTTTCAGTTGAAGCTCGTGACAAAGACCCTCATATTTGCGAGCAACTTTGTCAACGTAGCCATCGCGGTCAAAATGTACCCCGGAGTTGTAGATTTCTTTGCATATAGCGATGGTTTCTCGTGTGAAGTCAATGATCTGTATGACATTGCAAGCAATCCCAAATACAGCAAGTGCCTCCATTTAAAATGAGGCACTACCAGCAACGATGAGGGCAAGAGATTGGTGAAATTATGTTTATTCCAAAGAAATGAAATGGTGTCGCTCAAAACGTTGTAAATTCGGAGTAAAGAAACGTGCCCAAAGTAGCAGAACATCGGCGGACTGCTGCCTTTTCAAGCATCCTTCAATTTTGGGCGCAATACGCACAGCCGCACTCTGCATCAGGCACGAATCGAAATTAACAGCTGCAATTTTCCATTGGTTGTCATTTCTCATAACAGAATCATTGATTCAGGAGGTCAACCTTTGGAGAACGCGGGCGGCTAAGAAGAGTATCCGATGCGTGGGGTTGGTTTGAGATGGCGCCCGTTGGTTCGCGGGCCGAACCAGCACTAAGCGGGCCTTTTGGGGAGCGGACCAGGCACATCAATGGCACAATCAAACCATCAGGTTTAATCGTGGACAACCTCCTGAGGATTCAAACCAAGATCAATCTATTCTTCAAATTCGGCATCCAAACCCTGGAGCACTTCGCGCACCAACACAAAACTTCCCGTTGCCAGGACATGGCAGGTCTGTGATGGTGTGGTTGTAGCATCTGCATAAGCGCCAGCCAAACAATACACAGGCTCAGCGGCAAGAGCACGGATCTGTCCAATCGCAGCTGCAACAGTGTCGACGGCCTGGCAAACCGTGTCTGGACTGACGGCCTGCATTGCAACGAGAGCTTCTGTGCGCGCTGCCTCAGCTTCAGGTGGAAACACAAAAAAAGCATTGTCGAAAAAAGTATTACTTGTTGCTTTGCCTCCGTCGTTGGCGCCTGATAAAAGAGCCCGTACAAGGTCGCCCGGTTTGCGATCACGCACACTGAAGAGAAGTATGCGTCTTGGCCGTGGGGGAACCACACCTTTTATTGAGGCAGTGTCGATGTCGCCTTGTCGGGCGGAAAAAAATCGTGCCACTTCAGCCAAGCTGTCAGCCGTGTGGGCGCCGTCAACGATGTATTGCACTGAGTACGACCCTGTTTGTGTATCCGTGATGGTTTCGCAACGGCCACGAAGTGTAACCTTAGCCAAGGCAGATACGTAGTATTCTGGGAGGCTGGACGGGTCGAAAACAGAGGCAGTTAAATCGAGCGCATTGTCGCCTGCAACGCCCACTTTGCAAAGGTGGTGGCAGGCAGCAGCTGCTGCAAGAGCCATGTTATACTTTTGGAATTTTCCAGGAAGGCCAGCACCTGGGACCCCGGACCACCGAGCGACGACGTCTGGACGCACTTCGTGTAAATCTTTTACTTTTTTCTCTGCGGCTCTCAAACGGAGCACAGCGACAGCAGCTTCTCTGTCCTTTTTGCTCTCTCCTGGCGGCGTTGCTTTATCGCTCGGCTCGTAATCGCCAGGACCTTGTTGTAGTGTAAAAGCGGTAACTCCCTCTTTGAAAATACCTGCCTTGTGCCACGCTATCTCCTCAAGAGTGCGGCCGAGCATAGCAACATGGTCAATACCAAGACGCGTAACAACAGCGGTAGTGACGGACGAGGCAGGTAAAATGTTGGTTGCGTCGTACTCGCCACCAATCCCACACTCAATGACAGCCGAACGTACCCCCTGCTGCAGAAAGATGTGGAATGCCAGCAGCGTCAAGAACCGGAAGTAAAATGGCTTCGTATGTGCGCCGTATGGATCCGGATCAGAGGGATCAGCTGCTGCTGCTGCCTCGCTAAGCCGTGCCCACATGTCAAAGACGTACTTGGTGAAAAGGTCACGACTGATGTGCTTGCCATCCAGCCAGATGCGCTCCCTGACCGAGACGACATGAGGCGAAAGATAGGTGCCGACCCGGCCGACCGTGGAACCGTTAGTTTTGGCCGCTTCCACCAAAATGGCCGTGGTAAAGGCCGATACAGATCCTTTCCCCTTGGTTCCGGCAATGTGGATACACTTCAAGGGCGCCAGATCCTTCGGTATATCGGAGTAGCCCGCACGAGCCATCCACGCGACGACCTCCGGGATCGCAAGAGAGTTGAAGTCGAATGGAGCGCCATCTTCACCTTTGGGAGGCGTCTCAAAGAGGGCCGTCACATCACGGTTTGTCGGCAGTAGTGACAAAAGGCGCAAAGCACCATCGTATGTCTGAGGTATAGCTGCAAAGTTTAGGTAGCCAGCACCGCCCTTATCCTTCTTTCCCTGGTCATGGTGGAGACCAGCAGAGAGAGACGCCATCTTTGGTGCAATCAGCGAGGGCAGCCCTCGATGATCAAGTCCCACCTTCGGGTCCTTTCGATCTAGGCCTTCTTCAAAAATAATATTTTCGCCGTGACGATGAACAGTAGAAGCTGGCCGCGCAGGGCCACAGTTGGCAATTGGTAGGGTCCTTCGGAAGGCGTTTGATATTGCGCCCAAGCGCCTTGCTGCAGTTGGCGCTGTCGAAATAAGCCCGGCGTACATCCACAACATGAAAACGTCAACAGTTTCTGTAGTTGCAATTGTCAATGTTAGCCCCTGGTCACTCGGGTGAAATGTTGTCTTGCCGTAGCCGTAAACGAAACGGCAGGCACGACGATACGGCTTGCCCTTTTGAGGAGAGATTTTTTGGCAAGCGCAATCATGGTCTATGAACTGTTCGGTTAAAGACATATTATGCAATAAACCAGAGATTTGTGAGACACTTTTTGGGGGCTTAAGATTAAAAATACCCTATTTTATTGCGAGCATTACAAAACAAATAAGAATGTCTAACTTACAGAGAACCCTCAAACTATATAAAATAGACCAAGAAGTAAAATAGGGGGAGAAAACAAATGCGGCAGAACAAAGCAGGCCAGACTCCGTGACTAAAAAAAAATGTAGGGCAGTGAAGAAAAACCAAAAAAACGAAGGCAAAAGTGCATTGACAAACATAGGGACGATTAAAAGATTGTTAACACTCCACGCCAAAAGTACAACTGCATATACATCATCTAAGGAGCTTCTCTCCAGCCGCTTTAATCATTCTTACCGGCAGGATTGACGCCTGAGCTCAGCATGGGTAACTTGTAATCCTTGACCTCATCCAAGCGGAAGTGGCCCAGACTACCACCGTTGCGCCGAATCCGCCCACGTAGCCACGATGCAACACCCAGAGATATACCCAGAACACAGCCAATAGACAAGTACGGGTGTTCAGAAAAGGTCATGCGAATGTCGAAGAACAGCTTCTCAATGGCCGAGATGGTCAGCTTGGGCTTGATCTTAGGCGGTGACTGGGTGATCTTGTTGAGCGTCTCGAGGATGGACGTGCGTGATGGCAAAATGGGGTTGCCAGTCGATGTGATGTCCCAGTACCGGCGGTTATCTTCGTCATTGATAATGACGCGCTCGCCCTCCTTAATGTCGATACCGTACGTCGTACGCACCCATCGCTGCCAGAACGCGCCGTCAACCCATGCGAACGTCACCTCCTTCTTGTCGGCGCGGTCCATATTGACGCGGATGCTCTTAGCCGCGCGCAGGGCACGCTGGTCGTTGCGATCCTCGGCCTCTTCGATGCGCAGCTGCTTCGCATCACGCAACTCTTGACGCTCAAGTTGGAAAAGTTGAATCTGCTTGTCCATCCACTCGCTGGCAGCACTCTTCATCTCGCGCGTTGCAATTGCAAATGCCTCCTTGTCCTCGCGCTTCAGAATGCCCAGCACCACCAACTTGCCATCCATGATCTCGCGAGCATTCGATGCGGTCAGCTCTGGCACAATAGGCAGCCACACAGATTTCATCCAATCAAGAACACGACGCGTATCACGCATCTCGTGCGGCGTCAGTGGTGGATAATAGGTTGGCCGACCCTCGCGGGAGACAAGCAGGCGCGGCCAAGTCGTGATCTTGAACCGGTCGTACAGCGCCGGGTCGTTCGTCTTGACCAGCTTAGCGTGGCCTATCAGGCTGAGAGGCAGACGTTCAAGCGCCATAAAGTCCTCACTGGTGGTGGCAAAGTCGTAGAAATAAACGAACACGACCTCCTCCTTGGCCTCCAGCGCCTCAAAGCTGGCAGCATTCACATCTTGCACGCCCGCAACCGCATCCAGTGCCTTGTTAGCGTACGACACAAAGTCGCCCAGGCCTCTCAGACCTTCGTAGTCGACACGCTCGCCGCCGCGGAACAAAACAATCGTCGGGTAAGCATGGACGCGCACGTCCTTACAGAGGCGGGACTCCTTTTCGCAGTTCACCTCACCAATGTTGAGCTTGCCCTGCATTTCCTTAGCCAGCTGCTCCCAGTTCGCGGCCATGGCCTTGCAGTGATGGCACCAAGGGGCGTAGAACTTGATAAACCAGGTGTCCTGAGTCATCGTCACGAGCGTTTGGAAAGTCTCAGCTGTCAGTGGGACGGAGGCGCCGTTGGGGTTCTGGGGAGTCGTTGGCTTCGGCGGTCCACGGTACAGCGGAACAGGAGGTGTAGTTTTCTTCTTGGGGTCGCCGGACCCCTTGCTACTCTTTTTGTCCGCTGGAATACCGCCGATATCTTTAGCTTTGAGGGTCTTCTCAGAGACATCCTCAGGAGTTGGAACAACAATCGCCGGAGCAGCAGACGCCTCCTTGGGTTTCTCCTCAGTGGCCGTGGGGTCTGTTTTCTTCACTTCTTTGTCTTCGGCGGCAGCCTTGGCCTTCTCCTTGTTCGCTTTGGCCTTCTCAGCCTTGGCTTTGTCAGCCGCAGCGATTGCAGCTTTGTCAAGAATCTCGCCGGCGTCTTCTTTTCCGCGGGGGTGGACTGAGTCGCCCTCGCCGGGCAGGTACAGAATCGCCGGCCGCTCGCCAGGGAAGTCGCGGTCCAGGGCGCCTTCAAGATGGTGACTGAGGATGGTGCCGTTCTTTACGCCCTTGATGTCGACTATCTTCTTGCGGTCCCCGTAGAGAATAGTCGTCGGGTAAGACTGGATGCCGTTTTTGAAGCACAAATCGAAGAAAGCAACGCAGTTGATCTGTCCAAATTTGATGCCGTAGTGCTCAGCCGAGGTTGTCGTTCTCCCTTCAACCTTTTCGGTATAGTAGTACTCGTATGTCGTTTGGAAGGCTGGGGCAAACTTCTTGCAGTGGTGGCAGTATGGACTGAATGCTGTCAGGACAACAATACCCAGCACACAACAGGAGACCCGTGCCAAGTACCACTTACCTATAATGCTTTACGTAAAGATACTTCGTCGAATTGAGCTGTTCTTCGAAGTTCTTGGGTGTCAGGTTGATCAGCGGTGGCACTTTAATACCGTCGAAAATCGTCGGCTTCTCGACATCGTCAGATTTTGCTTCAGCCTTTGCTCCAGCCTTTGCTTCAGGCTTCGCATCGTCGGCAGCGACGGTGACCACCGCCATGCCCAGGAAGGGCAAAAGCGATGACAGCCGCATGGTTAAGTATCAGCAGAGATGAGGCGATCTCGCCTTCACTGTAGACAAGGCCTCCGGGCTTTCGAGGGGAGGTAGGACGGAAACGGTATTGAGGATCGGCGAAAAGGGAATTCGGGGCCGAGTTGGATCTGTCAGCAAGGAAACACGGCGTGAAATCCCACCGGCACACGCCTTCTCGGAGAAGGAAGAGGAAGGAGATGGAGATGAGCGTCGAAGGAGGCCCAAAATGAGCGAAAGTAGGAGGTAGGAGGGCGTCGCAGGGTGGGTTCAATTGAGAGGAAAATGAAGCCAAAGAGGCAATGCTGGAATCGAGGTGGAAACGCGACCAGATAAGCCTGAATTTCTCATACGCCCCGTTTGAGATTGGCTGACAAGTGGTTTTCGGGCGTTTGGCGGTTTACTTTCAGTGGCTTTCGTTAGATTTTAGTGAGCTGCCACAGGACGCCGTCGTGTATTTTGATAGGTAAATTATCTGCCAAGCGCTGGCTGTCACTCTTCCCCATTTGCACATTGATTCCTTCCATTTCAGGAGTTGAGGACAACCAGCGCAGTCTTACAGCGGAAAGGGGCTGTCCTGTTTCGCAACCAATGATAAGTCGTGTTTCATTTGAGTGCATACTTACAGCACTCCGCAAAATTGGGCCATAGGCAACGTCTGTCATTGGAATAGTTCTAGGCCTTCGTCGTACTAGTGGGGACCGCGACTTCCCCAAACACCAGACCTCAATGCAGGCCATATTCAAGACGGAAAGCATGACAGAAAAACAAAATGGACTTCTACAAAGGGGCAAGCACAACCCCCTGAAAGCCCAGCCAACACCTACCCAAGCTTTGCAACACTCATCCTTCGCCGGCACGGATAAGACGTAACGACCTGGAGCGGGGTGACCCAAATCGCCCGACATCAGCTCTTGGAGGATGGATAGCGAGGAGACGCCTACCAAGCGGGATCGCGTGTCCCCTTCCCCTTCGAATAATAAGAGGGAAATAGAAGGCGTCGAAAATAACACGTTTGTTCTCAAGTCGATGTCGACGCCGGTCAGCCCTCCACGGAAGAGGCGGCGAGGTCAAGGAGAATTGGGCGAGCGAGTGCTTGTCAGTGCGGCAACAGAGGCAGCATTCAATGAACGCAATGAGCAGACCACCAAACCATCTCGGCCTACGCTCAAAAGTCCATTTCGCCTTACGGCCATCCACGACTTGCCGGCATCAGCCAACATCGACACAGTTACGGTGCGTGACATCTTCGGCGACCCACGCGTTATTGAATGCTGGGAGTTCAACTTTCTGCACGACCTAGACTTTCTGATGAGTTCGTTCGACGACGGCGCACGACAACGAGGTTTAAATGTGCATGTGGTTCACGGCTTCTGGAAACGCGAAGATTCTCGTCGTGAGCAGCTTGAGACAGCGGCGCGGCAATATTCAAAAGACAGCAGCCAAAACGGCGGCACTATTACGCTACACACGGCGTTCATGCCAGAGCCGTTCGGAACACATCATACAAAGATGGCGGTGCTCCTCCGCAACGATGACACGGCCCAAATCATCATTCACACAGCCAATTTGATCCCCCATGACTGGTGTAACATGACACAGGCGGTGTGGCGTTCTCCTTTGCTTCCGCTTTTGACAAGCGGAAAGACGGAAGTCAAATATAAGGAAGAGAGCGGCGTTGGGCTCAGGTTCAAGTATGACTTCCTAAATTACCTTCGTTCCTACAATCAGAGACGATCAGTATGCAGTCCCCTTGTAGAGGCGCTGCAAAAATATGATTTTTCGGCCGTCCGTGCTGTACTCATCGGAAGCGTGCCCGGGCGACACCATATACCTTCCCCTGAAGAAGATGAGTTGGAAGAAAAAGATAGACAAAACCTGACGGTAGGAGACGAAGGCCGCATTGCCCACACGCGATGGGGTTGGCTGGCTATGAAGCAAGCACTGAAAAATGCCCCCTTGGGGTCACCTCAAGCAACGCCAGGCCAGTCCTCACCAGATGAGATTGTGATACAAGTGTCATCCATTGCCACTCTCGGTGGCACTGACGTCTGGCTGCAAAAGACTTTTTTTCCAGCATTGTCGAGCGGGAAAGCGACCAGCAAGTCCACACCGAAATCTTCACGACAAGCCATCGGATTCGGCTCTTTACGACAACCCCAAGAGCGGCCACCACCAAAGCCAATATTTCGTGTCATGTTTCCAACTGCCGACGAGATCAGGAGGTCCCTCGAGGGCTACGTTTCGGGATCTTCGATCCACGCCAAAATTCAGTCACCACAACAACAAAGACAGCTTGCATACATGCGCCCCATGATGTGCCATTGGGCAAACGATTCGGAGGACGGCGAGGCAATCACATCTGAAACAGGCGACAGCAAAAGAGGCGCTGGTGATGCTAAACGTCGGCGAGCAGCACCACATGTGAAGACCTATGTGCGCTATAGCAATTGCCACGACGGCTGTTATATTGACTGGGCCTTGTTGACATCTGCCAATCTCTCGAAGCAGGCCTGGGGCGAGGCTCGCTCGGCAGCGGGTGAGATACGTATCGCATCGTACGAGCTCGGCGTGCTTGTATGGCCCGAACTCTTAACGGAGGTTCCCGGCGCAACGATGCAACCGGTGTTTGGGCGTGATGACTTCAAGCTTGATGCGCCAACGACTGAGGAGCAAATAGGCCACGCAGTGCAAAAGGATTCCTCGTCGTTACCGGTATCAGTCACCGATAGAAGCAGCAGCATTGGCAACGGCGCAGTGGATGCTGATGGCTTGCCAGTGGTGCCGCTACGCATCCCGTACAGCTTGCCACTTCAACGATATGGCGCAAACGAAATTCCATGGGTCACCAGTCTACCGCACAGCGAGCCGGATTGGAGGGGTATGACTTCTGTCCGCTGGGAGGACTGATGTAGCATCAAGGTTTGTAACATGTTCTGGAGAGCAATACTAAATGGCACTCTGGCCGAAACTGGTACTTATATTTGTTCTGATTTCCTTTCAACCCAGCTTCTAGAAGGCAATTCAGGTATCATTTCGAACCACAATTGTTACCCGGTGCGTTGACAGCTTCGTTCTGCACGTTCGCCTCGGGCCAGCTGAACTTGAACCTCAATTCAATTATGAGCGAACCTTCTCCGGGACCTTGTTTGGGTCGAAGATGTGTGACTCTTTGAGTTCCTCGACGGTTTTGGCGTACTCCTGTTGAGCTTGCTCCTGGGTGAGTCCCTCGTCGACGCGGGATTGCCACGCGTTTCTCTTGGCTTTGGCCTGCGATGCGTTAGCCACCGAAAGCAAAGTCGGGTAGAAGCTGGCAACACATACCTCTAACTCATAAAAGGAAGGGGCCTTGGTGGCGTTGATGTTCTCGCCCTTGGCAACCTTGTAGAGACCTACACGACACAAACAGTCAGTCTGATCAGCCATTCCCAGTCGCGGTGCTGAAACTTGTCTTGTGATTAACACTCTTGCACGCGTCAAGCACTGACCGTAAATGTTCAACTTCTCCGTGTTCGTCAGAGGAACGGTCAGCTTCAGGATGTCCTGAGTGGCCTGTTCAAAAGCGGCAGCCGACATGATGACAGTGGGTTGTTTATTGCTCGTTCTTTGCTTGTTACGTGAAATGTTAAGACAAAGGAACGCAGTCGAGAAACGATAGCGATCGAGAGAGGAGAAGATGGAAGAACGTCAGAAGATCAGAGAGGGGAAAGAGAAAATGGAACAGTTTCTTAGCTGACGGGAAGTCTTCACCCCTAATTTGTTGGGCTTACCTTCCTTGGATGGGGCGTGGCGGGGTACGACGGAAGGCAGGCCAACGACGTACATCTCTGCATGGAGCCACCAGCCATCACAGCGTGGAGCCGTGCTGCAAACTTGCTCTGCCCCGCCTAGGCTTGTGTTAGATCATGCGCCTATCACATGGGAAACCGCGAGCAATGGTCGCTTCCCTTCCAGTTACCTTCTGTCCTCATGCCACAGCAGGAGTCCAGCTTCAGAGCCACACGAAGGCACACCGCGCCTTCCGACTAGCGTAGAGGCTTGTCCTGGCGCCCCTGCATGGCTCTTGCCCTGCGTGTCATTCTCTCTTTCTCAAATGCTTGTTGCGCTCGACCCCCGGAATAGCTCTTTCCATCGTTGACAATTTCGTATCCTTTCGTCTGGTTTCCGACCCAATGGCACGTGCTTTATGCGTGGGGCAGAGAGTGTGGAATATTCAGATGGAAGAACAATGGATCGCAGTTACACAAAATGAGGTGCTCCCGTCCCGCTCTTTCATCCCAGCTCTTAGCGAGCTCGGCAAGCAAGCAAACCTGGCCGTCGCGCATGAACAATGCCATTCAAAGCTTTGTTCTGCAAAACAGGTCAGCGAATCGGCACGCAACGCGGAAAGCAAAGTTCAAAGGTTTCTGGAGTACCGCCCCCAAAACAGGTCCAGAGCCTTAAATTGCCGGACGCTGCCCTCTCTGGCGCCCGTTGGACCTAAAAGAGTGGGGGCCTGGCCCAAACGCCATTGGTCGACACGCGGACAGCAAAGCTGTCGTCTCGGGACCGACCAGTCTCTTGACATCGGGACGGTAGTGGTTTTGCAATCTGGCATCATCGTCGCCATCTCGTCATGATTTGCATCTTCGCATCGTTGCCATCGACGGTCCTTGGAAACTCCGACACCGATACTGTGGTATCATCTAGTGGCTTAGTCCGTGCATCTTGCAAGGATGATCGAAATCGTAGGTCAAGGATTTAATGGTGCTGCCTATTGCAACAGAAAATGTGCCATCAAGCCGCCTTCGAGACAGGTCAAATCATTTCAGGTCCGTGACGATACTAACCCCGAGGTTGCAAAACGAAAAAGCAACAAGAGAAACATGCGGGGGGTCTAAGTATTTGTATTGATGCTAATAGCGTTGTGTTAAGAAAAATATCTCCTCGTGCTAATATTCAATTCCAAAAAAAAGGAAAGAAAAGAAAAGAAAAGAAAAAGGACTTGGGCTCCAGGAACCGGGTCACAGGCACCGAAATAATAACCGAATGTCTATCGTAATATAATTACGTATATGCACCATGTCGTACGGTGCATGGTTTAATGCTCCGTATTAGACAGCATCTCCTTATGTCGTACGTCTTACAAATTACACAAGAAAACAATACGGTGACAATATACAGATCATTATCATTTGTATCCTCTCGAGGCGAGAGCGGCCAGCGAATGGTAGACGACGAGGTGAGTGTAGCTTTCAATATCAGCGTGACAGGTGACCTTGTCGAGCATGACCATACTGCCAGTTCTCGTAATGGATTTTACAAAGCAGAGACAAAAGGAATAATACACCAAATGGCCACTGGCGCAATGCCACAGACGCAATGCCACGGACATCGCACGGGAGAGTTGTGCCACGGAGCACAACCAGGGGCAGAAGTGAGCGAAACACACAAGTCCTGTACGGGAGAGTTGGTGGTGCAAGTATTCGACCGAAATAACTATCGAAAGACAACCCAGGTTAGAAGTAAGCAGAGAGTACGCGTAGTTCGTTCGGAAACGGAGCACGGTGTCATTTGAATTTCGCGTCCAGAATATGAGTTGTTGGTCGTCAGTGTAACAAGCAACCACGCTCCGACCTCCCAGGTAAATGGGGATGGGAAAAGCTGTTTGTCGTAGTAATATGAAAACCTTCTTTTTTACGTGTACTTCTTGACTTCTTGTATCTATCTCTTTACTCTTCTCGTTTTGCTCGGGCCGCCTCGACACGCGCCGCGTGGACTGACCTTCGTTCCCGTCTTCATAGTTCTTTTCTGGTTCTGACTTGGATCCGACGTTTTGAAATTGCTCGCCCCGCCCAGACTCGCAAGCTCATCTCTTCCAGCCTGGTACACCCTTCTTTTGTCAAATAATACAAATCCTAAACGTTGATCGCGACATTGCTTCAGGTCAAGCTAGTCCTTTGATCTAGAGCAATCCATAAAAGGAAGTCTCGCCCCCAGTTAGCCCGCCGTCTCTAATTTAGACAGAAGGAACAGCCGGGTAGCTTCTTTCCTTTAGCACTGGTCAAGCTTGTATTTTGTACCCTGCACCTTCCCATCCAAGCTTCTTTTCTATTCTTTCCCATTTGTACGGTTTTCCGCCTTCACAGCTTCCAAAAGTATCCTGCTCGTTGCACTCTCTTTCCCTTGGCCAAATCTTTCCCCAAAATGGTTCCCACAGTCGTGATTCTCGGCGGTGCATATGGTGGTCTTCAGATCGCCCACAGCCTGCTCAAAAACAACAAGGAGGCGAAAGTCATCCTAGTTTCCAAGGTGCGCCCCGGTTGTATCTTATTTTTGCTACCAGCTCAAACACAAATTAATACGTGCACAGAACAGCCACTTTTATTGGAACCTCGCCTCGGTGCGCGCCATTGTGCCGGGCAGTGTCGAGGACAAGCAATTGTTTCTATCTCTGGCAGATGCGCTCTCCCGCTACTCCAAGGAGCGCTATGAGATCGTCATTGGCTCGGCAGAGTCTGTCGATACCAACACCAAGACAGTCAAGGTTGCCATCCCTGGCACCGCAGAGCAACGGGCCATCTCCTACGACCAGCTTGTCCTGGCCACAGGCTCCCGGAACACCCAGCCGGAAAGGCGTGCTGATGCCGCCGCTGACGAAGCCGTCCCTGCGACGCCATGGAAGGCAGACGGCACCTACGAAGACATCACGGCCCTTCTCGACACCACGCGGGAGAAGGTCAAGGCCGCCAAGCGCATTGTTATCGCTGGCGGCGGCGCCACGGGCGTCGAGGTCGCTGCTGAGCTCGGCCATGCATTCGGTGGTAAGCCGGCCGACAAGGGAGGCAAAGAAATTATCTTGCTATCGGCCGGCGCCGAAATTCTGAGTGGCGACGCGATTGCCGGATCCGCCCTCAACAAGCTGAAGAAGCTCCACGTCGATGTGCGCACTGGCGCTGGCGTCTCGGCAGCACACACGCTGCCCGATGGTCGCGTCGGGCTGACCGTGGCAGGCGCGTCGGAGCCACTCGTCGCCGATCTATACCTGGCCGCCGTGGGCCTGACGCCCAACACCGAGTACCTCGACGCGTCCCTCCTCACTGATCGCAAGACGGTCGATGTCGACGAGTTCTACCACGTCAAGGGCGTGGCCAGTAAGGACGTTTGGGCCGTGGGCGACATTGTCAGCAAGCCGCGTGCTGGGTTTGTCATTACAATGAAACAGGCCGAGGGCGTGGCCAAGAACGTAGACGTTGTTTTAAAGGGCAAGGCGCCACAGGCTGTGAAGCTGCTTCCTGTCGACGTCTTGGTCGTGGCGGCCGGCCCCAACCGTGGTACGGGCCGTGTTGGCTCGTTGCGCCTACCGTCCCTGGCTGTGCGGTATATTAAGGCGCGCACACTGGGCCTGCAGATGCTGTCAGGCTTCCGGGACGGCAGCGCGGCCTAGTGGGAGTGCCGAGAAAATGGAGTGATTTCAGAACGGGTCGTTTCGAATAGTAGGAAGAAAGGATGAGGAGGAATACCCCAGAGTTTGTTTTTGGTTCACCGTCTTAGTTTATGCCTTATACCAGTTCATCTAACAGCGAGCGGTTCGAGTCCTTCAAGTTTGATGGTTCGCTAGGTAGACTAATTTTCGTAAAATGAATAAAATAGGTTTGATTTTCAACACGTTGATTGCACCTCTTTACAGTATTATTTACATTGGAGGCCAAGACGTAAAGACACAGGGGAAGTGATCCCAAAAAGTTAATGAAAAAATAATTTGTTTCGCTCTTTCAAAACAGGAATATAAGCACCAAAAGCCACACCATATCCCGCCATACTATCTCACCTCGCAGCCTTGGCATCGTCAATGTCGCGACGCAGCTGCTCGAGGACCTGCTCACGCTGCCGCAGGTGTGATTCCAGGCTCTCTACTTGCTCGCGCACCGTTGCCAGGTCGTCTGTCACACCCTTCAGGCCGCTGCCGGCCTTGGCCTTGCCCGTGCCTTCCTCGAGGTCGCGCAGCTCCTGGCGCTTGTAGTCCAGCAGCTGCTCCAGCTCGCGCTTGATCAGCGCAGGCTTCGTGTCACGCTTGCCGCCACTCGCCTTGGACCCAGACCGCCGCGCTGCGCCCGCCTCGATCTCTTGGATACGGCCCTCTAGCTCGGCCAGCTGCTTCTTCAGGCGCACCTCCTCCCAGTCCTCGGTCTTTTGTGCCGTCGAGAAGTCGGTGCCAGTGGCCTTGAAGCCGCTACGGCCGAGCCGCGTCAGGTACTGGTCGCCAAACTTGGCCTTGCGGCCCGTCGCCGTGCTGTCGTCGGCACGCGTTGCCCAGCGTGAGTTTGCGGCGGCCGTACTGGCGTTGCCGACCTGGTAGTCGATTTGGTTGCGCTCGAAGCTGGCGCGCAGCGAGGCAGGGACGGTGCGCGGGATGCGGAAGCCCTCGTGGCGGTAGTTGAGGATGTGCAAGAAAGCAAGAGAGGCGTCCTTGCCAATCGATGGAGCGGCGGCCGGGTTCACCAGGTTCCAGGCGGAGCGGATGTCGGTATCGGGGACGTCGAGCGAGTCGTAGAGGTCCTGAAGGGAGGAAAAGGCCACGTCGCCGCGCATGTCCCGGCTCTCCAGGTAGATCTGCTCGTACTTGGCCTTGTCGGCGGGGCTCATGTACCAGTCGAAGCCGTCCTTGAGGCTCGGCGAGTCCGGGTCGTCGTCCACGGCCACCTGTTCGAACTGTGCTGCCTTTCCTGTGAGCGCACGGCCAGCCTGCACGAGATGCGCCTTGGACTCGGGCACCAGCCAGTCGGGCAGCGCATTCGGAACGTCCGGATATTCCTAAGGCAACGGTAGAAACGACATGTTAGCAGCGAAGAAGACGAGACACAGCATTCTTCTCTGCCGAGCGTACGTGCTTCCGTCAACCCCTCCTGTTTAACTCACCCCGTTCAAAATGTCAAAGATCAGCCGCATGGCGACGCAAAACTCTTCAAAGTCCAGGTTGCCGTCGTTGTCAACGTCCGCCAGGTCCCACACACGCTCCAGCTGGCCGTCGCGCAGGCCACTGTTCTTCAGCACCGGCGCCGCCATCTCGCCCGTCAAGAACTTGCCGCCATTGGTGCGGTTCGAGAAGATGTTCCAGTACGTCTCGATCTCCTTCTGCTCGATCCGTGGAGGTGCCATCTTGTACAAAGTCTGACTGTGTAGATGTGCAGCTGCCGTGTCTTTCGTTTGGGGTGATGCTCGCCGATTCGATGCCGCCTGCTCAAGCTCGCTCGATCGCTCCAGCTGCAAGACTGCCCCGTCTTTCTGTCGGGTGTCTCTCCCCGGCCGGCGTGGAATTTGACTGCGTCGGAAGTGGAATGGAATGTCGTTTGTGGTAGCAAAGCCGTGGATGTCCCGGTCTCAAACTCGCAGTGCGCACGCGGCCTCCAACTCGTCTTATGGGGAGCTTCCAGGCGCAATAGGGTCAGCCTGCTAGGCCGGCCTGTCCGCTCAAGCACATAGTGGGGCGGGCGGCGTATTCCACAACTAGCAAGTGCTGTGACGAACAGCATCAGCGAGGTGTGGCTTGACGTATGTGGCGCATATGTGTTGCCCGGCCAATCGGCCCCATACCGCCACACCTATCAATGGCCACACCCTTGTTGACTGTCCCGCATTTCCCACCACCTGTCAGCTACCGAGAATGTCAACAAGCCGACACCAACGGAATCGCCCCGTTCGGCCTTCAACCCACACACCAGAGCCACCACCACCCTGCAAGGCCGCGCCGAGCCCTGGCATATCTGCAACCCTATCCAGGTGTCTTTCCCCACGAGCCTCCCTTGCTGCACACTCCCGCTCACATCAAGTGTCGGCTTCATGTCGTCAGAACGCGTCGATTTCGCTGGTTAACTGTTCTGCTTTACATTTTGCCTTGTCTTTTTTATACATATCACACGCATCGCGACATTGCTTCTATCGACGGCGACATACGCGCCCAGTGTTGGACCAAGATAATCGCCTTTACACTCGGCTGCACGGCAGCATCGCTTGTCGCGTTCTTTTCATCCTTCCATATCTCATCCTCGTCTTCACACAAACATGGCACTCACACGGGAAGCGCCTTCACGAAGGGCCACCAATGCCTCGACGACCATGACCGGCTACCGGTCAGCCAGCAGCAGTGCCGCCTCGCGACCTGGGGTTCGACAACCGACGAAACGCGCCTCAACGGCACGACCCCAACTGACATCCACATCACTTTCCTCCGCAACATCCTCGTCGCGTTTCGGACGAGCCGGCGCCATCTCTCCAGCTGAGTCGCTCATGTCGGTGGCCACGACCGCTGCCGCTGGTCTGAAGCGCAAGGAGCGTGATTTTGAAGCGGCAGCCGCTGCCGACAACGACTCCGTCATTCTCTCCCTCGCCGAGGAGACCAACATCAATGTCGTTGTGCGGTGCCGCGGTCGCAACGAGCGCGAGGTCCGCGAGAACAGCGCAGTCGTTGTCAACACTGACGGCGCCATGGGCAAGAATGTTGAGCTGATGATGGGCCCGAACGCTCTGAGTAACAAGACATACAACTTTGACCGCGTGTTCTCACCCGCTGCCGACCAAGCCATGATCTTTGACGACGTTGTCAGGCCCATACTAGATGAGGTGAGCGCCCGCTGTCAACGTTTTGGCAAATGCCCGTGCTCTATGTCGTCGCTTCTTTGTCCTGCTAATCCATGTACCAGATGCTCACGGGCTTCAACTGCACAATCTTCGCATACGGCCAAACTGGCACTGGCAAAACCTACACAATGTCCGGCGACATGAGCGAGTCCCTGGGTCTGCTCACCGACGCTGCCGGCATCATTCCACGCGTGCTTCAGGCTCTCTTCAACAAGCTTAATGCGGACGAGAGCACCGACAGCGTCGTCCGCTGCTCCTTCATCGAACTCTACAACGAAGAACTACGCGACCTTCTTTCCGTCGACAGCGACGGAAGCAGCAGCTCAAAGCTCAAGATCTACGACGACAACTCGCGCAAGGGACACGCTACTACCGTCGTCCAGGGCATGGAGGAGCGCCATATTGCCTCGGCCGCCGACGGCATCAAGCGCTTGCAGGAAGGAAGCGTCCGTCGCCAGGTGGCCGCTACCAAGTGCAACGATCTGAGCAGTCGCAGTCATACCGTCTTCACCATCACCGTGCAGACAAAGCACATCACCGAGACGGGCGAGGATTTCTTTAACACGGGAAAGCTCAACCTGGTCGATCTGGCGGGTAGTGAGAACATCCAGCGCTCAGGTGCCGAGAACAAGCGCGCCGCCGAGGCGGGTCTGATCAACAAGAGCTTGCTGACGCTGGGCCGAGTCATCAACGCGCTCGTTGATCGGACTGCACATGTGCCGTACCGCGAATCGAAATTGACTCGCCTGCTCCAAGACTCGCTAGGCGGTCGCACAAAAACCTGCATCATCGCCACCATCTCGACAGCCAAGAGCAATCTCGAAGAGACCATCTCCACGCTCGACTATGCATTTCGCGCCAAGAACATCCGCAATAAGCCGCAGGTGAACCAGCTTATCAACAAGAAGACCCTACTGCGGGAATTCACGGCCGAAATCGAAAAGCTAAAGTGCGACCTCATTGCTACACGGCAGCGCAATGGCGTCTACCTGCCCAACGACACGTACGAGGAGATGACCGTGCAAAGCGAGTCTCGCCGTATCCTGGCCGAAGAACAGGCCGCAAAGATTGAGACGATGGAGGCCAACCTACGACACAAGCTACAGGAGCTACTCGAGCTGACATCAAACTTTATGGGGCTCAAAAAGGAACACGAAGACGCGAAAACAGAGATGAGCGAGACAAAGGACGTGCTGGGTCAAACTGAGCTTGTGCTCTCTGCAACACGCAAAACACTCGCTGAAGAGACCTACGTCCGCCAGGCGCATCAGTCCACGGAAGAAAAACTAGCATCAATGGGCAATGATCTCATTTCGACTCTCGAGCGCACGGTCGGCGACATTGACGGCCTACGAGCCAAGAACCGTCGCAAGTCTGACCTCCAGGGTGTCAACCGCAACGCATGGGCCGGCTCTCAAGCCCAGGTCTCCGAAGTGACGAGACTTGTGGAATCCCGTATTCTCGGTCTTCGTGCGTCTCAGGAGCAGCATATTTCCAACATCTCCCGCCGCATGCAGAGCTTTGTCGAGGAAGGACAACAGAGTCTGGCATCGACACAAGCCCTACTAGACCAGAACCTGGCATCATTTGAGGCTTCGAAGTACGAAATGCTGGCACAGCAAGGCGCATCCAAGCAGGACCTGGACCAAGTTCTACAGGAGATTCGCGCCGTTCGTGACCATATCCAGGAACACGTCGGCGAGAGTCTTCAGACCATTGCGTCCGCCGCAGAGCGCATTGCAGAGGACGTCCTGAGTGAACTGAGCACATTCCACAACCAGCTGCACACATCATACAGCACGTTGGGAAAGGACTTCAAAAGCACGTTTGAAGATTTGCTGAAGCACATAGGTGCACAACGAGACGAGTCTGATGCTCTGCGCACGAAAGTTGAGGAGGCCAGTCAGACAGCAGTTCAGGCAAATGCGACTGTTGCTGCGCAAATACAACAAGCGATTGACGAAGAGCGAAAACAAGCGGCAGCAGATAGGCAGCAACTCCTCACACAAATCGGTACCCTCATCACCGAACAGGCGACAAAACAGGACATTCGGTTCACGGCCAAGACCAACGCCATCCGTGAACAAATGGTGGAGTCCAATACGGCATTTGAAGGCAGCCTCGAGACCTATGCTAAGGGTATGGATGCATGGAATACTGCCTCCGAGGAATTTGCTCAAGGCGCGAGTGAATCGCGCGATGCCTTGAAACTGAGACTGCAGGAGGACTGGACGGTAAGCATCTCTCAATTGGTTTATGTCTGTCTTGCTTTCTGTCAGTTTACTAACAATGGTGACTTTCCCCTTCTACAGACTGCCAACGAACACAGCACATCCATCCAAAACACGACAAGGTCGGTTCATGCCGAGACCGTCCGTGTTGTTGGCGAGCAGATGAAGGACCTGGACGTCAAGATGCAGGACTTGGACAACCTCGTTACGCGTGCTACATCAAGCAATGACGAACACCTCGCCGAACATACAGCATCAGTTTCCAAAATATCCGAGACTGTGACAGCTACGTTTTCTGAGCTATCAGCTCATGCGCAGGAAACGATCGGTCGCGGAGAGCGCTTTATGGAAGAAGCCGAAGCCGATATCAAGGGCCAGCGCAGTGACTGGGAGCCGACAGAAGGCACTCTGTGCCAGCCGCTGAATGACCTGAGAGCTTGTATCTCCAACACCGCGCTCCGCGAGTACGTGCCTACCGGCGAAACGCCAGAAAAGGTCCAGTACACGTACCCTCTGGACCTACCACGGACGGCCCCACATCATGTCTTGATTTCTGGCCTGAACAACAAGGGTACCGTGTCCTCCAAAACTGAAGAGAGCGGCGACATCGAAGACGACATCCTTGGTGATGATGACGACGAGTTCCGCGACGAGCTGCTCGATACAATGCCCTCGCCGAGCAAGCCACCTGTGAACAGTGATAGTGCAACCGTCCCTGTCGTGTTTAACGACTTCGACGCTTCCGCCTCAGCCACAGAGCCCGAAAGTAATGGGACATTCACGCGTGCATCTTCTCAGCCACCGTCTGCCGCCCCGGTCTCGTCGATACCATCCATGGGTATGAGCTTACGTGAGGTGAACCCGAACTTAACGACCGGCTCAACTTTGTTTGATCCCGGTGCCAGCACCATGTCGCTGAAGGGTAATGGTGGCAAAGATGGCAGCCACCTCGGCCTTATGGCTGCCAGCATTGAAGGCGCCAAGAACGCCGGGGCCACCAAGGGGTCCTCCAACGGCTCTGGTCACGGCCACACTCTGCCGACCTACCGTCGGAGAAGCCTGCGCCAGAACCACGGCCCACCGCCGGCGAAGCAAGCCAAGACGCGGACATCGGTAATGACCTTCGAAGGCCGCGAGAACGTGCCGCCGGCAGCGTTTTCGCAGAGCCTGTCACGGCGTCGGAGCCCGCGGCTGAACTAGATAGGAGAGGATACCACGAACGCAGGGCATAAGAAAAGAATGCCGGGATAGGTTTGTTGGTTGCAGTGTATGGCCTTTGTTTTTGAAAAATGGCCTTGGTTGTTGTACTCTTTTTTTGTGTATAAAATTTGTGACAGCAGTGGCGTTTATGGTTATCGAATTGGAAATACCTTGGCGGCGGGATTCTTAAGAAAATGAACAGGTCGGGCGTTCATGAGAAATAAATGTTTTCTGTTTCAATAATGTGTATTTCCGTTAATGATTACATCGATTTGGACTTGGTACACTTTTGACAAAGAAAATGACAGGAATACAGCGCATAATAGTTGTAGTGTTTGTTGATTTATTTTTTGTTTATTTTTTTGTAAAACAACATATAAATTGACATAGAAACTTCAAAGGTATCAAATAAAAAATTACACAACTATTCCACGATTTCAATCTTAACGACATGACGATTATGCAGCATAAAAGTTGAGGATGTCCAATCTCATTTCTGTCTGATACTGCTCGACTCTTTCCTGATTGAATGGCCGCCAGCCCACGCTTAATACCACCCGTACGATCTAATTTCTTTCCTAATTTCCCTATTTCCCTAAAACTGCCTCTCTATGTGTAGAGCTCATCCGTCAGCGAGTTGAGCGTGAGACCCTCCTTGGCCAGGTCCTTGACCTCGATCAAGAAGTTGAGCGGCATCTCAACCAGGTTGCCGCGCACCTCGGCCAGGCGCTCCTTAACAGCGACGACACCGCCAGGATAGCTGGGAACGACATGGCCGTAGTCGACCTTGGTCGGCGGTGTGGACGGTGATGGGGTGTTCGGAGCATCGTGCCCATCTTGGGATGGATGCAACGCGGCCACTGCTTTGTCCTGTTCCTTCTTGTCTTTGTTCTTGCGCTTGGCGCTCTCATCCTCTTTCGCACCGGGCATCTTAAAGTACTGTGAAAAATACGAGTCGTACTGGTCCCAGTTGCGGACGCGGTCCGAGGGCACGCAGTGGAAGACGTCGTCAAAGACGGCGGTGTTGGTGGCGGCAGTCGTCTGCCAGAGACGCGTAAAGTTGGCGCTCAGAGGGTCCGATACCAGTCGGTCGGCCGGGCTGTCCCAGTCATACGCGTTTGGCGCCACGGTAATGGGCGAGAAGTTCTGCGTGGGCTGGTCCCAGCGCTGGTCAGGCAGCAGGCCAATGTGCTTGCGGAACAGATGGCGGCGCAGGCTGGCCGGGAAGGCACCCACGACATACGGGTTGCCGCCCATGGTGGTGTGGACGGGGTGCTCTGGGTCTTCGATGACGACGGCGATTTCCGAGTCGTGCGAGCCGAGTTGCGAGCGGTCATTGAGATTGGCGCTGCCGCAGATGACGAGACGGTCGTCGGCGATGAGCACCTTGGTGTGGATGTACAGCTCCTCGCTTACGAACGCCGCAAGCTCAGCATCACCGCCGTCCCCAGTGAGGCCCGGCGCGCCCTCGCCCATCCATCCCCGCTTTGTCAGATCTGGGCCACCGTCCATGTACGAGGCCGAGACGGTGTCCGCGGTCTTGAGCAGGTCCGGCTGATCGCGAGTGATGTCGGCAGCACCGGCCTGGTAGCGACGGTAGCTGTCACCAAGCTCGCTGTGGACCTTGCCCCCTTCGCGGCTGTAGCCGTCGTACCCAGATTCGACGGCATCGTCAAACTCGCGGCGCGCGTCCTCGTATGCGACGCCACTGGCCTTTTCGGCACGGCCCATGAGCGGCGTAGTATTGATACGATCGTAGTTGCGCAGGTTGTAGAAGCGCAGGTAGTGTGCAGGATCGGAGACGCCAGCGGCGATCAGTGCGCCGTAGATGCTGTTCTTACCACGGTTGATGCTGTTGTATTGGTACTCCATAATAGCACGCGTGCCGAGAGCGCCGTCGGCGTGCAAGTCGCCGGCAAAGCCGGGCACGGCAGGGATGCAGACAACCATGCCAAATTTGTCACCCTGTTCGTGCGCGCGCACGATGCGTTGGACAATGGCGCGGCCGATCTTGTTGCTGACGGGGTGCTGGTCGTCGCTGGTGGCGGTAATGAAGAACTGGTTCTCAATGTAGACAAAGTGCTCGGCGTTCAGGATGGCGGATATGTAGGCATTGGCAATGGAGTGCTCGATCTTGTGGCCCGCAGACCACTGGCAGCAGCTGCGAGTGAGCTGGATGTGCACACCGCCCAGGTCACCACTGCCGAAAGCCGGACCATGGCCCTGGCCGTAACTTTGGTGATGGCTACCGTCCCGGGACCGCTCTTCACCACCTTCTTCACCGTCGCTCTCGCCTAACATACGGCTCATGCCATGGTGCAAATGACGCTGGATGCCGCCAACAAAGCGCTGACCGCCTGCATAGATGGACTCGCCTGTGTCACGCAGGCTGTCGGGAACATGGTGTAACTTCAACGGAAACGGTATTTTCTCATAGCCCTCGTTGCGAGAGACGTACTTGCCGTTGAAGATGTAGTTCCTATAACGGTGAGGAGGTGGTTAACATAATTTCAGAAAGGGAAGTTCAAGGCCAACAGCGACGTACCATCTGTCGATGAAGTGTGTGACGAGGCTGTTTACGATGTGACCAGATAGACTGATGCTGATGTCGGACCAGCCCATACGGGAACTCTTCGTACGGTCGACTGGAAGCGTTAATAAAGAAAACGGCGATCAAAGGGGGGAGTGAGGGGATGAGGGGGGGGGGGAATGTGGAATTCGAGGCACTAACGTTTGTTATTCTCCCATTTGTCGACGTCCTCAAAATCGTAGACGCGTGCATTGTTGTAGTCCTGGCCCGGGAAGAGGATATCGTCCAAGTTCTCGGGGTGGGCATCGGCAATGGGGTGACCTAATGGTTGGCATCGTCTTTCCATTGTCTCTCACTTTCCCTCGTGCCTTTATGTCTCACATGATCCACCCGTGGTCACACATCGACTTACTATTGGTGTCCCAGCGTCCAAAACCTGCGATGTTAGTGCATGTAAGATAAATGTCGACCGAACCCCTTGTTCGACTTCACGTACACAAATCAAGGCCGCCCATAAAGGCAATGTGGCCATCGATGACGCACAGCTTCTCGTGGTGCGCCCAGTACAGGACCACGTCGTCGGAGGTGCCGTAGAGCGTCTTGAGCGCGTCTTTTCCAAGCTTACTAAGGTCGAAAGTACGCAGGTTCATGTTCTTGAAAGCAGACTCAAAATCGGCCTGAAAGTCGTGGCCGCTCGGTAGATGGTCCGGGTGCCGGAAGACGCGAATGTTGGGATGCAGGGCTTCGAGGGCATGCTTGGTGTGCTGGCATGGCAGAAGTCAGAGTCAGTAACAGCCACTTTTTGATATGAATACAGTGAAAATTAGTTGGAAGGCACTGAAATATACCTCTGAGTTCACTGGGTGATGTTAGCAAAGACGAGTTTCCGGATGCTCGTGTAAACGTCACAGGAACACTTACACGTCAGGGCCTGCGGCACCTCCTTGTACACAATGACACGGATTTGCACACCGCGCTCGGCAGCCGCTTTGAGCATCCGGTCGAGGCGGTACTGCTCGTTGCTCGACGGCGGGCGGCGTAGGTATAGCTCGGGGCTCAACCACCAATCGAGAATGTAGATGGTCTCGCGGGCCTGCGCGAGAGCCTCGGACACGGCCCAAAAGTACGAGCAGCCATCGACGTACCACTTGGCGCGACCCGTGGTCTGCGGCGCAAAGGACTGGAAGCGGTTGCCGTTATGCTCGTCCGAGTGCGACTCGGCACAGTCGTAGCCATGGTGTGTGTGCGAGTGGTGCTCGCCGCCATGAAACAGGCCGTCGATGCCGCTTTCGACCTTGTGGAAGATGTTTTGCATGGTGATGTCCTTGCTGTTCGACGTATTTCCGAACCCTTGTGTTTCTCTTCCGTCTTGTTCTGGGAAGGTTAGCATTAAGGACGACATAGAAAAGTAAACAAGATAAAAACCAACCCCTCTAAACTCGGGATCCTGGCGTAGTGCCACGCGGCTTTTTTTCTTACAAGTAATTCCTCTTCGTCGCGGGGCGCTCTGCGACGGCTGAATCTGTTATTGAGCTGAGTGGGAGCTGACGGCGGATGATGGCGGAGCTACTTAGGTTTCGACGTTGCTGTGTTGAGGATAGCGCAGCCGTGTGGGAGGGGCAACATGGAAACGGACCCTGAAAAGGAAGTTGGAAAAAAGGACGAGAGAGTGTAAAGACGAACAAAAAATAAAACAAGAAAACAAGAAACAAGAAAACGAAAGGAGCTTCACAGGACAGACAGGACAATCGTAGAAGAGCAAAAGAAAAAAGGCAACGCACATGGCATCTCACCCCCTCTGCGCTCTTCCCCACTGACCCCAACATGTGCCTGGCCGTGCTTAGCTGGTCAACTGACAAGCTCGAAAGGTCGTATTTAAGGTCGCCTGGTAAGGCTGGCGATTGGACTGCACGCTATTTGCTCGCATTCGGGGCATCACCCGCCACTAACTGGAGGCACATGGCGAGTACTTTCTAAAGACTCACAAGCCATGGCCAGCCTAAACAACAGACAAACGATTAGCGAACGTCAAACATGCCACGGCAAGCAAGGCGTTGAGGAACGCATGATGATGATGCGATGCACGGCCGTGGCGAAGCGCCGCAGGATTGAGGCCAAGAGGTAGGAGACGTTCCTGCAGGGTGCCGTTTGATGCAGGGTGGACTCTTGCGAGACAGTGAGACGGCGAGGTGGTCAACCGTGTCGCTTTGTTCGTACTGAGGAGGCAGAAAGCATCAGATGATGGAAGAGAGCTCCAAGACTTCAAAGTGACTTCAAGTGAGTTGATGATTCTTTGCAGCGACAACGCTGACACGTCGCAGGCGCCACTTTGGCGACCGCCAGATCAGATGCAGGGGCACAGGTCAACATGCATGAAATATGAAATGCAAGTGGCGCGGAGTTACAAACGTTTCGAGATTTGTACAGCTTTGGTGTTGCTGAAAGCTATCGCCAAAAGCTGTTTCTTTTTTTTCTTTCTTTTTTTATGTTTTTTGTGTACCTGGACCTAATATGTAATTACACAAGATTCCAGTTGACATCTAGGTACTGTAATAGGTAAGAGGCCTTTGTGACTTCAAAACAAGCAACTGCTAACGACGTGCGCCTGCTCAGATCACTTGGCGATGACAGTCGCGCCTTCCTCCGTCATGCTCAGTGGTGTGTGCACGTGAGTACCGTACGTCAGTGGGGTGGGACTGCAAACAAAGCCAGCCAGCAGCGAGGGTTTTTAGCGCCTAGGATCCGCCGCGGCGACAACAAAGCTCGTGCCTTTGTCTCTTCATTGTCTTGTCGCGACGACTGTTTGTCCTCAAAGCAACCGTTCTAACAAACTGCATCACAACGTGCATACGTCTCTTGCGACTCGACGACAGAATGACGCTTTCGTGCTCCAGCTTATCACCAATTGAACTGTTCTAAACATCCTGACGTTCCATTGACTCGCGTCCTGAACCATTGACACCACGCGATCGCGACACGAGAAGAGACTTAACGGCACTCGGTCGCCCATTGGCCTTTCCTACACACTCACCCACAGCATACTGCCCATGATGGCCCCGTCCAACTCGTTGGTCGACCCGGCCATCACCGGCTCTGAGGCCTCCACGGCCATGCATTCCCCACACCCGCACGGCGCACAAGACCGCGACGCAACAGAAGACGCCGCCTCCTCGTCAGAAGCGGACGATGCATTGTTCGTGTCGCCGGCCAATGCATCGAACTCGGCCTCCGCGTACGCAGCGTCGGCTGCCGCGTCCGTCGCTGCGGCGGCGGCGGCGGCTGCGGCTAACACCCCCGGCGCACATCACCACGTCTCGACCGCGTCCCCGACCGCATCTCCAGCACCAGCCGCGCCTCTGGGCGGCGCCTCTGCCTCTCCGAGACCGTCGCCAGCCGCATCGGCAGCCTCCCATGTGGCCTCGCCTGATGCAGCCTCCATACCCGCGGCGCATGTCCAAAAGTACAACCCTGCCGTCCACAGCCACCTCGTCCTCTACCTCGCTGCCCTCCACGGCGCACGCATCACATCCGACAACCTGTCCGGCAGCTTTGCGCCGCCTTTGAACCACGAGAAGCTGCTTGACTGGTGGCGCGACCGGCTGACCACCTCGGCCGTCTTTTTGCTGCTGCGGTCGTCGCCCGTGTCGTCTTCGACGGTAGCACCAGCCAAAGCGGCCGGACCGGACCTGGTGGGCGTCATCATGCTGCGCAGCCACCCGGCCGAGACGAGCCCGCACGTGGCGTCGGTGGAGCTGCTGCTGGTGAATCTGCAGTACCGGCAACTGGGCGGCGAGCGGCAGCTGCTGCAGACGGTCGAGCGGCAGGCCCTGCTGGAGGGGCGGACGCTGCTGACCGCCGAGGCCGAGAGCAAGTCAAACACGGCATCCATGTACTCGGCGCTGGGCTTCACGGAAGTGGGCCAGATTCCGGGGATGGTGCTGCGGCCGTCGACGGGCGAGAAGCGGGCACAGTCCATCTTTTACAAGGACCTGTTACGAGCCTACCAGCAAGAGCAGGGCCAATCATAATCTCCTCGGGCTGGGTCTGGAATTTGCAAAGTAGTGGCTTGGACAGTTTTTTTTTGTGCATTTTTTTATTATTATTGTGATGGTAGTTTTAAATATTTTCGCCCGGGCAAGTACGGAGGAGTTTTGAATATCATCTTGGTTACGGGAGTATATCCTCTTTAAAATGCGATGGCTGCGGATAATAACAAAAGCATTTTTATTACAAGAACGTATAAAGTACAATCAAAATCCAATAAACGTCAGCCAGCTCAGTTATATAGCAAAGGTAAACACCACCGAAGCGCTGTATACCACATCAATGCTTTTCGGTTGTTACTTTTGCCAGGGTCAAAAAAAAAGACGAGCCTATTCCCCTTTTCCCAACGCCACACAATTGTATCTCTATCGTTCGGTTTTTGTTATACCACCACTTCCTCGAGCAGACGTGCTCCGACCAATACATGACATGCAAGCCGCCCACGGCCCATTCTCCTTTTTGTTGGCCAACAATCTACTCCTCGTCATCGTCCACCTCCTCGACTTGTGGTGACTTATAGGCTGTCCGTTGCGCCGGTGCCGCGTTGATCTGGGTGTCGGTGCCAGTCGTCGTGGCCGTGGCCGGCGCCGGCTGACCGGTCGTACCGGCAAAGTGGGCCTGGCCGGCGCTCGCCGAACTCGCCTTGTTGGCCTTCTTCTTCTTCTTCGGGTTGGGCTGTGATTGTTAGTAGATTTCCAGGACGGGAGAAGAAGGGCACAATAACGGTGAGAGAGAGAAAAAAACAAACAAAGAGGGGGGACCAGAAAAAAAAAAAAAACTCTCCAAAACTCACATCATGCCATGCCCATACGGGGCGGAAACTGTCCATGAAAGAAACGTCCTCCCATAGGTTCGGGTACAGCCACAGGCCGGGCGGCAGCACAAAGTAGGTGATGCAGAACAAAATCACACGGAAGATGGCCATCAAGAAGAACAGGCCCAGCAGGCCGAGGAAGCCCCAGCTCAGGTAGTAGACGCCTTGGCGCATGCGCAGCGGCCACAGCGGGTACAGCACGACGGCAAAGATGGCCAGCAGTGCCAGGCCGGCGTAGACCTTGCGCATCACCTGCGAGCCCTCATAGAGCCACACGTAGTACATGTCGTCGCCCGCGTCCTGCTGCCGCTCAATGTTCACAGTCCACTGGCCCTTGACACGCTTCACCTTCTTCTTCTTCTTTTCGTCGGCGCCGTGGTTGTGGCCCTCGTGCTCGTCGGCCGCCTTGTTGACGCGCAGCGCCAGCATCGACAGCGGAAGCAGCTTGAACGTGTTCTCGAGCGACGCACGATCCGTAACCTCGGGCAGACCGGGTGTCTTCTTGCGCGCCTTTTCGTAGGCCGGCGACTGGATAGCGCGCAGCGCGCGCTTCACGCGGAACATTTCTTTGCGCTCGCCGTTGAGGATGACGGTGCGCGGCTTGAGGTCCTGGCTGCGCAAGAAGTTGGCCAGCGCAATGGCTACAGGGTTCGGCGGGCCGGGCTGGATAGGTTGGGGCTGCTGCTGCTGCTGCTGCTGCTGCAGCTGTGGCGGCGGGTGGTTATGGTTGTGGTGGTCGTGGCCATCGTGGTTGTGGCCATCTTCATTCGGCTCGCCGCCGCCGCCTTGTTGCTGCTGCTGTGCCCGTTGGGCCGCTGCTTGCTGCATAGCCATTTGCTGACGCGCCTTTTGCTGCAGCTGCTGGATGAACTCGGGAACGGTCATGCCTGCTTTTTGGGCGTCGATGGCAAGCTGCCGTTGCATGGCCTGGATCTGTTCCGGCGAGGGCATGTTGGGCGGCATCTGCCCGGGCTGCATCATCGGTGGTTGCTGCATCGCGGATGTGTCTGGGGGACGGCGTGTGTGAAGAAGGAGAGCGAGGAGGGATGGAAGACGTCGAGTTTGTCGGGGAGCTCTGTGAGGCTGTCGAAAGCTGTCGAGAGTGGCCGAGAAGCCGGAAATCGACGGAACCAGGAGAAGGGAGCCACGAGACGAAAACGAGGAGATCGGTAAAAAGACACTGCCAAATGCGACAAAAACCAGAACGTGCCTGGTCGGGGTTGTCGATGCAAATAGAAACGATAGACCTCCGTGCTTGTGTTTGGGGAGAAAAACGATAGTTTAGAGTTCGGAGAGAGCACGCTGTTCAATTCCAATAAAAACACTTTACCGCTTTGTAGCACTGTCAAGGGAACGTGTCTTCAAAGGGAGCTTAAACAAGGGGTTGCACCTGCCGCGTTGGGCGGGTCCTTTGGGCCGCGGGTAGCGGATTGTCCGGACCGGTTTTGGCAAGCTGCTGCACGTACAGTTCTATCTGTTTATTGTACTGTATTTTAACACTGTATGGCATTCCGTATCGCGGGGCGGCTTAGGATGGATAAGATAGGGCGAGGGGCACACTAACTGTGGTACAAAGAGATATGTGCAGACTGGGAGGAGAGGAATGTACCTTTTGAGCCGTATGCTGCCCAGTCTAAAAAAGTTCTGTAAGTCGCTTCTTATCGGCGATGGAAGGACCGCGTCGGGGCCATTTTTTTTTCTTCGTCGCTTTTCCTTTGGGAACAGTCACCCGAACGTCGTCACGATTGCGAAGCATCCGACCGCCCGTACACTTGACTGTTTTGCTGAAACTCACAAAGGACCGAAAAATGACTGCTACTGCTATTACCGAGGCCGAGGCGCCGCACAACAAGTTCGACGTAAGTGGCCTTTGCCTCTGTTTTTTTCTTTGCACCTTTTTGTTATCAGCGTCCGTCTACTGCTGGTCTACGACGTCTCTGTGCTGCCCACCGATATCGTGATCGATCAATGCTAGACCATGGGGTCGGAGTCACAGCGGAGGTGGCCGAATCTCGAGTCTTAACAGACAATGCCGACAATTACCTCCTACGAGCCACGCTGTGTCGAGAACGAGACCTGCCTTCTTTCTACGACGCAACCGTTCAGCTACACGGAAGAATGAGCACGAGACATGCCATACAGATAATACAGAGGGTGGAAGCGTGTCCCTTTCACCGATATCGTAGCTAATATGTTTGACACAGACCATCCTGGTGCTCGACTTCGGCAGCCAGACCAGCCACCTGATCCTGCGCCGTCTGCGTGGCCTCAATGTCTACGCCGAGATGCTTCCGTGCACGACGAAGCTGGCCGATCTGCCCTTCAAGCCCAAGGGCATTATCCTGTCTGGAGGTGAGGTTTTCGTAGGTGACGACGGGTTTCAACAGACTACGGAATAGTTGCTAACGTTAACAGGTCCCTCTTCGGTCTACGACGAAGGCTCGCCCCGTAAGGCGTCCCCAACATTCGCATACTTTTGTTTGATCGCGATCCGAGCCCCGTACTGACCATGTAGACGTCGACTCTGCCATCTTTGACCTTGGCGTCCCAATCCTGTACGTTGCCAAATGATAACCTTTACAAATATCTATCCATGCTGGACTCTTTACTAACAGGATGCAGGGGCATTTGGTAGGACTGCCTCCCATTGTACGACCGACGTCGCCTCGACATGGAACTGACAGGTGCCTCTAGCTACGGCTGCCAGGAGCTCGCATGGCAGATCAACTCGGCCAACGTTGCCCGCGGCGAGGCGCGCGAGTACGGCCACGCCGACGTGACAATCCACAAGGTCGACGGCCACGTCGACCGTCTCTTTGCTGGCCTCGGCGAGACCATGCACGCCTACATGTCCCACTTTGACAAGCTCGTGTCGCTGCCCGAGGGCTTTGTCATTGTCGCCAGCACCTCCAACTCGGAGTTTGCCGGCATCGCCCACAAGGACAAGGCCATCTTTGGTGTCCAGTTCCACCCGGAGCTCGAGCACACGCCCCGCGGCAGCGAGCTGCTGCGCAACTTTAGCGTCGACATTTGCGGCGCCAACCCCAGCTGGGTCATGGGCGACTTTGTCGAGCAGGAGATTGCGCGCATCCGTCACCTGGTGGGCGACCGTGCGCAGGTGATTGGCGCCGTGTCGGGCGGCGTGGACAGCACCGTGGCGGCCAAGCTGATGAAGGAGGCGATTGGTGACCGCTTCCACGCGGTGCTGGTGGACAATGGCCTGATGCGGCTCAACGAGTGCCAGCAGGTCAAGGCGACGCTGGGCGAGCACCTGGGCATCAACCTGACCGTCGTGGACGCGGCGGACCTGTTCCTGGGCCGTCTGGCGGGTGTCCTGGAGCCCGAGAAGAAGCGCAAGATCATTGGATCGACCTGTAGGTTCATGGGTCCGACGGCATTCGTCCGGTCGACACGTATGAAAAACTAACGAGTCAGTCATCGACCTGTTCGAGAAGGAAGCCGAGCGCATTGAGAAGGAGGCCGAAAACACCCCCAACGCCGGAAAGGTGGAGTGGTTCCTTCAAGGAACGGTAAGGACGAGCCTTTTGTTTCCTTTCGTGTGCTGATCTGTCGCTAATTGGAGTCTAGCTGTATCCTGATGTGTATGTTTCGTGTCCAAGCCAGCAAGGCACCGTATGTCTTGAGAAGGCACAAAATTCAAAACTAACCGTTGTGCAGCATCGAGTCCCTCAGCTTCAAGGGCCCTTCGGCGACGATCAAGAGTGAGCAACATGTCGGAAGCGGAAGGGGATATTCAAACGAGTGAAAGAAGTACTGCTAACAAGACAAACAGCTCACCACAATGTCGGTGGCCTACCTGAGGTATGTTGTCTTCGTTTTTTCACTTCTCTACATATCCATATACTAACTTGTTTGTAGCGCATGATGAACGGCGTAAGTTGTGACTATGTCTGCATGTGACAATTATAATGCTTACGACGACTGACACACCTCTGCCTTTACAGCAAGGCCTTCGTGTAAGTGGCTTCCGTGCTGGAGTGATGCGAATGGTCTTCGCCCATACTAACAACACCAGCTCCTTGAGCCCCTTCGCCTGCTCTTCAAGGACGAGGTCCGCGCCATCGGCCGCACGCTTAATATCCACAATGATCTGATCATGCGTCACCCGTTCCCCGGCCCGGGCATTGGCATCCGCATTCTGGGCGAGGTGACGCCCGAGCGCGTCGAGGTTGCGCGCAAGGCCGACAACATCTACATTAGCATGATCAAGGAGGCCGGCATCTACGACAAGATGTCGCAGGCCTACGCCGGTGTCGACACCAACAAGGGTATGTCCTTCCATACGGCATTCTTTCTTACGATAAAACGACGATGCCAAGCTAACAATACAGCCGTCGGTGTCATGGGCGACACGCGTGTCTACGGCTACATTATCATGTACGTTCTCTTCGCGACCCACCACTCGAGTCAAACACTGCTAACATACCGCAGCCTCCGCGCCGTGACGACGAGCGACTTTATGAGCGCCGAGGCGTTCGAGTTCCCTTGGGCATTGCTGCAGAAGATTGCCCGCACGATTGTCAACAGCGTGGACGGCGTCTCTCGCGTGACCTATGACCTGTATGCCCCGTTTCCCCTCACGTCTTGTTTGTGGTTAGTAAGACAACTAAAGCTAACCCATCTACAGGACCTCCAAGCCTCCTGGCACCATTGAGCTGGAGTAACCGGAGTAGGCACGACACGAGTGCGGTGAGAAAGGAGTCTGGGAGTTGTTTTCTATTATTCCAAGCACATTATCCGAGCGTTTGCGGACGGAAAAAGGAGCTCTCATAAACAAAAGACTATTCTATCATATCCTCTATATAGAGTTTGCTTAGAGAAGCCGGTTTTTGTATTTGTTTTTTCTTCTTCGTTTTTTTTATCTTCTTGGCTTTCGTTTTCTTGTATAGAATAAAATACCAATAGAAGAGGGTTCAGAACCAGGTCATGTCAGTTTTTTTTTCCCAGCGGTTCCCGGGATTCATAGTAAAATGGTTACATTGTCTCGTCTCCTTGCGGTCAAGTGAGGGCAACTCGTGTCAACTCGCCAAGTCATCTAGTCACATATGCCGCAGACGTCAGATCATGCACGGCACAGGCCAGGTGGCAGACGAGCTGTCTGAGGACGTTGTTGGCAGGCGCGGTTGGCATTTTGTCACAGAACCAAGACGACGAAAAACCGATGCCTGCTGGCCTGTCGTCTTGCTGTTCCGGGACCCTTGTTGTCGATCCGCCCGTTTCGATCCATTCTGCCATTTGCAGCATTGCTGCCCGAGGCAGCCCAGCCCAACGACTCTGTGCTAGCTTGTTAGTCTCTTCCCAGAACCAGGGAACGCGTCCTGACTGGCTGCTGCAGGGGCTCGAGGGCCGCCAAGGGCAAATTGGTGTGTCGCAGGTGCAGACTGTCACCAGCCAGTTATGGGCGAGAACGCAGGGATCTCGTCAGATGAGGCTGCCCCGTCGGCAGCTCGGGCGACCTGCGTTTTCCTTGACGGGGCTCCACTGTCCCACTAACACAGAGAAAGAATGACAACCTCTTGTGAGGTTTGCGGCCGTCGACCTCGCTTTCTATCTCTTATTCTGTCTAGGTAATCCCGCCGTGCCGCGCTCGGCTGCAAGTCATCTGTGGCTTATCGACTGTTGGCTTTTGTACGAGCATCTTGCCAAAAGATTATTGTCCTTTGTATGGAGTTGTCATTGTCCATCTGTGCTGTCAACTTCCCAACTGAGCTGATTTTTCATCAACTATAGTAACATACCTGTTTTGATGAATTTTCAGCCTATGACTACGAATCCTGTCATCTTTACTTTTCTCGCCTCTTCTGCCTTCCTTTTCGGACCCTTTCTTTCTTCGCCTTCTTCCTATCCCGTTCTTCTCTTGTCTTCGCCTGGCACTAAAGCGTCTCCAAACACATTTTTTATTTATTTACTTATTTTCAGCTTCGTCTCGCTGCACTCCGAGCACGCCCATGTGAGAACTATCTGAGCATCCCGGTAAATCTGACCTGCCCCTCGGATTGCGCTGTAGATTGTTTACGATCTGCTTGCGCTGCATGAAGGGGGAGTGGAGAGTCGTGTGTCCTTTATCTGTCGTTTTCTTTGTCCATCTGTATTCTTTTTGTGCCGGTCGTATTCGTCTCGAACAAATCACAGCCTGCATCGCGACTTTTGTCAGGCACGCTAGCAAACTAGCCAAATCGCACAGCCGTTTTTTGTTCCTTCTCCGTTTTCTATTCCCCACGAGCTGACCTCACTTCCTTTTTGCTTCTCACCGCCCTTTTAAGGTGAGCCCGGCTGAGGACGACAGGCACCAACATTTTCTAGTCAGATCGGCTGCTAGCCAGTCAGCTTTCAAAGAAGGCACATCCATATGTTGGGCTGTGCTCTTGGAATATTGTGATCTGTTTCCGGCGTATTTTGGCGTGTGTTCGACGCGGTTCGTCTTGCTTGGTCGTAGATTCGGGCATAAACTAAAACGTGGGATCGCACGGGGACATAACAAATCAAACGGAAAGGAACGTCCGGTGATGGGCATCGTGACAACAAAACTAAAAGGGTGATGAAGGCTCACAATCGGGACAGATGACAAAGTAGGGGGCGAGATTCGAAGCCGGCAGTTCCATGGCACCAGAGGAGTCGTTCGTCAGGCTCTGCCTTTTTTTTCTTGCTTTTATTAGTTTTTCAACCGCAGCTTTTCATGACCCGTCTCTGGAATATTATTGGCTGCCTCGCGCCTCTTCCTTCCCCCTTGCTTCTATTTATTGCCTCGTTTGTCAATCTTATCAGCTCTTTTACGATTGATTTTGATTCTGCCGGCTTTATTTTCATGATTGTTGTCCATATTAGCTGATCTGCTTTTGAAATATCAGCTAGGCTGACACTATTTTTATTTCTGATGGGCGGACCTTGTGTTTGGTTTCCCGCCGTTTTGCCTTCACCTATCCCGTTCGGCGCGTCGTTTGATTATCGGTGACGTACCTCGCAGGTTTGGCAGCCGACTCTACATGTATTTCTACGTGATGCGGCCTCTTCAGCCCTGCATCGCCCCCAATTTCAACAATTGTCCCCGATCTACTCTCCCTCCCCTCTTGGTAGCTCTCGGCGGGTTCCTTGCATGTGAGCCGTGTGGTCCACCCTGGGCCCCTCTTGTAACTTGGCCTGTTCGTATGGCCTTCCATTTGCCTCACATTTGCCACGAATGACCACTCCTAGTTCAATTACGTTCACCCACTCATGTTTCCCTTGTCGATTGCCTCTTCCTATTGCCCTGTTTGTGTGACGAACGCTTCTGCTTCCCAAGGCCGCTCACCAACAGGGGTTCGGGGGGGATGTTTTCTTATTCTGGTCATGCACTTGCCCTTGTATGGAAACTACTGCAAGTCGGACACCTGCAGCGAGGACGACAATATGGAAATACTTCTCGTCCACGCGTCCGCCTTGTCGTTTCCTTCTTCTCTCTTTCTTTTCCTTTTTTTAATGTTTTTTTGTCTCATTTCTTTCCCAACAATAAGCTCAGTCCTAGATAGGAAATCAATAGGAAAAAATACTGCCAAAAGATGCAATAAATGTGACGAACGAAATGGTCCCCGCACGATGCGGCCACCCGGAACGGCCACGCAGCGCTTAGGGGCTTGCTTCCAAAGGTCCCATCAAGCCTGACCCGGCCGCACCTGGCCGGCCTTGCTGTCCCTTTTATTTCTTTCTCCCTTTTTCTCCAAACGTTGCAATTCATATCCGTTGGTGTGATGGCCGGTCTTGTCACGGAACTAACGACTGATAAACCTGTTCACAGGGTGCGACCCACCACGTAAACATTCTCACAATTTCGTGTACCCGCGCACTATGCGCCCACGCGACCCTTTCCCCATGTCCCATTTCTCACAAAGCCGTGTCACAGAAAATAATAATAGTAATAATCATATGAAAGGAGGCCAATCCAAAATAAATAAATAAAATTGTTAAAATGGTGTGTACACAAGACAAAAAAGAAAAGGGAAAGCATATGATGGGTTCGGGTTGCCCGCCTCTCCTTCCCAACGCCGAGAGGGCTGCTACATCGCCACCTCTTCCACTGTCTCTATCATTCCGGAGCAAGATGTCATGTGTTAGAAAAAAGTAAAACAGAAAGACGAACACTGATAGGACCGCCGTTGGCAAAGGCTGGGAGCACCAGGCAGACGCAATATCTGTTCGTGTGGGTGCACAGCAGTGCTGGTGGTCTTTCAGCGAGTCGTTTTGTTATGTGACCGTGCCCTCTCTTTGCCCTGCTTTTTTGCATTTTCGTTTGACATCTGACATTTCACTTGTGTTGATGGCCCTCTGCTCTCTCAAACCATCGCCAATTAACATGAATCAAAAGGAACCGGAGCGATAGCATCGCCGACTAACACTGCACAGGCCCTTAACAGGCCCTTAACAGGTCCTCACAGGCTCGCAATGCTATTTTTGGCGAGACAGCACTACCTCTAAATTCTTCGAGCATAAGCCTCCGTAAATCTTCCGTGTTTTCTTTTTCGCCGTTTTTAAGAATATGTTTTGGCTTCTTTCACGACCGCTGCCTCGCCTTCGCTGCTTCCCTGATTTTGTCTCCACTTCCTTTCTGGGCTTGTCGCCCGCGCTTTCTCCAGCAGCGGCAGGCATAGCCTGCCTAACTGAGACATGCAGCCCTCTCAGAGCCGTTGCGCGCCGCACACGACTGGTCAACAGGGCAGGACACCGCCCTTGGCTGTGCGCGAAGTGGAGGGGGACGAGGCAAGAGCGATGGACCAGAACTGACGACCGTCAGTTGCTGTTTCCTTAACGAACACCTGTGGATGATTCCCTGGTCGTGCCTGCCTCGTAAAATTCACCTCATTGTATTCCGAAAACCGAAACAACGAGGCAGCGTTGTCGCACCTTCCGTGGCGCCTGTCCTCACCCCCCTCCCCTCCTTCCATCCAGCCACTGGCGCATTTCGAATCGAGCCAATCTCTAAGCGCCGACTGGCCGACGACCTCTCACAACCTCACTTTGTTTTTCTCTCACACAACCGTCCTCGGCGTTCGTCTTTCTTACACACCCACGCTTCGACACGCGCCAGCACATTCACACACCCCTGTTTGGGCCTATCAGCGGCCAGAAGCTCCAGATGCTTCATGAATCTCATTCTATTATTCATTCTTTGCCATGTTCTTCACTCACTTCGTCATTCTGTTTTTTTTTTATTGCCCTCGTACGTCGTACTTTATTTCTTCCCTTGTTTGTTCCCCTTTGTCGTCTGGGGACTCTTGCACGCGGCTCTGCGACAGCAAACACCCCCTTGGTAGTTGCTTTTGGCCCCGTTGTAGAACTGTTTACGAAAAACAAGAAGAACCACGCGGCAGGCCAAGAAAGGAAAATATTCGAGTAATTCGCCGTCCATTCTTCGTCGCATCCCTTTACTTGCACCCCTCGTATCCACCGCCAGCCCAAACCCATCCCACCACGTCGCCCGCCTCCACCCCGTTCGGTAGGATGGAAGATGGCTGCAGGCGAAGCGATGGGCCATGCCGCATGACGAAAATGGAGATGAGTGAGGAAATCAGAGTTTAAGAGGATTAAAAAAAGTTCATGGGAGCAAAGAGAGAGTCGTGCTTTTACGGTTTACGACATGCTCTATAGTGTCAAGCTACGAAACAAGAAAGCAGGATACGGCGCCAGGCCGTCTCGTCGGGTTTCGTTTGTCGTTCAATACTTTTGTACCTCGTACCTTATTGTTCTGCTTTAACTCTTTTTATACTCCTTTCAACCTGCCCCTGTCATTCGTCTTTAACCTCCTCTCATCTTGATATTCTCTCTCCGCCTCTCGTTTCTTTCTTTCTCTCCCTCTCCCTCACCTCTCACTTATCATCTCGAGCCTGTTCCCCACAAAGCCCATGCTTTGTTTCATCATTTCACGAACGGCGACTACTCAGGAACAACAACACGCTATTTGTTTGGAAATAATCTGGCAATCCGCTCTTCATCTACTCTTTCCTCGTGTCTTCTGATTTTCCGTTGTTTTCTCGTTCGTCTACATTTTCCTGGGAAACCTTTTTTGCCTCTAATCTCTTTCTTCCTATTTTTATTATCCTTTATACCCTTCTTACCGCATCTTTGTTTTTCTTTACCTTACGCTCTGCTCTCTTTCTTTTGCAACTCATTGGGACGGTGCCGCTGGTCGTCGCCTCTCTTTGCATTCCCTCGCCGGCTGTTGGTTTCTCTTTGTTGATTTTATTGTCTCCATATTTGGCGTACTTTGCTTCCGCATTTCTATTTTCTATTTCCCCTTTCCAGTTGTCTCTTATTCATCTTTCCTATTTTTGTTCATTCTCACTTCAGCCTGTCTCTTCCGCTCTATTTCTTTTCTCATAAACCCGCACATCTCGCAAGCCGCTCATCCTCCCTCGTCTTACTTCACCCTCCCCCTACTTATTATTCACGAGCATGCCGAACGTTTCATGCAACAAAGGTCTCTCATAAAATCGCCATACATCGCCATGTACGCCGAATCCGTGTCGTCGCCATCATGGTTTGATAAACTCGCCTCATGCTGTGGACCGCCCTCGCCAGGACTGCCCCATGGCCGCAACAAACTGCTTCGGCGCGCCGAAAAGGACGCCCGCGCCGTCTGGGCCGACGAGCCCGCCATGACACCGCCGCCCTCCTTTGGACCCGGGCCGCACCCACGACCAGTCGACCTCATGGAAGTCGGCCGGATAGCAGCCGATCCTTACCGGACTCAGAGACCGTCCCAGGAACAGGTGGCAGAGTCCAACACAGCGTCTGGTCATATGCAGCACAGCCGGAACAACAGCCAGGCCACCAACCGAGGACACAGTCGGGGGCACAGCCGGGGCGGTAGAAGCAAAACTTCAAGAGACGGGCTTCGTTCTCGTCACGGCTACTCACGGTCGGGCTCGTCGACACTGGTGGGAGGTACGCCTAGCACCACGGCCGGCCGCAGAAGCCACTCGATTCGACGGCGCTTTCGGACGTCTTCGTCGTTGTCGCTCTTTCCGTTACCACCTTCCCTGTCGTCTTCCACATCGTCACGGCGCCCGCAGATCTCAGCACCGACCAACTTTCGCCATCTGCAGTCGGAGACTTTTATCTTCCCGGCTCTTCCACAAGAGGAGCAACAGCAGATCCAACAGTACCAGCGAGAGCAATACCACCAGCTACGCCAGCACGAACAGCAGCAGCAGCAACAACAGGGTCAGGAATTGGACCCGGAACAGCAGCGCCAGGAGTTTCAAGAACAACAGCAGATCTTCCAACAGCAGTACCTTCAGCACTACCAGGAGCAGTACCGCCAACAGTTCCAGCAGCAGTTCCAGCGCCGTCCGCCTTCGTTTCAGCCGCTCGACTTCACCACGCACCTACCATCGCCACTGCTACCGTCGTTTCGGCGCGCGACCATTGTCTACGATGACGAAGACAATGACGAGGGCGAGGCGGACGATATCGTCACCATGCCGCCACGGGTGCACGCGCGCAATGGTAGCCACGGTGACGACGACATCAGCACCCACCACTCCGTGTTCCACGACCGCAGCCACTCGGCAATGTCGTTTCACCTCCCCCGCCGGCCGGTTGGCGCGGGTGCAGCTAGTGTGTCTGTCTCGGGAGGCAGCATTCGGTCGGGTGTTGCTGGTGTTGCTGGTGTCGCCAGTACCGGTGCCATGAAGGACAAGGCCACCGAAATAGCCGCCACTATGGCGCCTCCGGCTATCCCTGCCCGGTCTCGCCTGCGCTCGCACTCGTCGCCGGCCGTCGAATCCATGGTCGAGCGCATCGCCAGCGCCATGATCGAGATGGAGAAGCTGCAGGCCGAGATCGACTCGGTCGTCGAGCGCCAGAGCATCTACATCAGCAGCCGGCCTTCCACGGCCTACGGTATGGCCACCGTTGGCAGCGAGGTGGCACCGCTCAAGCTCTTCCCTTCTTCCTTTGACGAGATGCCGTCCGTGCCAGCGATCCCGGCGACAGCGCCCTCGTTTGCCGAGCGGCTCAGTACGGAGCGGCCCAAGACGGCACCGCCGCGTAGCAGCGTGTATTTGGGGTCGACAGCCACCGATGCCGGTTCCGTCCCTCTTCCCTACAGCTCGACGGGCACTCTGACGCAACAACAGCCGTCCCAGCAGCAGAAACAGGCCACTGTTGCCGCCGCCAGCGCGTCGTCCGTGTCTGTCGCATCTGCCGCCTCCGTCGCTTCGGCCGCCGCCAAAGCTGCCAAGGCCAAGGCTCGAACGGTGCACAGTGCCAGTGGAAGCGTTGGTAGCATTCGCGGTGGCGGTAGCGATGCACGAATCAATGGCCGCCCCGTCGATGTGCCTTTGGCACCGCCTTTGCCTCTGGTCCTTCGCCCGCCCTTGCGCAAGAAGAAGTCATTTTCGCGCGTCTCCAACTGGATCTCGCTCCACAACCACAACGGCCAGGGCATTGATGCTGGTATCGGGGACGCCCCCAACTCATCCCGTGGACACGGCCACAACCTGAGCCTCGAATCCGTCACAAATGCACCCCGTCCCATCACAGCCAAGGACGGCTTCTATCAGTGCCTCTCACCAGCCTTGGAGGTGCAAACCAACTATGGGCGTACCAGCATCGACTCGCTGGTATCGACCGTAGAGACGCTGTCGACCTGGACGACGGAACGCGATGAGTCGAGCCGGCAGGTCGGTGTCGAGGGAGACGAAGTCGAACTCGTCCGAGACGAGTTTGCCGAGGACCTCCCCAAACACGACACGCCGACCCCCACATCGGCCACGACCATGACGACGCTCGCCACACTGCTGACCGCTGCGACCACCGCGACATCGACGCCCACGATCCCAGCCATGGCAACCGCCGCTGCGTCTCCTTCCTTGGCTGAGAAATCGAGCGCGAGCATGCTCGGCGCACACCGTCCGCAGAGCGTCGGTGTTGCTTTCTAGTTTCAAAGGACTTGATGCTGATTAGTCTGATTCTACTTGTTTTTGTATATATCAGGTTTTGTAACTCCTTGTACTTGGCTTGTTTTTGTGCTGTCGTTTGATTTTCATTTTTGGTCTCGTCTTGTTTCCTGTTTTCGTTTTTTGCTATTTCTCTCACTTCTTGATACCAGGATCCTCTCGAACCTTTTCTTTTTTTAATACTATAGATAGGGAGGCAAAAATATTTCGGTGGTAATTTGGACAGATGGATAACTACATTGTATTTGTTTCTATTATTATGCTCTTTTATATTGACGAACAGCGTCGCATGTTCAGCGGGGATCAGTGCTCTGGAGCGCTGAAACCAGGTACATAGGCCCTGTTTTTTTACTCCAATTTGACATTCGCGCCATTGGGCAGCAGTGAAAACGTGGGCGTCTAGAGCGCTGCAATTAGCGACGGCAGTTGCCAGGTCTGTGCCTTCCCTGTCCGTACGGTGTGGCCCTGCGCTAAAAAGGTACGATTATTCCTCCGACGCGGCTGGCCGTTGCTTCCCATTTAGGACGACGAGACAGGAAAATGTGACATCTTGGGGAACACATCATGCAACGCAGCTGTTTTGTCCAATTTTCGGCGGACTTGTTGTCCTCAATCGAACCCCAATAGCTTCTTTTGTTTCGCACCCCCAAACCAGCGATGAAGGGTCCTTTTTCTTCGATTGTCGACGGCGTGTCGTCGCTCTTTGGCGGCAGCGGCGGCCGCTCCAGCAACCGCTACTACGAATACCAACCCGTTACCTCGCCCTCATCGGCCGCGGACCTTTTCAGTGATGACGACGGCAGCGATGGTGACAGCGACGGCATGGGTGCGCGGCGCCACCGGAGGAGTGGTGGCCGCAGACGCAGGGAGCCCATGATGTTCGCGGAGGCGGGCAGCTACCAAATTGACGGCGGACTACACTCGAAGCGGTTATACTTTGACAGCGATTTCAAGGACGGCGTGTTTGACAGCGTCTGGGCACGTGGCCACCGCCGGTTTCTCAAGCTGACGCTGCTGGTGGTCATGGCCGGCCTCATGCTGTACCTGAGCACGATCGTCGCCCACATCCTCGCTGTGTCCGGCTCACTTCGCCGCGGCCTACCGTCTTGCGATACGACCGACCACGGCTACCAATGCTACCCGAAAGTGGCCCAGTACTGGGGCCAGTACTCGCCGTTTTTCTCGGCACCCTCCGACATATCCAATACGGGCGCCGGCAAACCCACGCCGCCGCAGCGTGCCGACTCGTCGCCGTTTGCGAGCCCACAGCAGCAATCCCACAGGGAAGACCCATCGTCGGCCGTTTTGCCGCCGGGCTGCCACTTCACGTTTGCCCAGGTCCTCTCGCGCCACGGAGCACGCGACCCGACATGGAGCAAGACGGCCGCGTACGCTGCGCTCATTTTGCGCATCCAGAAGACGACTGACGCTCCCTTCGAGGACGGACCCGACGGAAACTTTGCGTTTCTGAATAACTTTACCTACAGCTTGGGCGCCGACGAGCTGACGCTTTTTGGCGAACAGCAAATGGTGAACTCGGGCGTGCACTTTTACCAGAGATACCAGTCGCTTCTGAAGTCGCTGGCGACATCGACGTCTCATGGGAACCCATTTGTGCGCTCGGCAGACGAGAACCGCGTTGTGCAATCGGCAAAGAAGTGGATCAGGGGATTCCAGAGCGCGAGACACGCCGAATCGGATAGCACGCAGATTGTGCTGCTTCCCGAGGCAGCTGGCTTCAACAACACACTGAGCCACAACGGGCTCTGCAAGCGGTTCTCGTCGCACCGCGGCTCGGCCGCTCAGGGGGCGTTTGCAGCGACGTTCGTACCGGCCATTACGGCACGGCTGAACCGCGGCCTGCCCCAAGCCAACTTAACGGACAAGGAGACCATTTACCTCATGGACTTGTGCCCGTTTGAGACGGTTGCCGACGAGGAGGAAGAGACAGCGGACGAGAATCGCGAGGTGCCCCCGGAGACGGTGGCTGGCGGCCGCGTTCTCTCGCCGTTTTGCCATTTGTTCACCGAGACCGAGTGGCACAATTACGACTACTACCAGACGCTCGGCAAGTGGTACGGCTATGGCGATGGCAGCGACTTGGGGCCAACGCAGGGCGTGGGCTTCGTCAACGAATTGATTGCACGACTGACGGCGTCGCCCGTCGTCGACCACACGAGCACAAACCGCACCATGGACGCCGATCCCGCGACCTTCCCGCTCGACGCCAAGGTGTATGCCGACTTTAGCCACGACAACGACATGTCCAACATCTTTGCCGCCCTGGGACTGTACAACGGCACGTTTCCCGCTGGTGACGGCCCATCCAACACGACCCGCACGGAGCCAGAAGACATGCGCGGCTATGCTTCCAGCTGGGTCGTGCCTTTTGGGGCACGCTTGTACGTCGAGAAGATGGTATGCGGCGGTGACAAGGAGTCATCCAATGACGAGTTTGTGCGCATCCTGGTCAACGACCGCGTCATGCCGCTGCAAAGCTGTGGCGCCGATCAGCTGGGCCGCTGCCGCTTGAGCCGGTTTATCGACAGCCTGGCATTTGCGCGCAACGGCGGCCTCTGGGACGACTGCTTTGCTTGATTGGAGGGGTAGACAGGACCGCGATGCGATGTACTCGCAACTTTTGTGCCGTCTTATTTTTTTTACTGCATGCCGGCCGCAGCAGCATCCATACACCATTTCACGACTTTAGGCATTTGTACTTTTGTATACCTACAGCGACATAGTTTCCTCGGCTATTTTGTCGTCCTTTTACATACCCATTTTTGCGAAAATCCCTTTCTTCGTCCGCTCTGAAAGACTACGTGAGACATGCAGATGCATCGAGGCAGTGACGAAGCTCAGCTTGAAGGCCGTGAAGACAGCGCTGACGAATAACATTGTTAAGGTGATCCAAGACTAGGCTGAGCACATCTGCGGAGGGTGGCAGGCAAAGGAGGGAGGTTTGCGCATTGTTTCGTTGGCTGCCGCCCGCCTTCAACGTTGCAGTCATCCCGCGCGAACAAAGTCCACCATGCTTCGACGTATTACAGGCGGCCTGGCTGATCTGGCCCTGACTATCTGAAAATGAGGCGCATACCGGCGCCGACCAGCCGAGCTCGCTGCCGCGCGAGGCGGCATTTATATCAGAGGAGGGCATTCTTTCGAGAATAAATCCCCTCTGATAAGAAAATAGTGTTTCCATAGATTATGTCAAAGTCTCAATGCATTCCTGAACTGGAGAGACCACTGGGGAAACATGGTCGTAGCATTGTAAGAAACGAGCGAACAGTAAAGTAGCTTGTATGGTAGCTGCCTTTTATTGATATACGTTTGGGGGCCATTCAAACGCCTCCAAAGGTAAGGCTGGGAGAGAAGAGAGAGAATAAAATGCAATAAATGTTAGACTCATTTTGTAGTCCGGAAGTGAATGAACGACGCGACCGACCATAATGCAATCTTCGCCGATTTACGGGCAGCTTCTTTATTTGGTTTTGTCCACGTTTCCGGTAATTGCGATCCGTCCCGCTTTCGTCACGTCAAGCTCGACATACGAGTGCAAAACAAACAGCCCACAATGCCCAAGCCGAGCGACTACTTTTTATCCGACAGCGACAATGCCGCCATATTCGAGCAGCAGATTCGGCCTGCCGAGTTTGGCGACGGCCACGGCGACGATGGTGGGCCAGCCGCGTCATTGTCAAGCCCGCATGACCAAGACCGCCGCCCCGTCTGCATCATCCTGGCCGGCCAGACGGGCGCCGGCAAGTCTCATGCAGCTCCTGCACTGGCCGCTGCGCTAGGCAAGTTGACCACTTCTCCTTCCGTCTCCGGCGGCACTCTCGGTACCGTCGGCTCGGGAGGCCCCGCACCGGGCAGTCCCGCCTGCTACTGCCACCTTGTCGCCGACACTCACAAGCCCTACCACCCGGCTTATGCCGGCCTCGTCGCCGACGCCGCCGCCGGTCTTGTGCCCCCCGGACTGGCCTCGGCTGCGACAGGCCACGATGCGCGGCGCTGGCTGGCGCGAGCGTGCGCGGTGGCGGCCTCGCGCAGCCTGCCGACGCTTGTCGAGTCGGCAAGCCGGTACCCACAAGATGTGGTGGATATGGCCGGCATTTTCCACCGGCACAACTACCGTGTGTGTCTGGTGCTGCTGGCCGTCCACCCGGTGCAATCGCGTCTGGGCCTACTGGCACGGTTCTTGGACGCGAAATCAGCTGGCCCCCCGGTGTCCCACGCACCAGAGCAGGCATCACAGCAGGCATCACAGCCAACCACTGCCAAAAAGACGCTGCCCGTCCGGTTGACACCGCGGCTGGTCCACGACGAAAGCTATGCCGGGCTGGCAGAGCTGGCGACTCTGCTGGATGTGCAGGGTGCGCCGTCGCCGCCGCCCTTGTCTGACGCAGTGCTCATCCTGCGGCGCGGCAACCAGGTGGCGTATACAAACTACTGGACAACAGATGGTGGCGAAGACAAAGAGAGGCGGTGGAGGAAAACACCTGCCGGCGTGGGCGTTGCTCTGGCGACAGAACGGGAAAAGAGACAGTCGAGTACAGCTGGACTGTCCGAGAGCTCACCGTTGGCCGCCGAGGCAGCACTGTTTGCATCCGATGTGACGCGGTTGCGAGAGGCTCATCCGGAGCGGGCTGACGAACTGGACGCATTGGCGTCCGAGTACGCACGAGGCACACCGGTGGAGGCAGATGACGGAAATCACACGTCGTACCATCTACTGGATCCAGACGCACTTGTAGCTCTACTACAAGCCGCCTGGTAGGCGCTGCAACCATCCATCGGTAGGGTCAGTTTACTTTTGGCATGGTACATGATGACGAGTCATGAAGAGCAAATTGGGTAGACAAAATAGGTATTTTATTCGTTCAGTGGTCTTCCATGAGCCCGTGGGGAAGTTAATACTGATACTTTCAGCATGTCCGGCGACACCTCGCATTTCATAATTTCAACGCCGCTGCGAATGCCGCTTTGCCGAGTATATGACATCAGTGCTGGCAGGAAAGGAGACAAAGGGAGAAACAAGTGAGAAGATCACGAATCGCTGGCGGTTGGAGGAACTGTATTCGTGGTCAGTCTTACTTTTGCTACCACGTGCCATACGGCCTCTTCCCCGTCCTGTGATATAAGATGTACAAGCAAACAAATAAACGCACAAATATACAGGGTATTGTCAATCAACAGCAACAGAGGATGGGCATGATAAAGGAGAGCAGACACGCATTCAAAGTGGAAACACACAGCGCTGTCATTGGCAGGCGTTTGTGCAAACTTCGTGTTGCTACAGAAGCCTTGCCGTCGTTGCAGTCCCAGTTGCTTCTGTACACCCAGCACAAGTTATGAAGTCGATCAAAGTTGAATCCCTGTGCGTCTAGCAAGAACAACATGAAATATAGTTGGTCCAAGAAGGATCCACAACGTAGCAAAGAAGACACAATGTAGGTGAGAGAGAAGAGAAAACCATTTGCAATTCATATCGTCATGGCTAAACGCAAAACGCCCCCATATTCCACTTGGTAAAGATAGCAAATAACAATAGTAATAATAAATACAACACAAGCCAAAACGGGGAAGCACAAGAATACCATAAATAAAACAGATGGCTGAAGAAAGTACAATTCCTTAAAAAATAATGATATAAGAGAAAAGAAGAGCACGAAACGCCGGGTAATGAGATGGTTAACTAGGGAGGAGCGCCGTGCAAGGCTCCCTTCGCACCAAAAAAGGAGCATTTAGGTCGTGAAAATGCTGCACATCCTTTTGAGAGCCTCGGCAATGTGCGTCGGTTATTCGGTGGCATAAATTTAGGTTGAGAAACGGTAAACGTAAGTTTGGTGCATGGTATTTGTGGTTCATATCACTGTACCGGCTTTAGGATGCGTGTGATTGAACACTGCGTGGTGTCACATCACCGCTACGCCGACGGACGAGATCCTGGCGTTGTGCGGCTTTGGAGTGGCTCGAAATTAATTGTGACTTTTTGCGGACCGCGTTCAGCCGTGTCCGGATCATGTTGATCATGAATTCGACCGTCTTCTGGTCTTCTGTGTTGATGTCGCCGCCATCTTCGTCCCGCAGGGCCGACTTCTCGTCTCTGCCCGAGGCTGACGAGCGGCGTCGTGCCGGCTCGTCATCCGTGTCGAGGACTGCCTCGAGCATGCAGATAGCAGTCAAGTAGGACAGCTCGCAGCCAACCAGGTCGTCGTTGGAGATTTCGCCAATGGCAGCGGCGCGGCTCATCTCGACGGCGCGGTCGTACATCAGCTTCTCGGCACTGATGCCAGCGCTCAAGAACACACCGTCGGTGCCTGACCCTGCTGTCGCACCAACACTGCCGACACCGCCATGTTCGTCGTCCCGGCTGTGGTTGCTTGGATGGGACGGATGATCCTCAGGCAGCTTCCGTTGGACCTCGACGAGCCGTTCGCGTGCAAAGTTGGCTTTTTCAAGCACTTCGTTGAACCGCGACCGGATCCACTGCACCGCCGCGTTGACGCGCTGGCCCAGAACCGAGTCCATCACGAACGGCAAGTTGCCAGCGCCACCGCTTCCGGTGGAGTCGCTGCGCATCTTGCTCCGCCACCACATACTAGCAATGTCCATAGACTTGGCCAGGAGCGAGAGCGCTTTGACGTAGAGCACAAGAGCTTCCTCGGAGAGAACAACAATCGCATCAATCGTCAGCTCGTCCTCATCGTCGCTTGTCATCTGGAGCTTTTCAGACACGGGAATTCCACCCAGGTCGTGCTCGGCTGAGGGTGCAAGGGGCACAAGCTGCTTGTACTTGACCTCGGCGAATCCAAAGACGACGTCACTCCGTGTTGCGTAGTCCTCAATGAGTTGCGCGACGCGAGTGTCGTTGTCCGTCGGCGCAGCATTGACACCGTCGCTTCCACTGGTCCGCCCATCAGTGATCAGGGCGGCAGCTGCAGGTGCAGTAGAAGGGGTCGGGTACGCGGGGAAGGGGCTGTAGAGCTGCGGAGGCGATGCGCCCTTGCCAATCAAGGTGACCGGGTTCTTGACGCCCAGGAGGCGGAAGCTGGCATCGTGGATGGCCTTGGCGATGAACGAGGTCGTCGAGTTGGGGCTTGCAGACAACGAAGAAGGGCGGTCACCATGGTACGGCCGAGACACAGTCCCTTGAGCCACCTGCATGGCCCGGGACGAGGTCGGCGGCACCGCGCCTGTCGCCGAGGTCGGGTGCCCTTGCTGCGTGGCACGGCGAACAATGGCATGGCCAGACTTGGGCGATGTCTGATACTGGGCTGCAAGCCGTGGATTGGCAGCCATCTCGTCAGCGAACGCGTTAACCTCGACGTGCTTCTTCTCGACCAGGACGTAGTCGCGCTCAAAAGCAATATCCTGAGCGACCTTTTCTTGCTCATCATTCGAGGCATTGGTGCGTGCGTTGCTTCGTGCGTCTACCAGTTCACCAACATCATTTACTGTTAGCTCATTGCGAAGGGATGATGTGGGTGACGGATCCTCATTGTTTGTTTGGGCTTGATGGTGCTGCTGTTGGTTATGTTGCTGACCTTGGTTCTGGATCTGTTTCAACGAAGCGTTGGACAGCCGGTGCTGTTGCTTACGTTCGTCGTGCGCGGCAGGTCGAGAAGGCGCAGATGTGGACGGCAGGATGGTAGGCCGCCGGGTCGCAAGACCCTCGTTCGCATCTTGCGAGCCATGCCGTGGCAATTGGCTTGGTCGCTGTCCAGTACTATCTGCGCGGTTAAGACCAGACCGGTCCCGAGGTGACGAAGCAATGCCGCCCGCAGCAGCTGCTACGAGAGCAGATTCTCGATCTGTCTCTGCGGCAGCGGCGACATTGGGGGAAGCGACGTTCTTCGGAATGTAGCGGTTGAACGACTGTCTCCGAACAGCTCCAGTGCCAGGGGGCGTTGCTGTTGCCAGGGGTTGAGCTGCATCGTTTGTCTGCGGGGTGGAAAGTGGTGGCGTGGAGGGTAGAGCGGATGGTAACGTTGCGGGCCGCTGGTCCCTGGACGACGGGCGGTGTTCAGAGACACGCTCCATGGGTCGTGGCCGCTCTGGCCGGGGAATGTCGTCTTCAACAAGGCCTGGTATGGGACCGACCACGATGGGGTGGTCAAAAAGGTTCTCGAAGCTGAGGCGCTCAACAGGGTTGCGCTTCAAGAGAGACCGAATGAAGGCCTTCATGTCGGTGCTGATGATAGTGTCGCGGGGAAACCTGATCAGATCCTCGGCCGCCTCAATCTTACGTAGCAGCTCGACGTGATTGCTTGCCCGGAACGGAGGCCGGCCGCAAACCATCTCGTAGACGACCGTTCCCACCGACCACAAGTCTGCCTTGGCGTCGTACCGTTCGTAACGCAAGATCTCCGGTGCCATGTACAATGGCGAACCACAGAGGGTTTCTGCCAGTGTCGTTGATGGCAGGACACGCGCGAAGCCGAAATCGGCCAGTTTAAGCATGGGCAGAGACCTCAGGCCGGCCGCGGGTATTAACGAGTCCTGGCTGCCGGTCATTATGGGACGGGTGGCTTTGTGGCTTTCCCTGTAGTCGGGTGATGGGAGCAGGAGAAGATTCTGTGGCTTGACGTCGCGGTGGACAAAGTTGCCGTTGCGTAGGAATTGTAAGGCGCTGATGAGCTGTTTGGTAAAGTGGCGAGTAAGGACCTCATTCAGGCCTGTATTCGGGCCGCTGGGGTACTTGCGAGCCATGTCATGTGTTATTGGGTTCGTGATGAGCTTTTCGCGTTTCTTGATGAACATGGACAGGTCACCGAGTTCGCAGTACTCCATAATCAGATTGATGTGTTGTCCGCTTTCGACGCAGTCGTGGAGGGCGACAATGTGTGGGTGTCGGAGCTTCTTGAGTATCTTGATTTCTCCATAGAGATTGTCTTTCAGCTTCTTGTTCAGACGGCCAAGATCGACGGACTTGATGGCCACGGCGGCACCGGAGTCCTAGGTTTAAGAGGAATCGTTAGACTCGCAGACACTCAAAGAGAAACAAAGAGCAACTCAGGAACAGCGTTTCGGGGCGGGCGGCCGAGGCAGGCGCAAGGACAAAAACTAGGGCTCATCTGCTCACCTTGTGTTTGCCGAGGAAGACTTGAGCGAAACTGCCCTTTCCAATCTCGCCGCCGACGACGAAGTCGCCAACCAGGTCATCGTCAGTCGGCCGATTTCGCCGATGTGAACTGCCGGACGCCATGGTGGGCGGTTGTGTGTTTGAAGCCCTCTCTGTGAGAACAGTCCGGGGTCGGAATGGGCTGGAAAGAGAAGAGAGAGAGAGAGGAAGGAGGAAGAAGGAGGCGGGGAGGTTGACGAAGAGTGATGCCCGGAAGGGCTCAAGGGGTTTGGGGAGCTCTAGTGGAATTTGGTAGTCATAGATGGCGATTTCGCGAGATAGATAAGGTAGCCGATAAGACGGAAGCACTAGAGCAACAAGGCAGCTGATAGAACGTCGATAGGCAACACAGCAACAGCCCAGGCGATGGACAAAGCTATTGACAACGATGTCGAAGATGGAAGAGGCGACTGATGGAATAAACAAGGGAAAGAAAAGAGCAAGAAATAAAAACCTAAGCGAGGGAAAGAAACCAAAATCGAAGAACGAGGGAGTCAAAAACAGCACCAACAAATAAGGCGGCGAGCATCCGATAGGCTCCTGCGTAAAGAGAAAGAGGCAGGTTCCCACCGAAAGCACAGGTTAAGATGTTGCAGACAGGGGAGGGTGTGAGGGATTCAGGGTACCAGTGCTGGCTACCTAGATGACTTGCGGACTTTTGCGCCGTATTTTGCTTCGAGCCGCGGTGGAGACCAGGTGGAGTCTGTTTCGTTCTCCAGGTGGGTGCCGTGTTGTTCAGTCCTTGTGGTGTAGTATTCCGTAACACCTGTTGTATTTGCACAGAGGAAGGTCTGGTACGCCTTGGTAAATCGGCGAGGTGAGGCCAGCAAGCGGAGCTTGGGGGCGTGACAGCGTGACCAGCTGCAGGGCCGGCCAGGGCTGTGCAGAGAGAGAGAGCAAGAAGACAGCAAGGAGAAGGCAGACGAGCTCCGAGACGTGCGGAGGTAGCTCGAGGTGACTAGGATGTCTCGATGGTTTAGGAAGACGACCCGTTGATCGATGTGAAATAAAGAAAGGAAGGAAAAGTGAAAAGATCCTGTTGAGAGTCGAAGAAGAAAGCGCAAGTGTTAGTCTAGCATAATTCCATAATCACGGGAGAGTCCAGAAAGTGGTCGTTGCCTCGTTAGTCATAGATGGGTTGGCAGGGGTCATGGAAGGCGGCGGCCGGCGGATGCAGGGCGCGATGGCGGGTGGATACAGGGTCATAGGGGTATTCGCTGCAGTGACTCCGTAGAAATACACAGCAGTTGGGGGCAGATGATGGTGGTGGCAATGGGTTGTGTTTTTGAGAAGAGACGTACAGAATAGACTGTGCATAGATATGCAGATGCACAGTGCGTACGGATCATTGGCGGTCGCTGAATACAGTGTGCAAATGGCTGATTGTAGCGAGTACTGTGCTGGGAGGCGGAATGCTTTGCAAGGGCGTTTTCGACTCCGACTTGCCTTTGTTTAAGACGGATAGAGAACGTACTCCGTAGGTCAACTTGTAGGGAGGTTGCTCCAAGCGCAAGCGAATGACTCAGAGCAAAAACCAGGAGGATGAGACGAAGGATAAGGAAAGTAAAACAGAAGGGCGTAGAAGAGATGCTTAAGAATACCACGAGATAGCGAGCAGGATGGAGAGGCGGAAAGGACAGAGGTTGGCGACGTCGGTGGAGGATGGGAGAAAGAGAGGTTGAAAAGAGGACGAGAAAGACAAGCCGCTTGGAACCGAGAAGGCCTCAAAAATAGGAGGCAAGAGGATAAAAGAAAGAAGAAATGAACAAGAGCAGGAGCGACCAAGAGAACAAGACAAAAAGGGCAGCCGTTCGCTGTCTCGAGATAGGAAGCGCTGGGTGAAAGCATGCGCGTGATGGTGGAAAGAGCAAGCGGTGGTGTCGCTTGCGCGGGCAGTTGCAGTCACAGGTCTGACTGATAGTGCAAGAGCGACGTCGCAAAGCCCAACAAAGCAAGTGCTGGGGCAGATCAAAGAGGAAAGGGGCAACCCGAGGCGCTGGGCGATAAGTGGGCAGGTGGGCTCGGTGGGCTTGCTCTTGCTAACCTAACGGATAGTGGAGTGGGATAAGACGGAGTGCCGTGTTAGCGCAAGTTGCGAATGCTATCTTAGAATGCGCGAGCCACCAAAAGCACGCTCATGCACCATGGCGATGGCGAGCGGCAGTGACGGGATTTGGCAGGCGGTTGTTGTCAGAGGGAAGCGTCGGTGGGGGGCCTAGAGATGTCCAGCCAGGCCATTCATGGCCCATGGGCTCGATGCCTGGCCGTACCACATCGACATCAGCAAAATCCCTGGCGAGTCTTGGTCAGACCATTCACACCACTACAGTGCGCAAAACAGTGGGGACGTTTCAATGGGTGAAGCGACCAAAGCAGTGAACAGAGATGGCCCCGCGCGTGTGCGTTTCTACGACGTAATATTCGGAGCAGAGTAGCACCTCAGGGCCACAGATACACGTACCAGCCAACTGAGGCAAGTCCGGCTGGGGCGCTACCAAAACCACTGTTTGCATGCGGTGTCTAGACGCTGGACGTCTTGTGGCCTGGGCGCCTGTGCCGTGTGCTTGGTTTTGAGGGGAAGAGGGTGCTCGTGATCATTACCTTTTAGTGCCAAAATTGCCGTTATGTGCCAGAACGGGGCAAAGTAGAGACCCCAGAATCAGGAGGCAAAAGACAGGGCCCAGTCAGGCTAAGCTCCTTTGGAAAGCGTGAAGCCAGAGCAGACAAAGACACACAAGGGGACAATGAAAAAAATGAAAAGAAACAACGATGACGACAATGTCCAAGCCATCGCGTTGCAATCAGCCCATTGCAAGAAGCAAGTCAGATTCCAAGGGTGTAGGGGTAAAGGAGCTCTGTGTTGAAGTCGCTCAAGAGGTATCTCAGTGCTGGCTACAGTGCTGGCGCTGTGTGCGCACTGTAAGATACAAGTCCTATGTCGCAGGTGGTCAATCGGTTGGTTTTGCCAAATTTAGTGGATGCTCACCCGCCGAACCTGCTAAAGATGGAATGTCACAGGGCAGCATGAGCAGCGTTTTGCAACGCCACTTTTTCTTGATGTATCATATTGTCTAAGTGCCTTTCTTCGACATCTCGTTTCACACCATCCGACGCTTATTAACGAATCAACAGTCGTTGCGTGTTTTTTTGTTGGTTATTTTGTAAGATTACCTTTCTCAAGGCGGGCAATATTGTTAGATTGCAGTAAATCGTACCGGAATGGACAACTGTATATCAGTCCGAAGCGAAGTAGAAATTGACGCCCTTTCAATCGACAGCCCCAGTACTCAATCACCATGGGTAGCTGCACCGATTTGGTGCAGCAAAGCGATACGGAGTACATATATCACTGCAGGTTTTGTTTGCCCACATTGCATGCTGACACGTCGGACTTGGGTTCTCTTGTTTCTCTTCTCTTTATTTTTCGAGTTCCTCTTTTGGTTTCGCCATTGCAATCAATAAATCCATGCTGTGCAACTGAGGAGCTGCAACTCTGTAGCGGTGACCGTCGGCTGTTGTCTCGCCCTTGTTTTCTTGTTATGTAAAAGAAGTTATGCAAGGCAAAGTCATCCTAGGCACGAAAGCGGAGAGGGTCCATGGGAAGCCTACTACGTTCTGTGACCAAGACTGTGCCTTCCCAGCGGCCAGCCTAACTGTCCAGCCATAACAGATGGTGTATAACTTCGTCGGAATAAGATGAATCTCCCACACCCACTTACCAGACGCTGCTGTCTCCGTACCTCACCCAGGCCATGCCCTTCATCCTTGCGGCGATTCTAACCATTCACTCTGGCCTATCACTCTGACCATCACTCTGACCATTCACGTTTTTCGCCGAAATAGCCCCTAAACGTTTCTTCTACTTCGTTCTCCTTTCCATATCACCGTCTCCTGTTCTCTCTTATCTAAGACAACTAGGCCAGGAAAACACCTCCTTTAGCAGAGACAGAGGGACGGAGTAGCGTGTTTTGCTATCTCATAGTGCCCGTATAGCCTATGACCTTGGACACCCCATTTGCCAGCTTGTTAACGTTGACGCTCCTTTCCCAATCAGGCAAGAAGTAAAGAGCCATGCATTCGCGTTGACACAACCTTATCTCCCTGTCTCTCTCTCTCTCTCAGTCTGATAGTCATGTCGGGCCTCTGCATGTGCGAGAGCGAGAAAGGAGCCTCACCTTTTACGAGCAACCTGGCTCCGTTCGCACCGTGTGCATTGTGCATCAACGTCAACGCAAAGTGTGCCACCCGGAAAGCTTGTGGCTATGGGACAGTGCGTTCCACCTTTTGGTTTGAGATGTTTTTGCCCGTATCCTCCAACCGCCCCATCCACTTGTACTTTTTCGGTGAGGCCGGGTAGGACTTTAAGACTGGGATACCAAAGTGCACCGTCTCTCGCTTTCCCTCCTTCGTGCTAGGAGTTGCGCACCTCCAAGAAGGCGTGGCCTGGCCGCCCCGTTTTGAGGGCAATACCTGCGCCTTGCCGCGTTCAACCCGGCCCAGAAGCCGTCTAGAACGCTCCAGTCTTCTTCCACTAATACGGACAAAGAGCATGCCAATACAGCGGTCTACGACATCGGTACACCGAGTTTGACGAAGTGTTTTTATACAGGTCTGAATCTACATAAATTGCCCCGTCAGTCCCTGTAATACTGGTGGCCTAGCCCATCGCGAAGCAACACGCAGGCTCCAGCTAGGTTCCTGCCAGGCTTCAACTCAGACTACACAATTCGAGAGGCCAGGTCGCAACTGTTGCCAGGTTGTGTGGAGATAAGAGATTTGACTTTCCAGGACGATAGCTCAGAAGCCTATTCTCGTCAAGCCGCAGGGCTGGGGCGCCTGATCCATTTAAGTGCATCCACAGCGTTCAAGACGTGCGAAAGACTGGAGCGCTCGCATCGTCCCCGCCCGGCATCTAGGCCGTAAGTATAAGTACTCCGTGCTTCCCTAGCGCACGACAGGGGGACCCGCCTCCAGTATTTCTGTGGAGTGACTTTTCAAGCATTCCTTCATTTCAAGCGTCCAAAACAAGGCGAATATTCGAGGTAAAAAGCATCTTCGTATTGCGAGAGGAGACAGAGACTGCGACAGATGGACGCAAGGGATGGGGGTTCCTTAAGAGAGTTCTTGCGGCGCCCCAACTACTATTCTGTACTACTGTTTCTTGATCGACTTTCCCACCGCCTTGAGCCTCTGCGGCCAACAGTGGCCACACCGCCTTGAGATGAATGGCCGCCAAAGGGAGAACTGTGTGTGTCCCATGGCCAGTCCAGGCTGCCCGCCTTGCTTTGTGACGTTTGACTTTAAATTCAGTGGAGTGGAGACATGTGCAGGAAAGGGCGTTTTGAAAAGTGACAACAGGCGTACTCCGTACTTCGTACAAGTAGGCAGTTCGATACACGCAAACGTGCGTTCGCCTCTGGTTTGTGTTTCTGTACTTTGCCCTTTTTCTGCCGTTCTTATTCCTGCTCCGGTCCGGTGAGCAATCCAAAAAGAGCGTCGTAGGTGCAAAAAAGGCGACCTCATCTGACACTACCCACCATGAAAAGGCCAATGGAGGAAAAAGGTGTGAGTGGATAATCTGTGTGTCGTGTGTGGGGGGAACGATACCAAAGATGAGAGATGAGGAGCCAAGCGGATGAATTCAAGAATAGAACCGAAGAAGTGAATAGGCCAAAATGCAAAATAAATGGAGAAAAAGGAAAAACGAAGCGAGACGTAAACAAAATGCCGACTGGTTTGTTGCGTCTAGACATGGTAGCCTCACATGTTGAGAGACAGTGGTTGATTGGACAGACGAGCAAGACGACGGTGCTGGATGGGGGGGCCTCAATAGACAGACATTGGACGTCTGTCCGTGCTGAGGGTGTGGAGTTGGCAGCCTGTGAGGTCGTCCGTTTCGGGACTCTGAAGCAGCAGAGTGTGCATGAACGAACGCCGTCAAAATGCGGTAGCCTACGCCCTGAAGGGGAGGCGTAGATAGGACACCGAGGATCAAAACAGTCAGACATCAGGAGAGACCGATGGAAGAGAGGGCCGAGAAGAAAGTCGCTCAAAGACGCATGGCAAATCCAAACCCCAGATTGCCGTCCCCCAGCAGAAGCTATGAGTAACGAACAGAAAACACGGCACCCGGAGCCGTCTGCTCTCCAGACGAGATGAGACCAAACAAGTCAGGGACCAAGAAAAAGTGGTAGCGTAAGATCCAGGGTCCCTGTTAAGCGCGAAGTGCATGTATTTTTCGTCGCATCTGCATACTCTCTTTGGCTACAGTCGCACTGGCGCTGGCATATACATCCCCCCTCATTCCTAAACGAGCACTTCTACCGTGCCGTGCCGCCAAGCATCTGCTCTTTCAGAGGCCTGCGCAAGCACCTGACAGGAATTCAGAGTCGCGAAGCACATACGGAGTACAATGGCCGACTTACATGCGGGAATATGGTATGTAAAAGCCGTTGCAAAGTGGGTGTGCACACTACTCTTTTGGTCGCATCGTTCGCGTTGACAGGAAGATGCGGTTATATGGAATCTTGAATGTGGCAGTTCACCTTTTCGTATACGTAATTTTTTATATTTATATGGTTTAAACCCGTATCTAATTTACTTGAAGAATATGCAAGTCCATGTAGCTTCTGATCTTTTGCAGCGCTATGTGCCATGCCGCACGATATACCTCTATGTTTATCTTTATGAAATTTTGTTTTTGGATGCTTGCAGTCTTGTTACCCACTTCCTCGCTTTAATAATAATGATAATTCCGCGTGATGCCTGTGCATGCACCTTTTTGATATTAATACTATGTGTTTTATTGTTTCCCATTCCAGTTTCATCCCATTTCACAAATATGACCTATTTCAGTGGCCTTCCGCCTTGGCGGCCGTCGGCAGCTCCTTGAGCGCCTCGCCGATGACCGTCAGCGCCTTCTGGATCTCCTCGTCCGTGATGACCAGCGGCGGCGCGAAGCGGATGATGTTGCCGTGCGTCGGCTTGGCCAGGACGCCCTTCTCCTTGAGCAGCAGGCAGAGGTCCCATGCCGACCGGCCATTGGACTTGCTCTCGTCAATGACGATGGCGTTCAGCAGGCCCTTGCCGCGGATGGTCTGCACCACGGGCGAGTTGAATGCGGCCACGCCATCGCGGAACACCTTGCCCAGCTTCTCGGACTGTGCCACCATGTCGTGCTCCTCGACCAGCTCAAGCGCACGAATCGACACAGCGCAGCCGAGCGGGTTGCCGCCGTACGTAGAGCCGTGGGTGCCAGGCTCGACGACCAGCATGATGTCGCGGGACGCGAGCACGGCACTGACCGGGTACATGCCGCCTGAGATGGCCTTGCCCAGCGTCACCATGTCCGGCTTGATATCAGCCCACTCGCTGCACAGCATGCGCCCAGTCCGCGCAATACCCGTCTGGATCTCGTCGCAGATCAGCAGAACGTTGTGCTTCTTGCAGAGCGCATGCACGCGCGGCAGGTAGTCGTCGTCGGGCACGACCACGCCGGCCTCACCCTGGATGGGCTCGACGATGAATGCGGCCGTATCCTTGCCGTGTGCCTCGAAGCACGCCTCGAGGTCCTCGACGTTGTTGTAGCGGATTGGCTTGCCGGTGGACGGCACAATGGCGCTGACATTGGGCACGTAGGGGCCGTAGTTGTCGCGCGACTCAGGGTCGGTCGAGAGGGAGATGGCCGTCATCTGGGAACAGAACGAGTTAGCTTTGGTGATCTGACATACCCCAAGGTTGAGTTTGATTTGGGGGGGGGCATTGGCTTACCGTCCGGCCGTGGAAGTTGTCCGCGGCACCAAAAACCAGGGCCTTGCCCTGCTCCACCTTCTTGACGCGGTACGCCCACTTGCGTGCGATCTTGATTGCCGTCTCAACGGCCTCGGCGCCTGTGTTCATGGGGAGGACCATGTCGTAGCCAAATGTTGCCCGGATCTTCTCGGCCCATACGGGGAACACGTCGTTGTAGAAGGCACGCGAGCTGAGCGTCAGGCGGCCGGCCTGCTCGGTCAGGGCCTTGACGAGCTCAGGGTGGCAGTGGCCCTGGTTGACGGCGCTGTAGGCCGACAGGAAGTCGAGATAATGCTTGCCCTCGGGGTCCCAAACGTTGACGCCCTGAGCCTTGGCAAACACGACCGGGAGGGGGTGGTAGTTGTGCGCGGCGCAAGCATCTTCGGTGGCAATGGCCTGCTTCGTCGACGAGGCGTGGAAGCGGCTGTTCGAGCCTGAGCCGTCAGAGACGAGGCTCGTGTTGTCTGCGTGGGGTGCCATTGTTGCAAGAGGAAGAGCGCGTTGGTGGCGAAAATGGAAGCCTGTCAGAAAAGGGGAAGGAGGACACAGGCTGTTATCGAAGAGTGTATCGATTGACGACGGGGTATATGATGATGTTGATATGCGTATGTAACGGCCAATTGGGGTATCTTGACGCCAAAACGAAGAGAATAAGGTCAGAGAAGAGAGGACGGGAGACGGCGAAGAAGGAACCGGCGAGTGGGGATGTAGATTGTATAAATAGGGAAGTTGGACAAGGAGGCAAGAGCGATCGAACAAAGCCGAACGGCCACAAACACGAGTGAAGAAGGAACTGCGTTATGGCCACGCCGACTGCTCGTTGGTGGGTGTTGACACACAGAAACACCTGGTCAAGGAGGCTATCTGTCGACTAGTCGCACCGTACTCCGCCGCCAAAACTTTATCTAAACCCCTAAGTGCAGGTGTAGCCGGGCTGGATGGGTCGACGAGCTTCTCCACAGCGAATAGCAATGCAGGTAAAATGTAAAGAAAATAAAATCAGCACAGGGTGGACCAGAGACCCCTAAACTGCCGCTCGTGCTTTCCCACAATTGCTGCGTGTCGTGCCTTCCAACCTTCCTTTCTCACAGGATGACCGACGTCACTTAGTGCCAATGCCGAAGGAAAGCGGCCGGTGAATGGACGGACGTTGCAGACAGCCGCGAAACAGCCTGGTCACGAGGCTGGTTTCTTGTGTTGGGCAATGCTAGCCTGCTTGCTATCGGGACAGCACTTGTATACCATGGAAAGATAAATTGCTCTCCCTCGCCGATACTGCAAAGGGGCCATCGTCATAGGAGATGTTCGTCTAACAGTTTCCTAATCGCTCTTGCCTTCCGTGTAATTACGTGTTGGCGCTGGAGCAGGTGCGACCGAATGCCCCGCCATTGTGCGGCCTGTGAGATTAGATGACTAACCACACCTGCACTACACAGTGTTGGCTTTTAGCACTGTATGTTACACTGTCCCCAAAGCTAGCATGGCTGGGGCCACATGAGCTCCATGCAGACCTATCAATTGTCCCACGTTTTGAAGCTTCATCAGCGGTGGAGATTCGACAAGGCGGCCAGCTGGCAACGACGACAATTCTGACCCCTTTAGATCACCTTTGACGATATTTTCCCAGCCCGTGTCGCAAAACGCCGGCGTACAAAAGATATGGAGTAACCCGCGTGTCGCGTGTCTTCTTGGCTTTTTCTTGGAAGCCTTTTTACGTCTATCCCTTTTCGTCCTTTTGCCGTTCCCACCGCCAAACGAGCCCTGACAAAGCCCGACGTACGCGGTAGAGAATCGAACTGGCACGATGGCGCCTCCTACATCAAACACAGCCCCTGTGGGCAGCGGGGAGTCGGCGCGGCCCGCTGCCAAGCCCTCGGCCGTGCACATGCCTTCCAAAGAGCAGCTCGAAGCCAACTACAAGATCGCCGCCACGGCCGCGGCTGGCACGCTGCACCGCGAGGTTGCCGACGCACAGTCGACGGACATCTTGTGGGCGCTGGTGGCGCTGCGCTGGATTGGCGCCTTTACTGTGCGCACGTTCTTCCAGCCGGACGAGTACTTCCAGGCCCTGGAGCCGGCGTGGCAGCTGGCCCATGGCCCGGCGAGCGGCGCGTGGATCACCTGGGAATGGAAGCACCGGCTGCGCGCGTCGCTGCACCCGGTTCTCTTTGCGGGTGTCTATGCCGGCCTTGAGTACGTGCTCGGCCTCATCCACCTTGTCGGACCCCTGCGTGCCTATGTTGTGGTGGTTGCTCCTGGTCTCGTTCAGGCCGTTTTTACCGCGACCACCGACTTCTACGTGTGGCGCCTCGCCAGCCAGCTGTACGGCCGTGGACACAACGCGGCATGGGCTGCCTTTTGGCTCTCCGTGGCCAGCCCGTGGCAATTTTACTGTGGTGCACGCACGTTCAGCAACGGCCTCGAGACCACGCTGACCGCTGCCGCTCTCTCCTTTTGGCCATGGCAGCTGCTGGCCGGTGCCGTGAGCGACAAGCCCGTGAGCGAACTGTTCACCAATGGCGGCATCCGTCGTCTCCGTCTCTCGCTCGTCCTCGCCGCGACCGCCGTCGTTTTGCGGCCAACGAACGTTCTCATCTGGTTGGCCTTGATCACCGTCACTGTGACGCGCCTGACGTTGGACGGCGGCTCCACGTTCCTGGGTGCCGGCGTGGTTGGCCGTCTGCTCTTGGAGGCAATTGGTTCCGGCAGTCTCGTGTTGGGCGTGTCGGCCCTGTCCGATCGTCTCTTCTACGGGGCCTGGACGTTCCCGGCATTCACATTCCTCGACATCAATCTGACACAGGACGTTGCCATTTTCTACGGCAGCAACCCCTGGCACTATTACTTGTCGCAGGGCCTGCCCTTGCTCACCACCACTGCACTTCCCTTTGCGCTCTACGGATTGTACGATTCGCTTGTTGCGGTTCCTGCGACCAAATCAACCTCGGCCAAGGCCGTCAACGCCGCCGACGGTGCGAGTGTGGACCCCACCCGCCGCGCCAATGCACGCAAAGCGCTCTCGTTTGCCGTCGTGGCTACCGTGTCGTCGCTGTCGCTCGTCGCTCACAAGGAGGTGCGCTTCATCTACCCACTTCTGCCGGTCCTGCTGGTGCTGGCTGCGCCGCATGCTGCCGCATTCTACTCCACGGTCGTCGCCACGACACCCAAAACCGCCGCCGAGGCCACGACTACCACGACGCTGCGCCACAAGCGCGTGCTCTGGGGCGCCCTGGCCGTCAACGGCCTTCTGGCCGGCTACCTGTCGCTCCTCCACCGGCCCGCGCCCTTGTCGGTGCTGACCTTCTTGCGCACCGAGTACGAGCGCATCCACCACGACTGGCTCGAGATCCCGCCCGGCGAGCTGCCGTCGTACGACGTATACCCCGACTCTTTTGTCTCGGCAGCCTCTGCGTCGACAGCTTCCGAGGGTGACGGCGACGAGCTGTTTGCGCTGTTCCTGACGCCCTGCCACTCGACACCCTGGCGCTCCCACCTGGTGTACCCCGGCCTGCGCGCCCGTGCGCTGACCTGCGAGCCGCCCCTGGACACGGCGCCCAAGTCGGCGGAGCGCGCCGTGTACCTGGACGAGGCGGACCGGTTTTACGCGCCGATCAAGGTCGAGGGTGCCAGCCTGGAGGAGCAGAGCCAGTTTCTGTCCACCGAGCTGTGGCCGCTGACGAAGGAGGCAGGCAGAAAGGGGGCGGCCCGCAGCGGTGAGATCCCGCGGTACATTGTCGGGTTCGAGGGCATCGAAGGCCTGCTGAACCACTTCTTCGCATCCGAGGACCCACTGACGGGCGGTGCGGGCCTGGGCGTGCGGACGCCGCTGCACCGTGCGTGGGTCGGATGGAACGGGTTCTTCAACGAGGACGCTCGCCGGTCTGGCTCGCTGATTGTGTGGGACACGGGCGTGTATAGCAACGCGAGCCATCCAGACTCCGAGCGTACGTACGACGAGATGTTCCGGCCGCAGAAGCTCATTTAATGAGACACAGGGTGCAAGGGTGAAAGTGAACTGTGTAAGATACAATGGCATGGCATGCAGCGCGCAATACACATTAAAGCATATAATACTTGTACATTCTACTTTTATTATTTGCACCGCTTGAGAAACAATATTATTTACTGTTAACTCGTTTCATTAGCACACTTTGCCCTCTTTGATTGCTACTCTATGCTCTAATATTCGGCGAATCTGAGAATCTGAGAAATGATGTGATCCGCCTACTTTCCAATTCACCGTTTTCCACCTTGAGATTCCACAACCTCAGAAGGGTATAATAGTTTTTTTTCATCACCGTCGACTAACCAAAAAAATCGATACAACATAACCTAATTCCATCCATATTACACATACCATTACAGCATATAGCGGAAGTCCGGGTTCAGGTCCTAGAAATAGCGTTAGTTGATACACTGTATAGTCGAATGGAGTAGAAAGGAAAACTTACGCCGAGCTCAGTCTTCTCGTACTCGGTCATTCCAACGTCGCGCACGGCCTTTTCACGTCGGCGGTTCTCCATCACCAGCGCGGCAAAATATAGACAACACGAGATGGCGCTGATCAGGACAAATCCGATGCAGATGGCGTAACCCTTGGTAAACTTGGGCGCATCCGTGGAGATGAAGCAGTAGGTGGCGATGATGCCGCCAATGTTGCCGAAACCAATCTGCCAGGCGATGCCAATAGCACGGCGGTGGTGGCCGCCCAGGTTCATGCTAAACCAGCACACAATAACGGGCATCGCAGAATAGGTACCCGCACAGATGAGAAACAGAGCGGCGTATTCGGCGTGCACGTTGTCGTGGATAGCCAGCAGCATCGAGAAACCGGCAATGGGCAGGCAGATGGGGCCGATCGTGAACAAGAAGCGGTGACGGGTCTTGTCGGAGAGGTAGGCGACGATCATAGAGAAACCAAAGGCAGTGGCCCAGGGCGGGACGGAGTGCAGCTGGGTCTGGATGGGGCCGTAGTGGTAGGTGGCGATAATGGTCGGGCTGAAGAAAGCGTAGCTGTAGGCGGGGACGATGAGGCCAAAGTACATGAAACCACCGAGAATAATCTTGTAGTCGCGCAGCACGGTCAATATGTCACGGAAAGTGACCTTGCGCTCGGCGGCGTTGTTGCCCTGGTCGGCACGGAGGCGAGCCTTGAGGTACTCGCGCTCGTCCTCGCGCAGCCACTTAGCCTGCTCGGGGCTGGATCGGTGTTAGTCGTCGAAGATATTTTGGATAAGTGACATTGGCGAGAGCTTACAAAGACGGGAAAGTGAATAAGAAGATAAAGCAGATCAGAAACGAGACGCTACCCTCGAGAATGAAAATCCAGCGCCAGCCTCTGTAGCCACGAAGTTTGTCCACTAATTAAGAGTTAGAGACGTCCAAAGTCCATAAAAAAAGAGGAGCCGGTAGGAGAGCTCACTCTTGCCGATGGCCGAGGCCAAGAGACCACCGAAAGCGCCAGCGAGCGAGGTAGATGAGAAGAAGAAGGAGTAGCGGCGCTGGGCGTCCTCGCGACGGTACCACATGCCAAGGAGGTAGAAGCAGCCTGGAAACATGCCGCACTCAAACAGGCCGAGGAAGAAACGCGTGGCCAGAAGACCGCTGTAGTTCTGGACCAGTCCCTGGAACACGGTGACAGCAGCGAAACCCATGCCACAGCAGCTTAGCCAGACACGCGGCGAGAAGCGCTTTAGCATAATGTTGGACGCAAGCTCAAAGACAACGTAGGGCACGAAAAAGATGGTCAGGGCGGTGTTGTACTGGACACCAGACAGCTTGAGGTCATCGGCGAGATAAAAGACCTTAGCATTCGCGATGTTGATACGGTCAAGGAAGGCGACGAGGTACAGCAGAGCGAGGAAGGGCACGACGCGTAAGTCGATGCGGCGCATCAGCTTGGCGTGGGTAGTATGCGGCGGAACGGGGACGTTGAGCTCATCGACGGTGCGGCCGGCGGCATTAGGGCTCGCGTCGCGGATGCCGTGGGCCTCAATGACGCCGATGTTGTTGCCATGCAGGGCGGCGTTGTTATCGATGTCGAAGGCGCCGGTGCCCTCTTTGTTGCCATAACCGTTGTCTTCCGGCGTTGGCGGGGGCGCTTATGTTTACTGTTAGAAGGAGTTGCGGGCGTCCATACAGACCAAAAGAGAGAGGACTTACACCTCTTAAAGAATCCCATGTTGAAAGCTCCGCAGGTGGCGGTGCTGGTTGCAGAAGTACAGGACTGCCAACAGAGGATTGGCTGAGAAAGATGGAAAGGGAAATAGAAGAAAGAAAGGAAAGAAACGGAGGACGAGGGGGGATAAAAGAAATATAAGAAAATGAGCACGGATGGAAAAAAAGGCACCAGTGATCGACGTTACTCCAAAAACCCAAAAGACGGTTTGTGAAGCGAGCCTGGCGACGGAGGCGCCGTTGCAATATATGGAGTTAATTAAGGTGTTTCCGTCGCACAGGAGAATTAATGGACCGCGTGGCGCCCACCTAGACGATGCGCGTGTGTTCCCTGGATGCTGGTAAGCAGGGGGCGGATGAAGGATGGATGCTGTCTTGAGAAGAAAACAAGAAGAAAAAGACAAGATGGAAGCACATGAGAAATCGAAAATGATCAAGACAAGGAAACGTTGGACTCGGAAGGTGCGTTATGTATGCAGGAAGGCACGGGGCAGCACAGGGCAAGGAAGGGGCACGATATAAACAAGCTGTGGCCAAGGAAGGAGCCCGCAAGAAAGCCACGAGTGTGCCTATACCGGACGAGAGAAAGTAAAGCGAAGTGTCCCTAGGAAGGAGGGAGAGGGACGATCGATGGAAAGACCGTTGCCGGCCAGGGGGGATGCGGAGGCGCGATGTGGAGCGGAGAGGCGCGAGCGAGAAAGGAAGGAGGTAAGAGGCCAAGTGCACGACAAGGTCGAAGGAAAAGGTATTAGAAGTGGAAGGGACGATGGGTGGCCAAAACAGGAAAGGAACCTAGGAGAAATAGTAGACCAGCAACATAACAATACAACATACAAGCTGCAAGCAGCAGATACGGACGACCGGATCGCGAGAGGAAAAGATGCAATGGCAGCGGAAGGAGAGCAGTTGTGCTGCGGAACAGCCGGCGCAGATAAAAATACCAGGGTGTGTGTTGCTGGATGCGTGTGAAGAACCGGCGAAAGGGACAGGAGGAGGAGTGAAAACGTACGGAGTAATACAAGGTGCGTGAACCGTGTCTGGGCTAGTTCGTGACCCCGTGCCTAACGTCAAGCGTTGTAGGTCGCGCTTTCCAGAGAGAGAAGGAGCTGATGACGATCGGAAGTTGGCGAGGAAGGCGCGTGGGCGGGGAATGTGCCGAGGAAGGAATATGGGGAGGGGAGGAAAGGTTAAAGAGAGGACATGGAAGGACCAGTTCGAAGTCGATTGAGAAGTTTTGGAAGGAGCCAAGGGATGGCAAAAGGTGTAAGGGACGAGCTGACGGAGACAGGAGACAGAACTACAAAGCAAATAGACAAAACGGAAAGGGCGAGGGACTGACAGACTAGGGAAGACAGCCACGAGATGTCTAAAATGCCTATCACCAAAACAAGCGTCCTCGCGAGTCCGGTTTAACTGGCGGTGGCGGCAGAGACAACGCTGTCAGACATCGAATGGAACGGCAGGGTCCTGTTCGCATTCGTCTCGTCACAATACGCCGTATTTTGTCCGGTGGTCTAACACGTCGATCGCCGCTTTTTCCATGGAGATGACTGCACCCTGCATACGAACGCCCCCAAGTTTGCGATACTCCCCAAAGCACCTCGGACTCGGACTTCTACGCATACCAATGAGTCAACATCTCCAGTTCAGAAATCCAAAGCGACATCGGGGTAGCATGCGGAGCATCTTGATAGTTTCCAGCTCCGTCGTCTGGTCTTTTCTTCTTCCCACCTCCGTACTTGCCCAAATACATTTCTCTCCTCCGGGCCGTAGCTCGCTCCTTCCTTTCTATTGAAGAATAACCGTCGTTCCATCCTGGGCCTCAAATTGCCACTTGTCTTTTCACATGGTGCCAGCCGGTGATGCAGCACTAATGGAGAGCGGTGGGTTGACCACGGACGCATCTTACGTTCCCCACACGATGCACGGCAGGTAGCTTCGGGTAGGTCACGTATGTGGAAAGAACTGGGCCTTGAAAAATTAGCCTGCGATCGTGGGCTGGACTTGCCCTCTGGACCCAACTTGCATCCACAATTGCGGAGACGTGCAGCTTTGGGAGGCTACTTCGTCAAAATGACTGGAAAAAAACAGCGTAGCATTGGGGAAGAAATAAAGCCACCATCGGAGCGCATCGTGTTGGTGTTGGGGCAAACGAGACGGACATTCAAAGGGCGAGGCCGAAGGGGCGAGTGTGGCTAAGAGACAAAGCGGCCAAGCGTTGGAGAGAAAAGGAAAACGAAGCAGAAGCGCCTACTTCGAGGTCGAATCACATACTCGAATTGTTCTTTTGCTTCCATGCATCTTGGCATTCTTGGCTCGCGCTGGATTCTCAGTCTCACCTGCCTATTTCGCCTTCGAAAAGGGCCAGAGCCTCCGGTACTCGGGGTAGAAACAGGTCCTGGTCCACACTTTGGTTTGCTTTAAATTGTTACTGCGGTTCACCGGTTTTTCTGGTCCATTGTCTACATGCAGACAAACATCGACATGCCTGCCGCCAATCCTAACCATTTCTAATCATCTTTTTGAGGGGTTGCTCCGGTTCTATCAGGTTAGAATTCAGATTGTCCGGGTCCTGATGACCAAGCGTAAGAGCCTGATCATTCTTGTCCGCTCCGTGACACATTGTTCATTCGTCTGCAGTCGTCGTATATGTCTACCGTCCGTCTGACAGACAGTTCTCAAAAGTCAGCCCGCTACAATACGAAGACGGCCCGCCTTGCAACGTGGTAACGCTTTTACGAGGGCTGACACTGATCCATGCTATGCCTTTTTGCAAATTTCTCTCAACGACGTATTACTTTCCGCCACAACACAAGGCTTAACTGCGGCGGCCTCAACTTGGCCCCGAGATGTCGATCAAGCTTATGTCCGCTGACTGTGCTAAACTGCAGCCCAGCCCAGTATCTCACACCTGTGCTCCGTAAACTCAAAACTTGTGCGGATATCCCGCCGGCCGACACACACCCGTCTCACTTCCGACCTAATTATCTCATATTTTTGCTCTGGTCCAGTTGGCTACCGAAATGCGTGTAACATTACGATCCCGCTATATCCTCAATGGGCGACGGGCAGTTACGACGTCCGTTTTAGGGCATCTACATAAGACTATCTAGCGACGTTTTGTCGACGACACTCGTATTCTACTCGCCCTCTCCCTCACAAGTCTCTCCATCATTGGCCAGCTTTCACAATTTACAATCGTGGCTGATTCTTCGTCTGCCGTCTATAACCCTGTGGCTTGCTGGTTAGCCCTCTTCTGGAGTAGCCTCGTTTTGAGCCTCATTTCTTGGGCAGGCGTGTAACGTGCCAGTAGACTTCCAAAGAAAAAGAATTGCGCTGTTATCCTTCACGAGATGCTGAGTCTTGCTCTGTTAGGAATTATACCGTAATTAAGTCAGCCATAGCCTGGCTGCCAAACATAGCAGCGACAGACAGGTCCATAATGAATAACTATTAGCTAACGGATACCAGGTGGCCTGTTGTAAATATAAATCTCAGGGCAGATACTCTTAAAAGTTATCCGAATAGATGTGTACTTTTTCCGTACAATTGCATGTCACGCTGAATCATTTATTGTCGTAATCATTTCATGCGCCAGTAAACATGTGGTGTGATCTGGTCAATATATGTTCACGTGAGTTACTACCTCAAGTCCACAGAGCGCTGGACACAAACCTGTTAAAGAAAACCCATTTATCAAGTGGCAACTGACGTTAGTTTACGAGGGAACCCGACCCAATGGGTGGTCTAATGCTGAACTGCCGCTTGAGGGACGGGATCGGATTCGGATCTAGATACAGGCAGATGAACTAGAGGTGCAATGTAAGACTAACTTAGATGCAAGGAAATGATAGAAGAAAAGAACACGCGGAGACTGGGAAGAGGAGGGAGGAAACGAGGGATCGAAGGCCTGGGAAGGGGTGCAGCCGTCATGCACCGTAGATCCAAGAAGGAGTCTAGGGAGGAACCTTTGACCTTGAAATAAGCTTAAATTGCGGGAAGGGCACATTAGAGGCAGATCTTGTTCCCGAGACAGGGGAAGGAGGGGGAAGAACGGGAATGAATGGCGTTATCTCGATCTCGAGCAAGTGAGGAAAAAGTGGCGATGCCGCCGGTAGCCGATGGAACCCGGATTGAAAAGGCTTAAGCCGCACCAAGAGCTGACGCCTCGCGTGTCCTCCTAGGACAAGTAAGATTGCAAGAAACGCATAAAAGGAGAGGCCGCCTCCTTTTTCTGACTTTTCTTTCTTCCTCTGTTTCGTCATTTTGGCCGTGGTGTGGTTTGTTAAGTTGATCTAGAGGTCGTCCGTGGACGGGGTCAAATCAACCGGTAAACTTCTTTTTCTTTTTCCCCTGATGTAGACAGACCATAGGGCATCAGCTTCTGAGCAATGCACAAGTCACTTAAAACGGAGTGGCCGAAGTGACAAAAGTGGCAACAGGACGTGGAGAAAAGTGGAAAAGAAAATCCGTGTTGAGATGCATGCAAAAATAGACAAAGGTAAACAAGATAAATACAGTAAAGAATGGCTAATGATTCCAATGGACTCCAAACGATACACAAGAGGGGGGCTACTATGAGACCGCTGCAGTGCAGTGGCCCGTCTCCTCAAGCTATTGACTCATTAAAGGTATAAAACAAATGCGCACATATATTCAACATGCGTCAATCCAAATCCCTCGTCTCGGAAAATCTCCTTGTTGAGGCGTATTGTGGTCGACCAGAAAGAGCAAGCCGACACGCCGTCGGGAAATTTTTCTTTTCTATTTCCCACCTGTCATTGGTGCGGCAGAAACGGGCTGGCAGCGTCCTCCAACGCTGCCTCGCCCCGTCACCGGTGCTCAAGCTGCCCCTGTCCCTGCCCCGGCTGCAGATACTGGGGCTGGCCCTCCGTCGACAGTTCGACCGGTGGCGTCCACGACTCGCCAGATACTTCGGCCATGGGCGTCGACGCACCTGCGGAATAGTAGTATTTCTGCTGCTGCTCGAGCCCCGGCGATGCGCTTGTCGACACTGCTGTGTACGCGACGCCCGAGTGTGGACTGTGTGCAGAGTTGCTGGTGCCGCCGTATTGACTAGCCGCACCGTCAGCGCCGCCGGCGAGTTCTGCACCGTCGGAGAGGATGCCGTCGCCGGTCGCTGCCCGCCGGTTGCGAATAAAGAGCCAGACGGCGACGCCAATGAACGCGATGGCGCCCAGGGCGACGCCGATGCCGATGCCAGCCTTGGCGCCGGTGCTAAGACCACTGCTGGAGGACGAGGTGCTGCCGGAGTCGCCGCTGCTGCCAGTTGGGCCACTACTGGCGGCGCTGCCGGTATTGGTGGCGGACTTGGAAGATGGCACAGAAGACGTGGACGAGGGGATGTCAGTCGAATGGTAGCGGATCTGGAGGCCAAAGGCGTTGAGGCCCTCGGCCCCCGTCACGGTGGACACCACCTTCCCGGCGCCAATGATGTTGGTTGTGTATACAAACACCTGCTTGGTCGACATGACGTACGTACACTGGTCGGTTGAGTACCATGGCCAGTTCGTCTCCGTCTGGCATTGGTAGCCTCTGTGAACATGTTTAGCGCCCTGGAACAAACAAGACAATCAAACGCAAGTTGCAAAACGCAACAAACATGGCGAGATGAAGGACAACATACGTGGGACAGCATGTCGCGCGCGTTTCGGCACCGACGGTGCTCGAGCAGGCCTCCGTGTAGCCCTCGGGGCAGACACCCGGTGAAAAGTACTTGGTCGCGCTCCAGCCGGACGGGAAACAGTTGGATACGCTGCTGTCGACGCCGAGGTGGTAGTATTCGCACGGAATGAGACTGGAGCCGATGGCGCACGTTATGCCTGGGTACGGCATTTTGTAGAGATCGATTGTGCACGACGACGACGGCACGAATGTCGTCGTGAGCGAAGGAACGGCCGACATGGCTGCGAAGTTGGGCTCCTGTTGGACCGACTGTACTTTCTTCTCCTTGTTTTACTTCTTTGGAAACGGATGCCGATCGTCGAGAGTAAAGAAACCAGTACCGAATCTGTTTGCGAACCGAGCGTGGTCTTCGTGACAACAAGGCGACAGTGGCGACAGTAGCGACGGTAGCGACAGTAGCGACGATGTTGACGATGTTCACGATATTGATTTGTAATATCTATGTCGACGATGTTGATGATGTTGCCAACAAAAAAAGTCTTGATAGTCTCACAATGTTGACCCTATCTTCATCTGCAGACAGGTTTCGGAGGAACCAATCTAGAAAACACACCAACCCACGATGCCGACAGAAAATAAAAATAAAATAACATAAAAAGAAAGGATATGGAGAGAAAACAGAGACGCCAAACCTGCAACATACAAAAAAACAAGGAGAGGAAATGAGCGGAAACGAAATGGCCTTGCGAGAAAGGATCATCGTCTCGCTCAATACGCCTGCTAGCGGAGCGAACACAACACGCTCCGTTCCAAGGCACTGTCCACCTTTACTCCGTATGTGAAGGAAGAAACCCAGAGGATCAGAACCTGGCACAAACCAGGGAATCCTACCCTGCCACTCTGCACCACTTCCTGCGGCCTTCGTTCTTAGATGCTCTGTTTTGTGGTTTTCTGTTTCTCGGTTGGGCCAGTGGCTGGCATTAAGGCATAGCCTCCGTGTTGACCCCTGGCCGTCTCTGCCACTCTTGACCACTCGCCCTGTTGCAGACAATGTGCTTCAGCCCCTTTTTCGCGTCCTGCACAGGGTTTTGCGTCGCATCCATCATGATCCTTCGCTTCAAGTGCCAAGCCGAAATCAGCACGAGCGACGCTCTTCCCTTTCCTACCATGCGACATGAGCTGGTGAGGTAGGCGCCAGGCCCCACACCTAGGGGTTTTTGGCGCCAATTGGCGGTGCAAGAATACACGTGACACGCCTAGAAAGGCTTAGGCCGGCAAGTAGACTACCCACTGAGCCACTGTTTTGCCCACTGCTTATCCACTGATGTCCCCTGTATTGTCCAAATTCTGCAGGTCCTCATCCATAGTGTGGCGTTGAAAGGAGACTAAAAAACATCATCACTAAAGCCAAAATCAAAATACTGTCGTGGCGTTGATAGCCGGACTGCGGATTCAAAATAGAAAGCCAAGATATTAAAATAGACAGCATCGCCTCCGGCAAAAAGTCGGAAAATAATGGGACGAACCGTACAACATGTGCCGTAACCAGACGTAATCATACCTTTATCTCGCTGAGGATTGACCCTCATATTGTGACATTTATTTTCAAAGTCGAAAGAGGAGTCACGTGCTCTCTGTCGTGTAATTATGTAAGCGTAAAATTTATTGGCACCTCTCCAGACGGGCAAAAGTCAACAACATCAGACGCACCACGGCCACCGCGTTATGCTTTTCTAGTCTGGCCCGCCATGTCCCTTTACCACGAGGCTGCCACGGCACTGACGGCCCCGGCTTCGGACGGCGGCAACCTCAAGACGCGTATTTTTGGTCCGCGCAGCAAGGACGCCAAAGACGTGCAGACGGCCAAGGGCAAAGAGGCCAAGGAGACCGGCCGCCGCGGCACCAGCGTCATCCCCCCGGCCCAAATCTATGCGCTCGCCGCCGAGTCGTGCAAGTGGAGCGCGGTCCTGAGCGAGGTCATTGACCGTGCCGGCCTGCTCGAGCACGAGCGCCGCGCCCGCCTCACGCCCGTCCTGGCGCTGCTGCTCGTGCACGATTTGCTCGTGGCCAAGAACGGCAATGGCAACATCCAGCTGCCCGCGCACCACGGCCTGCGGGCGGCCGTCGAGCGGCACAAGACGCGGTTGTCGGCCGAGCTGACACGGGCCCGGCTGCGGCGCGGCGCCCCGTCCTTGCACGTGCTGCGCGAGCAGGTGGAACGGGCGGCTGCGGCGTCGGTGTCGACGACGTCGTCGCTGGCGGCGGCGACGCGGTGGGTGCGGGTCAACACGCTCAAGACGACACTGGAGCAGCAGCTGGCGACGACGTTTGCGGGCTATGAGCAGGTCGCGACCCTGCAAGACCTGTTTGCGGCCGACGCCGACGGGCCGCGCTTGTATATCGACGAGCACGTGCCCAACTTGGTGGCGGTGCCCTTGGTTGCCGTGCCCGCGTCGTCATCGTCGTCATCGTCGTCGTCTGCTGTCCAGACAGATCTGACCCGCTGTGATGCGTACAAGCGTGGTGCCATCATCTTCCAAGACAAGGCCTCGTGCTTCCCTGCGTACCTGCTGGACCCCGCATCGGTGCCCGGTGGCGGCCACGTCATCGACGCTTGTGCGGCACCGGGCAACAAGACGAGCCACCTGGCGGCCCTGCTGGGCGAGGCGAAGGCACCGATCGGCCGCCGCGTGTTCGCTTTTGAAAAAGACAAGTACCGAAGCAAGACGCTGCAGAACATGCTGCAAAAAGCGGGCGCACTAGCCGCCGAGAGCGGTGACGGCGCCGAAGTCGGCATAAGCATCGCCACCGTCAACGCTGGACAGGACTTTTTGAAGGTCGACCCGACGGCCGAGCGGTTCCGCGACGTGCGCGCCCTGCTGTTGGATCCCAGCTGCTCTGGCAGCGGCATCGTCGGTCGCGATGCTATGCCCGAACTACACCTGCCCAAGGCAGCCAAAGTCATAGGGGGCACGTCACAACAGGGCATGCCGACCGGCAGCGGCAAGAACAAACGGAAACGCGGGGCCGAGGCCGAGACAAAGAAGGTAAATGAGGAAAACATGGGTGACGATGTCCCTGCGGACGCCACGACCGCCCTCGACGACCTCCAGAGCAAGGACAATCCCAAGGCGCGCCTGGCCGCGCTCGCTTCGTTCCAGCTGGCGATTCTGCTGCATGCGTGCTCGTTCCCGTCGGCCCAGCGCGTGACCTACTCGACATGCTCGGTGCACGCCGAGGAAAATGAGCAAGTGGTGGTGCGGGCACTGCGGGCGCTGCGACGAGCGGAGGCTGGACGTTGGCGACTGTTGCGGCGCGACGAGCAGGTGGCAGGGATGCAAGCATGGCCCGTACGGGGTGATCCCAAGGGCGCAGAGAACGTGGCAAGGACTGAGGACGATGACGATGACCAAGACGAAGACGCAGCGGCTCTGGCCGAGGCGTGTATTCGGTCGTATGCCAACGACGACCGGGGTGTAATGGGCTTTTTCGTGGCGGCGTTTGTGCGAGACGAGGCTGGCGCAGAAGGGACGAAAGCAGAAAGTAGGGCACAAGACACAGAACAACCGCCACAAACCAATGGCGAACCTACGAAGAAAAAGTCCAAAAAGGCCAAGAAAAAGGCCAAGAAGGCAACAGGGACGGTGGCTCACCGGCCTGTCGAAGCGAAACAAGACCAGTCGGACGACGATGATTGGGGTGGTTTCGACGATTAGATATGCTGTGATGGCGACAGATATACTACGGGAGTTCTTTGACATTGATTCACATTTGCATAGCAGGATAGGTATAGACCAAAATGATTTGAAAAGGGTAAAAAGAAACCCTATTTTGAAAAGAAATGGAATTGTACCAAAAAGGCTATAAAAAATACACAATTGGAATTGAAAGCAGAATGAACAAAGAAAAAGTATGCCACGTGTATCCAACCAAAGCCGTGAATCGTGGGGATGCAAGAAAAGGATAAAGTAAAAATAAAATAAAATACAGGACACGAAGAGAAATGGAGCATAAGAACCAATGCATGGCCACCGCCCGCCGCACAGTCGACAGGCTTCTAGTGACGCCGTGCGTGGACGTGACGATGCATGTGCTCGCTGCGCTTGGCGGCACCGGCGGCCGAGGCCACGACAGACGTCGGGTAGGGCGCCGAAGGGGACGAGACGGCCGACGATAGAGTGCACGCCGCGGCTGTCTGGTAGATGGCCGACGTCGACGTCGAGTAGACGGTCACGGGGACTGTGACAATGGTCGTGGAAATGTCGGTTGGTGCGGCACAGCCGGTAGAGGTGGCATCGACAGACGAGACTGTGGAGGAGGGAGGAGGAGGAGGAGGAGGGGAAGAAAACGCGGAAGAGGACGGAGACGAGGAAGAGGCGGGCGTCACGACAGATGACGAGGAAGGAGGAGACAAGGCCGGGGAAGAGGACGAGTGCACAAGAGGAGCCGACGACGATGACGAAGAAGCCGACGAAGCACCGACAGCAGAAGACGACGAAGGGGCAGCCGAGACGGCGGCAACCTGGGACGAGACGACGACAGACGGCGACGAAGGCGAGAGAGAGGGAGAGGGAGAGACAGTGGGAGAAGGAGAGGGCGCCTCCGTCTTGGCGTCGGCGCTGGACACGGCGTGGTTGGCGACGACGGCAGGCGACGACGAGGGGGTCGAGGCCTTGGCAGACGAAGGAGCGGCAACGGCAGCGGCAGACGAAGAAGAGCCAGACTTGCCAGAGCCGTAGGTACTCGTCGCACCCGTGGCACCCGTGGCACCCGTGGCGCTGCCCGTACCGTACTGCCAGCCAAACAGCGGGTTGTTGCCGGGCAGCGCCGACAGCACACCGGTGACGTCCTCGGGCGTCGGGTTGGGGATGTTGCAGTTGCCCTTGAGCACCGTGTCGACGCCCGCGCACTGGTCCATGCCGGCGTCGCCGGCGTCGCACGTGTCGATAATGTGCTGCAGCACCGTCGTGTCCCAGGCGGCCAAAAAGTCGCCGTGCAGCGAGAAGCCGGCGGCGTCGCCGTTGGACAGCACAAACGGCTGGCTGTCGGCGGCGGCGGGGTCCCAGCGGTCGACAAAGAGGGGCGTGTTCCAGTACATTTCGTAAAAGAGGTGCGGCATGTGCAGCCAGCCCTTGGGGCAGTCCTGCTTGCCGTCGCCGGCGTCGGTCGGGAAGGCCGTGTTGCTCTGGAAGTCGGTCAGCGCCTTGGACGGGTCGTAGCACGAGGGGAAGTGCAGGTCGGCGCGCAGCGGCGAGGCGTAGCCGTCGCACTCGGCAAAGGGAAAGCCGGCGCCGGCGCCCTTGTTGTTCGTGTCCTGCAGGCCGGCCATGGAGCCGTCGGAGCCGACCGGGTACGAGGGCGGGTCGTAGCTGGAGCGCGGGCAGGTGAACTGGGCAGGCTGGATGGTGCCCTCGGCGGGGTCGAGGACGTCGTTGCCGGTGGTGGGGGCCGTCTTGCGCGTGGCGCTGCCGCTGACCATCTGCAGGCCGACGGGGAAGGCCGTGATGTCGTCGTTGGTGGCCTCGAAGAAGTAGTAGACGTTCATGTAGAACAGCGGCACGGGCTCAAAGGAGCCGTTCTTGGGGTCGTGGAAGAAGACCTGCGGCATCCAGTACGCGCTCTTGTCGCCGGCAATGTTGGCCGTGCTGCACGTCGACTTCAGCAGCGACTCGCCCGTCGCCGAGTTGCCAAAGGCGTTGCCGCCCTGGACGACGTGCACGTGCGACGACGGACCACCGGGGCTGACAATGGGGTCGGTGCGGCCGATGGTCAGCGGATCGTCGCCGTGGAAGCGCAGGACGGCAAACGTCCGCGAGTCCTTGGCCGAGACGGCCGGGGCGATCGCGGCCAGAGCGGCCACGAGGGTCGCCAGAGATTTGGGGGAAAGAGAGGAGAACATGGTGAGCCGTGTCGAGAGCGGACGGCAGAGGCAACGTCACTGGGACAGATGGAAAGAGACGTGCTGTTCCGGAAGCACAAAATTTGAGAAAGAGAAGACCGTCGGGCGACCAAGCAGCGAAAGAAGAACGAAGAACAGGCTGGCCTGTGTACACGGTGAAAATGCGTCAAGCTGAAGAAAGAGAATGTATGCACCGGGCAAGATGCAGTGGGCAAGATAGGCCGCAAGCGGAAAGGAAAGAAGACGTCGTTCCGTCAAGAAAGAACGTGAGTGTTTTGGTCCCGAGAGAACCAAAAAGCACAGAAGAATAAATCCAACAGGAGAGCAAGAAAAAAAGAAAGGATGAGGCCAAAGAAAGAGAAACAATGGCACACGCACGACAAAAAAGAATGTAAGTTTGAAATCAAAGAACGGTGAAGAAGAGGAAGAGAAAGGGGAGGAAGATTCAAAACTGCAAAGTCAACACAACAAACGGACGACAATGCGCCTTTATCTCGACGTGAAGCGCCCGTCTCGCCGTGCCTCCCGTCGGCCAAACCGTCGTTGCAACCTACCAAGGGGCCGGGCCTGCACGGCCTGGACGTTTTCACCCTGGACTAGCCCCAAGCCCTTGGTGAGAGAGTCCGTAGTTGTAGGGGCTTGTGGGGTTGCCCGATTGGTGTGTATCCCGGAGTACGAATTATTTGCTTTGCATTCATATTTGTTTCTATGAGAAGGTATCTGCCTTTTCGTTTCGTGCACGCCATCTTCACCGAGAACTGCACTTAGAACTGCACCTCTTTTTCGTAGATTAAGGGGTATGCCTGACCTGGCCGCACGAAAACAAGAGGCAGCGTCGCTGGCTCCTGCAATACGATAATCAAGATGTCGTAAGCTGTGCAACAAAAAAACATGTTTCTCGGGGGAGAGGACAGCCGACTGGCAGCGTGCAGATATAAACGCCCAGAATAAGCTGTCCGAATTTGTGTGCATCCTCCAGCAACTCTCTGTAACAAGGACACAAAACGTAGTTGGAAAGAATGAACATGCTTGAAAATGGGACGGGCCGTCGTCGTCGTCGTCGTCGTCTACCTCTTCTTCGTTTTCCGACCGAAACTTTGGTGGATGCGTTCCCCTCTTCTCCTGTCCTCCTGGCAATTAAAAGACCGACACAAAACAACACCCCTGGCACCGCCAACGAAACGACCAGTAAAAATCACGATTCGCAGCAGGGTTTCGTGGTGTAAGCTGTGGCGCCGACAATCCGCAGACTGCCGCCGTTGTTTGGTATTCGTCCCCGTCTTTCTGTGTTGGCGCGTTTCAAAACGTGGTCGTTGGGTCCGGCCACGGACAGGCCCTACCCCTTGCGGATAGCGTCCCTTCAAACATCCATCCAGGGGTTTGTTAACAGATGGGTGACCACAGCCGCCAGGTCCAGAATGTTCTGGTTTTGGCCAAGCTTATTTTGCAGAACCGCAGCAAATCGAGAAATGGGACAATATACGCCGTAATTACGACCTGTTTCTCCAGAACAAAATAAGGTTGTCCCGTTTGGAAACCGTCGCTTGGGAGCCTCGGGCCTTTCCTGTGGGCTATTCCTGAGGGCTTGGCAACAAAATGTTCGTCTCAAATTCTCGGGACCAAAATCGGGGGCCAATATCCGTCCATTTGCAGAGGTTGAGCTCGGCGAGCAGCCAATGCCAACGGGCATGGAAGAAGGTGTCACGACGTACTGCCTTCCGGGGATTCAAGATAGGGGCTCTCTTCGACTTGTTTATTGCATACATTGAAATGCAATCCTTTTGTGTTTCCCATCCTCTGAAAGACCCGATGACTGCAATTCAATTTTCGCCGACCAGAGGACCTGTTCTCCCGCGGTGCCTTGTCTTTTCGTTGTCCGGCTTGCTGTCCATATCCGTACGTTGTACGACGGACAACATACTCCATCCTGGGCACCATGGCGTCCCACACGCACAATCCCTCCCTGCCCCTATTCAATTTGGGCTCGATGTGACGACAGCGTAAGAAGACAATACTCCGTTCTCCGTACTAGCCAGAGCAACCAACGCCACCCCAGGCCTTCTGTAGACGGCAATAGACGTCCCAGTCTATGTGATCCCAGAGTCTATGGTCGGATTCGGAGTCGGGGGAATAGAAGCTATGCTCTTTGTGCGTAAGTAGCGCACCGCTGTCTTGCAGCCCGTCTAGGCCTCTGCCGGCGCCTAGTTCCAACCCCCAAAACAGCCCCACACGCCACCGCTCCGATCGCTGTAAACAGAGATGTATCTCAGTATGACGCCGTGGACGATCCAGCAAAAAGGCGACCATGCCGGCACATCTTTGTAATTGACAGGCATTGTATAGACAAAGACACCTCAGTCCAAGGAATGGATCGATACGTTCAAATTGCTAAGCTGGAGCTATTCGTGCGCGTCTCTACCTCGACGGCGAAGCGTCTGCATGCTCCGGGCACGGCCCTACTGTCTTCCACTTGCCGCCGTGTTTGCATTCGCATTCACATTTCCGCCGTATCCTTCCGTCGCTGGGGCGGCTGCACCGCTCCCATCATACGCGTCTGCACTCGTTTCGTGCGTGGCCACCGGTGCCGCGCCAGTCTCGGCGCCTCTGTTGCGGAACGCCGCCCCGGCGGTGCCTGTCTCGGCCGCCTTCTTCTCGCGATGCGCCTGCTCGTGGCGTGCCACCATGTCGTCTGCGGCCGCCATGTCGGCCTTGCCCTTGTCGGCAATCGTGTGGTGTTTGTTGGTGGCAGCGGCCGTCGTCGGGTGGCTCGGGTTGTTGTCAAACGTCTGGTCGACGGCCTCCATCAGCTCGCCGCGCAGGGCGTCGCCGGCGCCGCGGATGCCCTTGAGGCCGGTGGTAACGTCGTTGAGAAAGTTGGACATGGTGTCGATTGTATATTTATTTTGATGTGTTTTTTATTTGATGTTCCTTGATGTTCTTTGATGAATGTGGAAGGGCCGTGTTGGGTGGTCCTTTGGCCTTTTGTACAGTGGACGTTGCCCCGCCACAGCAGCTTTGGTATGACGTCAATGCTACTGTCATGTTGCACAGCCCTCGCTTCCTCTCTTCGAGTGGAAATAAGCCTCTTGGATTAGATGATAGACCAACAAGTGTTTCTTTCTTTAATCCATTCTTTCTTTACTCGGGTCTGCTTCTACATTATCATTGCCAAAGAAATCACAATTAAATACCATTACTTCCTCTGAAACGTGCCACGGGCGCCGTCTTCCCGTATCCAAATATCAAAATAATAGTGCAGACGACTGGCGCGTTGCTTCATCTGTGATAACAAGTGTATCGGCATTGTTATTATTTTTTTTTGTAAATTGGTAATTTTTTAAGTTTTTTTTTTTTTTTTTTTTTTTTTTTTTTTTTTTTTGGGCTGCATATACCAAGAGATGAAATAAAATAAGAAGGAAAATTAAACAGATTAGAAACGTCCAATTAAAGCAGTAAATTCCATGAAACAATTTTGTTACACATCCAACATAAAACGACTACCATCGTTACGGTACATTTATTGAAAGACTTTACTTATTACTAAAATGTAATCCTGCATCGCCTCATTCACCACGAAGCAAGCTCCAGGTCCACTCAATCTACGATTCGTCACACCCAACATCAGAAGAATCTGGGATGGAATCTATTTGAGCAGAACCAACCACTCCCCGCAATGTGACTGCATGATCTGTTCTGGCGCGATCTTCATTATGACCTCATCTCATCTCATCGGATCGAGTGAGTGAGATCTCCGTTATACGGTTACTTCCGCTCCGACCCATTCTCATCTTAAGGTACCATGATAATAAATACAAACAAATACGCCTTACGCAGTGGCATCGAGCATTGATGGCCTCTGCTTGTGTCACACAAAGTCTGTTGAAATGGCTCTGTTCTCCGTCACCAAAATCGTCGAGTGTCAATCACCATGACTAGATCCTGAAGTAAGTCACGGTCAGTTACCCACCACCTGGGAGTCTCCTTGTACTTCTAGTGCCGTTACCGTCTGCTATCTGTGCGAATTTCTGAAGTGTTGGTCCCAATGCCTCGAACCGACTGCCCAAGTAGAGCAAACTAATCAAGCCAACGAAGCCATTGCTATTAGTACTGTGAAGATGCTCAATGGGTGCAGCAACCAGCCTGACTCCGCCCAGGATCCTGGAATACACGCCATTGGCCCGTGTTTTAATTGAGGCCACAACCTTAAAAGCGCTGACCGACTCGTGCTATCACTAGAGTGGCGGTCCTTGGCACAAGAGGCCTGAAGAAACTAGCTAAGCATTCTGTCAACTCAACTTTGGCAGATTTCAAAATGCCAATTTCCGTCCCGTAATGGAGGCTCCTTCGCATGCAAGTCGCTCCTGCCAAGTGGGACCCCCAAGACTTTGCGCTTCGTTCCTTCTCTGACGATTCGCATTCTCGGGTAATACCCCCTATTTTCGGGGCCTATTATCCCCACGAACAATAACTTGCGACGAAAGGCAGCTGCGACCCTCCTACCTCCAGTCGTTCCGCACCTTTTCGAACCTGTCGCACCTCCTTTTGTTGGCGATGCTTTGACCAGTACTTCGTATTGTTTTTGTTTTCCCATTTCTCTTCTTCCACCGATGCTCCTTCGTTTTTGCAGCTCCATTCTTGGCTAAGCTGCCGACGAGCGGTCTTGGAGCCACACTTTTCTTTTGCTTGTGCCTTTTTCTGCTTTTTTTTTTTGGCCGAGTTTCACGTCACTCTTTTGATTTCCACCGTCGCCATGATGTTCTTTCGCAAGGCTGGCACGGCCTTCTCCAGCCGCCGAGGCCCTCAATCCTTCTCGACGATTGCTCGCTTTGTCGTTGTCGTCGGCTTCGTCACCTTCGCCGCCACCGGCCTCCTCTTGACCCAATACTCCCCCGACAAGGTCCGCAGCGTCGCCGCAAAGATCCCGCATCTGACGCTCAACCCAGACTCCGAAGCCCAGCAGGCCACCGCCGAGTACGACCGCCTCGTCTTCAACGTCTCCGACACAGACCTGCACCCCATTGACCGCCTCATCGCCGCCGCGCGCCAGGCCCACGACGCCCTTGTCGCGAAGCAATCCTCTGATGTCGCAACCGCCGCCGCCAAATACCGCGAGCGCCGTGGCCGCCACCCGCCGCCCGGGTTTGATAAATGGATGGAGTACGCCAAGAAACACGATGCCATTGTCGTCGAGGACTTTTTCGACCGCATCTACCACGACCTGAACCCCTTTTGGGGCCTCGACCCCGACCAGCTGGCCGGCCGTGCCCAGTCCTGGCACCACGTGGTCCGCGTGCGCGGTGGCAAGGCCACGGGTGTTGGCGACGTCACTGGCCGCGTGCCCTGGCTGAAGCTGTGGACCGACCTGGTGGCCGAGGCCGCGCCCTTCTTGCCCGACGTCGACATGCCGATCAACTACATGGACGAATCGCGGCTGCTGGTGAAGTGGGAGGAGATTACAGACCTGGTCAAGAAGGGCGAGGACGGCCGCGAGATTGTTCCGCGCGAAAAGGCACTCCAGCAGTACCGCGGCCTTGCTTTCATCGATGCCAAGAATGCCAACGAGACCAATGCCTACGACCCGGACTGGATCCACGAAAACTCCCCCCAGTACTGGGACTTGTCGCGCGCTGCCTGCCCGCCGAACAGCCCGAGCCGTAATGTGCCGGCCCTCAAGGACTTCTCCCGCCCGCCTAGCTTGCCCTTTGACTGGCGGCCGGCCTACTCGTCGGAAGGATATGTCAAGAACTTTACGGGATCCGCCGACCCGTGCACACAACCACACCTCCGCTCGCTGCACGGCACCTTTATCGAGCCCCTCTCCATCTCGACCTCGACCGAGCTCATCCCCCTCTTTAGCGGCTGCAAGCTGCCCACCAACAACGACATTCTCATCCCTGGCGCCATGTACCTGACGGACGATCCGTTCTACTCGGGTGGCGACGGCCATGGACCCCAGTGGTCCCAGAAGAAGACGGGCATTGTCTGGCGCGGCGTCGCTTCCGGTGGCCGCAACAAGAAGGAGAACTGGTCCCACTTTCAGCGCCACCGCCTGCTGGAGATGCTCAACGGCACCACGGTCACCGCCCTCGAGCACGACGGCGCCCGCGCCATGACCTTTGAGATGGCGCCCCTGCAAATGTACAACTACCAGCGTCGCCATGACATGACCGTCGGCGATTTCCTGTCCGAATTCGCCGACGCCGGCTTCACCGACCTGCTGTGCTTCCCCTTTGGCGAGTGCGACTACGTCGCGCCCCACTTCCAGGCCCTGCCCAGCAAGCCCATGGCCGAGCAGTATGTCAACAAGTTTATCCCCGACGCCGACGGCAACAGCTTCAGCGCCCGCTTCCGCGGCCTGCTGTTGTCGACCAGCCTGCCTCTCAAAGCCACCATTTATGCCGAGTGGCACGACGACCGCCTCGCCCCCTGGCTGCACTTTGCGCCCCTCGACAACACCTTCCAGGACCTGCACGCCGCCATCGACTACTTTACCAGCAGCGCCAAGGGCGACGCCGCCGCTCGCATGCTGGCCTCGGTCGGCAAGCGCTGGGGCGAAAAGGTCCTGCGCCGCGACGACATGCTTCTCTACACCTGGCGCCTGCTGCTCGAGTTTGCGCGTGTCTGCGACGAGAACCGGCTGCTGCTAGGTTACACCGAAGACCTCACCCCGGCGGTACCGGCGAACCCATAAATGTTTTTTGTCTTTTGTCTTTTGTCTCATATCTTTCTGTTTTCCTTTTGTCGTTTTGCAATCCTTTTCATTGCTTGTATAATTCCCCTATTGGCTTTTGCACCTTGTTTCGTTTACATTTTACGTTTGCATAGGCGTTCTTGGTATGGCGGTTTCCATTCGGCGCGAGGTTTCTTATATAAGGGCGGCGGTGTCTATTTCATTTTTCAAAGAGAGAGACGTGGTTGAGCGGTCTTCTCATATTACCATATCCGATAGTTATTAATTAATACGTTGACCATAATCAGTTATCCGACGACGGGCATGAAGCTGACACGGGAGTCGCGGTCGAGCAAGTCTATACACGCTTCACGATAAGTGCTCACGTATTGCTTATCTACACGTGCAAGTCGATTATCTAATCACACGTGATGGGGCTTTTTCTGTAGGGCTTTCTAACCCTTCTGTTCTTCGAAGACCCACTTTTTACACTTCCAGTGGAGAGGCTCTTGCTGTCTCTCTCCTCATTCGCTAACACTCAACCTCGTTCTAGCGGAGACTGCTTTTGCCCAAAACCAGGCGGAAAACTAGTATTGATTTTTTTGCACTACCGCAATTTTTTTCGTCCTCAGTCCTGCTCTGTGTGGTGCCCACTCTGTCTGTCGGATTTTCAGTGCCGCTCATTTTGCAACGAGAGTCTCTTTTTTTCGTTCCAACCACCATCACGACAACAATCGACACCACCTCATCTTCTCCCCAGGTGATTCGGACAACACAGACACAATGGTACGATTGACCCTGTTCTTCTCGACATCGACATTCGACGACACGCGCTTCATTTTCCAGTCGGCATACTGACGTTTTTTTCTTCTTTTCTACAGGCGATCAAGCACAACAACCAGATCCCCCACAACCGTTCGTCGAGCCCTTCTCCCCTTCCAAGACAAGAAAGACGAGCCGAGATTTTCGACGACAAATGAAAACGGATCGAACCGAGAGAGAACAATTGGACTGACTGGATTGCAACAGACTTCCGCAAGGATTGGCAGCGCCGCGTGCGGACGCACTTTGACCAGGTACGGATTAACTCTTTGGAGGACGAACGTTGGACAATCGACACGCCGCGAGCTCGACTACGACGACAACCGGACAGCCCTTTGAACGAGGAGGAACCGAGGATGTCGACATTTGAACGAGATTGCGGGACCCGTCGTGTTGAAATGCTGTCCGGATGTCGAAGCGATGGAAAGAGAATCGGAGGATGGCAAATCGAAGCAATGCTGCACAGGAAAGACGATATGCTAACATGACCCCCCCCCAAATGCAGGCCGGCAAGAAGCACAGCCGCCGTGTCGCTCGTCAGACCAAGGCCGCCGCCATCGCCCCCCGCCCCGTCGACCGTCTCCGCCCGATTGTCCGTTGCCCCAGCATCAAGTACAACCGCAAGGTCCGTGCTGGCCGTGGCTTCACCCTGGCCGAGCTGAAGGTGCGTCGTAAACGTCTGCGTGGCAGAACAGGCCCGTCCCTTGCCCATTTCTGCTTTTGAACCTGTTTCTTCTAACCCCATGTCCCAGGCCGCTGGTGTCCCCCGCCTGCTGGCCCCCACCATCGGCATCTCCGTCGACCACCGCCGCCAGAACCTGTCGGAGGAGTCCCTGGCCGCCAACGTCGCCCGCCTCAAGGCCTACAAGAGCCGCCTGCTCGTCTTCCCCAAGAAGGGCGCCAAGCCGACCGTCCCCGCCGGCCAGTCGGCCGCCCTCATCGCCTCCGCCCTGCCGATTGTCAGCTCCACCGCCGGCGTCACCGAGATCAAGACCAGCGAGCTGCCCGCGCCCCTCGAGGCCGGCGCCTACGCCACCCTGCGCAAGGCGCGGTCAGACGCCAAGCTGGTGGGCAAGCGCGAGAAGCGGATCAAAGACAAGGCCGAGGCCGAGGCCAACAAGAAATAGACTATGTCGCCTTGAAAAGAGGAGCCGTAGTGTATGGATGGTTGGGTGCGGAGCTGGGCCGGGATGTGAACCTGGAAAGAGAAGAAAAGGAAAAAAAAAGGGACAAAAAAACACAAAGGAAGACGGGGCGGTTCGGGAGGCCAACGAATCAACAAAACACCAGGAAGGGGGTGTGGTCGCGCGATGTGCAGCGCCTGCAAAGGAGCCCGTGCTCGTCAAACGAGACTGCGGCGCGGATTTGCCATGCGTGTCAGTTTTTTGCACTGTCCCAAGACCCTCCCTCCGTTGCGAACACCTCCCGCCGCATACAAAAAGGGTGTTTACACCGGTATTTTCTTGTTTTGTCTTTTTTTTCTTGGGTCGTTTCATTTTATTATGTTATCCTTTTATTTCACTCAAACGGTGGGAGTTATGATTCAACCAAATACAAAAAAAGAGATAAAAGAACCAAAACCAACGTGCGGAATGAGTGATTCTTATGATCTTTTGAGTGCCTCGGTTGGGGTGGGGCGTGCCATTACTACGGCCTTGCCTCGCCCTGATTGCATCAGTCTTTTATACATTCTTTGTACATACTTCGTGTATCGACATGTCGTATATTTGCAAGATGAGGTGGTATATTTGCTGTTTTAAATGCTCTATCTAGATGTATCGCTTGTATAAATCTGTCCAGTATTTTACTGGTATATTAATGAACTTTTGGAGTTTCTTCAGGTGTTTGAGTATGTGTTGACATGATGTGGAGATGCTGGCCGGATGGCCGGGTCCGAAACGCTGGCGGAAGATGTTTGTGTCTCCCTTCACAATCTTACGTGGCCAAATCCTCGCTCTGCTCCGACCGGGCACTCACGACCAGTGCGCCGCCGGTTTGGAGCAGCTGCTCTAACACACCGCGTCGAAACGGCGGGAGGAAATGGGCGTAGCTCTTCATTATCTCGGCGATGAGGACCAGGCCGTTCTCGCGGTCGGTGCGGGCCATGCTCGCAACCTGGGCGGGATCGGCTTGCTGGGGCTCCAAACCAAGGCCGTCGATGTTGGCAGCCGATGATGACGGGGTTTCTGCGGCGATCGCGCCTGCACTGTCGCTTAATTTGTCCTGCTCCGATGCGGATGGCAGAGAGACTGGCGCGCCGGTGGAATCCGTCATTGTCAAAAGCTCGTCATCGGACAGCAGTGATGCGCCACCAGGCAAGCGGTGGCCTTCGACCAAGTCACGCCCCGACACGGCCTCTACTAGTGCTCGGCATGCTTCGAATGGCTGCAGGGCGCGCATGACCAAATGGGCGCCATCCGTAGACCGACTGAGAACGGCGGACACGAACCAGGTATCGGACCGCAGGACAGGGAATCGCGTCTGCGTAATAAGATACGTGAGGCAGTCGGCCATGTCTATGTGGGCGGAATAAAACCGGGCTCGTCTTATGCGTGCAGAGCTGTTCGGTAGAGAGGACGGATCCAACACGGCAGTGTCGTCCCCGTCGGCCGATGTGGGAGCCGGGACGCTTGGCGGGTTTGGAGACGGCTCAGAGGACGAAATTCCGCTGTCGTTGGTCTGTATAGAGCCCGAATGCGGCGACGTCTCATCGCTGGGCTCCCAGTCGTCGGGCAAAACGTCGTCGGAGTCGGAAGACGTGTGCAGCACCCGACATACAGCGGAAATTGCGCGGGCTGCTTCCGTTTTCGTGTTCTCTTCCTCGGACCGCTTGAAGAGGGAGATGAGCACGTGCAGATTGCTCCGGTCATGGGCAGGTGAAGCCGGATCGGGGGACAGCGGTGCACAGATGCGCCGCACATTGGCAGGGCATGACATGATAAGCAGGCGTGTTAGGGACACGGCAGCAAATTGGACCTGTGGCTGGTTGTTCGTGCTTGTCCACAGTCGAGGAAGGATGTTGGCAGGGGGGTCGAGCAGAGTGCCCAGGACAGGCTTGTTGACGATGGGAATGGCGAGGTTTTTGAGGTAGGAGAGCGCAGAGAAGACGAGCTGGGAGCTGGGAGAAATGCCCCCGACGGCTGCGTCGGACGACAGGTCGAGAAGACTTGCGTTGGGCTGTGAGAGAAGCTGGATGAGGGGCAGATGAATCTTTACGTCTTGAACAAAGTAGGTGCTGGCCTGGTCGGACCGAGCCAAATTGCCAAGGGCAATGCAACCGGCCGTCTTCAAATGAACATTCGTATAGGTGTTGGAGACCCACGACTGCAGTATGTGTACGGGCACCGAGCTCAAAGTGTAATGTGTCTCGAATGACGGGAGAGCCACGACATCGGCAATAATGTGCATGAACCGGTTACCGAGGGCCTTGTAGTCGGCGGCGTCTTCAGGGTCCATCTGAGTGACATCGTACTTGGTGTAGGAGTCGGAGTAGGCCGTCAAAAGCGCCTGGACGCCGTTTTGGCGGATAATCTCTTCCTGAAAGGGTTCATGGGTGAGATATGCGAGCGCGACAGACACGAGAACACTGAATTCCTCAATGTCGAGGGCGTTCTCGGGGCTGACGGCTAGTTGCAAGAGGTATGCTGGTGTCGCAGGGTCTGCCACGGCCACCTCCGATTCATTCGCAACTAGCAGACCGAGGAGTTTGCAAACAATATTCAAAAACGCTCGGCACTGGGCCAAGCGTGGACCTGACACGATGGAGATTAGGCCGCGGCTCAGATGTGCCTGAATCGCCTGAAGCTGCGCCGGTTCTGCGAGAGGTGGTCAGAAAAATCACGATATGGAGGAGGGAAAGAAGGCCCGTAAATCACGCAGAATTGTGACCTACCATAGTCTACGCAGATGTTGTAAAGCACCGGAATGACGAAGGCCAAGGTCGAGTTATCGCCGAGGAGAGACACAATGCGCCCGATCTGGTTGCCGGCCACGACACGGGCGCGGTTATCATCTGGCGATGTTGTTAGTAACGGGAACAAGTAGACGGTGGGCAGGGGGGGGGGCATAGCGCAGCCAGAGATACATAGCATCTCCCCTCTTCGCGAACTCACCCTCATCCGCGCAGGAGTTGCCGATTAAGCGCAGGGTATGAATTTTGAGAGATTGTCGCAGACCGTCGACGGACAGGATGCCGAGAAAGAAATCGAGCAAGCCCGACTCGCCTATTGGTATCCGCCATGAAGCTGCACTGCGTTAGTACGGACATGGATTGAAGGAGATACTTGGGGGGCGGTGATAAATATGCCTCGTTGACCATGCGACCCAACGAAAAGGCTTGCGTACCATCTCGGCTACCGTCGCCCAGGATCTCGGCAGCCAGGTCCATGCTCGGAGACCCGGTGACCCAGTAGTGCTGTACCGCGAGCAAGACCTGCTGCAGGCTGGCCACCCGCTGTGCTTTCTCGGCCGCTGTCAGCTCGCCGGGGCCGTTCGGAGACATGGCGGAGCCATTGTGGGCGGGAAAGCCTGAGGCAGGGCCACCTCGTTCGAAAAGAAGCTGGATATCGGCCGGTCGCATCGTGGGGCAAAGCGGAGAAGGAGTTGCAGGGTAGATCGGCAAGAGAGCGAGAAGATTCGGGACCGAGAGCGGTGCCCGGCCAGGCGGAGATAGGCGGGGTCAAAGCCGGGGAGGACGTTGATGGGCCAAAAGTCTCAATCGACAAATATGTTAGGCGGCGTACCAAGGGCGCATAGAGCTGGGCATCAGGAGCTCGGGCGTTTGACAGCTGCTTCGGTTCAATCCGAGTTTTGCAGACAGAGCGGCGTCGAGCGGGAAAGGAGCGAAGGAGAGGAGGGCGAGCAACGACAAGGCGTGAACGGCGAAGAGGCAATAGAGCACAAGAGCACAAGAGCACAAGAGCGTGAGAACGAGAGCGTATGCGGAGGCGGCACCGTTGCTGACGAGCAGAGGTCGGGCAGAAACAAGAAGGAACCGTAGCGGAGCAAGCTTATCTGGCGGGAAGACGGTGGTTGCTGTCGGGGCTGCTACAGGACTGGCTGCTACTGTGTATGTGTAATGGGGGGGGGGGGGGGATGAAAAGGTTGCCAGCCGCAGTGACGGGTGCGGGCGTCTGTAGTAACCTATCTGGGAGTGTGTGAGGACCGGCGACTTTTTTAGTTGGTGCGGCAATTGGCCTGGGCTCTCGGCCGCAAGTGGGCACCCTGAATTGCCAGTGCTGTGGTTCGTCAGCCGTGGCGAGTCAGGCCGTTTGTTTGGTGTGAGGTCTTTGTTGGAGGAAGACGAAATTGAAGAAGACGGGAGAGGCGCCGGTGTGGCTTGCAAGCACAAACAAAACATCAGAAAAGAGAAAGCGCGTAATGTGACAGGTTGCGGATAGCTCTTGCCGTGCATGTCTTTCTTCGGCCGGACTAAGTTGATGAGGGTTTCTTCCAGCGCATAATAGGTGCAAGGGCTTGCCGGAGCAGCACGACAGCGTCAGACATAACAGGCGGAGTTAGTCAAATTTGGGGCAAACGGGTACTGAAAGCTCCGCAATCTTGGCAGACGGTGGTAAGAGGCAGTGTTTTCTTGCTCCTTCCCCAGCAAGGGGCTTGACCGTGCCCGTCATCTCACATCTCAATCTCATCGTGCTTTGTAAGGGAAGGAGCGAAGGAAACAAAAAGGGAGGCCAAAAAAGGGAATCGCGCTCTAGCATAACTGCAGAGGCACTTGAACTGGTACATCCACACCAAAGCTTCTTGGGAGTCGGTGCAAGAGGTAAGGCATCGCTGGAATGCAGTGGAAGCCATCAAAGACGGGCCGTGTGGCAGGCATGTTTATTGGGCAAGAACGGGTAGGTACACTGTTGGTGGACGGGAAAGTGCAATTGCCTGCTATTGCCTTGAGAACAGGGCAGACAAGCGTGACAAAAACGAGGAAAGCGAGTGAGACTGGCAACGTGAAAGAGGACAGTGCAAGCAACGGGATTGAGCGAATCCCTGCGGGATTCAACCAACGAGAACAAAACAACCTGAACGTGAATGAAGAGGAAGGGGAAAGAGCGATCAAGTCAAATCTTGAAAAATTGAAATGAAGAAGGAAGAAACTTTGCCCTGTCCCCTTTTATGCATATTTCCAGAAGCTGCGACCGGAAACAAAAGCAAAAAGGAACCAGCACGACACGGCAGGGGCCGTCGTGTCGGTGCTCGCCCTCAACTTGTTCCGACGACAGCATTTTGGTCTGGAAAACAAGACTACGCGGAGGAGATGCGGAGAAATAGTCCGTACACGACACCTGTATTCCGTATGTCATAATGACTCCGGACACCATCGGAGGCATAAAAGGCTCGCAGTGTTACATCCACTCCACGTGATTGTTTCCCATTCGCAGCTTCGATTGTCACTTTCGTTGCTTTGTGGTAAGACTGAAAGGAGAGGCACCTCCATACCACGAACGTTTACGTTTCTGGACGGTTGATCCAGCCCATGTTTTCGTTCGTTATATGACGTGGACCGCAGCGCCTCATTCCGATGGTCGCATGAGGCACAGCACCAACGTCGACAATACTAAGAGCAGCCAAATCTTGCAGTAATAGGTCCGTTTGACAACAATCATCTCCATGTCGGCCCCGGCATTATTGTGCGGACCGAGCAGTCGTTGTCCTCCGAGAGGGGATCTACATACTTCTCCTTCTTTTGGTGCGGCGCGAAACCGTACATTAAACGTAAAAACGGAATACCTTGTCTGCTTGGCTGTTGTCGACGTCTGCTTGTGGCACAGGCTCTCCTTTCGTCTCCAACAGCAGACAGAGACATGGATTGCCAGCTTTACCCGGTTCACGTAAACAGGCTGAACAGGAAACCTGGGGCACGCCCCATCTACGATTCGTTGTTTTACACATGTCGTTTAAAATTACGTGCCAGCTGTGGCGATAAGCCACGGCATGGTGGTGGCATGCCTTTTTATTTTGGTTGCTACCAATTATGGTGCCCTTTCTTGCATCTGGTGATGGCTTGTTTTCAGTCAAGTTTGTCCACGGTCTCTTCGACTGTCGATGTGTGTCTATATAAATTAGAGCTCCTTGCCATGCCTCAATGTAAACACTAGAGACCCAAACGAGAGTAAACCATACCAAGACGAAAGAGGCGATACCAAACACAACAAATTCATCATGATCATCAAAGCCGAAGCCTTGGCCGCTCTGGCCTCAGTCTTGGGCAGTGCATGGTAATACATAGGAGATCAACTTCACCAAGACACAAAACAGAAAATATACTGACCTCACCCGGCAGTGCTCTGCCAGAGGCCGCCAGCATGGCCGCTAATTGTCAGCCGTGCTACACACGAACCATTGTCGTTGAGCAACCGCTCCCAAGCTGCGGGCCCAATTTCATTGAACCATTTCCGCACCAAGCCTGCGGCATGGTCTGCATCAGACAAGCACAGGCTCTCGAGGCCAGAAAGGCAAGACAGGTTGGAGAGGCTGATGTCGACACGGCCGCGCTTATCCCAACAGTCACGATTGTCAAGTCCACGACAGTGATTGCCGCCACTGTCACGTCCACCATTCCCGGCATCAACGCAGCCTGCCCTACCACGGATACAGTTACGGTGACACAGTCCCGGTCTGGATACTCCGCCCAAGATCCGTACAAGTTCTGCGGCCGCGCCCTTCCTCCAGACTGCAGCTGCGGTGGCGGCCCGCGCGCGACGTCCACGCTGGTCGAGGTACATACGATCTCGCAGACGGAAACGGTCTTTGTCACCAAGCCGCCCATGCGGTGTAGACCGATTCCAACGCCTCCACCGCTAGACGGACGTGAGGATGTGTCGATGCCCCTCTCCACGGAGTGCGCGACGTACGCCACACAGTGGGAAGAGGTGCTGTGCTACGATGGGTCGAACCGCGCAGTCACTGCTGCTCCTCCGGCCCCTACGGCAGCTGCAGCGGTGCAGAGCGGCCTGCCTCTCACAAAATATACAAGCGACTGCACGGTACACATTGTATACCGGTCTGCCCAGTGTCTGGATCTTCGTCTCTAAGGTAGTGAGCTGCGGGTGTATGCAGAAATCCGTTTGCAAAATGAATTGCTATGCAGAGACAATATGCAAATGATCCAAAAACGGTAAACCGAAAATAAAAGAAAAAAACAGAAATATGGATCCAAAAGTTGTTTCATTTCTTTAAAAAAAAGTGTGCCGCGCATAAAAACAAAATTCACGCCTATAAAAAACATGTACAAGACTGCAAAAAAATATGACAAGGGGTAATGTGGTGAAAGCAAAAAAAGGGGTTGTTGTTGGCCAAACAAAGGAAGGTCAAGAAGTAAAAGTGTCAGGAAAGGAGAGGTTGGCAGCAAAAGAGGGAGGAAGAGACCACCGCGTGTTCTTTTGGTCTGCATACATGAGATCTACAGGCCGCGGATGGAGCCGACGCCGAGGAAGCGGCTGTTGACTCTGCGCTTGCGCAGGCCCGAGTCGGACTGCGGGAACGGATCCTGCGACGGGAAGTAGGCGTTCCAGTTGGTGCACTGGGTGTCCAGGGCCGACTTGTCGGCCGCCGCGACGCCGGCCTTGAAGTCCGTGGGGCGCTCCGCAAAGGTGACGGCCAGGCCGCCCGAGACGTGCCAGGCAATGTGGCAGTGGAACAGCCACGTGCCCGGGTTGTCGGTCTTGTAGGCAATGGCGACCCAGCCCAAGGGCGGGAGCATGGTGACGTCGCGGCGGACGGGGTTGTTGCCGTTGAAGGAGGAGACGTCCGAGGCCTTGAAGGGGCCAGGATTGTTGAAATCGGCCCGGCCAACGACCATGAAATCGTGACCGTGCAGGTGCATCGGATGCGCAATGCCAATGACCGGGTCGTTCTCCACAACCCAGAAGACCCACTGGTCCTTCTTGTCGACGACGACGACGTTGTCACTGTTGGGCCAGTTGGTCTGGCTGTTCAGAAGGTATTGGTCGACGGGCTTCTCCCAGCTGATAATCTCCTGCGTGCCGTTGACCTTCCAGGTGAACAGCTGGCCGGGCTCGGCCAGGTCGAGCGTCACGTTGAGCTCGTTGCTGGAGTCGGCAACGAAGCCCGAAACGGGGACAGTGCGCTTGACGACAGGGGTCAGGTTGGTCAGATCGGCACAGGTCGTCCTGGTGGCAACGGAGCCAGGGTTGGTGGGCAGGCCGCCAGCGGAGCCGGCGTAGTGGAAGATGGCAGCGGGAGTCAGATTGTCGGAGTCGCCGCACTGGGCATTGGTCACGAACGTGGCGTTGAACCAGTAGTTGCCAGGGGTCTGGCTGGCATCAATGGTGACGTCGTAGCGTTGGCCGACGCCAACGAAGAGCTCGTTCACCGTCATGGCGTTGACGGGCACCAGGTCGGCAGCAATAATGGTCATGGTGTGGTTGGCCAGAGAGAAGACAAAGTGGTTCTCAACAGAGATGTTGATGATGCGGAGACGGTGGCGCTTGCCGGGCGTCAGGGTGACGTTGGCATACTTGCCGTTGCCGGTCACAGGGTGGACGTTGGTGCCGTTGAACAGGACGTTGTTGCTGTTCGGTGGTCCGTTGTTCTTGGTGTAGTCGACAAGGTAGTCGGATGTGTGGTAGTAGTAGTCGGACACGGGGAAGACACCCAGATCGACGTCGTACGGCAGCGAGGCCGGCCCGTTGATCTGGATGGTGCCGACAACACCGTTTCCGTACTGGGCCGAGAAGTGCGAGTGATACCACGAGCTGCCGTATTGCGTGGCGAGGAACGTGTAGACGCGTGAATGGCCCGGAGGAATGGGGCACTCGGTGACGCCATTGACACCATCCTGCAGATTGGTGTTCAGCTGACGGATACCGTGCCAGTGCATGGAGGTACTATTTTGTTAGAATTTGGTGCTGCAAAAACAAAGCCACATGCTGGAAATTCAAAGAGAAGCTGCTCACCCGTTGCTCTTGAGGTTGTTGATGACCGTGATGGAGAGCGTGTCGCCCCAGTCAGCAGAAATGACGGGGCCGGGTAAGGTGCCTGTGTTTTTGATTAACTAATGTCGATGCCAGATAGGGGGGGGGGGCATTGACATAGTCTGGAATTATGCAATAAGCACATACCGTTGATCAGCATGACCAGTTCCTTGACCTCACCATCGGGGCCAGTCCAGTTCGTCTCCTCAGTAATAACGAGGGTATACTAGAAGTTTGTTAGCAAGAACATATTTACAAATGTGAAAAGGTGCTTGCAAGAGTGTAGAGGGTGTGGACCGTCGACATACGTGACGAGTGAAGTTGGTGACCGGCGTGCTGGCGTCGTAGTCGGTGTTGATGTCAAAGCCATTGGTCCAGCAGGCACGGTTGGACGGCGTGTTGCACGTGGACGCACGCGCAACGAGATCGGAGGCATCTTCGAGCAGGCCACTGGGCGCAGCACGGGCCAAAAGCACCGATCCAAGCAGACTCGGCACGATGGCCAGAGCAGAAATGAACGACCGCATGGTGACGGCGACGGCGGTGAGGATGATGGGGAGAAAAAATGTAAGTGGGTGTAACGAGTGCAGCCAAGCAAAGAATAGAACGAGGGACAATAAGGCCGGGCCGTGATGGGCCTTGCAGAAGCAAAGTTTGTCGAAGGGCGCCGAGGGCGAGAGTGTGATGATCCAAAATCAGACAAAGTGGTCAAATGAGAGAGTGGATGTGCCCGTGTTATATACTCGGGACGGGCCTTTCAGAGAAAAAGAAGTTCAGAGCCTCAGCTGTAGACCACGTAGATTTGCAGTCCTTGCTGCAGAGAAGGCAGTGACGCTATCCAGAATTAGGAAAATGAAGGACGTCGAAGTAGACAAGGTAAACACCGAAGAAGAGGTAAGGAGACGGGCCAGCCAGACAGACTGTCAACCCGGACCTCCCTCGTTCTTGGTCCACATGGTTACCCATTGGCCGCTTGCACGCGGCTAGCATACATGTATCTGACCGCACCCCCTCGCACGTGGAAAGATGGCTTTGGAGGTTATGGTAGCAGTCGTATACATGCCTCTCAATCCTCTGTTCTTCGTTGGTTATTTTTGTGCCCCTTTTCGTCTCCCGGGCCTTGCCCTTGATACCACCATATGCACGAACGGAAATTGCTTCTTGTCGTGCGTTTAAACAAAAGCGTGGAAGTCTCCTTGAGATTTTATTTTTTTTTGGGACTCTGCCTCTTTGACGGCTTCGTCATTAGGACCGTCTCAGGAACGAAACTTCAATATCCTGGACAAATGCCTCCGGCAAGAGGCCGCACGTATGAATTCACCTTCATCCTCGACACACACGGCATCAATGAGAATGTCTAGATGCAAGTGTGCGTGTGTGATCCCAGCCGGACGCCAAGGGGATGTATGGCTTGAAGAGAGTAAGCTTGTGCCCTACTGTGAGATAAAAAAAAAGAATAAGGAGAAAGACGGGAAATGAAAGAAGGAGGTGGACAAGGAGGGTGAATGTGACATCTGAATGTGCCCAACGAGACGAAAATAAACCAGTCGACCGAAGACAATGACCTTCAAAACGTCGGGTTGGAATACGAAGGGAGACCAGGCAGCCAAATCAGCCAAATCCGAGAATGCGAGAGGCGGTTGCGAGATGGGGGTCAATGGTCAGATGAACATGGCGAGTAAAGGAATGAACATGCTGACGACAAAACAGACAGAACCTCACTTGTGGATACCAGTGAACACTGCCATCATGGACGGAAGCATCGGAGACGGCACGGCCGGCGAGGAAGATGCCTTATCCTCCCACATCCAAACCCTTGCCACCATACCTAGTTGTGAAAAATGCGAGGAGGAGGGATAGGACAAGAGAACCGAGGATGCAAGAAATCGATAGTTTGTTATTTTGAAGACGGGATGACAACGAGAACTGGACGAAAACGACCAAAACGAGGGGTTTCGTGATGCAAAATGGGACGAGAGACGGGAACGACGAAGGTGGCCGTCGGAATCGGTTCCCATGGTGCCGGTGAGACGTCTCGTCGACGCTGAAAAGGTTCGTTTGCCGCCGAAATTCCTGGTCCATCTTGGCCCCCTACCCGTGCCTGCAGCTTGCACCATGTCGTGATGGAATACAACGAGATGCATCGAGGGGTTGGAGAGGGCTCAGCTCCGGCCGCTCCCTCCTTCGAATTTGTTTTGGGACGTGTACAACCGGGGACACAATGTGGAGATGAGTGTCACGAAGAACGGGGGCGGCTTGAGGCTGCACACGGGATAGAACTGGTGGAAGGAATGCATGAACAGTCGATGGGGAAAACGGCATGCAGAACAAAAGGGAAAAGATGAGATGGAGGGCTGAGGTCCGAGAGCTGAAGTAGGGTCATGACGACACTGGAGGCGAACAAAGTACGGAATTTAGAGGCGAGGTGCGGTTCAGGATAGAGTTACCAGTATGAAAAGGGGGTCTAGGAAGCACGAAGGGAGGCGCGGCATGCTGCAAGAAGAACGAAGGACAGAGTAGGTTCGGGTGACAGGTCGGGATCGTTAAAGAAGGCATTAAGATAAGAGCTGAAGGAGAAATAAGGTAATTCGTAAGAAAGAAACGGAATAAAACTCTGGGGAGACAAAACAAAAATTAAAATCGTGCAGTAGAAAATAAACACAAGAAAATCATAACAGTTCGTACTAACGCTGTTTGCTGTGGTTCGAAACAAAGTAAACGCACACAGACCACAAGCACTGTACATGGCCAAACTGCCTAACCAGGAAAAGAAATTGTGGCTTACACGAAATCGGACGGACGCCAAAAGAGATAAAAAATATGGGGCCGGCAGCGCAAAGCATCAAGCCATCCCCTATTTCTTCTCGAGCCGTTCTCGTCATTATGGCTCCCATGCCAGACAAACCAATTGGTTGGACAGGAAGATGAAAGGGACAAGACATCTGAGGGTGTCATGCTTTGTCTGCACCTCCCGAGAGGACGAGAACGCACGGAAGGCACGGGACAATGACGAGAACTGCAGGGAAAAGGGAGGGGAACACAGACAAGAAAAAGGAGATGATGGGTGGTCAACCGTGGAAACCGGGTCAGAAGCTGAGAGTCGGTAAGAGTGACCGGGAAAGCAAAGCGAAAGTGAGGCAGAGAACAAGAACGACACCGGAAGAGAAAACAATGGTGAGAACGAACAGAGCAAGTCGACAAACACGGTCAGTGATGTGGGCCCCGGTGAATAGCCCGTGGATGATGCTTGGCATGAAAACAACAGTAGAGTAAGCATCAGATCCAGAAAAATCCACAACGATCATCGCCAACCACTATGGCTGGTGCAGACCGCTATACGCAAAATGTCTCAATAGGCAAGGTATGGCTAGGCCCATGACAGAGGCAAAGTGACGAGGATTGTGAGATGAAATTGAGGGCACCGCCGCGGCAATCGAATAAAAAATAGAAAACCGAGCATAACGCGAGATATCCGGACAAAAGACAGAAAAACGCCATGGACGCCCTCCCAGGTTGTGACTCGAGACTTTGGAGAAAACTCTCCGGTTTGAGTTGGCCTGGTAAGAGGTATTGCCCGTCATTTCCGCGGCCCACCAAACACCTGCCGCGTCCTCCGCCGAAAGCGTGCGCTCGTACGGGAGAGGAGAAGGAATAGGAAAGAAACACCGCTCCCGTATTACGTTTCTCACATTCGTAGACTGGTGCGAGGATCGCTGTCGGCTTCCCGGTACTTGGTTCTTTGTTGCCTTATGGTGATCTCCCGACCTCATCTATTAGAGTTTGTGGAGGGTACTGGAGAATAAAAGTGACATGCGGAAATAAATTAAACAGGTCATAAGGGAACTTCCGAGCGCCCCAGGTCGATGGGTCAGATGGCTCGCTAAGCCCAGTAAGACGGGACAAGATAGGTAGTTTTGTTCCATGTAAAACGCTTTCTTCTGTCTGCACGGGGAGGCGGAGGGCCTTTGAATGGGACACATTGTGTTGATTAATCGCCAGTTGCGTCTGGTAAGGATCTAAGGCCGTGGGAGAGTACCGTGGTCCACGATGTGGCGTCGATAGTCATTTGGTCAGGACTGGCCGGTTCCTTGTTCTCAAACAAGCCCGCCCAGTAAAGAGAGTGAGAAAGGGGGCAAGAGGTGAGCGTGCTGTGCCGCGAGGCTGGCGAGTCAGTGCCCTGTGCAATACATTGTCCAGGACTCGGCCGGGTCCACAGCCAGGCGACATCAGCGTTGGAAGAGTACATTTGAATGTGAAAGAGTAAGGTGGAGTGAGAAGTACCGAAACGACGTAAATACGAAGACTCAGCTGAGTTCCACTTGCCGATCGCAGTATGTCTTAGCTGTGAGCTTTGGACATGAGCGGATAGCTGGCTGCACCTAGGACCTGTGCACACCGCATCGTTTAGAAGAACGTAGGAAAGCGAGAGCCTAGGAGTCATGGCATTGGTTCTGTTTTCTGACCCTCGCATTCTTGATGATTGTTTTTCCACGGTGTTGTGTTGTTCTCCGTTTCCACGTACCTCGATTTCTTAGCCTCTGCTGTGTTGTCAAGATAAAAAAAGAAAAGACACGGGAAGGGGCGAGCAGTATTAGCCAACCAGGAGCTTCGTAGAAGCGGTGACGGCAGAGGCGCATGGAAGTCATGCAGCCAACCGGGCAATCCACATTACCAACTGTAAGTACTCTCAGTAGCTGCTGATAGTTCTTGCAATGGATCGAACTGCATTCGCCTAAGCTCGTCCTTATTGCATCATGTATGAATCGTTCGTTTGACATATGTCTGACATAGCACAACACCCTGCCCTCCGTTGTCAAACTTTCGTTCTGCGTTGCATAAGGCCCGTCATCTCTGAGGTCAGACTGGCCGGCTCCTGTCTGCATTTGTGCTGCCCATAGAGACAAATCAGGATCTTGATGGTCGGCTCTACCGCTGTGGAGGTGGCTTTCTCGATCCGTTTTGTCTTCTGGGAGGCCACAGCGTAAACACGGCTGGGCAGCTGCAAGGACGTTCTTGGCACATCCCGCCAAGTGAACTGTCCAATATGGGCAGAAAGCTAGAAGGAAAGGGGAAAGAGGAGATAGCGAATGCACTTGATGCAGATGCAATGCAGCACCTGTGGAGATGCGTGTTTTTCGGGGTCGACAGTGGCATGTCGTTCTCGAGGGCTTGTATCTTGTTTCGCCTCCCTTTCCGACTATAGTTTGTATTTGTTCGTTTATTCCGTTGCTCGTTTCTCGCATTTGTTTCCCTCCTTTCCGCTGCGGGCCCTGTTGTTTCCAATGGAAGTGTTCTGTATGGGCGCCGCAATACCCGATATGCACCTCAGCCGGCTTGTTCTTGGAATACGGCGTTCGAAAATCCCAACACGAAGGGCCTCTCCCTTCACTCTAGTCGGAGAACGGGAAGTGGGCATGCGACGTTGCTGATCGAAAGGCGGAAAACGAGAATGGGCTGTGACAGGCTCGTAAGCATGATACTCGCGGCTGCTATTCGACAAACGAAGATATGGCACGTCGCAGCAAAGGGAATGAGGGTCCCAAGAAAAGTGCCAGCCCAAATACGGGATGTAGCCGTCTCGTATGTTGTAAGCCTTGCACAGTTCCGCAAAAGGTGAAAGAGGTCCTTGGGAGATCAGACAGTGGAACGCACAGAAGGAAAACGAAATTGCAGGGGCCACGAGCTGCTCGAAACAGTTGACAAAATCGTTGTCAAAATTGGTCATGGTGCATCCAAAGCTAGTTGGATTCCAGGAGTAAGGGAGACGGGATGCAGTAGCAAGAAGCACAGATAGTAGTACCGCGGGCATCACAGCATGTAAACGCGTGTGCAGCATGAGTGCATGCAGAGTAGAAGCAACTGGGGACATCCCTGCTTTCTTTCTGTTGGGTCGTCGAGAGAGACGTGGCTCAGACGGTACATGGAATTGTGCCTTGGCTGTTTTGCGCTCTCGTATTGTGCATTTGTTGCATTCGCCTGCACTCCTTCAACCTCCTCTGCAAGGAACAGAACCATCATCGTATACATCGCTTTGGACATGGGGGGTAACGAATATGTTTGAGAAAAGAAAGGACGGGAAGGGGGCGGCGTGGGAAGGTGAAGGGCCTGGTCAAGCCGCCCGAGAAGGTAGTGCTGGCACCACAGACAACTCCCCCTGTCTGGCCCGAGCTGGTCACGCCTCGCTAAAATCCTTCCATCGGGTTCCCATCGAAAATCATCAGTTGCCTCGTCACTCATAACTGCATTTGGGTTTCTCAGCTTCTGCTGTTGTCGAGCTTGTTTGTGTGTGGTTGTCCTCGCTGCTACTCTGCATGTCTAGCCTGACGGCACCTTTCGGCACGCGAACTGGGTGGGCCTGGCTTTGCTGTCAGTGGAGCACTCTCAGCCAGCCCTAGTGGGTGCAGGCATGGAGAAGCAGCGAAGATCCGGCTGTTGGCCGTTAGGTTGACCCTGGCGCTTGGCTAGGGTGGCAAGGCAAAGCCAAACTTGACCGAGCGGCCAGAGGGGGTCAAAGCGTGAGAGCAACCAGTTGTAACCGTATGACAGGTGTAATGGGGGCGAACTGGAGCTGAGCAGCCTCGGCAGCCAATTGCTACACAATAAGATATCCGGCTGTTGCATCAAAAGTAGGCAGTCAGTAAGATGGACGCCGACTGTGGGACTGGAGGTGGCCTGCGGGTAGGACCTCGCTGGTACCTCGTAAACATTTCTGGCCTTACAGGCCCTTGGTATTCCGTATTCCCATTATTCCTGGCCGTTTGCCGCCCCGTGGCAGCTTTGGTGAGCGAGCTCTTCGCTAAAAATCCGGTGACCGTCTTGTTTTGCTGACCTCTCGCTTCGTTTCTGGTCGGTTGCACACTGCCGTTCAACTATCGGTGATATTCCAAGAGCTTCTTTGTATGGAAGGGGATTGGGCGAGCCCGGAGCTTTAGGTGGCGGGGTGATGATTTCGAAGAAGTCAAATGGGTATTTTAAGCTGGAGTTTTGGGCTGGACAGAACGAGAAGAAGATGTGAAATCGTGTAGAGGAAAACGGACTACGGATGGTAAAGACAGCGCGGAAAAGGAGAAGGCCAGTTAAGGCAAGAAAACAAAGATCTACTTTGGCAGTTGTGGGAGCACAGCTTGTGTAAGTCGCTCCTTCCGCCACATTAATGGGGACACAAGAAAGAAACTGCAAGAACAACCGTCACGCACTGGCGACCGCTTCCAGCCCAAACCGCAAAAGCACCATATGGTAGGCCGATTGCAAGCTGTATGTAGGCCGTATCATTGCTCTTGCCCTACGAAAGAGCTGTAGTTCCTTCCCATACTTTACATTCCTCGTAATGTTTGGAGTGCGGAGTTTTCCATATGCTACCATTCTAGGAAGGAACAAGGGTCCCTGCCCTCGTCAGCGATTACGGAATATTGACCCATGCTCTTTCTGTTTCGTGCATTCCCGCGTGCCAAAAATAAAATGAAAATAAAAAAATAAAAGAAAGAAAGAAGATATACCTGCCGTGAGCCTCGCTTTGCTACGGCTCGGCTACAGCAATGTGGATTATGTCCTTTGGAAATAGTGAACCAAAATACCAAATACACAGGTTTCAGACTGGACTTGTCCCTTGGTGGTGCATCTCTCGGGTCCGCGTTCGTGAGCCTGAGAGCCTACCCTCGGTCCCGAGCCGCGGTGATATTTGGATAGATATCGTGGTCGAGGCAGCATCGAGAGCTACGGGCGACATCGCAGGCAAGCAGGACGTCGCAGTAGTGTCTAATTATAAAAAGGGGACGCGCAGCATGGCATAAAAGCGACAGGGCAACGACAGGCGGCAGACCCTTGAACACCACTGCCCGCACAGATTGCGACGTTGGGGGCGGTTCCGATCGCGGCAGCTTTGTGGATGGCGTGGTTAGGCACCGGCAACGCGGCGTGTGGATAGCGTTACAGCACATGAATAGTGGCTTCTCCATGGCCGACGGAGTCGACGTACGGCAGGCATGGCACGCAGCTAAAACGTTCTAGCGGAAAGCGCGGTGATTGGGGGGTCGCATGGGCGGCAGGTGAACCAAAGGACGGAAGGAACTCGACTCTGCGAGAAAAGAGGAGGAAGCAAAGATTGTTCGAAAACCGTCTACATCGTGCTAGTAATAAGGACGAGAGGAACAATGTCACATTTGCCAGAGTGTCTGGTCTTGACGAGCAGGTCCAGTGTACGACGTACGTGTAAATAAAGCCCGAGACCTCTTTATTTATGACGGTGTTGTGAACCCCTTTTAACGGGGTCCCACGCAGACCCGATGTTTACGGCTCCACGGCAAGTATCGCGAAGGCCGCCTGATAGAGACGCCAAGGGGCTCAATCTTTTTAATTCAAATCCGGAAAGAGGAGCAATATCTCATGTGGGGGAGCATCAGACCGACGGTCTGTTCCGTTTTGCTCTTCAAGAGACTATATATGTACTTTAGCTATTTTGTCGTCTGTAAAAGAGGCGACACATTTTTTGAAGCAGTAAAAGGAAACGGGAACAAAATTATAGTCTCCCACCATCCTGTAGATTTGTAAAAAGAAACGCTTGGAGCATGTCGGGATCGAACCGGCGACCTTGACAAATGTAGACTACGGCCAAACCAGGTGTGTGGTAAGGCACCGAGCCTTGTTGAAGGCTCCATATTCTGTTGTTTATTTAAGAGTTCATCCAAGATCTTTATTGGCTTCGCCTCAGACATGAAGTCGCTTCTTGTTTTTGAAATCGACGAGTCAAGAAACCTGATAAATCTGACGGTACGGTTGTATTAAAGTTGGCCATTACTAAACTCCTCGCTATGTCGCGGAATAAGAAGGTCGAACTAATTGATTCAGACAGGCGTTTTCACAAGCGTCATTTTCATCGTGCTACCATCCATCGTTCCTGCTTCTCGATAGCACATTGTCTTCTTGGTATCGATCCTAGAGACAGTGTCCAAAACATTTATGAGTGAAGACACTAGTAGATGCGCACGGGTACACCCGATACACTTTCCGGATTTTTAAAAGACTTTTACCCCGGAGCACTACCGGAAACGCTTGACCTAGGGTGACACGGGGTCTTGCCCATGTATAAATGGCTTGGTAGAGCCACACGGAGATGAGACGGAGCACACGTACAACATAGTTGGAGTACGACATACAGATATGGCAATATGGAAGTTGCAGTTGCCGTTGCCGTTGCAGCTATATCTTGGCAAAGCGACTGTACACGTACGCGTCCAATTTTTGAGACGCCATTATATGGGGCCGGATGTAACCCTGCGCCGTATTTTGTTCCTTCTAATTCTCCTTCTTCTTCTTTGCCTCCAACTGAGAGTCTGTGCTACTTTCATGTTCGACTTTGACAATAGTCTAAACGTTCAGGTTGCCCTCCTTAAAATTCCAACTATGGCAAGGGTAATTATATGTTCCTGGCATGAGCCAGCAACCAAAACAAGGTCTCACGCAATGGAAGACTCATGCACATGAATGATATTGGGCCTAAGCGTCGCGAGGATACCTTTTTCTACACTGGGCCTTGACCTAAGGTCTATTTGCTAATGTGTATCAGATAGTGACTACACATGCAGGACTAGGATGAACAGAAGAACCAGAAATGACTTGGCCCGGTATACACGCTACTGGAAACTTTGCACGGTGGACGCCGGGATTGTATGAACGGTAAGGGGCTCCATATTCTACAGCTACTCTATAGATCTCATAGGTGGCCCCGTGGCCTCAAAACCTGGCTTGCTGAAGTCTTGGGTGTGCACTGCGATGTGTAACAAAACTTCCTAGATTTCCCGTTTAGGCAACTCGGATTGGAGCATATCACTGTACAGGTAGTATGTACATGAACGCGTTTTAACGGCATCATGAGGAAAGCCCGGATCACAAGCTTTGATTTCTACACCTACCCTGCCACCTCTATAACATCCACTGGCAACGGACCGCTCGCCTCCCGCGCACAATAGTGCTGCGCCGTGTCGGCATTGGCCGTTTCCGTGCACAGCAAATCCATGCTGTTCGTGGACGCAGCCTGCCAGCGTGTCGTCCCATTTGCCTTCCGAGCATCATCGTCGCACACCCATGTCTCCCACACCGTCACCGTGTGCCGACCCAGGTCGAACCGGAACGCCGCCGCAATCTGCGTGTCCCGCGACTCGACAAAGCAGCTGTGCCACGCGTCGGACATGTCCGTCTGGTTGACGTGTGTCGAGCACTGTGCGTCGACGCCCAGGACGGCATTGTACAGCTGGAACTCGAAGGCGGTTCCTGTGTCGATGGTGCTGGCCGTGGTGGAATTGGTAGCAGTCGTGCCACTGCTGCCCTGCGGCGTGTACAGTATTTCGGCGCCGTATACAGTGAGGTTGTGTGTTGCGGCGGATCGGCTGCTGCAGTTGACGACCTCACCGGGCATGTTGTCGGCCAACAGCGTTGGTAGTGTGGTAGCCACGCCACCGCCGGCCAACAACAAAGATACAAAGAAATGTCGAAGGTGCATATTGTTTGGTAATGATGTGGTTCAGATGTTGGTTCTGCACGTTTGAAGGCAGAGTTGAGAGCATCCGAACGTCACCAGTGGTATCCGCGAATTTGCGGAGAAGGGCCGCCAGATTGCCACATTCGGCACTGTAATCAAGTATGGTTGTTTCTATTTATCCAGTACGACCTGCGTTACGTCTTGCTTCCGGTACCCGAGCTGACTACTCCGCAGTGGAGGGAATTCATTTGTATTTATTTATTTATTTCAAAACATACTGCCAAATCAACGTAACGGACTAGGCGAGTTCAAAATAATAGATCTGATTTAGGTATTTGACATTGATGCTGACGTTGATGTTAATTTGGCTTCGTCCAAGATCAAATTGGACGATACTTACAAACTAAGATTGTAAACAAAGGAAACTCGTACTTAAACGACATGCTGCCCGCCGACCTCCAAAATTCGCTAGTAAGGCAATACAAGGGGAATATGCGAGTAGTGCTCAAAGAGTCAAAAAAGGTGAACTTAAATAACAAAGAACGTCTTCAAATCCGTTGCTCCTCTCCTTCGTCGCCCTGGCCCTCCCAACTGTACCGTCGTGCCGCGAGCTGTGGAACATGCACCAAATCAAAACCAGCGTCAATGCGTTCCGCCGGTGGTGTGCCCACGCTGTCTATGGTACCTGTTGCTGCTGTTGTTTCTGCCTCGACTGCCGCCACGGCCGCCACTTTTCCTTCTTCAATTTCGCTCTTCAATGCGCGGAGACGCTTCTCTTCTTCCAATGTGTAGTTCGTCCCGAGTGTGCTTTCAATATCTGTCATGGTCGGAGACGAGACCGATGCTGATGCCGACGCCGATGCCAACGGAGACTCGGATGAAGATGACAAGTTATTCTGTGGAGGTGACATCGACGTCGGAGCCGGCCGTACAGGCTGTGATGTTCGTGCCGCGACTGGTGCTAACACGTCTTCCGGCAGCGGCCCCAAACAAACGACACGTGCTGGGTCAATGGTCGTCCTTGGGGCTAGACGTTGTGCCGGTACATTTTCTGGGGGCTCGTCATCGCTCACGCTTCCATCGCCCAGGAAGAACATGGACGGGAACGGTGCGGCCATTGTCATGGGCGACGGTAGGTCAAAGGTGCCATTGCCGTTGCTGTTCCCGCTCGCACTCCTGGTCCCGCTCACATTGATGCTTCGGCCGGGCCAGCCTCCACTGCTCGGTGTCATTGGTGATGGCAGCATGGACAACGAACCGCTATGGTTGCTCCCTGTCGATGTCGACATTGCCGTAGGCGATGTGACGGTAGTGTTGTCGGAACCTGTCCGTGAAGAGACCGCCGAAACGGACCGTGGTGGCGCGCGTGTAGTCATTAAGTGGGGTGCCCGGTTGTGAGCCACTGAGCTACCATCTCCCTCCGTCTTTTCGTCTTCACCATCGTTTGCCATATTCCTCAAAATTGCTGGGTCAGCGGGTGGCTCATACGTCGGCACAGGTCCCCGCAACTGCCGCTGCATGCGCCGCCGCGCCACCTCATAAGCCGTCAAATGTTGCACACCATCGCTTCCAAGAACGGCTGTGGCATCGTCATAGTCGCAGTATCCATGGCCGTCGTCAAAATCGTCAATTACACCGCCGCCAATCAGCGCATCATCAATCTTGTGGTTTCGGTTGGCTGCGCCGTTGCGGCCACTTGATGTGATACCACCGGCCGTCGCATCTAGTTCGACAGGTGGAAGTGGCACAGGCAGCTCATAACGGGCGTGCTGTGCATCGGCACCGACCTCGACCGGATGTGAAAAGCTGCCGGCAACCTCAATAGCATCCTTTTCCGGGTCGCCTTCGGAACCCCTGCTGGACGTAGGCGAGGCAGACGCCACCCTGTCAGCAGCAAGCGCTTCACGTGTCCGTTTGGATGCCCACCGGCCGCGTCCAATAAATGAAAAGATACGTTCCATGGGGGAGCCGCTGACTGGTGTTGATGGCTCTGTTTCTGTCGTCGACTCGGTGCCGTCTTTGCCTCGACCACCCGATGTGCGGCCGTTGCCATTATCATCGCCAGATCCGGCCGCTACTGCTGTACCGGCAACCCTCCTCCGCTTCTCTTGTTGGCGCCGACGTCGATAAAGCCAAAGTCCCAGTGCAAGCATGGTACCCGCGGCAAACGATCCAACTACTACGCCGGCGGTGGCTGCTGGGGTCAACCCATTTCTGCTGTCGAGATTGTTGGTGCTCTCGGGCCCACCCTTGTAGAGCGGATAGGGGCTTGTCGGCGAGCGAGGGATGTCGATTAGGCGAACATAGCCTTCCGGCTTACTCCCGTTAAAGTTGGGGAACCTGGCCTGGTGCAAGCTGAAGTGGCTTGCGTCGTAGTTCACAATCATGTAGACCTCCTGCAACACAGCGCGACCGAGAACAATACGCGTGTTCACGGTGGTGTTACCGTTCAGTGGTAGACACTGTAACGGAAAGTAAGGAACCGGCGGGTCAGACGGCTTCATGGTCGGCGCGTACGGGTATGACGCATTGAGAGCAAACGCCGCCGATGACACGGTGAGGGAAACAATGTCATCTGCTCCAGTGTTGCCTCTACCAGACACGTTGAACGTTAATGAAACACCCTGTCCAGAGAGGTAGTCGTTATACAATGCCGGACTAGCGAATTGGTATAGCAATAGCTCCTTATTCCAGACGAGACCAATTGTGGAGGCAAAGCGACTACAGGCATCTTGTGGCATCCACAAGAACGGCGTCGTGGAGTCGACGACGGCCAGCGACGAAGCCGGGTCGGTCACATTTGTAAGAAGGGCAGTTGAACTGTTGTCCGGGACAATCCGCGCCCATGACGCGGCGGCAACCGACGCATTGAACGGCGGTGCATGGGCCATGATGCTGCGCAAAACGAGCTCCGGCTGGTAATGAACAGGGTTGAGGTTGAATGTGATCGGTTTGGTATTGTCTTTGGACGAGCGGTCAAACGCAATACGGCTCATGTCATAGCCGCCCAGTGTCAGCGATGCCGGCACGCCATGCTCGCCTCGGTATGATGCGCCCGCTGTGTAGCCGTAGCTGTGGCTAGGAATTGTACCCATAGACTCTGCGAGTTGCCGAATGAGTGGACTAATGGGACGATTGTTGAAGCTGCCGTCGAGCCCTCCAACACCAATAAAGCCGTTGTAGAACGTGGTGTCATTGAAGCCACCGACTAGACTCCGATCAACTTGAAGTTGGGTAGGAGATGCAGCGTCAGGCAGTGGTCCATCGGAAGATCGAGGCTCAAAAGAAAAGTATGAGCGGCCCTGAGATGACCGAGATGTGTCAACAAGAGGGAACGTAATAGTGGCCAGGCCATAGTCGAGGTTAGGCGCCATCAAGCTGGGTTCTTCGAGCCCGGATGCAAATGCACCCAGAGGCTGCCATGAGTTGACCCCATTAGCAGCTGCCGACTCGACGCTGAAGACGCCCCCACGGCTCTCTCTACACGCTGGCAGCTGCACACAACCGGTCGTTTCAACGACCCAGGATTCGGAAAGGGCGGTGCTGACGAGCAGTGAAACATTCTGTGACTGTGAGACAGATCCGCCGCCGACGGAAACCTCAAATGACGACCATAAGCCATCAATTCCAATCCTAGCAGTGTCAGAATGAAAAGGGTTAAAGGGCAGTGTGAAAACAGGCCTACCATTCTCTACTGGGCCGGATGCCAATGGCAGAAGGCTTGGGCTCGGGAGTGTTGGAGTAGCTGTCTGCTGTTGCAAAGCCAGCTGTTGCCAAAATAAGAAGTTGCAACTGAAAGGCGAGGGTGACAGATGACAGATGGGAGTGCGAAATCAGAAACGGCCGCGAAGGGATCGCCATGGTCGGGAAGGTCGCTGATGTTATTCTTGAATAGACGCTTTGCCCTCAGATTGAACGCGTTGTCTGCAGCCACGTCTCTGCGCAGTCCATGATGGTCGATGAGACGCTGCAGTAGGCCGCAGTTTCGCTGCGGCTTGGGTGCGGAGTTTGTGTAAAGCTCTAGATGCGTCTTGATAAATCCAACTAATGGTATGTCGTATGATCGTGACACAGCGCACAGAAGTAAACAAACGCGGAAAGGACTAGTTTGCGCACAAACTCGAAAGACTCGGGTTGATGAGCAAGTCTGCACAAAGGACAGAGACGCACTGACAGTGGCAGACGTGAAGAAGAGCGGACGGTTTCCGATTCTCTATCCCCCTCCATTGCGCATTGTCGCTTCCTCATGGCCGTTATTCATCTCACACTGTTAATTTAGCAATCATTGGCCAGCAGACGTGGTCAATGTCGGTGGCTGTCTTTCGGTGGCGAGGCAAATAGAGACACACGGCCCAAATCGATCTTAACAAGCCGCGGTTGGATTATCGAACCGCTTCCATTGCCGTTGAACAATCACTGTCATGGCTCTTCGGGAAAAGACAGGACGTTTATTCAAGAGAAGGCCATCCCCTCCACTGATTTTGCACCGCCATCAGAACCGACTTACCTGTTGCAGGCCAAGTTGACGCTTTATGAGCAATCGTGAGAGCGAATTCCCTGTTGGTGACATAGCTGCCACTGTTTGTTGTTTCGTACCATCGCCGAAAATCAAATACTCGGGTGAGGTACTGGGACTGTGGCGATTTGGGCGGCGCAGCTAAATCTCCAGTGATGTTTGGTGACTACTTGCCTGTGCAAACTGTGGTTGATTAACATGCCACCGTCCGGAGGCCGATATGGTTGTTGTACAATTTGGAGGCACTTTGGATAAAATCGTGAAGGTGGTTGTTTTGAACAAATGGGCATTGCGAGGCCTGAGTTTTGCCGGGAAGAGCGGAATGGGGTGAGGGGGAAAGGAAAGTTCGGTGGAGGATATTTAATAAAGAAGGGGCAAGATGTAGAGACACTAGCATGAGGAAGGTGTGAACGAGGAATGAGGAATAAAGGAAGGAGCAGTTAGCCACAGAAACTGTGCCGCACCCTAAGAAAGGAAGGAGTATTTGGCACACAGAACAGTTGCAGTTGCGGTTACCGAGTAGCGAGAGCCCGTTGCAAAACTTCCCGAAGGGGAAAGACGTGTGGAAGCTTAAGATGGACAAGACTTTAACGAAGTACACTTTCTTGTTTTGCGTCTCGTAAATGGCATGATAAAACCAGGCAATTCCTTACATGGGAGCTGCGTCGAACAAGATATGCCCACTGGGCAAGATGCTCGGAGGGGAAGGTCAGAGAAGCATTTGTAACGGAAGTAGAAAGTCGATACACCTTGTAACGCCACCCTACATATCTGCTCTTTTACCATTCCCATGTCGACATTTATTTGCTTCATCAAAATATCACAGCTCTGATAGTTTCTTGGTTTCCATACGCGCCAAAAACCACATTGCAAATATAAGAGTTGTAATAGTATGGACTGTTTTCGACGTAGACAAGAGAGGAAAATGTCAGTCGACTGTTTTGAGTACGACGTGATGGAACGTAGAAGGCCATAATTCCACAGAATTTACGTCCTGGTCACTAAACTACAACTAATGTCTTAATTTGATTTTGGACGACTGCTTGTGGCATATAAATCATGTTCCTGTTCTAACGATTGCCAAATCAGTTTTTTCCTCCGATTTGCACAACTTCAGCCGGCCTCTGTTTATCCATAATTATAACATTCTGCTCGGTCCTTATGTTCAGGTGACTGGCTATTTGCTCCCATTATGTATGAGGTATATCATACTGTTCTCTGTATTCTAACAACAATTCCACTTTTACGTCTCCCCGTCTTGCCCCAGACTCGTCAGGTCCCAGCCATCAGTCTTTGCTCCCATTCATCCCACCTTTCTCCGGTTATTCGGGAGAAGTGGCTCAACTAAGCCACTTCCGCATCAATATAGTTGTAGGCTTCTCGACTGTCGCTTACGTCGCGTCTCTGATATTGTCCCACGTTTCGTCGACCCTGGTCCCTCCCATATTCGGCTCCAGTCGTCTATTACAGCACCTGTCCCCTCACTCCAAACCCAACGAACCCAGCCTCGGCGTTCCACCGCTCTGCCCCGTCTGTGCATTCACATCGGTTTCTCACTTCACCGTGTTCTTGGTAATTTACTCACGGGATTTCTTGTGTCCGTGTTTTCTTTGCCCCATACTTTCATCTGTTGTTTCATATTGCCACCGTTGGGGGCTAAAAGAAGGCTGCCGAGTTAAGAGAAGTTCATGGCATTTTCAAACCAGGCTGGTACAACCACCATATGGCTCTCTCCCCTTGACGGTTGTCCCTAGAATTATCTTTTCTTTTACCGTAAATGAAAAGACTAACTGAATAACCTCATTTTATTTTTTGAAAAAAAGTTGAGGACTAGCAAACTGCCAGGAGATAGACGACATCCCGACTATCAAATAAAATTCAAAAATGACCAGTACCCCAAAATTATCAAATGATTAATGAGCGAGACAGGTCTCCTTTTTGTATATGGAAGCAATTCTCGTATGTTTCTCTGGGATTTGTTGGAAAGCCTTGGTAAAAGTTGGGTAACGTCTAGTTTAGAATATCAGAGTTCTGGTTTGGTACCACTAACAAAAACGAGAAGGAAAACAAACTCCTTCAACATGACGCAGGTTTCGATCACATTAGGAGCTACCAGCAAAGACACAGAGTATGGATAACAAATTCCACATACAACAACCCAAATTAATTGCTCGTTTCTTGTATTGTAGCCGACCCAGTCACCAGTACGGCCTTTGTTTCTCCGGCCCAAAGACCCCTTGATTCAACAGGTATGAATAAGGGGGGAAGCCAAAAAGCGCCGCTCTGGATAAAGTCAATTATTGCTTTTAACAGCCCAGTCTGGTACGCTCCTGTCTCCCTATCGTGCCTTTTCCGTGCCTTTTCTCCTTGTCTTCCCCGTATCTCCTCCCATACAAGTCAATACAACGAATTAGGCCGGAGCCTGCCATCTGGGCATTGTTACATCAGCGGTGTTGTTTGTCCGTTGTTTGCGTCCTTATTTTTACTCGTGTTCCAAACATTTCGCTCTTGTTTCTCTACTCGATGTATTCTGTCTGTTGGAGCGGCCACATGTTTTGGGTTGTTGTTCCTTCTTTCGTACTTCCTCTCTGACGGTCTTTCCTCGTCTGCTTCCATCCCATCGCACCTTCCCAACACCAACGACAACGAACAACAATCACGTCGACATCTCTATCGCTCTTACCCGTTTAAGCCACCAGCTCCTTCGCTCCTTCGTGCCCTACACTACGGCACATACGCCATCATATTTCTATTCGCTTCGCCCGCAACATTTCCTCGTCTTTTTTTCCTACTATAACATCAGCTACGGTTCTTCGCATTCTCATCTCTTCCTCACCAGTTTATGGTCATTCCGGACACACGACTACCCTTTGCATCTTGGAAACCTTTGAAAGTGAGAAGTCTTCAAAGAAACACGTCTTGGCAACTAGATTATGTGGGATGGCTTACGCCTCCTGAAGAAGAGGGTCTGCCGACTTTACTCGTGACACAGAGTTCGGCAAATCAACACAAGATAAATCACAACAACAGCAGCAGCAACAACAACAACGACGACGACGATCGATAACGCAATACAAATACCGGACACAGTACATTCAGCAACTAAGCCACCGATTTTCACCATGATCACCTCACGGAACTCTTTCGTGTTGCTGGCGGCACTCGTCCACTTTGTTTTCATAGGTGTCGAGGCACTGGCTCAAGAACGAAGCCATGGCGATGGTCGTCGCCACGGCAAGCATAGCCAGCATGCATTTGTTATTCCCTCTCTGGTCGCAAGATCAGATGAGTCCACATCGGCAGTTCCCTTGTCACTGGTACCGTCGTCGGTATCAGCGTCATTGGAAAAGGTATCCATGCAGGAAGGATACAGCACGGTCTCTCTGGATACGGCTACCAAACACATAAGCAACACCAATGCGGTGACGCAAGAAATTGCCGTGGGGAGTGACACGCCCGATATTGTCGACAGTGCTACCGGTAAACCAACAACTATACTTTCTCCGCAAGACTTTCCACCCATGGACAAAAGCCCGGTGGACGAGCCAGAAGAAACAGCGCCGACCATCGCGGAAGCACATCCATCACTTCTTGACAGCACCCCAGCTCTTGAAACCAGCGGACACGGCAAGGACCCATCATCTGGTACTGGAGTTAAAAATCAAGGGGCCATAGACCACTCCGAATCTTTCGCGGACCCAAAATCGCACTCGACCTCAAATGACGATTCGGGGACGTTGCGTGTCACTGCTGTATCGGTCCTAACTATACCTTCATCGACTATTGTGCCGCCTCTGGCACCACCCAGTACCACTGCTCCGCCCGGTGCCACACCTGCACTCGGCAGCAACAGCATCGCCACTGCAACCATCAACTCGATCTCATATGGCGGCCCAGTGTCGTCGCAACTTAGATATTTGAACTCTTCATCAGGACCGACCACCCTGCCTGCCACCTCCCTTTCAACAACACTGCCGCTCGAAATACTATTTGGAAACATATCCATACCACCGGATCGAAAGTGGACAGCCCAGATCCCAGGAAATGTCACTGTGGTTAGCACGGCCTCTCCTGGACACCCGGTATGCCATGCAAGCTTCTGTAATGGTATTGTCCTTACCACAAATACGAGTACTTGCACGCCGAACAACTACAGCGCTGCCAGCTTCGGCATTATGTCTGCGGATGGGTACCTTGTGAAGCACGTCATCGTAACAACAACGCTCAAAGGCTTAACGACGACACTGAGCTCTACGACGTTTACGAGCACCGTTACGTGCTTCGACGATACGAGTTGCAACATGCTCGCAATATCACTAGCATCGGATTTCAGAGTCGACTCGGTTGGTTTGGCGACGCAAACAAACACACGCACCATCACTGGCACTACAATCCTTACGTCGTACGGCAAGGTATCACGGACACGGCATTCCTCAGCCTCGCCCGCGCCGTACGCTTTTGCTGCCGGTGCATCAGCGGTGCCGCAACTTCCTCTTGGTTCGACCGTTGTGAACGGCACGTTCAACACCTGCTTGCTGCCAACCGGTGCGATTGCGACCATTATCCATTGCTGGGCCCGGGGTGCTAAGCCTCTGCAATACACTTGTTCTGAGCAACCCATAGACGGAGCCCCTCAGGAGGTGACGGACATCGCGGAAGTTATAACGGCATGCACTGTTATCACCACGATGAAGGGCCCCACGCTCGTTCGGGCAACGTCAACATTGCCCAACTACGATTTTCCCGGTCCCACACAAGATACCCATTTCCCTCCTAATCCGAACAAGTCCAATTTTGTTTCTGCTCCAAGCGGTCCACAGGCACCAGGCGGCAATCGAGACACTGGCATCGGAGCACCAGTGGAAACGGGTGTCCCTGGCCAGACATGGGTTGGCACGACAACTGTCCCCATAGCCATTCTGCCAACGGGGGTTGTGATTGGGTCTAGCACGATCAGGGATGACCCAAATAATTCGCAGTATTCGACCGTAGTTACTATCGGCGGCATTCCGTATACCATCACGCCGGACCAGATTGCAGCAATGGGCTCAGCAGTCCAGCGTCCGTCATGGTCAAATAACTACATCTCTGGTCACGGCCCCGACCAGTATGTGTGGGAGAACTTTGGCGACAATATTGTGTACGCGGCAGCGCCTGCTTCGGGCGTCCTGGGTACAATGTCGGTGCAAGTTAGCGGAAACAGCATTGTGGTGGACGGCACGTCATTTTCTATTCCAGCACAGCCCAGTGTAGGCGTGGTTCATGGCGAAACAGTGCACCTTGGCCCCGATGGAGTCGTTGCCGGCGGGCAGACACTGAGCGTGTCGCCCGTGGTTATGTCGGCCGGCGCTGGTGGCGGTGGGCACTCTGAAGTTGTTGTGGCCGGGGGCACCGTCTTGACACTCGATGACACCAATGTTGTGGTTGAGGGCCACACGATCGCTTACAATGCTGTTGCTGGCGGGCTTGGAACCTCTTCTGTTCTCACAGTTGCCGGCGATACCGTCACCATTGTGCCGGGCCCGAGTAATGGAGCCGGTAGCCATGGTGGGCGTGGAGGTGCCTTTATCGTCATCCACGGCACAACGTTCACGGCGCCTGCCGCCGGTTCGACACATTATGAGTTGGTGGGCGGTGCCACATTTACCGAAGTAAGCCCGTCGGTCATTGTTCTCAATGGGCACTCATACACGATAGGCCCGGCCACGATCGGGGCGAGTGGAGGTCTGGCTGCAGCTGTGGCAGCGTCTGGTGCCACCCCGACAACGGTGGTCATCGGCGGCGAGACATTGACCATTGGACCGGGCGGCGTCACGGTTGGCGGCACAGTCACATTCCGGTTTCCATTTGTGGCCACGCCGACGGTTACACTCACAGGCACTGCGACGATAACAAATGACGCCGCAATGAAGCCAGGTCCCGTGGGCGGTCTGCAGTCCGGTGCCACACCGACGCCGACCAGCGCGGCAGGCGGGAGCTCGGCAGGCTTTGCATCGGCCGATAGCAACAACGGGGGCCCTGGTGCCGGGTCAAAGAACGCCTCGTCACGGACGACGGTGTCCGTTGCAGCAGTTGGTTTCTCTTTGGTCGTGTCATTTGCGGCTGCGCTGTCGTCGTTGATCTATCTTTTTTGAATGTTTTTGGAAAGGATGGGAGGTTGGTTTCCTTTGTTTCTGTTTTCTTTGCTTTTTTGCATTTGGCACCTAGCATAGCGACAGGCGTCGGGGTGGGTTATGGGTCATCTTTGTCCACGGACAAACATATTTACATTCGTTTTCAGTTGGTGTTTTCATATTGTCATATAGTTGCGTCCATACCTTGTGTTTTACTTTTGTTTTCTATTAAATTCCCCCACAGACCGTGGAAACGCAGTCATGGATCGAAAATTGTTGCCGTAGGAAAGTGGCTATTTGGAGCACCGCGCCTTGAAGAGAATGAGATATCGAGAGAGACAACATCACAAACACTTAGTGTCATAATAAAATCAATATATCACAAGATTATCCAGTAAAATGATTCTTCTGCTCGTTCCTGCCGCGTTGTTCATGTATTTCGTACGTTCCTATGCCTCCACGTGACAGCGCTACGCGCCTGCTCGGACGGACGCGCTAGAGGCCAATCGGCTGGCGTCGGTTGCCTGCCACTGAGCCAGCCTCAAACATGGGCCTCATGATATGGTCGCCTGTTGATGCACACGTGTGAAGTCTCGGGTCTAGGCCACTTGTCGATGTGAACGGAGAGTGTTATTGTCTTTGGATTTTGTCTCGCCCCTCGTTTCCCTCTTTCTTCTCTATGTTCCTCCTTCCTGTCTACTATCATCACATTTTGTCTCCTTACAGTCTGCAAAATACAAGTTCACTGTAACCGTTCCGTCGCCATGGATCTTCCTATCGTCGACCTTGATCTCTTCCGGACGCTGCCCCGAGACGACCCCCGCGTGCTTTCCGAGTGCCGCCGCGCCGCGGACGCGCTCGTGGAGTTTGGTGCCCTGGTGTTGCACGACGAGCGCGTCGCCGAGGCCGACAACGATGCCTTTTTGGACCTGCTCGAGTCCTACTTTGCCCAGCCGGACGACGTCCTGCGCCAGGACGAGCGGCCCGCGCTCGGCTACCAGGTCGGCGTCACGCTCGAGAACACGGAGACGCCCAAGTGTGCCGTCGACGAGCCGTGTCTCGACGTGATTGCGCGGCTGGCGCCGGCGGAGCGGCCGCTGGACATTGGCGGGCACCAGCCAGACCCCAAGTGCCGGTTCTTTTGGCGCATGGCCGAGGCGCCACCGTACGACACGGCGTTTCCGGGGCTGAACGCGCCAAATGTGGTGCCGTCAACGGACGATGCGGCGATCCGGGAGCGATGGACACCGGTGATGAACCAATGGGGCGCAGCCATGAAAGAAGCGTGAGTGACAGGAGGGGGAGAGAAGTGGTACGACACGGACGAGTACTGAGGAGTGCTAACACATTGCAGAGTCACGGGTGTGGCGGAAATGGCGGCGGTTGGGTTCGGCTTGCCTGCCGAGACGTTCAGTGACGCTGGTCGCTACGGGTAGGTATCTGACGTTCTGTCGGGCAACCGTCCCGTCAATTACTATCCATCTCCTTATCTTCTTCCGTCCTCACCTGCTCACCTTCTCACACACAGGCCGCACCTCCTGGCGCCGACGGCGTCCAACCTCGACAAGTACGGCGCCCGCGACACCATCTTGGCCGGCTTCCACACCGACCTCAACTTCCTCACCATCCACGGCCGCTCGCGGTTTCCGGGACTGCACATCTGGGCCCGCAACACAGGCCGCCGCATCGCTGTGGCCATCCCCCCCGGTCGCCATCTGCTCGTCCAGGCCGGCAAGCAGCTCGAACACTTGTCCGGCGGCCTGGTCAAGGCCGGCTACCACGAGGTCGTCGTCAACGAGAAGACGCAGGCTGTCGTGGCCGCCCGCAAGGCCGCACTGCCCGACCGCCCGGCGATCCGCATCTCGTCGACCTTTTTCTGGCACCTGGCGTCCGACGTCGACCTGGCGCCGCTGCCGCAGCTCGCCGACAAGGCACGGGCGCTGCGGGCAGCCAAGCAGGCGCAGGGTTTGGACGAGGGCGCGGCAGTGCAGTACGCGCCAATGAAGGTCGGCCAGCAGGTGCAAAGGTGAGTCAATCATGCGAGGAAGGGAATCCATTTCATGAGCCAGTGACACTGACAATCGTTGCTCTAGCGAACTCAAGCATATCGCTTTGATGACATGATGGGGAGGGCGGCTTCTTTTGGATGATGAAGATGTGCCTATTTTTGTTTCATTTGGATATTATGCTTCAGTGTTTTTATGTTTTTACCTCTCTGATTTACCTTTGCACGCAAATCAAGCAAAGCGCCGTGTGGTGGTCATCTAACGGCGCCTGTGTCATGTTAGCGGCGATCGCATCCCATGACGACAACTGGCGACTGCACATTTCGCTGCATTTTATTGGCCCGCCCGTTCTTGTTCACCACACTCCCACACACCTCTACGCGAGATCAGTCCAACTACCCTCCAACTCAATCGCTGAGGCTTTTTTCGTCATTTGCACACTGCATTGTGAATGAAGGCTAAGCAGCAACCCACAGCTTTGCTCGTCAGCCTACCAAAGATTGTCGATGTACAATGTCGATATACGACATACCCACAAACCAAAAAAATGCGGGACGGCACCCCGACCTCCGCGATGCCGCCATGGCGTCGAAGCTGGGGATATCTTCTTGGCATGGTTTGGAGACGCCGGACTCCGCAGCGTCCCCTGTCTTTGTCTCGCCTCGCTCGCCGATTGCTTGGCCGACGAGCACTTTTATGGCACAGACGGAAAACAGGCAGACAATCCCCCCTCGCCGTCGGTGCCGTTGTCGGGTTCAATGAGATGCGGGCGTCGTAGCTGCGACCTATCTCAGCGCGCAAGTCCAGAACAGCCAGAGTGAGAATAAATATGATGTGACAAGACGACATATGACACAATGTGGTATACCGCCGCGCTGTCTTCCGGACCTACGGCTTCGACGTGGATATAACAGAGGCCTTGGACCCCTTTTCCCTGGCTCGCATTCTGTTTCTTCTCGTTCCTCATCGAAACGAATTTACCGCCAACAATAACCCACCATGTCGACCACAACCACCACCAACACCAAGACAGAGGGTGCCTCTGGGCCCCTCAAGCTGTCCCTCGCCTACGACGAGAAGCTTCACGAGGAGGTGAGTCCATGACACCGTGAAGACGGCATTGTCCATCCAGCGACGCCCTAGCCTCCTTTACTCACACGGCACGTCCCGTCCCCAGTACAAGTACGCTGCCTATCTCCCGGTCTACGACGAAAAGACGACTTTCCCGCCCCTCAAGCCGTTTGCCTTCCACGACCGCGGCCTCGTCGCCAACAAGGCCAAACCCAACCTGCTGCCCACCGACCCGGCCGCCGGCGTCACCGCCACGCGCCTCACCCCGGCCATTGGCACCGAGATCCGCGGCCTGCAGCTGTCCGCCCTGACGGACCTGCAAAAGGACGAGCTCGCCCTGCTCATTGCCGAGCGCGGCGTCGTCATCTTCCGCGACCAGGACTTCAAGGACGCCGGCGTCGAGGCCCAGAAGCAGTTTGCCAGCTACTTTGGCCCGCTGCACATCCACCCCGTCGGCGCGCACGTGAAAGACAACCTGGAGATCCACAACATCTACCTCGGCCCGGACAACGAGTACCGCACGCGCCAGCGCGACAACCGCCTGACGACCACGGGCTACCACTCGGACGTGTCGTACGAGCACCAGCCGCCCGGCATCACCATCCTGACGCTGCTGAGCGTCCCGCCCGTCGGCGGCGACACGGCCTGGGCGTCGGCGACGGCGGCGTACGAGCGGCTGTCGCCGCCGATCCGGACGCTGCTGGAGGGCCTGCGCGCCGAGCACAGCGGGTTCCCGCAGGCGGACAATGCGCGGCGCGACGGCAAGCACGTGCGGCGGGAGCCGGTCACGTCGGAGCACCCGGTGGTGCGCGTGCACCCGGCCACGGGGCAGAAGTCGCTGTTTGTGAACCCGGGCTTCACGAAGCGCATCGTCGGCCTCAAGAACGAGGAGTCGGACGCGCTGCTGCAGCTGCTGTTCAAGCACATTACCTTTGGCCAGGACTTCCAGGTGCGCGTCCGGTGGGAGGAGGGCACGGTGGCGCTGTGGGACAACCGGGTGACGACGCACACGGCGATTGCCGACTACAACGTGCACAACCCGCAGGAGGGTCTGCGCCATGGCGTGCGGCTGACGACGCAGGCCGACAAGCCGACCGGCGTGCATGGACTCGAGTCGACGTGGTAGATTTGTAGCATGTAGCAGAAGAACGAGGAGAAGCAATCAAATATTAGGAGGACGATCAAAGGCTATGCCACGTCGCCAGACGAAAAGTAATGAAGAAAAGCAAGCAAGAAAATCAAGAATCAAGCCAGTAGTAATACCAAACAATCAACAATCAACAGTAATCGCACAAACACACTTTCCCTACTTCCCCTTGCCCTTGCCCTTGCCGGTGTACTTGACCTCCAGCGCCGGGAACTCGTCCTTGTGCAGCAGCGCCGCCAGCGCCGCGTCATTGTCGTACTGCTCCTGCAGGTCGCTTCCATGGACCATCTGTCCCAGGCCCGCAGTCTTGTCCTCTTCCTCCTGCAGGCTCAGCTGCAGGGCCATCTGGAAATCGTCGTCTTCGTTTTCGCCGACGACGTGGTGCTCTGGGAGCAGTGTCTGGGTCGTGGCCGGCCCAGCTGCCGAGGACGCGCCGGCTGTCGAATAACGGCTACGACGATCGTGTCCGTCGTAGCCGAAATCGTCGTCCGGCGACGACGACAGGGCAAACGGGGAAGACGAAGTCCCAGGAGCTTTGCCCTTGCTCTTCGCTTTGCCCTTTCCCTTGCCTTTGCCTTTGGCCCTGCTCTCATACATCGGCGGGCTCGGCGTCTGCGGCAGAGCCTGGAATGGATCCGACGTCGCAGTACCAGGGGCGATCGTCACACCGTCTGCATCGGGCGCATCGTCGTTGACCCCTTCCATCAGCGACAGGCGAATGGCGCGCTGGATCTGCAGCTCAAAGTCGTCTTCTTCGGCGACCAGCGTGGGCCCATTGCGGCCGCCGTGGCTGACGCGGCGGCTCGATGGCGAGCGAGCCGACGCGGCGCGCGTCGTGCCGCCGCTGCCGCCGCTGCCGCTGCCGCCACTCACAGCACTCACCGCACTCATAGCACTGGCACCACGAGGACTCCGCCCAGACATGCTCGGTTCAGACGTGACGGTGTCCACCGGGCCACCGCTGGCACTGACGGCCTCCTCGGACGAAAACGTCGTGGCTGAGGCCGCAGACGACAATGACTCGGCCGAGTCGCCGGATTGAGACAGCGAGTGGAACTGCTGGTGGCGCTGCTCGTCGAGCGAAAACGTTTCTTGAGACAGAATCTCAGCGTACCGGATGGCTTCCTCGTCCGTCAGGCCGGCCAGGCCGACGCCAAAGCGCTGCAGCAGGCGTGCGCGATGGCGCTCGTCGCTCTCCTGCTCGCGACGCAGCTCGGCCGCCTCGGCGGCAATGTAGTCGGACACCTTTTCGCCCATGAGGCGGCGGTTGACGAGCTGGCCCTCGGCGTTGGTGTGGCGAAGACGGCGGCCCTTTTTGCGGCTGGCGTTGCGGATGGCAGAACTGTACGACCAGAAGCGGATGAGGGTGCCGACGGCCAAGACGCCGCGCAGCACGGTCGGGTCCGGGTCCAGAAAGATGGCACCGACCGAGGCAAACGTGGCGGGCGTGAGCTGGGCGCGCAGGTGGGTCAGGTGGCGCGGGATGCGGCCGGACGACGGCGCGTTGAGCGTGCGAACGGGGCCGTTTGTGGACGTGAGAGGATCCCAGGCCTGGACGAGACCGTCGCTGCCGCCGTGAACGAGGTACAGGGCCGAGACGGCCAGACTGGTGATGGCAGGGGAGTCGGTGCGGATGATGCGCAGTGGCCAGACGATGTTGTCTTTTGTGTTTTCGGCGACAAACGCGGAATCGGTCGAAAGCAACGAAGACGACACCGCCTCGCGCAGGTTCCACACGATGACAGCGCCAGTTTTGGTACCGACGGCCAGCCAGCGTGAACGCCGACCGGGGATCTCGCCCATCGTCGTAGGTACACCGTCGGACTGCTGCTGGAGAAGGTTGTCCTCAAACGGTGCAACGACCGAGTACAAGCTCAAGTCAACGGCACTGCAGGTAATCTCGGCATCAACCGTAGACTTGCTGCTGTTGCTACCCTTGAGAGAAAAGGTAGTCATTTGCCAGCCGACCGTCGCAGACGCAACGTTGGTCAGGCGCGGCGTCCACTCGCCACCGGAAAGACTAGCCACGACAGGCGTACCGGTGGCTGCACCGGCACGGGATGGCGGCGTCAGTGTTGGCGGCGTGGGCGTGTTTTGGCCCGAGCTAAAGATGGAGAGCGCAGGTGACGGTTCAGGCGGAACGGTGCCCGACGACACAGGGGACAAGGGCGTGGCCGGCGTCGCAGGAAAGGACGAGGCGGCCGGTGCAGCGGCAGCGGCAGCCGTGACAAGTCTTGTATAGCGCGTGACCTTGGCGGGTTGTGGTCTGCGCTGCCCTTTTTGTTCGGCACCGCTGCGAACCACCACTATGTTCTCTGCTGTGCTCGCGCTGCCGCTGCCGTTGCTGCCACCTGCAAAATCGACTTGCAGCTGCAGCCGCATGTCCCAGGTGTCGTACACGGCGCGGAAGTGCTCTGGCATGAGGGCAAAGTACCGCTCAATTTCGCGGGCCTCGGCCACGCGCTGCTCCTGGACAAGGCCCACGGAGTCGGGCGACAGATGCGGGGACGACGAGGCGGCAATACGGAGCGACTCGACCTTGTCGTCAAACCAGTCCGATGTCAGGGTGCGACGGGAGGCTTCCACAAGTTCCCAGCTGACCGAACGGCCGGCCTGCCAGGCCAGTTGGTCGTGTTCGACGGTGACGGTCGCCGCTGTAGACGGCGCAGTCGGCACATCCTGCAAATAATACACTTCGCCAAGGGCGTTTAGGGCGACAGCCCAGACGCGGCGAGCGGCGCGGCGCTTCTCTGTGTAGTTGTCGTCCGCCGTGACAGCAATGATCGGGACGCCGGGGCTCACGACCCAGCGGGCCGTCAGATGCGAGTACGGGTAGCGAGATGACGAGTTGGCCTTGTCGAGCGAATAGGATGAGACGACACCGAGCGACGAGCCGGTCAAAAAGCCCACCATAGACTTGGTCACCGTCGGCACAGCTGTCGTCTTGGCGACCCACACAGCCGTGACAGCTTCCGCGGCTTCAGGGATGGTAGGAACGTCGGAGAGGTCGGGCGCCGCGTCGACAGCGTTCAGCAGGGCGGGGAAATGGCGGCGGCGCGTCGCGTTGTCGAGGTAGGCCAGGCTGCGGTCGTTGGTGGCGCGTGTCAGGGCACGGCCGCCAGGAAAGGCCTCGCCGACAATGGCGCCGTACAGGTTGCTGACGTCCATGACATTCGGCATGGCGGCACGGCCGGGGCCCAGACCAAAAGGAGTGAGGCTGCGGTTGACATCCTCCAGCTGCGGCGCCATGTACTCTTCGCGGTAGCCCCAGCCCTCGAGCTTGCCGAGAGAGGGGTTGCTGGAGGTGACGACGCCAAAGGCAGAAGCGCCGTGGACCACGCGCGGCTGCTTCTTCCCGGTGGCGGCAAAGGCGGCATGCAAGTGGTCGACCGTGCCCGGCAGCTGCGAGTTGTAGGTGATGACAGCGGTGGCCTTTTTATTGTGGGCCATGACAGCCTTGCTGCCCGGGCCCTCGCCTTTGACGCCAACAGACACGCCCGGTTTCCCGGACATGAGGCTGCGCAAGAGGCGGGTTCGAAGAAGGTATTCGCTGCGCCAGGAGGCAAGGGCAGTCAAGCGGCCGAAGCGGCGAGCGTCCGCACGAGCGACAGCCATGCTGTGGTCCTCACCACCGCCGCTGCTGCCGCCGCCGCCGCCGCCGCCACCACCACCACCACCACTACCATCAGAAGCCGCTGCCAGGAGAGCCGCCGTACCGTTCAGGGTGGCAGCCTCTTGGCCCGGGAAGAAGCGCGAAAAGGCCATGCGCCAGGCATGCGGAGTGGTGATGAGGGCGTAGAAGCGCTTGGAGACGAGCGCGACAGAGTCGTGGGCGCCGGGCTGCAGATACGAGAAGACGTGGGTCAGGACCTCGTTGGGAAAGTCGTTGAGGCTGCGGCCTGTCCCGAGAAGGGAGCCAGACGCGCCGGGGGCTTTCTTGACGACCTGGAACACGACGCGTTCGCGGCGCCAGGCAGCCGGAGTGCGGGCACGCTCATACTCGGCCACGCGTTGGCCGGCCATGGTCGGCGCAGTCAATGCTGACGTGGAGGCGGCCGATGGCGAGGCGGGCGAAGAGGGAGAGGGCGAAGAAGTGTTGGCAACGGCGGCGGTCTTCAGGCGGCGGAGCTTTTCGTCGAGCTTCTGGATGTCGACGGAGCTATCGCCAGCCGCGTCGGCTGACACAGCTGTGCGTGTGACGGCGGCATCGCGCAGAGAGGCGTCCGGGCGGGGACGATCGAGGCCATGTTGGGCAAAGGACGTGGAGGACGAGGGGATGGATTGCAGCGCAGCGTGTTCTGAAGCTTCGGGGAGCCCGCGGTGCATAAAGAGGCTGGAGAGGGTGGTGGAGGGGAGACAGCACTGTTACAATCGTCGTCGCGAGCAGAGAGACGCGTCGACGAAGGAGATGGAGAGGGTATCGGACCGAAACGATCGGATGGAACGATTGGAGAGGGATCCAAAGAGTCGATTTGAGAGTCGCGTTGGAGAAGTGCTCTGCGCGTTGGCAAAGTCGAATCGTATCTGGACGAGGAGTCGAAAGCAATTGATTGATGGACGTTTGTATCTCGTGAGAGAAGGGCGCGTAGCGAGGCAGTGAGGTTGTGTTCCACAGTCGGAAGCTGAGTCAAGGTCAGGTTGTGGTTTGTTGTGATGATTTTTTGGGATTTTGGGGTGGAAATGAGACAGGCCAATCTATTTGGCCCAATCTGGGGCGTGTTTGGCTTGTCTGGGTCGCGGCTTCCGTTCCCGTCCGCTATGTCCGATGGGCGTGTTTGGGGAAGGTGCGACTGTGTTGGAGCAAGAACAGCCTGCTTTTCCCGATCTGGTATGCTTATTCAGCCGGTTTCAGCACTGTGTAGGGCCGCAGGCGATTCTTTAGGGGCGACTTTCAAACTTTTACAGCGGGTGGCCGTGGGCAGTGCTGCCGAGCACAGTTGCTTCAGGGGGATAGGCACAGGGGCAGTCTTATTTAAGGAAAGCTCGCAAGAGATGCTTCGGGGAAAGAGTCATCATCATTGATTCAGGCAGTAATGCAGATAGGAGTCATGGGATACTTGTAGGCAATACACTCCACGGTGCTCGCTTGACATTCGTAATAGATAATTGGAAGAAGGAAATGAAAGAAAAATAACAGAAGAAAATACGTGTGAAACGGCTTCATGATGCTCCACGCCAATGAACGAGCTGTATCCTACACCTGATGAGCCTCGCTATGACTCGCTGTCTCCTGCTGTCCATCATCCTTGTTCTCGTCTCCTTCTTCGTCTCTAGTAGTAGTCCTGCCGCTGTCTCTGCATGCCCTGCGGACTCTGGGGCGTCTGGTACCGCGAGATGGGGATGCGCACCGACGTGGCCTGGCCGTCGGTGCGGACAGTCAGGGCTGATGCCTGGGGCGGCATGTAGCCCATTGGCGGGCGGTGCTGCTGCGGATATTTCTGTTGTTGATACTGTGGGAGTGGTTGTTGCGAGATCTGTTGCGAGATCTGTTGCGAGATCTGTTGCGAGATCTGCTGCGGGTGCATCTGTTGCTGGCTGATGTGTCCGTACCCGACAGATTCGCCTGCCCCTGAAGACAGTCCGCCGCCAAGACTGGGCCGCCGTCCAACTGGCGTCTGCAGCAGACTCCGCGAGGCCGGGCCGTTGAGGGGTGCCCGCGTCGGCATCGCGCGGCCGAGCATCGTGCTGCTGCTGCTGCTCGTCGCCCGAGGGCGGCCCTTTGCTGGCACCGGTGCGGCCGCAGGCGCCAATGGTTCTGGCGCTGCACCAGCGGGCATCGTGTCCTCCGACGACCCATCACGGTCCGAAATGGGCGGCGTCTGTGGCGTTTGCGGGGGCACAGGCCACTGCAGCAGCGACGGCGACAAGAGCACGCTGCTGGTGATGCTGCTGCCGCCGACGCTGCCGTAGCTCGAGCGGTTTTGGGAGGAGGCGGCGTCCGTGGCGTCCGTGGCGCCCATTGCGTCCATCTCGTGCATGTCGTCGCTGTTCTCCATCGACGACCGTTGGCGTCCCGTTGCGGACAAAGGCGGCGGTGCGAGTGCTGCGGGCGACGCCAGGGGTTGCGTGGGTGTGCGGGACATGGGAGAGCGTTGCGTCGACGGGTGGCCATTCACTCCGTCCGCTGTGTCGACCGCCAGGCGGGGAACTGTCTGTGCCTGCGCTTGGACATGCTCCTTTGGCTGGACAGCCGTTGGCGGCGGTGTCGGCAGAAGAGAGCCGGCAGGGATGTTGTGGGCCGCTCCACCAACAGCACGACCGCCACTGCCGCCGCGCCGTGTAGCAAAGGGCTGCGCTGGCACGGGCTGCAGACGCGGCACAGAATTGACGCTGCTGCTGCTGGTGCTGTGGCCGTAGGCGTGGGTCCGGCCTGTGGCAGGAAAGGTGCTGTAGCTGCTGCGCGACGCCGAACGTCCTCGAGTAGCAGCGGCGCCGGCAGCGGCTGCGGTGCCCGGCGTACCAGCGGTGCCCGATGAAACAGTTGAGGGTGTCAGATCACCGCTGTCGACCGAAGATGATACCGATCGAGGCGATCCCATGACAGCAGGGGCCTGTGGATACCTCGGAGGCGGCAGATTTCCAGCCGAAGACGAGCCAGGAGCAGCGGCAATAGAACCGGCACCGGCAACGGCGCTTGCAGCCATGGCCATAGTCGACTGCTTCTCGTTGAATACGCGGCCCGTCTGCGCCGACGGTGCAGCCACGGCCATCATTTCGGACATGGCCGCACCACCATAGCCGCCTCCATAGCCACCGCCACTGAGACCAGCACTGGGACCAGGACTAGGCACGGCACTGAGGGGTGTCAACAGCGACCGCACCGAGCCCCGGCTGTTGAGCCGTCGGGCCCCGTCTGGATTGCCGTCTACGCCGCCTCCGCTGCCAATGCCTCCGCCGTTGCGATTGCCACTGCAGGCAGCAAACAATGGCCGCAATGCCTTGGACCGGCGAAAACGGTAGAGCAGAGCAGCCGCGGCCAGCAGCAGTACAAGAGCCACAACGACACCAGCAATGACCCCGGCATGGCTGTTGCTGCTGGACGTAGAGGACGTACCACCGCCATCGCTCGACGAGATGGAAGAGCCTGTAGCCGATGCAGCGTCCGACGTGGCGGCTGCACCGAATGCGCGACCATTGCCAGCCGTTGTCGGCGACGGCGTGCTGTCGTGAATGGGCGTAGTCTGTCCGTGGGGCTCGCCATAGACCGAGCTGCCACGACCACCAGAGGCCGTGCTGGCTCCACCGGCTGCCTCGGCAGCGGCAGATGCTGTTGGAGCGGCGGTCTGGCTTGCATTGGCTCCGGCGGCACTCTCGCTGTTGTCGTTGCTGCCATTGCTACTACCTGCTCCAGAGGGCGTGGCCTGTGCAGCCGTGGCGGCCGCATTGTTTCCTGCACCTGCATCCTGTGATGTTTGACTTCCAGAAGCACCGTTGCCATCGTTGTTGTTCACCGCCGACGTCGGTTGGCTATTGCTGTCGTTGTTGGCGGCCGGCGTTGACGACTGGGCGGGTGCTGCTACTGCTTCTTTGGACGTTGCCTCCGTCGTTGGTTCGGCCGCGGGTGTGGATTGGGCCTGGGGCGTTGTAGATGTGGCCTTGGCTGGCGTGGAGGATGTTTTCTCTGGGGTTGTTGACGTCGTCGGTGTGGACTTTGCTTGCGCTTCCGATGATGCTGTCGTTTTGCCATTGCCACGTCCATTGTGGCCCCAGAACCCGTCGTTGCCATTGTCGTTTCCATTGTTGTCGCCCCATCCGTTGTGGAAGAAGCCGCCGCCGTCGCCACGGCCTGCTCGCCGCTTCAGTTCTGCATTTTCCTTTTCGTCCGTCTCGGCACCCGCGTGCAATGCATGAGGTGAGTGTTTGCAGATGGCATCCCACGATTCGTGCGCCACGCCTGTCAGCAACCGCCAAATAGCCTCGCCGCCGGTTGGGCTGTCAGCCACGGGGTTGTCACCCGGTTGTATGGCAACCATGGTCGGTGGTGAGAGAAGAAAAGATGGGGGACGTAAAGAGACAAAAAAGAAGAGTATAAAACAAAAGAAATTGCCGTGTACTCGAGGACCTGTTTCTTGGGAATTCAAGGATGCCCTCAGCACGGGGACCAAACTCTCAACCAAACTGGAAAGAAAAGAAATGTGAATAAGGAAAAGAAAGATGAAGAGTGAGTTCAAAAGCGAAGAATATGGTGATCGAGTGTGTTGGACCTCTGTTCCTGTGTTGCTTATTTTTCTTCTAGTGTTGCTATTGCCGATCGTCGATCGTCCACGCAAGCTACAAGCTCCAACGTCAAGGCCGTTCAAAGATCGTCGGCCAAGGGCTTGTTGTCTCTGCCCACGCAATGGCTCCTTCTCCTCGTCGTGGCGAGTGTCCGAGTTGTAGCGAGCCAGCCGCTTTTTCTGCCCATTGTCCGGTAGCAAATTCAAAGAAATCTGTGTCAAAGCATTGGAGATAAGAAAGACGATGATGCACCGAAAGATATATGTCGAATGTCAAGACGAATAAAGGAAGAGATCCATCCAGGATGAACAAGTCGAAAGAAAGCAACTGAGTCCACCATGTAGAACCGAAGACAACAAAAATACAAAATACAAGCAAGACATGCCAAGAAGACAGAGCCATGCTGGTGGAGAGCAGGCACAGCGACAGCAGTGACAGCAATGTGACGAAACGGTCGGAAGAGGGCAAGCGGTGGACAGGCCGTTTCAATGAACTGGGGCCAACAAGCGGAGCCACGAGAGACGAGAAGAGCTCGAGCTTTCGTTTCTACCCACCGTTTTTAGCGACACAGCCTTGTGTTGATTGTTTTGGGCTAACGCCGCCTTTTTCTTTATTTATTGCTTTGGTGCACATTCGTCTGTGTCTCGTTTGGTCGATGGCGTCCTTCACCCCTATCCGTGCGCAGCCAATTGTAGCTTCTCCGGCCCTTTTCATTGCTCAGCTTTTCTCAGCTCTCGACGCGACGACGTGCCTCGCTTGCCGTTGACTGCCCCATGCATTTCGTGTTTACGGAGTGTAGGATGCAGGTGCAGACAAGCAAAAGGTGCAGGAAGCCGCAGACGATGCAGACGAAGCAGACGAAGCAGACGATACAGGACAGCTGCCCACTTCTCATCAACCGAGGCCCCCGCGTCTTGCATTGACTCTCCATCTCCCATCCAGACCCGAAGAGAAAAAAAGGAAACAAATCGAAAAAAAAAACTCTGACTGGCCTGCTTGTTGACACTCTGCCGTGACAACTCAAAGCACCCGTCGTCCGGCTGTCTTACAAGCTCCAGCCATCTCCACCTCTTCGTCCACCTCTTCGTCCACCTCTTATCCCAAATGAGGATAGATCTCCGCCAGCCAGGAACCCACCAACTGCACGTCGGCACTACTCTGTCACTTGTATGCTTTTGTGTTGCTTTTTGCTCGGTTTTGAGTGCTAGCCCAGGCACGGCTTTCGTCCCCTCAATGGAACCCAAAAGCCCACTTGTCCCCTTGCAGCATCCAATTTCGCAAAAGGGGTTCAGGCACACACACATACGACGTACGAAGCACGTACAACTTACAAACTTATGACAGTCAACTCCGTCTAGAGCAAGGAGCTTGTCGTCCTTCTTCATGTCCTGGGACTTCTTTCCAACCTTGTCCTGGCACTTATTTTTGACCAAGGTGTCTCGCTACTCACATTTTGTTTTGTTTCAAAGTTTCTAATCGATACCGATGTTTTGTTGGTCGTGTCCTCCTACCTCTCACAGGCTCTCTTCTGGGTGGCCTATCCAGCTGCCGTTTACTTTTCTTCCCTCCAATGTCTCCTCGCCTTGGCAAAGGGGTCTGTGGTCAGGAAAGAGGAGTGAACTCGTCCTCCGTTGCACGCCAAATGTGAAATATCGCATTGTCCTGTCCCCATAGCAAAGAACGGAGTAATTACGACGGACAAAAATAAGACATAGACCCAGTCCAATGCACCATCAGACCAGCATCAGAGGCTCAGAGCGTCGGGAAATGCTACCCAATTACCCAATAGTCGCCCTCCAGATGCACACGGCCAGGCAGCTTTCATGATAGTCGTGAATGATTATCCCAGCAATATGCTAGAGTCTTTCTTTGCTCTCTTCCAACACTGAACATCATATGTCGTTCCCAACGTCCTGCAGCGGAGAGTTTTCGTGTGTGATACGACGCACAACTATTTTCGTGTTGCCAACAGAAACCCTTTCTCTCAGCTGATTGCATTTCATTTCAAAAAGGACGCTGGTGCATTGCATAGTTGCTTTTTCTCTGCGCGTCGCTCATTTGGTTCGCGTGCAAAGCACACAGACGCAACCGCATGAGTAGCAAGCCACGCGACGAGAGAGCGGTGAATGCTCGTCGTCGTTTGTTCAGACGCGTGGTGCCGATAGGGCTCGGATAAAAGTGACGCTGATTATGCTCGGCGAAGACGAGGACGTATGAACAGAAACAAAAGAAGAAGAAGAAGAAGAAAAAGAAAAAGAAAAAGAAAAAGAAAAAAAAGAAAATTGACAAGAAGCGGAGAGGGACGGTGGACACAGTCCAAAGAAGTGCGTGGCCGGCACAAGTCATTCGGAAGGGAATTGACAAAAACCTCGGAATTTTGTAGCTGTCCGTGGTATATCCCCGAGAAACGTGGGCTTGGCCGTTCAAACGTTTGGGTCATCGCAGCATATACTCCATGCGAGCATCACCATCGAGAGTTGTCACGGGATATCCGCTTCGGTGTCTTCTACTCCGACCTAAGAAGCGACGACCTGTTGCGGTAAGCGGGGCAACAGGCTGTTGTTAGCTCTTTCCTGCCAAGAACTTCAAAAACATCGTCACAAAACGGCAAGGACGACTCTTCTACTCTTTCCCGATGTGGCATCTCCTATGAGCTAGATGTCCTCAAGAACTCCTGACATGATTTTTGTTTATTTTTCTGTTCACTTTTGACATTTGATGAATACACTTACACGTCCGATTTTGGTCAACTTGCGGCGGGGGCAAGGCATGGCGCGCCAAATTCCACAAGTCACAGGCCGCCGGTTAAATGCAAACAGCCGCTGTCGGCCACCGGAGCGATCTGGTGGGAGTGGGAGAGCTCGACCTCCAACGACTGAGCATCCACGGCCAAGATGGTTCGATAACAGCCGGTGGCCTGCTTTAAAGGCCGGCATGCCTCGTCTCTCTCCTCGTTTTGCCAGTCCTCGCTTCGCTCGTTACTCAAGTCTTCCTTGCGATTTCCCGCTGCTCGCTCGCCCACAGCATTCATCGCGTCATCATGCCTCGCGTTCGCAACCCCATCCTGCCCGGCTTCCATGCCGACCCTTCCGTCCTTCGGGTCGGCAAGGACTACTACATTGCCACATCCACGTTTGAATGGTACCCGGGCGTCCAGATCTACCACTCGACCGACCTCGCCGACTGGACGCTCGTCAGCCGGCCGCTCAACCGCGCGGCGCAGCTCGACATGCGCGGCAACCCGGACAGCTGCGGCGTGTGGGCGCCGTGCCTGACGCACGACGGCAGCGAGTTTTGGCTCGTGTACTCGGACGTCAAGCGCAAGGACGGCAGCTTCAAAGACTCGCTCAACTACATTGTGCACGCGCCCACCATCACGGGGCCGTGGTCGGACCCCGTGTTTGCCAACGCCTCCGGCTTCGACCCCTCGCTGTTCCACGACCCGGACGACGGCCGCAAGTGGTTCGTCAACATGCTGTGGGACCACCGCCGGCGGGCAGGCGGGCCGCAGAACCGCACGGCGTTTGCGGGCATCGTCTTGCAAGAGTTTGACCCCAAGGCCGGGCGCCTCGTGGGCCCGCGCAAGAACATCTACGGCGGCACGGCCCTCGCCCTGACCGAAGGCCCCCACCTGTACAAGCGCAACGGCGTGTTCTACCTGCTGACGGCCGAGGGCGGCACGGGCTACGACCACGCGGTGACCCTGGCGCGGTCGACGAGCGGCAGCGTGTGGGGGCCCTACGAGGATCACCCGGACAAGTACATCCTGACCAGCAAGGACCACCCGCTGACGGCGCTGCAGCGCGCGGGCCACGGCGACATTGTGGACGTGGAGCAGCCGGACGGGTCGCTCAAGCCGTACGTGGTGCACCTGTGCTCGCGGCCCGTCACCCAGAAACGCCGAAACGTCTTGGGCCGCGAGACGGCCATCCAGCCGGCCCACTGGGGCGACGACGGCTGGCTGTACCTGGACAACGGCATCCTGCCCTCACTATACGTGGACCTGCCCGGCGCGCGCGACGACGACCCGGCCACGAGCGCGTACTGGCAGCCCACGACGTACACGTGGAAGGACGCGGACCTCGCGGCGGTCGACTACAGCGCCATCAACGGCGCGGTGGCGTCCAAGCTGCACCCGGACCTGCAGTGGCTGCGGCTGCCGGACCCGTCGCGCCTCTTTTCGATTGCGGGCGGCCAGCTCGTGCTGCACGGCCGCGAGTCCATCGGGTCGTGGTTCGAGCAGGCGCTCGTGGCGCGGCGGCAGACGCACTTTTCGTACGACGCCGAGGCCGTGCTCGACGACTACCAGCCCGAGGACGAGCGCCAGTTTGCCGGGCTGACGGTGTACTACAGCCGGTACAACTTTTTCTACTTGACCGTGACGGCGGCGACGCCCGAGGACGCGGGCGTGTTCCCCAAGGGCGACCAGAAGCCCGGCCGCGAGCTGCAGCTCCTGACCTCGGAGGTGTCGTTTCCCAACGGCGCGCTCGAGACCCCGCTGGCGCCGGGCGTGCCGCTGCCGGCCACGGGCAAGGTACGGCTGGCGGCGCAGGTGCGTGGCGGCCAGAGGCTGCAGTTCCTGTACGCGACGGAGGCGGACCCGGAGCTCAAGCCGGTGGGCCCCGTGTACGACGCGTCGATTGTGTCGGACGAGTGCGGCGGGCACCCGGTGCACGGCAGCTTTACGGGCGCGTTTGTGGGCATGGCGGCGACGGACCTCAACGGCACGGCCCTGGACGCGCGGTTCGACCAGTTTGTGTACCGGCCGCAGCATGACCCGCTGGACCGGTATGATGTATAGAGTGTGGACATCCTGTTGCAGCACGAACTGATTGGGTTGATTGGGCTGATTGAACTGATGGAACTGATGGAACTGATGGAACCGAATATATATTTTTATTTTATTTTTTTGATTTATTTGACGTATTTGATTCATTTACGCTTGGCACCTTCTTACTGGATCACACATTGGATGAGCCGCCGTCTGACTTGTGTTAGCAGAGAAGATGGCTCGCAGAAAAGGGAGAGGGAGGTACTCACCGATCAGGATGGTCGTGCCGTTGGCGTAGTCGGCGCGCACGGCATACAGGTAGGCCTCGGCAACGTGGTCGGGCGTCGCCACAAAGCCGACACTCAGCGCCTCGCCGCCCTTGCGGAACGTCTCCGCCTGCGCCTCCTTGCTCTGGCCCAGCTTGTCCCACAGCTCCGTCTGGACCAGGCCGGGCACCACGGTGTTGACGCGCACCTTCTTGTTCGTGCCGCCCGGCGCGCCCTGGGCCAGCTCGACGGCCAGGCCCTGGGTCAGGTTGATGACGCCGGCATTGAGCGCGCCGCCCAGCACGGCGCCGGGGCGCGCGCGCAGGGCCGCGGCGCCGGACGTGAGCGTCAGGGAGCCGCCGGGGCGGATGATGTCGTGCTTGACGAGAATCTTGCCGACGACGATGCTGCCCCAGAACTTGACGCCGAACAGGTGCTTGGCGTCGTCCAGGTTGGCGTCGGCCAGGGGGCCGCGGATGATCTGGTCGACGGCCGAGAACACGACGTGGTCCACGGGCGCCAGGGCCTGCAGGGCGGCCGTGAAGGCGGCCTCGTCGCGGACGTTGGCGACGACGCCGGCCGGGGCCACGGCGGACGCGCCGCCGACCTCAACGGCCGTCTTGCTGAGCCGCTGGACGGCGTCGTCGACGCGCGCCTGCGACGACGACACAATGGTGACGTGCGCGCCGACGGCAATAAACGCCTCGGCGGCGCCGAAGCCGATGCTGTTGCAAAGGGTCAGTTGTGTGCGCTGTGTGCATGGTGCGCACGGCGCGCGGAACTCACCCCGACGAGCCGCCAATGACGACAATCTTCTTGCCGACGAGCTTGTCTGTGTAGCCCATGGTGAGACGTGCGGTGCGGGTGGCAAACGTTGGGGAGTTTTGGGGGTGTGGTCGTGATATGCAACTCGATGCAAGTTTGCAAAGGTTGACGCTGGATTACGTCGCGCGATCGCTTGCCGATGCCGTCTATTTAAGAAGAATCACCACAGACCGTCGGCAAAGGGTTGGAGACACCCTCGAGACTGATGTGCTACAATCTCGCAATCGCGCCTGCAGACGTGGTTTGTCAGCCAAGGTGCGAGGCTCTGGTGCACTGGTCATGGGCCTGAACGAAACGAACTGCACCCGTCGGCACGACATCGGAGACCTTGAGCTTCCGATGCGGAGTTTTCAATCAGGGAACAAGTGTCCGGCATGTGGTGGTTGAGGCATCGGTCATGTTAGTTCGATTCGCGCCAAAGTCGCCATCTGGGCCACAATGGCGTTTGTGGCTACATCGCCAGGAACAAAACTATGAACACCAGACACCACATGTGTTTGACGAAATGTTTCAAGAAATAGAAAAGGGACGAGGCACTTCTTCAAGATGCGATAGTCTAGTCTTTGCATATGACCAAAGAAGTCGTGTCCTTTAAGGTGTCTTCTGAAGTTATTTTGTTTTAATTTCACTTTATTTTCCAGTCATTCCTATTATCACCTTTAACAGGGCTAAGTCCACAACCGTCTTTCGTACGTCAAATGAAAAGCCATGTTCTTTTTCCTCACAGAGCCTCATGTCCGTCAGATAGCACAATGACAAAAGACAAGACACAATGACACATTTTGGTGAGTCTTTCGATAGGAGAGCGTTCCCTCCCGCCTGCGGCCCTTTCTTCCAGGGCAGTTTGGCACTCACCTTCAAGGCACGTCACAGGCGCTGCCACTGTCTGCGTCATGACTTACACGGCTAGTGGGGAGGGGTAGAGGGCGGCAGACAATATGTAATTACAAAATACTATGTAAGCAAAGCATGAGACGGGTTTCTCGTTTTCTTCGTAGACGTCTACCGGCGCGTTTTCCTGACCCCTGTCTTTCCATTTCCATTCGCACTTCTACATCACACAGCCCATCCCACCTGTTCTGCCTTGGTGAGGCACCCGTTGCGCCACGAGACCGCCAGGAACCGCCAGGAACCGCCTAAGGGGATCACAAGGGGCCCGCTGCCAGCGGAGTTCAGCCAATTAGCTAACACGCCGGCCACACTGAAGAAGCCCAGGCTGGAGGCACTGCCCACCCTCTAACACCAACCATAGCAGTTGCCAGCACATAGTGGTGAAGCCGGCCGCCAAAGACAGCACACCAAATCCACTAATCTCAACGCAAAATCGCTCCTGGAGACTTCACCAGGAATTATGATGCTGAATGAGTCAGTCCGCCGAATGTGCGCTTCGAGGACGAGAACGACAGATGGAGAGACGAGACGAGGCTGGCTGAAAGGAAATCAGCGCCAGACGGGCAAAGACGCCTCGCAAACCATTTCTCAAAGTAGTCGCAGTCAAAATAAAGTTTGCTGTGTCGACCCTGCCATTGCGGCACAGCCACTAAACCAAGGCCTGAAGCGCCTGTGCTTGCGCTGTCTCCATACGCCTAGCCGTATTGGGTCCCTGCCTGATACACCCCTGTCTCAACTGCTGTGCCCACGATATATATCACCGCCGAGTCTCAGACGCCGTGAGCCTTGATTCATGTCGTCCACCTTCACCAACACACACTTTGCGCTTCCCTGAATCGCTCCGCTATCCTCATACTTGTCCCGCTACTGCATTCGAACCATTACCGTCTGTGCTCGTGATTGCATCACCAGCTTCAAGTCGTACCCTCGAGACTTGGTGATTGTTCCTTGATCCCTCTACTTCGCCAACTTCCTCGCAAACCCCCGTTTCTACATAAGTCACGACGTCCCATCCATCCACGAAGCTCACAATCATGACCTTTGACTTGCATTCCTCGGCCTCGGACGATCCTTCGCCCCCGGGCGTCGAAACAGCCTACGTCTTGGAACGGTGTGATGGCCGTCCGCCCTTCCTGGATGCCTTTTCCAGCACCCACTCCGACCTCACCGACCTCGTCGCCCACGACCGCCACCTCCCGCCCTCGGGCACCCAGCGCCACAACTGGCAGCATGGCCGCAGAAAGGCCCGCCTGACCGAACTGCGCGTCGCCATGTGGCGAGACCGCTTCGGGGACGAGTACTACAACCACTCCTACAGCGACAAGACCCAGACGAGCGAAACGTACCTGGCCCGACACGGCGCCCTCGACGTCTGGCCGCGCAAGCTGCGCCCGCACCAGATCCGCCTGCTGCAGCGGTGCATCACGGCCGCGCCCCGGCGCTGGCACGAGAGCGGCCAGTTCCACGGCATGTACAGCGGCCGCGGCCACGTCCGCGGCCAGCGCGAGTCGGTGCGCGACGCCTGCCTCAACGCAGCGTACGTCGACCAAGCACGCCCGGCGCGGTCGGCGCGGCGCACCAGCCACCGGCCACCCAGTCTCGAGCGGCAGGGCGCCTTCTGCGACGCCACGACGGCCAAGAGGCGCTTGTCGGAGAGCGACCGTGGTCGGGGTGGCGGCGGTCCGGACGACGACCTGTACCGTCTGGGTCTGCTGTACGACAGCGAACACGCGCGTGGTGCGGATTTCGGGCTGGACTCGATTGTGCACGACGCGCCGGTGTACTCCATTTTCATTTCGCAGGGTCGGTCGCGCGGTCGGGCCCGGGGCCGTTCGTGCGGGCCAGACGCGTTTCATGAGATCGCTGAGGCCGAGGCTGAGGCCGAGGCCGCGTTGGATGAATTTGGTGCCGGCCGTGAGCCGAGCACCGACCACGACGTCGACCCCACACTCCCCGAGCTTGGTCTCTCCTTGGCCAACCTGTCCGACGATGCCGCGCTGGCTCGCTTCCTGCACGACGAGGAGATGACTGCGTACCTGGCTGCCGTTCCAGAAGGGGATGCCGAAGTTGCGTCCGACCTGCACGCGCTCCCTTCGACCTCGCCGATGCGCGTCATTTATGAACTCGCTCCCGAGGTGGCGATGGCGGCTGACACTGGTGTCTACGCAGATTCCAGCTGCGACTCTGATTCCGGCTCCGACGCCGGCGACTGGGTCGTGGACATGGACACGCTCGAACCGAGCGTCTCTGAATGTATCGACGACGCCGACGCTGACAGCGACAGCGACAGCGATCTTGATGAGACCTGGCTGCTCCTCCGACCTTGACTTCCTTGAAAAAAAAAAAAAAACCAGAAAGAAACACTTCGACGACGGCTCGTAGCAAGTCCTGCCATGGTCGAGAGAGCAGTCTCCAAGACTCCCTCACAACGACTCTGCTCCTGCGACTGGCATCCCCTACTCGGACTGGCCCTCACTCTGTGAAGTCTTTCTTTACTCAAACAAGACAAAAAGGAACTGATTCAAGCGACCATCAAACCAAATGCCGTGTGCGCATGCAGCTCGACGGCGAGGACGGAAAACAAAAGAAGAGACAGACAAGCCGGCATAGGAACAGGAACCGCTCATCTTTTTGGCGTGCTCAGTTTGAGGCGACTCGACTTTGAGCTCCTTGAGGTTGGCTGCTGGCTGCTTTCTGCTTGACTGTCCCCTCGTTTTCACGTTTTCTTAGTTCTTTTCATTCTCATCCACCCCTCATGCCACGAGCACCGGGAGACCGTCTCGCGTCGTTGCGACATCCCGCATAAATCAAAACGCCCAGTCACCAGACGGAGACTGCTCTTTATTTCCTTTTGTGTTCTTTTGTTTTGTTTCCTTTGTACTATAATGGGTTGTATTTGTACTGAGCGTCATGGGCGGTTGCTTTCTATTGTACATTTGTTTTTCTCTTTCTCGCACCACATGTCATCCTAGCGTTTCTGTTCCTTTACCTTTTTTCACATATATTCAACATGTATTTTTCGTTTTCACATTTGTCAATTCATCATACCCTATCTCGCCTACTTTACTTTCCTGTAAATGTATTACCGTGCAGTATATTACAGGTTTATATGGGGGTGTATTTATATAGGAGTACTCTGTATTTTCGATTCAGGAGAAAAAAAATGTAAATTCAAGACACTCGTTTCCGTCTCTTCTACTGCAGAGAAAAGTCGAATACCGAGCGATCGCGGGAGGACATCTAATAAATATTATGAAAAAGAAAAGCAGCAGGTCCGAAAATGACCACCGGAAGAGCCGTCGTAGCAGCCTCCGGACCAAATAAGACGAGAACCGGTCTTGAACGCCAAACAGTGAGAAAGTAGCAAAGAAAGAAAAATGAAAATGAAAAGGAAAATGAAAGGCGCCCCCAAAACAAATCAGATCCAAAGAATGAAATCCAAAACAGCATATGATGTATATACCCTTTCCATATTAAAAATCAAGTTGTCGTTTTTGTCCAAGCGTCTGCCTTTTGTATCCCCAAAGAAGTACGCCTTGTATTGTTATTGGTTGTCGTCGTTGTGGTCGTCGTTCTGTCGTAGTATTTTTATTCTACCGAGCGGCGGATGCGTAAAGGGGTCTCCCACAAAAAATGAATGAGACTTTTAAAAGAGCAATTCTCAACGCGTAGAGTTGCGTTCCGAGAGACATGGGGCCTTACAGGCCTTACAGGCCTTACAGACAGCATTGGTACTCCTTCGCGTCCAAGTCGTTGAACAGGTGCGTGCGCGCGCCGTCGTCGGGGACGTCAAAGGAGCTGCCGCGGTACCGGCCGGTTATGTCGCGGTGGTTGCCGACGGTGGACGAAAAGGCGCTGCCCTGGACACCCATGAAGAAGCGGCTGCGCACCATGATGCCCATGTCAATGGCGCCCTGGAAATCAAAGGCCATCTTGTCGATCAGGCCGGCGGTCTCGGTGTCGTCGTTGAGCGTGGCGAGCTGCCACTTGTGCGTGGTGGACCAGCCGCGCTCGGCGGCGGCCTTGGAGAACATCTCAATCTGCTCCTGGTCGCCGCAGGCCAGGTAGACGGGGGGCTTCTCCTCGCCGTAGTTGCCAAACATGTCCCAGGCGCGGTCGAGGGCGTCGAGGTCGACGCCGAGCTGGTGCTCGGGCGAGCTCCAGATGCTGTCGTTCTCGGCGCGGAAGTGCACGCCCATGTAGTTGCCGGCGTTGGGCAGGCGGTCGACGAGGCGCTGGACGACGGTGCGGACGTCTTCGCGGAAGCGGATCAGGTGGGACAGCTCGGTCCAGAGGCGCAGGTCGCGGCGCGTGGGGTCGTCGGTGATGCGGAAGACCAAAAACTCCGAGTCAATGTTGACGAGCGTGATGCCGCCGTTCTCGACGACGGGCTCCGGCAGCTTGGCCTCCTCTTCGGCCAGGCGGTCCATTTGGATCTTGAACTGCTCGCGGAAGAACTTGCTGTAGGGCCGGCCGACCCAGAAGTAGCTGTGGAACTTTTCGTAAAAGGGCACCTCGGAGCACAGGATCTCGAACCGGCGGCGGACGGCGACGGTGCCGCCCTTGTCGGGGTTGATGTCGTCGGGGTGGAGGATCTTCATCTTGGGGCAGGCCTCGGCCATCTGCGTGCGCAGGTGGTCCATGTCATACCACTCGTCGTAGGGCATGTAGGCGTCGCCGTTGAAGAAGTTGAAGTCGAGCAGGTTCTTGGAGTCGCGCAGGGGCATGGTCGGCAGCAGTATGTGCGAGCCGGTTTCGATGGCCATCTTGAAGCAGACCTTGACCTGGGACATGATGGAGGTCATGCCGGCCGTGATGGCGACGCAGTTGACATAAGCCTCGTTCTCCTCAAAGTCGGCGGCCGCGCAGGCCGCGCGGAGCTCGGTGAAGGGGAAGATGGGCGGCTTCTCGGCGCCAAAGACCTGGTCAAAGTAGTTTTGGACGTGCTTGGAGGTGGAGGCGCCGGGCTTGCCGCTGCCTACGACGCCGGTGATGGACTCCTTGGCGGAGTTCCAGGCATCGGTAGGGTAGGACTGGTATTCGCCGAGCGGCAGGAGCTTGAAGCTCCAGATGAGGACGAGGGCGAGGAGGAGGGAGGTCGCGAGACCAGAACGACGGCTGAACATGATTACGGCGTCGTGAGCATTCTTTGGTGGAAAAGACGTCCAAGACGAGGTGGGAGTGTTCGACAGTCAATGTCGGCACGGAGGGTCTAGTATTTGTCGGCTGGAAAGCAGTTGAAGATACGGGACGCAGCGAAACGAAACGAAACGAAACGCGCGGCGTGTTTGGATGGACGGCAGAGCGAGTGACGGGACGAAACGACCGAGGGATGCGCGTCGCTGTTGGAAAGCTGCAATGGCTGGAAACACGGAGAAAAGGGTCGTTGTCGAGCGGAGGGAGCCGAAGAAAGGGAGAACAGGAAAAATAAAGAAAAAAGATTGGAGATATAAAAATAGGGAGGAAAACGGCGAAGAAAAGGAGAGTGGCAAGAAGGGCCAAACGAGAGAATGGGACGTGGCTTCGGCACGATCAATATTGAGAACAGAAGCGAATCAATGGATTCGTTCAAAAACGGCTGAGGAGAAAGGGGTTAGGGGAGGAGTTCAGAAGAGGCTACAGGAGCAACAGATGAAAAACGAAGCAGTATGTAAAAAAACCGATGCAGACAGATGTAGGCGCATTTGCGCCGTTTCCCATGCCTACTGGCTTGGAACTGGGAAGTTACGCCCAGGAGGTTGGCGAGATTGGCCACTCCTTCCCTGCTGGTGGGCGATCTCCAGTTTTTTTTGTGTTCCTTCCCTGGTGAATGGCGCTGTGTCATCAATCCAACACAGGAGCTAAGAGCGCCACGCATAAAGTACTGGGTACATTATATTGTCTCTCAGCGTACGCGAAACGCATACCAAATACGAGGCGCTAGGCACTTGTCGCTTGTACCCTATACTCGTCACAGGATTGTGATACTTTACGGATAGGGAAACCCAGAGATAAGATACCAGTCAGCGCACGTCGAACATTTGCGGATACTACGCAGGACAGAGTACAATAGGGCATGATGTACTTCGTACACTGAGATGCGCTGAGGATGCTGATGCACGCATTGCAAAGCATCGAGAGGACGCGTGCAGCGATGGCGAGTCAGCGATGCGTAATAACACAGTAAATGGCCTCTGTAAGGCTGGAAGCGAACCACACATCAATCACGTCAAGAAACGGGAAGGAGCGACGGGGGGTGGGCACTCTGGGAAATAAAGAATACGAAGCCCCCTCGGACCTTCCGCGACGCACAGTGGGATCAAAATTGTGTGTTGGCCGTCCGGAGGAAGGAGCGAACCACAACCATTTCTAACACCTCCAACGCACAGAGTATTCCGGAGTGTGGTTTTGTTCCGGTTTTGTTCTGACCTCTGTCAAAACTTTGACGGAAAAGAAGACGAGGAGGCTGCGCGATACCACCATGGAAACCCCATGGAAATGGGTTAATGACAGTTAATGTAGGACCTGCGACCTGGAACGCCCAAGGAAAGTCGACACGAGCAAAAGAGTGGAGACTGCCAGGGAAAAAGGAGCTAGCGGCCATGGCAGACGAAAGAATAGGGGCAGGGGGGGAACGCGTCATTGCACTTTTGGGGGGCTTTGGGCGGGTTTGACGGGTTTGGTGGGGGTTCTAAGGAGAGACCGCGTCTCCCAGCGCTGCACCAAAGAGACGGATTGGCGACGGTCGAGAGAACTTCGACATTGGTGAGCATAGGTGACGAGAGAGGTGTCAGATCTCCGGAGTACAGACTCGAGAGCTGCCGTTACTTTTCACGTGCCTTTCTGCCATTGTGGCACATCCTGAGATTTGTTGAACATTTGCTCTTGGGGTCGTTATGATGACCGTTCCCCGTCATTGCTTTCATTTTCCGCGTCGTCTACTTTTACGTTCTCTGCTTTCTCGTATTGTTCATCTCACGGACAGGAGAGCGTGCGGGACATTGTAACCACAGCCATATTGGTATGATCCATGGCATTTCTTGGCCTGCATTGTCCAGATTATGTTGTTCGATTCTGTACATCCGTCGACTGACAACGTGCCCAAGAAGCACGGGGCATTTTGGGCAGTGTGACTGGTAATGACAGACGCGTTGAGATGTGTCCATGAGAGCCAATAATAGGATTCGTAGGACAACCTCATTTCTGAACAGAAAGTGCACGACGTAGGTCGTAGGCACAGCTCCGACTAATCTGCTTCTGGACACGATGAGCCTCTGTTCGGGGACTCTTCCGTTCCGTGAAAACGGTTTCACTGTTTCGTCGAGGCCAGCGGTCTAGGCCCTACCGTCGTCTTTTTGTATGCCTCGGAACTGCGGTTCCTTATGTCGTACAAACAAAGTAGTTGGCCCCAGTCTTGACAGTCTTGGCAGCCTCGCCGTTACATCACGAATCCGAGGGAACGAGACGAGGCAAGAGATACGACAGTCCGATAAGTATGCTGTATGCCCTTTTGGTAGGTAAACTTGCAGGTTATCATATCGTCGATTACCAGTCAGATTTTTTTTTTATAAAAAAAAAGCAGCGACTAACATGCGCCGTTATGTTTACCTGTCCATGTTATCCCCACGCGGTATTGTCTGTTGAGGGCCGTTAGTCGCCAAGATGGGCAGCTCATAACTGATACAATCGTAGAGGCTCAATAAGAATGGTATGTATAAAAGAGGGGAGGGGCCAGGAAACAAAATGCAAGATAACTTGACTGGACGTATGGCTGGACTTGAGGTTGTGACTCGTAGATATCGTTTGCATCTATCGCAATACTTTTGGTATTTTCATCCGTCGGTCGATTTCCAGCCCCATCCTGCGCGCATGTCAAGCAAAGGGCGTGGGTCGGCAGGGCGTACGTCCCTCTTCCACAGCAACATGGAGATAAAGAAGGCCGCTAGAAGCGCCCAGAACTGGTAGCCTCGGGACTTTGAACGACGGAAGAACGAAGAAGAGGGGGTCGTAGCCGGCAGCTATCGTCAAAGGCGGCCAGAATGGCCCAATCGAGAGCGGCCGAAACAAATCATTGCCGGAAAGAAAGCGTGCTGTGGAAGAAGAAGGAGGGTTCACTGCGTCGGCTTTGACTCATCGAGAAGAATAACGTCCCAAACCAGAGGGGCCGATTCACGGCCGCCCGGATGGTTGTAGCTCACCAAATGGCACCATGAGAAAGAGGGGAAACCCGCTGTTAGCCGCGTCTGGGCGGGAATGCCTGCGTAGCTGTGTACGCACATCTGCTGCAGGTCAATTGAGGAAACATGTAAGACGACGCACCTGTCTTTCGATGCGTCACAGAGCGTCGATAAAGCGGAGCTTTCTCTCGTCTGACTCTCACAGACCATTGCATATATAATGGGCCGGGCCCGTCGAGAGTAGAAAGAAAAAGAAAAAGGTTTCGTGGAGACAACGACGAGACTGAAACTTGTTCGTTTTCTTGTCGTCGTCGTCCTCAACTCCCTTCCTCGCCCAAACCCCTCATCCACCACCGTCAATATGGGATCGACTGCCATCGACTCGGCCCCGGCCCCGGCCGGCAAGGTCGCCTTTGGCAAGCCCATGCGTGCCCTCTTCCCCTTTGCCCCGACCTACCGCAACCTCAACCATGGATCGTACGGCACCTATCCCTCTGCCATCGGCGCCGTCCGCGCCCAGTTCCTCGCCGACCACGAGGCCCGCGCCGAAATCCACAAGCGCCTGGACAGCCCGGAGCTGGTCCGCAAGGCCCGCGCCGCGTTCCAGCCGCTGCTCGGCGACAATGTCAATGTCAACGAGGTCGTCATGGTCGCCAACGCCACCACCGGCGTCAACGTGGTGCTGCGCAACCTCGCGGTCAACTGGTCTGCCCCGGTGCCGGACGCGGGCGATGCCGTCCTCTACTTCACGCCCATCTATGGCGCGTGCGACAAGACCCTGCAGAGCCTGGCCGAGGCGGGCCGCGTGCACAACGTCGAGGTCCATGTGTCGTTCCCGGCCGACGACGACGACGCCGTCGTGCAGAAGCTGCGCGACGCCTACGCGGCCGCCACCGCGCGCGGCCTCAAAGTGCGCCTCGCCATCTTCGACACCATCGTATCGGCGCCCGGTGTGCTGCTGCCGTGGGAGCGCCTGACGGCCGTGTGCCGCGAGCTCGGCATCCTGTCGCTGCTCGATGCCGCGCACGCCATTGGCCACATTGACCTGACGCACCTCGGCGACCCGGACGTGTCGCCCGACTTCTTCGTGTCCAACCTGCACAAGTGGCTGTTTGTGCCCCGCGGCTGTGCCATGCTGTACGTGCCCTTCCGGAACCAGCACCTGCTGGCCACGAGCCTGCCGACGTCGCACGGGTACGAGAAGCCCGGCCGGCGCGGCGACCAGTCCGCCGAGGCGCTCCGGGCGCTGTCCACCTCGTCGTCGCCGCCGCCCGACACCTACTTTACCAATATCTTTGCCGAAGTGGGCACGCTGGACTACTCCCCGTGGCTGTGCGTCCCCGCCGCCGTCCAGTTCCGCGAGGAGGTGTGTGGCGGCGAAAAGGCCATCCGCGACTATTGCTTTGATCTGGTGCAGAAGGGCAGCGACCGCGTGGCCGCCAAACTCGGCACCGAGGTCATGGCCAACCCGCGCAGCAACATGCGCGCGTGCTGCCTCAACAATGTGCGCCTGCCGTTCAAGGTCTCCTCCGACGGCAACGATGACACCGACCCCGAGGCCGTGCCGCTCGACCGGTTCGAGGAAATGCTCGGCTGGTTGACGGCCTACTCCGCCAAGAAGCACGACACGTACTTCCGCATCACATACTATGAGGGCCACCCCTGGGTGCGTCTGAGCGGCCAGGTCTATCTCGAGCCGGAGGACTTTGACTGGGCCGGCGACGTGCTGCTGGATCTGGTCGCGCAGATCAAAACGGGTGACTGGAAGAAGAAGGCCGAGTAACCAAGGAGGGGGTCGCAGGTGAGGACAGATAATCATTTCAACGAAAGTAAACGAGGATGGCTTGGAGAAACTATCCCAAACCAAATCATATCTCAATATCTCATTCCAATAGAGAAGACATGCCAATACATACGTCAATCGTTATACGCGCGAGACATAAAGAAAACGAGACGAAAAGAAACACAAGAACAGTGCAGAATCGATAATGGCTAAACATTTCCAATCAATGCCACCAACGTGGCCCAAAACGTGTAAAGGCCCTGAAAAGAGACAACCGAGTGCGTCTCGAAGCCCAATAATCTTGTGAAACTCTGTCGTGCTGTAGGAAATACTCTCATGTATCGTCCGCAAACTGGTTGTCGTCATCGACATAATCGATGCCTTCCACTTCAGCGCCCTGGAGCCGCGCCGCCATGCGCTTGATGATTTTGCGGTCCGGCCGCATCGCCGCGAATGTCATCGGCGTCGTCAATACGCGTGCACCAGAGAGGCCGCCGCCGATGTTGCTCTTCTTGGACGCACCCCCGCCGCCTCCACCGGACATCAGCGCCTTGATTACTTGCAGTTGCCGCCCGGCCAGTTTCCACACGATGCTTCGCGTGTAGAGCATGCGGAACGCCTGGCTTGCTCGGATCAACGCCCAGTGGCTATATTCAGGATCGGCGAGGTAACCTTGCTGCAGAATCTGCGGGATTGCCTCGGCGCCTGCGTCCAGTTCCTTGAGAAGAGGAGCCTTCCTTCGAAGTCGGGAGGCGGGCGAGCCGGTAGCAGGCGAACCCGCCACGGCCGTCGATGAGGCATTGGCCGACATAGTCGGAAGGCGCACCGTGATGTCGCACCATTGCTGGTACACCAGGAGGAACCGTTGTCGGTAACCTGGGTCGTCGAATGCGTTGCCGCGGTTGCCTGAACCCTGCCCCCATTCCTTGATCTCTTCCTGCCAGCTCGCGTGAACAGCCCGTATGTCGCTTTTAAGCGCCTCGAAGATTTCGTTGCACACTGCCGACTTCGCTGCGAGGGCCTCAAAATCCTTGGCTGGTTCTGCTAGGTCCGCATCCCAGTAGCTGTTGTCGTGCCGCTCGCCAGCGGCACTGTCACGATTGCTCATAGCCTCGCGCATGTCGCTCAACGCCCGCAGCTCACGCTGGATAATGGGCTTGGCCACATCGAATTTGAGAAAGTCAATAATGTGGTCCGTCTTCTTTGCATGCGTGCTGCGGCTTTTGTACTTGTACGCTGGTTTGTTCAGCCGCTCCGGGGCTGGCGAACCCTTCTGGAGCCCCTCCAGCAACTCGACACGCAGTCGGGTAAAGTCCTTGTCGGTAAAGTCGTTGCCCTGTTTGGCCTGGTCCACGAGGTCGCTCAACAGCGTGCTCAGCAGATTGGCCGTCTTGTCGCCGATGCTGCCGCGCAAATAGCACAGGTGTTCCTTGTACACCGTCAGCCGGCCGAGGAGGTCCTCCTTCGTGTTGAACGCAAAGCTGCGCTCAATCATGTCAGCCATGACCGGCGGCGGCAGATCCGTATCACCGCCAGCCCCAGGGGCCGGAGGCGTGAGTTGATCCAGCGTTGTGCGAGTCTTTCGCATGTAACCCATCTCCACAAGGTCATACTTTGGCGGCAGCGGCGCGTTCTCAAAGTTGCTCACGATACGCGGGTCCCAGCAGACCCATGCCAGGTCGCCATCGTAGTCGCCTCCCGACAGCTTGTCTGCCAGCGGGCTGTTGCCTTTGCTCGAGAAGACGATGACGTCCTTGAGTGCGCAAAGCTCTTGTCGGAACACGGCGCGCACCTTTTGCATGTCACTCGTAAAGTGTGCAGGGGCCCGCGCCACGAGCACGTCCGTGCCAACGAGCAGGGTGTCCGAGAACGAGCCGTCGTCGCCATGCTCGTCTGGCTCCGAGTCTGGTTCTGCTTGGAACTTGGACGAGAAGCATACCTGCACCTCTCCTTCCTCCAATACGCCCATGAAATCGACCACCATGAGCATGTAGGCCGTCCGGCCCACCCGGATGCTGAGCTTCTCGTTGAGCTTTTCACACCGCTGCTTTTGCATCTTGTACGCCATCTCCCACAGGTACCGCTGGGACAACGGGTCAAAACCACCTGCAAGTAGGAACTGAATGGCGTCCTCATCTCTATCCGGAAGGCCGCCCAGGAACGGTACCTGGCAGTGGATGACATGGTCTTTTCGGTATTGAGCATTTTCGTATGCCCACGAGGCGAAGAGCAGTGGACTCTCGAGGGCTTTACGCTGCTCGGCTAGTTCACGTGTGAGGCCGCCCTCAAGGATGCCACCAAGAACGCTGCGCACGCGAGCCCTATCGATGGCACGATCTTCCAGCAGGGATATGAACTGCAGGTTGAGGCTTGCGGATCGCGCTTCCGATGCATATGTGCGAATTTCCAGCGTTCGGTGGCCGGCATCCAAGCCATCGCATTGCCACTTGCGTTGGGCAGGATATGTTTCGATCCAGTCCTCTCGGCCAATGTCCTCCGTGTCTAGGATCCACATGCCTTTGGCGCTGCCTATGCGGCCCTGGACAGCCACCGGCAGGTCGCTGAGTTCCAGCGCGGAGCGTAGCTTGCGGGCCACGCTCAAGGACATGCGGGCCACACCGTCATTCATCACTACCCCTGTTGGAGACAGAAGATCCGTTTCGTGATGTACGATTTGACTCGGCTCAAACACAACGGTGGCCCGGGTCCGGCTGAGACCAAGTGCGATGCGAGAGAATAGCTTGAGGTACGGCTGCTTCCGGTTGCCTGGGTACTTGTTGCATTGCAGAAGCCAGTCCAACATTTGGTGTACACGTAGTGAAGACGCAACTTGAGCTGCAGCGGACACCGGCCCGTCGCCCACACTGGCACCCATGCTGGCGGCCGCCGCGGGTTGTGAAGACGGAGAGAGACCGACTCCGTCTTCCGCAAACAGGTACACCCTGTTGAGCAGAATGACTTCTTCGGCCTCGCCTGGCCCAGAACGACTTGTGACTGGTATCTTCTTGAAGCCGTCCTTTTTGACATAGAAGGCTGCCCAGGTGCGCCCAGCAAACTCATGACGCTGGCGTGCGATCCAATGGTTGACCTCTCGAACAGCCTCATCATGGTCGCGCAGGATAAGCGGCACTAACGGACGGGACGAGTGGTGGGAAGGCATCAAGATCTCGAGGTAGCGATCAAAGCCAAAGTGGCGGCTTAGTCGATGGGGAAGGTCAATGGAAAGAGGCTGCAAGTGGATGGAATACAGTGGCCCAGATGTGCTTTTGTTGAAGCCCATCAGGATTGTATACACAACGACTCTCTTCGTCCCACCGGACGAAGTGTGTTTATTGAGAGCACTGTCCCAGGCTACCTGTGTCGACTGTTCCGGGAAGCGCTTTCCGGCAAACTTGGGATGCTGCTGAAGGGCATCGCGAAATGCTGCCTGGTCCTCCCACGCGGACGAATAGGTCAGGTCGACGTCTTTCAGCTTCACGCCACTGAGTAACGCGATACGGGTGGTCTCCCATATTATCGCGAAGGGAGCCTCCTTGAGCCATTCCGGAGTCGGTGCTGGGCATCAATCATTAGTGCAAGCCGCTAAACGAAGCTGTAACTTGACAGGAGAGAGGAGGAAACTCACGAAAAACACCACTGAGGCGATCCCATAAGCCTGGCACAGGATGCGGCGGACCAGGCTGCGGCTCTCCCGGCGCATCGCTGTATGCTTCTTCAAAAAGTTGCAGATCCTCCATCTCTGGGATGCTTGAGTACGCCGTACTGGACGGCGAATCAGGCTTCTGGACATCCGTTATGTCATAGAGGCCAAAGGACTCGTCAAGGGCCTCGAGTACATCGTCAGAGGCGGCAAATGACTCTTGTGATGGCGGTCTGCGTAGAGGCGCCGGTGAATACTCCTCTTCTGAAAAAGCTTCTGTCTCGTTGCCTTCATCCCTGTCAGGCTCTGCATCTGCGCCAATTGTGGTCTGGCTATCAAAAGTCCCGTCGACGGGGCCCTCAAAGGAGTCTAGGGCGGAGTACATGGAAGACGATGTTGACGATCCACCAGAGCTCCGAGGTCTGTTGTCTTCCGGAACAAATACGTCAATGTCTTGCCTTTCAACAACGTCAGGTTCCGGCCTGGTCCGCACAACGGGCTGTCCGAAGCGCGAGACTACAGGCACCCGGTCAATGTCAGCCGCCAGCTGTTTATCATGGACAGGCACATTGACGTCAAGTACAGCCATGGCAGGTGGAGGTGGTCTCCGTCTCGGACTCGTCACCGGCTGGAGCAAGACGTCTCGTGAGGCCTCGAGGAGCGAAAGCAGAAGCTCCTGCATGGCGATCTGGTCCTCCAGGCCCTGGGCCCAAGGTGCCTCATCCATCTTTGACGATGGCAAAACACTGCGGGTCACTCGTGTCTTGCGGACCCAGTTTGCATTCTGATCGCGAACCTTGGCGTCAAAGTCGTCAAGCACGGCCTGCAGCCGGTCGGGCCCCCGGTAGTGATGAAAGCGGAGCAAGTCGGTGATTCTGATGTGGCGCCCAAAGTGCGCATCTACTCGAGCCTTGCGCGCCTTGTCCGCCGGAGACTGCGGGTCCTCTGCAAGTGGCACGCCCAGGTTGTAGATTCCGTTGAGCTTGGCGATGTGCCCACGGCCCGGATCACCTCCATTCTCCTTCACCTTGACAGGCGTGACAGGGCCCGCAACCGCGGCCGGCGGCTGTGGTGGCCGATTTCTGGGTGTCGGGACCATGGCGTCGGTCTTGGAGGCCTAGCCCTCAGGGACTGTGATGCTGTATGAATGTTGACAAGAGGAGCTAGAGGTTGCCTTGCGCGGGTCGGGCCTGGGAAGGGGTGGGCGGGAGCGCTAATGGCGCAAACGGCATGCTAAAGAGCGCGACCACGCATGGGCCTCCCGGCTTCTTGCTGGGACCTGGAAAGAAAGGACCGCTATGTGAAGTGAAAACGGTTCAGGGAAGCGAGAGACGGCTGTGAAGAAGGTCACTGGTTTCCGGCAAGTGGACAATTCACAACCGGGTGCAGAAAGAATGTCAAATGGGCAGAACAACAGTTATCTCGGGGCGGGCACAAGCGAAAGGCATTGCAAGACCAACACAAGAAGCCGGTGACGGTTGCAAGGATGTATTTATGTTGAGGTGAAAGTGTCAGGCCCATTCATTGTTACCTTGATTTAACCTCCAGCAAAATGAATCTTTCCGCTGGGAAGGCGCCTAGAATCGTTCTTTCCCATCTTGGGCATTTCCCCCACGCCGGAGAGGCTGTGGGATGTGGTTGCACTCAGGGGGAAGGCACAACTAGGGTGCGGAGCAATAAACAATGCAAACGGGTAGGAGGTTCAGGGGCTGAGCGCTGACAGGAAGCCTAGAAGAGGGGGGGGGGGCGTTGCGGGTGGATTCCGCGCAAAATGTTTGCACGTCGACACATTCTACAACACCATAAAGACGCTGCGTGTGGCATTGCCAATGTCAACCCGTCGTCCGATATGATACACAGTAAAACATGGTCAGTAGTAGTTATGTATTCAATAGTGCACCTCTGGTCTGCCTTGCTGCCAGTCTTGGCGTTGAGAGGCCGCTCGTCGCTTGCATATGAATGCATTATCCGAATGTTTGCACAGGTTCCGTAGTTTCATGCACCCAACTTCTACTAACTGGTCTCTCGATCGTATCATCTTATGACTGGAGTCGACTTTCATGGAATATGTCGTACACACGGCGAGACAGTGAGGGCAGCCGACGGCACGAATACAGTATATATACAGTGTGAGCATAATACACACAGTATGAGAAAACTATCCTCACTACGGCGCTGACGTAATACGTCCTCTTTCGGCATGTCACGTTTTCCCCTCACGCGGCTGCTTCGGATTTGCATCGGCATCGCAATTACATCGTCGACATCCCCCAGCCTTCAGACATTTGCAATTGCCAATCATCCATCCGGCTACAGTACACCACCAATTGAGCCACGCACCGTGTGTGACTGACACGACTTCAAGGCCAGCCTCGAGGCACAAGGCTGCGCAACCTGCGACTCACGACATTGCACAGTACGCGAAACCTCTCCACATTCCCGAGACACGCCGAAACATCGACAAAAGTACCCGGCTAGGGCCAACGGAGCCGAGCAAGCTATGGCTGAAGGCCACAGTCCCGAGCTGGACAACCTGACGGCCGAGGAGGCCAGTCGCATCATCCACTCGCACCGCAAAGTGCGGTACGGTACGTTGTTTGCTGCTGCAGTGGAACGAGCACGCGCTCAGGATTGCAACGTCTTAAGCAAAGCCCATGCCGATGTTCGGGTGCGGCGCCCCCCCCCACTGTCGCTCCTCGTCCCCAGTTTCGTATCCAAAGAGGCAAATCGCAAAGCACGAGAGGGCTACAGCACTGACACTTGCCTCCCTTCTCCCGCCCAAATATAGGTACTGCCTGCTGGCCCTGTCGCCAACGCAAAGTCAAGTGCGACAACAAACAGCCATGCGAGAACTGTGTCAAGCGCGACCATGCGCAGCTCTGCTCGTACAAGCCGAACCGGCCGTCGTCGGGCAAGAATGCCGCCCCATCGTCGTCCTCCACTGCCATCCCATCCACCGAACTAGGTTCCCCGGCTGTTCTGCTAGCCAGTGGCAAGAAACGTGCGCGTTCACCAAACAGCAGTGACGGCCGTCGCACCACCAGCTTGGAGCCTGCAGGCGATGCCATTCGAGGTACGCTGTATTTGTCTTCTCGTGTTTTATATTGGTCTTGTGCATACCATGCGACCATGGCCCCATCTGAGCAACGCCACCGTGCTGACGCAGCCTTCTTTACCTTTTTGACTTTTTCCAGTCGACTCGGACGCCAATGAAATGTCCCGGTATCTCGGCCAGAACAGCATCCCCGCCTTGCTGCGCGAGCAGGCATCGCCCAGCCGGCAGGAGGAGGGCGTCGAATACATACGCCAAGACATGCGGTCCATCCTCGGCCTCGACAACTCGGCACCCTTCCCGCTGATGTCGTCACGGCATCTGGACCGGCTGACCTTGGACATCTCCGCCGAGCTTCCGTCGGACCGCGAGGTGATGAAGTGCGTCGAGACTGGCACTCACAACTCCAGGCATGAGGGCCTCTGGCAGATTATACATTATATATGCTAACATCAAACAGGCTGTTTCATGCCTACAAGGAAGTCCCCCACCCGTTCTGGGGTTTCGTCCTCGACATCGACGAGCTCGAGACCAAGCTCATGGTGTACCTCGAAGAGCGGGCCAAGAATGCCAAACACTCGTCAAGGCCGACCAAGCCCGTCTCCGCATCCTGGCTCGCGATCCTCTTTGCTGTGCTGGCCGTCGGTTCGCAGTACCACGACTCGCCGTACCACATCCGGACACGAGATTCGCAGCGATACATCCAGATCTCCTTCCACTTTCTGCGTGTTGGCAACTTTTTGCTTCGCCCCAACCTCGACTCCATCCAGGCCATGTTGATGACGGGGTTCGTTCTCTTGAACGACATGAAAGCCGAGGCGTCATGGGCGCTGCTCGGACTTACAACCCGTCTAGCACAGTCTCTTGGTTTGGACCGGCACCAGCCAATGGACGGCAGAGAAAGCCCTGATCTGCGCAAGAAGGACCTGCTTCGCAGAACGCTATGGTTCGTTTCTCTCCGGCAGTGCCGAAATTCCCTCGTGAACAACCTCAAGCTGACATGCATGCAAGGTGGACCATTGTCTGGCATGATTGCCTTACGTCCCTCTCGTTTGACCGGTACGTTGCCGATAATGACATAAAAACAATATAAGATCCATCGTACTGACCGACAGGACCCCGATGACTGCCCACTCCGTCTTGCCCATCCCACTCAGCCCCACTGCAGCCGGCGGCTGGAAGTATCTCGAGGGCATGTACCACCTGTGTCAGTTCATCGGCAACCGTCTAAGCCCCGAGCAGACGGCCAATATCACATACGACAAGATCGTTGAGAACTGCAAGATCGTCGAGGATATTCGGGACAAGATGATGCCCCAGCTACGCAGCAAGGAAGCCTGCCGTTCGGCGATTGACCGTCTGCACCACTATGCCATTCGCCTCCACACGTCCTTTGTTGTGTCCGTCTGCTGCCGCCCAGCACTGCGTCGCGGCGAGAGCGGCCAACTGGATGCCGACCAAAAGAAGTCTCTGGCCGACAAATGCAAGATCAACCTGACCGAGACCGTCCGCAAGTTCTTGGCGATGCACCAGCTCTCCGTGATTCCGACGCGCTCATGGGCGTTCACCTACCACGGCCTGTCGTCGGCGGTCTTGCTCGGCATCCTCGGCGAGACCAAGACCGACCTCGAAGTGCGCGGTCTGCAGGGCGACCTGATCGACGCGCTCTCGGCCACTGCAGCCAAGGAAAACACGTCTCCGCCCTCGCACATTCACCGGACCGACCGCGATATCGAGCTGTCGGGCCCGCTGTCGCGAGCCCTCACCGCCCTCAAGAACATATACGACCACGGGCACATTGCCGGCCAAGCTGCTGCCGCTGCGGTGGCTGCCGCCAACGGCGCGGCCGGGAAGACGGACAACAGCAATGAAGCCAACGGCAGCAACGGTGTCGGCATTCTCACGGCTGGGCAGAACCTGATTGCTGCCGCTGTGGGCAGCAAGAACGGTATCGCCAGCTCGGCGGGGTCGGGCACCGATACGCCGCTGCAGCTCACCCAGGGACAATCCGGCGCCCCAGCCGGCGCATTGGTCGCGCCTACAGTGCCAAACTTTTCTCGCAGTCTCGATCCACACCAAGACGCCGCACTCGCCATGGCCGAGATGCAGCATGGAGGCATCGATATGGGGTATGTTGTGGCCAGCATTTTGAATTTGAAGCGTAGTACCCGATGTCGAGAAACTAAACAACGTATAATAGAATGTTTGCCGGTATGCAAGGCCAGCATCCAGGTATGCTGCCAGATCTTGGCATCGACACATCTACGTACCTGTCCCCAATGGACCTGTACGACCAGATATTCTGGGGTACGAGTCAATGCGCCAACACCCCTTCCCCAAATGAAAAGCCAGGATACTGACAGCTTCTTACAGAAAACCCTGAGCCCTGGAATATGGGCTCCGATTCGATGAACTTTGACTTCATGGCCCAGCCACCACCCGGACAGGCTCAACAGCAGTTCTACTTCTGAGTCTGCCATGTTCCACATTGATCTTTGATATCAATCTTGAGGAACGTCGCGCTTGGTGGAGCTAGCTGCCTTAACACGGCTTTACCTGTACGATACCCAAAAGTAATTTGGTTAAACTAGGAAACAAAAAAAAGGCGTTCATTCTAACTTGGTTCGACAATATTTGCTTTTATGTTTTATTGCAGTTTATATTTATATTTTGCTTTTATTTTTATAAGCAGTCGTATAAAAAAAGTAGGAAGATGACATCTTATAAAGTCTAACGATATATTTAAGCCCATATAACAACATTACATGCAATGTAAATTTAAATCATGGCAAGATGTTGGGAGTCAATCACCCTTGATACCCCGGGGATCTACCATGTCTCCTCCCAGTAGACTACTTTGTTCGGATCCTTCTCGTCAAACAATCGCTTCTCCGCTTCTTCCGGGTCCTTGCAGAACCCGCCCGAGACTGCCGCATCACGCAGCGCTTCACGGACGGACTTTGGCATGCGCCCGCTGTTGCCGCACAGGCAGATGATGGCATCTTTCCGAAGCAGTTCGCACACTTTGTCTGCATGGCGCCGGATCAAGTGCTGCACGTAGTTTTTGCCCTCGTCATACGAGTACACGACCACGCTGGGCTCAGTCGTTGCTGACTGTTCTTCTGTGCCGCTTGTGCCGCTTGTGCCACTTGAGCCATTGATAGCCTGCTTCTCGGTTGTCTTCTTGATGTCCGGGGTTACCTTAGGAGTGGGCGCTGGGTTTGCCTCCGGCTCGGGTTGTTCAGGATCCTTCGGATCCCTCGAAAACGCAGGGACAACCGTCAGATCCTCGGTGCCAGCCCACTCCTCGTGGAAGTGGAAGTCGGCACCCTTGTTGCGGCAACCAAAGAAGAGTACTGTCTCGGCGCGCGGTAAAGACCGCATCCTGTCGTGGATCAGGCTGCGGACTGGGGCGACGCCGGTGCCCGTTGCGATGCCAATCAGAGGCCGCTCGGCAGAAATGCTTCCGTTTGGCGGTGGCGTCTCGCGTTTCATGCCCACATGCAAAGGAGTGCCTGCTGGCAGATTCTTGAGGTATCGTGAACACAGACCTTCCCGTGGTTTCCGGATGATGGTCCGGTACTCCACCAACGCGGCGAGAACATCAAGTCGGTAGACAACCGCGCCGTCCCGATGCGCATCGTCATCGCTCGTTTCATGCTGTCTTTTGATGACTTGTCTCTTCTTCCAGTGCTTCCCACCATTGGCAATGCTGAACTCGCGACCACGAATGATGGGGAACACATCGGGTACTGCCTCGTACGGGATTTTGGAGGAGTAGAACTCGGCAAGCACCTCCAAGATCGTCCGCCGTGGCCGGGAGGTGAAGTCGTAGAACTCCTGGGATGCGTCGGGCTGAACAAGCTCAAACAACTTCTCTTTGTGGTCCACGTTGGTTGTATAAAAAGCAAGCTTGTGCAGGAAAGACCGTGATGGAACGGCCATGAAGTCAATGTTGTGTGTGAGGAGGTCCCGGAGAGTGCTGTTTTCGGCAGGGTAAAGCCCATTGGGCGACTGTGCGCCGAGTGAAATTTGCTTGTCGGCGACTGAACCCCATTCCATGAGATCAATCAGCTTTTGAACGTCCGACGGGTAGTTCTTGGGATACACGACGACTCGGTCGCCAGGAAGAGGTTCGTACGCCATGCCATGAACCAACGGGAAAGTCACGTCCAGCTCTATGAGGCGAACGTCTTGCCAGTGGTCAGACGGGGTGACTCGCTTGTTGCTAATGACAACGGCGCTGTTGACGTTTGGGTGAGGTAGTAGAAGGGGCGGCGGAAAGTCTGGTGAGGATCTTGCTTCGTCCGCCTGTTCCTGCATGGGCGCTCCTTTTGCGTCCGAAAGCCGCACGCTTAGCGTGTAGCGAGGTGGAAGTGGCTCCTCCTCTGGAATCGGCTGTACCGAAGGGGGTAGAGGATATGTCGTTGTTAAGAACTCTCTCAAGTCCTTGAGCCAAGGCTGGTAAATGCTATCGATGCTGTTCGCATGTGTTAGTGTGGAGCATAGGTCTTGTAAGCGCAGCGCTGGTGGAGCGGCCTACCCATCATCATGCCTCTCATCAGCCTCTCCCCTTGCGAAGGTCTCCTTTGCACCCAGACGAAGAAGACGACTGTGAAGAAGCCGCGATGCCCAGTTGTACCTGCAAGACCGGTTAGATAAAGACGATGATCCTGGGACGTTTCATGCTGCTGCACTTTTTAACTGGAAGGTCTCTCACTTATGGTACGAGCTGTCTCCAAGACCAAACGTCGTGAAACGAACTGTCTCCAGGCAGTTTGGTGGTAGCTTGGCTCGCCGGAGGTCCTTCCAGAACTTGCGCGAGCTGTTCGGGAAGTGGCCTTGGCCTGTTGTAGCAATGACGAAGCAGACGAGTTCATAGTCTTGTAGGAGGTCGTTCTGCAAATAGAATTAGAGGTGGTTACATAAAACTGGCTTCCATTGGAGGAGGTGTGGCATACCAGCTTGACATTGTCCATTGCATCGAGATCAGTGTGGAACCGTAGCCGCTGGCACATCCGGTCGATTTCCTCGGCCTTGTCCTGGGCCGTGCCCGTCTCCGAGCCATACAGTATGAGAATACGCCTGTTTGAGAGAGACATCGTATATGTTGTCTTCTGCTGGCGGTTACTTGTGGTCGTGCACCGTTTGATTGTAAGCGGTTTTGATATCGCGGGATGCTCGGGCTGAATGGAGACAAAGGGCCACCCGGAGTACGTTGTCCGGCCTGGGGCTACACATTGATAAAGAAACGCGCTCTTCGTCTCGATGCACTGGCGTACCGGGTTGTGTTGGTTGATCGAAGTGGTTGTTGTATTCGTGGATGGGTTTTGATGTGTTCGAGGTGAAAAATTGAAGCCATTTGGAGTGGTGTGTCACAAGCTAAAGCTGCATGTACCTATGGCAGCCATTGACTATGGCGGGGTACTTCTCTGCCAAAGCTGTCCGATCTCGGCTTATTTCTGGCTTACACCTATTTAAGGACTCGCAGCGAGAACGAGGCAATGCGGTCTAAAAGACAGCACGTGGAAAGAAGAAGGTTGTGCCTGCCTCGTCTTTCAATTCATAATGTCCATGTCGTGTTTTGAAGAAGGCGCGAAGGAAAGCCATGGTCGGTTGATGCTTGCCTTTTTCATAGTGCCAGTTTTTAAGAAGGCACCATGCACAGCCATTACCGAATAAGGCAGCTCCTCGATGACAGTCTCCAAGGAAAGAACTTCGGTCACCAAAACGAATACAGCAAGGAAGCATCGATAGGCAGCTTGAATTTTTGTTGTAGGAGCGTCGAGTAAATGTCTCCGTTGACTCAACCGGGACGCGCTGCCTTCGTATACTGAGGCCGAACTTTGGCTCAAAGAAACCATTTTTGGGTTGCGCCCAGTTCAAGTGGGCCCGGGGCACGCGACCTTCGCAAGGCTGCGGCGCGATTTTGGCGTTTGCCGTGTATTTTGTTTACTCCGTACAGAATACATTATCTTACAACTTACGGCTAAACCGCTGTCATGCTCTTTGCAGTGGAGATTTTCGCATTGCCTCATTTGCGATTTTGTGCAGAAGAGGCGCCTTCCCTCTGAATGTGTGTTGGTGGCCGGCCACCTTCTCGTCCTACAGAGAATGGGGCGAGTGGGCGCAACAATGGCAAGAGCTGTCCAACGTGTGCTTCCTAATGGGGTATGACAAAGGAGGCAGGCGCATGTTGCTGGTGCTGTTTCCTGTTTGCGGTCTAACTAACGTGCGAAATATACGTTCGCGGGCCTGTTGAACTCCGAGGCTAGCCTTTATCGACCAAATTTGGTTGTAAAGAGAAGGTGCGGCCGGCCATCCAACTGCACCATTCGTTCTTTCCTAACCAGGGATGAGAAAATGGCCAAGAATCCAGTGCCTCGTAGAATAAGAAGTGAGAGGCCTCGCTGCCCGTCTCAGTGGGTGAAGAGTCAGATCAGACGAAAACGCTGCCGGTGCATGAAAGCAAACCTTTCGCCCGAAATGACCGTGGGGAAGCCGGGGGTAGAAAAAACGCATTTAAATGACATCCAGAAGGAACGAAATTGTTCTAGAAGCACAACATAGAGCCAAGAAGACGAAATAGTAAATAGAAAGAGCGGACATAAAGGGGCAAAGTAATACAGGAACCAGCGAACCAAACCACTCACATTCACAGGCGACTCGCATGACCAGCACGGTGCCTACACCGTCGCGCTTTATTCACTGATGAACAGCTCATTAGTTCCCCCTGACAAGGCCCCAGGAGCTTTATTGTACCTCCTCGCCAAAAATTTTATGCAATGTACTTCCAAAGCTTGGTCAACCAACCCCCCTAGTCATTGCGCCGCGCCACGCCTTCCCTATTTCACCGAAACTCCGTGCGAGCTCCCTGCAGAATCGAAAATTACAGTGCTCAGATTAGCAGTAACGAATGATGACGGTAGAGGACAGATCATTAAAATAAATAGGTAAAATAAATCGGAAAAAGGAAACTGGTCAGATTTACGGGGAACGCTCACCCAGTAGGAGCGACCCAGCACCCCAGTACGAAGCACGAAGCACGGCAGGTGCGACGCGCGACTAGGCTGTAATTTTCGCCTCCCCTTATATTTTTCACGTCGCCCTCCTTTTCGCCCTTCCTCCCTTTTTTTCTCAACCTCCAAGATCATCAACAACAACAAACTTCACTGACATCTCGTCACTTTCTTCCCGCCTCCCCCCTTTCTTCCCTCTGTATTCTAGGGCACCAAGCTACCCTGCTCGCTCCCCTTCGTCTCCAGAGTCCAAACACGGAAAATCAAACTCAAGCCAACCTCAACTCATCGGCAAATCCCCGTCGTCTCGTCCACAACAGCTTTCAGCGCCTCTCAGCTCTCAGCCATCAACACCCCATCAGTCTCGCCCACCATGTCTGCCCCTGCTGATACCAAAGTCTCTGACGCTGCCGTTTCCGACGTGACCGCCGCTCTGTCCAACGCTAACATCTCTGGCAAGCCCGACGAAAAGGCCAACGACGCCTACCTTGCCAGCGCTGCCGAGGGCCGCCGACTTTACATCGGCAACCTCGCCTACGCTACTACCGAAGGGGAGCTCAAGGAATTCTTTAAGGGATACCTTATCCCCTGTGTGCCTTGCAATATGATGGCCCTTTCGAGCTATTTCTGTTGGTGGTGTTTATTGGAACCTGGTCGTGAGCTGTGCTTTGCTGCTCCGAACTCGCAGGGCTTCAGGGTGATACCTTCCTACATACTGTCCAATTTTGCTGACAAATGCCTGTTTTATAGCGAGTCTGTCTCGATTCCCAAGAACCCTCGCACTGAACGCCCGGTTGGCTACGCCTTTGTCGACCTTTCGACCCCGACCGAGGCTGACCGTGCCGTCACGGAGCTGTCCGGAAAGGAGATCCTTGAGCGCAAGGTCTCTGTCCAGCTTGCCCGCAAGCCCGAGGCTGCCGGCGAGAAGGAGGCTACCAACGGCGAGGGCGAGGAGGGTACCCGCCGCCGCCAGTCCACCCGCGGCCGTGGCCGTGCCAGCCGTGGCCGTGGTGGCCGTGGCCGTGGCGGCGTGAACGTACGCACAATCAGCGTCTTATCATCAAAGTCATGAAACCACTAGCTAACAAAACATGTAGGAGGATGGCACCCCTGTCGAGGGTGAGGCAGCTGCTACTGAGGCCGCTGCCGAAACCGCTCCCAAGGATGTTACCAACAAGCCTGCGGGCGCCGAGGAGGCTGGCAAGAAGGCCCGTCAGCCCCGTGAGCCGCGCGAACCTCGTGAGCGCCGTGAGCGTGGTCCCCCGGCCGATGGCGTCCCGTCAAAGACAAAGGTCATGGTTGCCAACCTGCCGTACGACCTGAAGGAGGATGCTGTACGTCCACCCTTGCCTGTGCGCTTTGTGAAAAATGTACCATGACTGCTAACGTGGTTTCTTCTTGCCAAATTGTAGCTGAAGGAGCTCTTCGCCGCATACGAGCCGTCTACCGCTAAGATCGCACTGCGCCCCATCCCCCGGTTTATGATTAAGAAGCTCCAGGCTCGTGGCGAGGCACGCAAGGGTCGCGGTTTCGGCTTCGTGACTCTGGCCTCCGAGGAGCTGCAGCAGAAGGCCGTTGTGGAGATGAACGGCAAGGAGATTGACGGTCGCGAGATCGCTGTCAAGGTCGCTATCGACAGCCCCGACAAGACGGATGAGGAGGCCAACGCCCCCGAGGGTGAGGCCAACGGCGAGAACGTCGAGGCCGAGGCCCCTGCTGCCACTGCCTAGATGCTTTCTTGCACACTTGACAAGCGCGAACAGAAGCGCTGCTGCAAACTTACTATGGCGACCGGTGCCTAAAATTGTTATCTGACTTTCACTTCTTGTTCCCTGTCGTGGGCCGGCACCATCCAAATGCGTGTTTTTCTGTCCATGTCGCACGCCGCTGCTTCGGCACGGTAATTTCTACAACACAACTTGTTCGGCTCCCTGCTTGACGATTTTGCCTCTTTGATCGAACTTGTTCGAACAGAGAGGTGATGTTCGTTTGTTCCTTTTTTTTATTGAAAAAGGGGAGCAGGGAACCAAAATGTATCCGAGTGGTGGATTTTTTTGGCGATGGAAGTATCTCCTGGCGTCTTCTGAAATGGGCTATATCTTCATGAATGAGAGACTCTGCGGGGGGCCTTTACACGCCAAACACCCATTTCTTTACTTAGCAAGCTCTCAGCTACCTTTTTATCTGATTTTAATTTCGCCGCTGGTTTTTTCAGCAAGTCAAGGTGCTGCTGCGTGCGACTTGATGTTTTGATACCTGCACGTGTGACTGTCGTAATTTATATGACTCTGTACTCTGTACGTACTTTGTTCGAATGGTTCATAGTTCTGCACGGAATGTTGTGTCTTGCACAGGAGTAGTGAGTATCAGTAGTATTGCCTTCTTTAAGCTGTGCTGGCAGGTCTTGGTGGCTTACAATCAGTGTCGACTTCGGCTTAGCAGAATTGGTGTAGGTTGTAGATTTCGACGCCAATTGGTTAGGTTTGAACAGACCCTCAATACGGCGTAAATAGCCCTTTTTTTGGGAAAAATGGGGAAATTGGTGGGGGTGGCCTAGGCCTGGCCTCCTGGCATACTGCCATGCTGCGCAACAGCAACCTGAAGTCGTATCTCAAAACACAAACCACCCTCTTGGCACGTTTTGTCCAAGGCAGCATCGGTGCCGCCGTTTTCGAAACAGTGCGCATTCAGGACTCCTTGGACGAAATACGAGCATTAGCGACAAAGACAAATTTGAGTATTCGATCGAGATCATAAGCCAAACACATTGATTGCTGCCAGCGCACTTGGAGAGCATCGACAGGGGCTGCCCTCCTCCGCCCTCCTTTTTCTTCCTCCTCAACCTTGTGGCCATCGACGGACACATCGACGACCACGGGCGCTACCGAATACCTAACTTCTCCCCTTTCCCGAGCCGTTACGATACGCATCCCACACATACGCGCCGACCATGTCTTCAAAAGCAATGTGGGAGGTCGACCCGGAGACGCGGTCCAAGGTGTGTTTCGCTGGCCTTGTGTACAAACCTCTGGACGTCCTGGGACACCACGCAGCCCGTTCATTTGCTTTCTAACGTATTTTGTTCTCCCCATACAGCTCCAAACCATCCAGAAAGAATCCAACAACGACATCTGCTGCGACTGCGGCGCTCCCTCGCCACAGTGGGCGTCACCCAAGTTCGGCGTCTTCATCTGCCTCGTCTGCGCCGGCGTCCATCGCGGCCTCGGCGTCCACATCTCCTTTGTCCGCTCCATCTCCATGGACGCCTTCAAGGCCAGCGAGATTGAGCGCATGCGCCTCGGCGGCAACGCGACCTGGCACGCCTTCTTCGAGGGCCACGCCGACACGACCATGCGCGGCATCACCTGGGACGACGCCACGATAGCCGAGCGCTACGGCGGCGACGTGGGCGAGGAGTACAAGGAGCGGCTGAGCGCCAAGGTGGAGGGCCGCGAGTACGTGCCAAGCGAGAAGAAGCCCAAGCCGGCACCCGTTGCGGCAGCAGCGGCCACCTCGCGGTCGACGCCCCTCGGCGGCAGCCGTACGGCCAGCCCTCTCAGCGGCTCAGCATCCGGCGGCGCAGGCGGCGGCAGCGGCGGCAGCGGCGGCAAGATCAAGGTCGACGAGAAGTACTTTGCGCGGCTGGGCGCCGAGAACGCCGCGCGGCCCGACAACCTGCCGCCGAGCCAGGGCGGGAAGTACACCGGCTTCGGCAGCTCGCCGCCGCCGTCTCAAAGCAACACAAACGGCGGCAGCCTGCCCGGCTTTGATGATCTGCAGCGCGACCCCGTGGCGGCCCTGACCAAGGGCTTCGGTTGGTTCACGAGCACCGTGAGCAAGACGGCCAAGACGGTGAACAACGACTACATCCAGCCGACGGCGAAGCAAATTGCCGAGTCGGACCTGGCGGCGCAGGCTCGTGTAGTCAGCGGGAACGTGGCCCGTTCGGCACAGCAAGGCGCGCGGTCGGCACAGGAGGGCTTCAACCGGTTTGTGGAGGGTGGCGGGGCCGGCAGCAGCGGCGGCCAGTACCGGCCGGTGAACACGGGCATGGATGAGAGTAAGCGGGCGTTCTGGGACGACTTTTCGTCGATTGCCGACAAGCCGGCGGCTTCGGTGGCCCCACGCAAGACGACGGTCGGCACGATGGCCATGGGCAAGGGAAGCAGCAGCAGTGGCCCTGCTGATTCTGGCGCAGGCAAGAAGGATGAGTGGGAAGACTGGTGATCGTTTCCGTCTACTTTCCTTATTCCGTTCGTAGCTTATAGCTGTCTTTCGTTGTTATTTACTGTCACTCTTCTATATTTAGTTTTTTTTTGATCAACATTAGCGGCGGGGAGTTGAACGATCAATATGCAGCACTGAAAGACAATGCTTGCTCACTCTTTATGACGTCCGGCGTCCTTGTAGGCAAAGAGGTACAACGCAGGTCGAATCGCAGCATGTGACATGGTCACGTGACCCTCCGTTCTCGGCCGAGGTTATGGTAACCGGTCCTAGCCGCGGTTTTGGCTCCCAGCAGTGGGCTTTAGCGAATGTGCTGCATCCAACGCCGCTGGTAAATTCGACCTTGCCTTGGGGAAGCTTACGCCGAAGGACCTAACAAGGGCGATACAATCTGCTTCCAACCACCTTCTTCCCGGCGACCATCCTTCGACCCCGTCGCCGTTGACGACTCGAATTCGCGAATTCTCGAATACGATCCCAACAATGTCTGCCCTCCGGATTCTCGTGCCCGTGAAGCGGGTGATTGACTATGCGGTACGTTTTTTGCCCCGCGCAAAAGCATCAGCCCAGAAAACCGAAGCCAATCGGGCGACATCATCGAGACCAATTCGGTTCCCCCGACGGCAGCCGGCAAGCAGCGATCACTGACAAAGTCCTTTGCTTCTCCCCTCTAGGTCAAGCCCCGCGTCAACAAGGCCCAGACGGGCGTCGAGCGTGCCGGCGTCAAGCACAGCATGAACCCCTTTGACGAGCTGTCTGTGGAGGAGTCGGTGCGCATCCGCGAGAAGAAGCGGGCCCCCGGCGGCGTCGAGGACATTTGCGTGTTCTCGGCCGGCCCTGCCAAGGCGCAGGACGTGCTGCGGACGGCCATGGCCATGGGCGCCGACCGCGCGATCCACGTCGACACGGCCGGCAAGGCTGCCGACGAGAACGCGGCCGAGCTGGAGCCGCTGACGGTGGCTAAACTGCTGCAAAAGGTGGTGGCCGAGGAGCGCAGCAACCTCGTCATTCTGGGCAAGCAGAGCATCGACGACGACGCGCACCAGACGGGCCAGATGCTGGCGGGTCTTCTGGGCTGGCCGCAGGCGACGCAGGCGTCCGAGGTGACGTTTGCCAAGGACGGCGACGCCGTGCAGGTGATGCGCGAGGTGGACGGCGGCGTGGAGACGCTCAAGGCCAAGCTGCCGCTGGTGATCACGACAGATCTGCGCCTCAACGAGCCGCGGTACGCGACGCTGCCCAACATTATGAAGGCCAAGAAGAAGCCGCTGGCCAAGAAGACGCTGGCAGACTACGGCCTGGAAGCGGAGGCGGCCAAGAAGCGGGTGAACACGCTCAAGGTTACGGGTGAGTTTTTGCTTCCTATCTGTGTATTTTTGTGTGTTATGTGTCATGTCCTTCCGGCACATGCTAACTGTTTAGAACCCCCACCGCGCAAGGGCGGCGGAAAGGTCGAGGATGTCGACGGTCTCATTTCGAAGCTCAAGGAGCTGGGCGCGTTATAAGTGCGTGGCACGAGCATGTACCACATCTCGACGACGACGAAAAATACTGGGAAACGACACGGATAGATACTCAATGACTATAAGAATGCGGCAGAGACGAGGACCCAGGAAACAAACTGAGGTTATGGATTATCAAAAGGTACATATACACAAAGATTAAAATACTGCGTCATACACATCGTGTCATACACATTCGTCAAGGTCGTATGATATGATACATGCCCGGAACGCAACTGTGACAAACTATGTGAAGGCTGATGCAAAATGATAGCATCCACATATTGGAGGCGCCTTGGGACAGAAGGTAAAGTAACTTACGTTGACGCAACTCAAGCACAGGCAATCATAGTACATCACCCAGACGTTTCCCCGGCCATCCATTCCGTCCTCTCGAAGCTCTCCGGCCACATACTTTCCTGCTGTTGAATCGGTTATTTGCACATTGGAGAGAGCACGTGCACCAACAGAGTAGCCCGACTGTGACTCGCCCATTTACAGGGGCATAACGCCGGAGTCGGAACGAGAGGGGCCAATCCAAGTGCACTGGAAAAATTTGACCCCTCTATTGTCACCGCCCCGAGCGCCCCTACCGCGAGAAGACGCCCTGCTGGAGACAAGCTGACAAGCTCGGATAGCGCACCAATTGCTATCTAGCAGGCCCTGGCTAGGCGGGAAAGTGCCGCAAAGTAATGGGCTGAAAAAAAATTGCTATGAGAGAAAATGGGAAAGAGCACTAAAATATAACGACAAAAAATTGTGACAGGGAAGGAGTCACTCACATCCCAAAGAAAATTTGCCCATGCCAAATTCCCCTCGCAAAGTCCCTCGCCTGCTATTGCTGCTACAGTCTGTTTTCTCCCTCCTTTTGTTTCTCTTTTTCGATTTCTTCCTTCTTCTATCCACATCACCACAACCGACCGACCGCTGCCAGACAAAACAGAACTAGATCCTATGACCCTCTCAACCCCTACTTTTACCTCGTTTGTCTCTTTTTGAGACGTCTCTCGGACAAGCTGCCCTTATGAACGGGCGTCCGTCTATCTTCACCTGCCAGGTAAGCCACTCTTCGGACGATTGCTCTGCTTCTGGGACTGCATCGCGAGGCGTGTCGTCCTTGGCACGTATCGTGAACTGCTACAGGGCGGGTGAGTGCAATTGGCCTCTTTGGAACGTCTGCTAACCCGGCTTCTCCTCCAGGACTATCTCTCAGGTTCGTGCTATCTCTACCCCAAGTTTGACCTTTTGGGCTTCACCCTCGGTCCCTCGACTCCGCGATGCGCCGCAACGACTGCCTCGACAACCTTGCCGCTGCCTCTGTGTACGATTGCTAACGGCTGCTGCTTCAGATCATCTGTGGAGGGCCCTTTTAGACTAGAACTCACTCCCCCAACCTCGTCCTCGCTTTCACCCACCTTTTCGCTATCCACGCAACCAACCACAAAACCAACAAGCAAACCACAGCCTACCGGCTCAGCTCATAAACCAAACAACTTTTCAGACGCGCACCCAGTCTCATTGCCGCAGCCATGCTGTCTCGCATGTCTATGCGCCTCGCCCGCCCGGCCCAGGCCGGGTTCGCGGCTGCGAAGCCCCGCGCTGCCTTTGGCATGGCCGTCCGCTGGAACAGTACGGCGGCACCCGTTGACGGCAGCAAGGGCCGCAAGATGCCCGCCATGCCCAAGCGGTCGTTCGCGCCGGCTAACAAGGTGGACGCCACTCTCACCATTCGTGTACGTACATGGACTTCTTGTCGGCTGGGCTGCTTCGACTTTGATGCAGGATGCTGCAGGCCGTTCACCGCTCTTTTCACGTCCCAAACACTTGCTAACACGCACCCCTCAGGACGGCCCCATCTTCCACGGCACTGCCTTTGGCGCCAACAACAACATCTCTGGTGAGGCCGTTTTCACCACCTCGCTCGTCGGCTACCCCGAGTCCATGACCGACCCGTCGTACCGCGGCCAGATCCTCGTCTTCACCCAGCCGCTCATTGGCAACTACGGCGTGCCGTCCAACGAGCGTGACGAGTACAACCTGCTCAAGTACTTTGAGTCCCCCCACATCCAGTGCGCTGGTGTCGTCGTTGCGGACGTTGCCGAGCAGTACAGCCACTGGACCGCCGTCGAGAGTCTCGGCGAGTGGTGCGCCCGCGAGGGCATCCCCGCCATCTCTGGCGTCGATACCCGCGCCATTGTCACCTACCTCCGTGAGCAGGGCTCGTCTCTGGCCCGCATCTCTGTCGGTGACGAGTACGATGCGGACGAGGACGAGAGCTTCGTCGACCCTGGCCAGGTGAACCTCGTGAAGCGCGTCAGCACCAAGGCTCCGTTCGTTGTCGAGTCCCCCAACGCCGAGTTCCATGTCGCCCTGATCGACTGCGGCGTCAAGGAGAACATTCTGCGCAGCCTGGTCAGCCGCGGCGCCGCCGTCACCGTGTTCCCCTACAACTACCCGATCCACAAGGTCGCCGAGCACTTTGACGGCGTCTTCATCTCCAATGGCCCCGGTGACCCGACGCACTGCCAGGAGACCATCTACAACCTGCGCCGCCTCATGAACGAGTCGCCCATCCCCATCATGGGCATCTGCATGGGTCACCAGCTGCTGGCTCTGGCCGCCGGCGCCCGCACCATCAAGCTCAAGTACGGCAACCGCGCGCACAACATCCCCTCGCTCGACCTGACGACGGGCCTCTGCCACATCACTTCGCAGAACCACGGCTACGCCGTCGACGCCGAGACGATGCCGAGCGAGTTCAAGGAGTACTTTGTCAACCTCAACGATGGCAGCAACGAGGGCATGATCCACAAGACCCGCCCCATCTTCTCGCTGCAGTTCCACCCGGAGGCCAAGGGCGGGCCCATGGACAGCGCCTTCCTGTTCGACCGCTACCTCGAGAACGTCAAGATGTACAAGGAGGGCGCCCAGGTCTACAAGGACAACCGTCCGTCGCAGCTGCTGCTCGACATCCTGAACCGCGAGCGTGTCGGTGTTGAGCCGACCCCGCTGGTGCAGGCCGTGCAGAACTAAGCAGCAAGCAGCGAGGATGCACGGAAAGTTGATGTGAGAGAGACGATGGTTTGAAAAAGCCGTGGCTCTTGTCGTCCTCTCTCTTGTGCTCCCATTGTTGCTTTGTTCGTGTCGTAGTTGTCTTTTTTATCTTTTGATAATTTGCGCAGATTGTCCAATGCCATAGAAATATGGCTATTTGTCGTTTTCATAGCTCCTTTATATTTGCAATACTCATTTCGTTCTCCATAAATGAGTGAATTATTTTCTAAATTTGAAATGCTATAATTGCATTTTCCTCATGCATAGGAAGAGTACAATTCTGCCCATACTGTGCGTCCCTCTGGCCACCCACAACCTACGCTTGTGGCACAATCTCTGAAACGGTCTTACTACCACCGATCGTCTTTGAAACCACCCAAGCGGCCTTCCCGTTCATCACGACCACCACGATCAAACCGGGGTCGATCCCGGCGGTCACCGCCACGTTCACCGCCACGGTCATCCTGACCGTCGCGTCCTGGCCGGTAGTCGTCGTACTTCCGTCCGCCGCCTCCGCCTCTCCTATTGCGTCTGCGGCGGCGGCCGCTGGCGCCACCACCACCACCACCACCACCGAGTCTGCCTCCGCCACTCCCACCTCCGCCGCCACCATACCCGAGGCGCTGTTGCCGCCGTTCGCGCTCCCGGTGCGGCGGCCGGATGCCGTCAAACATTTCCGGGCCCCGGTCGACCAGCTGGTCGCCCTGCTCAAACGTATAGCGGTTGTGTGTTTTGGTGTAGTGGCTCTGCCCGTTGCGGCCGGGCCCAGGACTGGGGCTGCGGCTGCCGCCGCCCCTGTTCTTGCGTGGCTGCGTGTGCAGCTGGATGTTGTCCTGCCGGCGGCGCACCAGATCGGGTGTCACGAGCTGGTAGTCGAGGGGCGGCTCGGCACGCGTTGTTCGAATGTCGTCGTCCAGGGGTGCCCACGGCTCGTTGCCGGCACGGCCGCCCCGCTGGCGTTTCTCACGCGGGGGCGGCAGCGGGGGCGGCGGCGGCGGCGGCGCGTCGCCAAATCCAAAGCGGTCGCCGCCGTTGTCGTGGGTGCCGCCGAACCGGGCCTCGGCGCTTCCCTTGGGCCCACGAGGCGCATCAAACGGTGGCGGCGAGCGCCGCGCAGCCTGGTGGTCTGTGTTTGTCCCTCTGTCTGGACCGCCTGCACCGAAACCGGCGGCCGCGCTCGACGGATCGTACAGGATTCTGCCAGGAATCGGCGTGTCGGAGCCGACCTCGCGCAGCGTCGTGACCACCCGGCCCGCCTCCTCCCCCTCACCCCCCTCCTCCTCCTCCTCACTGTAGACCACTTCCCACTTCTTGGCCGAGCTGCGACTGCCGCCATGGCCACGACCACCGGCGGCCTCCTCGCGGTCAATGTAGTCTTGAGCCAGGTCGCTGGGCACAAAGTCGACCCACAGGGGGCGCCGGTTGCTCTCGTCCGGCCAGACCTGACCGTGGAGGGCCACGCGCACGCGAGTGGCGGCCGCAATGTTGGCAAAGGTGACAAAGGCGTGCGTCTTGATGGGGTCGAGGTAGGCGCTGACCAAAAGCGAGTCGCCGCTGTCGCCTCCGTTCGGCGGTGCAGCAAGGGCGGCCACGTGGTCCTCGAGCGTGGATGGTCGCAGCGGGCGCATCAAGTGACAGATGTAGAGGGCCGTTGTGGCCGGGTGGATGGCCGGGGACGTGGTCGTCACGGCGCCAAGGGGTTCTTCCGCATCACGCACGTCCACCTCGCCAGCGGGTGCAGCATCGTCCACCATCATGTCTGTGTCTTTGTCGGGTTGGCCCTCCGGCACCACAGATGCTGACTTGGATGGCAACTCCGACGGCAACTCCGACGGCAGTTCGGACGTGTCCTGGCCGTCCACACGCTGGCGCTTGCGACCCGCTGCCTCGCTGTGCAGCGACGGCGGAGGCGTGACAGACCGGCGCTTGCGCTTCTGCTCGTCGAGCATAACTTCGGACATGGGCACCGTCGACGGTGGTGGAGGTGCCGGTGCTGGTGCCGGTGCGGCCGGCTCTTGAGTGGAAGCTGACTCGGCAGCACCATTTTTGGATGCTTCGGCGGTATCCGCTGCAGGCACGGCCTCGTCCTCCTTGACATCCTCTTTGGCGTCCTCTTTGGCGTCCTCTTTCGCGTCTTCCTTCGACTCGTCCATCATCTCGGTATCCCCGTCTTTTTCGGCCACGGCGCCATTCGACTCGCCCGCATTCGCGTCGTCGACCAGGCGCTGCACGAGCTCTTCTTTCCGTCCCGCCGTCGACAGTTCGCGTTGCTTGAGCTCGGCCCGCAGATTGACGACCGTCAGCTTGCCCCAGTCGGTCGCCGGTGAAGCCATTGTGCCGGTCGCGATGGCAGGATGGCGGGCGCTGCGGTGTGTAACGTTGTCGATTCGCCTGTGCTCGCCCGTGTCGTGCAGCTTTTGTATAGTTTTCGATGGGGTCCGTCACCTTGTCGCAATGTGAGGTTATTATTGCCGGTCGCGGTCAATTGGGGCAAGTAGCCACCGATCAATAATACACCTGTTGATACTGGTTTCCGGGTGGCACCGTCTGGTTGTGGGGTGAAGCAATGGACCGAACGGAGCGCGTCGTGATGGCTGGCGATGCGGCTGGAAGCTGATTTGACCACAGCCAGCAAGAAACGCAGAGCTTTGCTAGGAAGCTTTTTCTGGGCCTTCCATGCAACACTCACCCGCATGTCGGGCCCCACAGTTATGTTCCCTGCCGTTTTAGGCTTAGCGCTAAACAGGTGCCGATCGTGACGGACTGAGAAATCAAAGACCAAGATTCATTCTGCGGGCAACATGGGTATGGACAGCCGCTGACGACAGACGGGACGTGACTTTGAATTCACCATGCCGTAAATGAGACACGGGCAATAAAAAACTAGACAGTGCCACGTTAAGGACTCGAAGACGCAGAGTCCTGTTGTACAGAACGTGTTTTTCCAAGTCCCAACTGGGCGGGCGTGTTCTAGATTACATAACTGTCGCTGGCGTGTAAGTCGGCGACCGTTCGACAGATGAACTGGTGTACGACATCTGAGATCATTTGGTTCTTGATCGCAAAGTGGTTGCATCTCGACGATGCCATTGTCACATTCTCGTGGAACTGAAGATTCACGTCTCGTGACTTTGTACTCCTTTCGGTTGGCAACGTGTTGTACAAACAAATGAGGAAGGAGTGAGCCGCACTCGACATGGTGGAGGGTGGCTGCCTGCGGCCAGGCCCCTGTCCATATCCAGGTCGGTCGCTGCTGCCAACCAGAACACGCGGCAAAAGAGGAAAGTGAGGGAAAGAGCAGACAGAAAGACTCCACACCCGCAGTCCCCCCATTCACGCACATTCACGATTGTTTCCCCATCATTTTCCTCTCGCGCATCGTGCAGAGGAGGGGGACAATGAACAACACACCGCCGAATGCGTCCACGCCGGCATCGCGGGTTTGTTTGTCTGCCAGCGATGAAAGCGACAAGAAAGGGATCTGGCGCGAACACGAAATCCACCAACAGACAAAGAACCCAAGCGTTCTCGCCGAAACAATACAGCGGCCGCGAGGCAGTGTTTCTTTTGTTTTTGTTTTCTTTGACGACGCCTTTGATCGCCTTTGCGCGCTCCGATCCTTTGCGTCGACGAGAATGACCTCAATGTCCTTTTGCGCGACGTCTTAAAAAGAAAATCACTACCCTCGTCGTTGTGGAATCGCACGTCATTTTCGAATTGGTACTCATCAACCATCAACCCACCAAACGACTCGCGATCACCGCTGGAGAACATCTACATCGCAGGAACGACACGTCGCGACGATACTTTCGGCTCCATTCACTCGCTCAGTGAGCTCTTCGCATCACCAACGTTCATTGTACTTTTCACTTTTTTTTCTTCTTTTTTTGTCAAGTATGGATTCCATACTCTACTTCTTCCGCAACCAGCGCGTCCTGCCGTCGGTGGAGTCTAACGATCCGCCGGCGACAAAGAAGGCGGCGGCAACGGCGGCAGGAAATTCGGCGGCCGGCTCGCCGACTTCTTCCTCCTCGTCCCCATCGGCAGCATCCGCGGCGTCGCTGGCCGTATCTGGCATGTCGGACACTCCGTCCCCACCCCAGCGACTCTTGGACGATGACCGCACACCAACCACAAAGCGAAAGGGGGCGCCTTTGGAGAGTGGCCGCACAGCGGCCGTTGTCGCAAAACGGTGGAAGGCGCTCAACAAGGAGATGGATAGGGCCACCTCCGATCAGTTCGCCGCACGCATCATCCGCCAACCTGTGTCCATTTCGGCAAAGTTGAACGGGGCTAAGAGCACCGACTCCAGCACCAATGCCGGTGCTGATGGAAGCTGGGCAGGCCGGTTTAACCCACTGCACCTGGTCCACTCGGTCAAGGTGAAGGAGGAAGATATGGGAGACGAGGCACGTCTGGCTAGGAATCTGAGCGGCCTGCACGACATTCCTGCGGCGAGCACACACGACAACGAACATGACACCGTCCAAGACCATGGCAGGATTGTTGTGGCTAGAAGCGAATACGACCTGCGCCTCGAGGGAGAGCAGGAGATGCGCGATACAGAGGTTCCAGACAGCCAGGAAATCACAGAAAGCGAGGCCGGTGTCGAGGCACTTATGCGGGATGCAGAAGACGACGATGCCCATGGGGACGGCGACAACGAAGAGGACACGGAAGAGGATGAGGACGACAGCGGGTGGTATGATCCTGCCCTGAGCGCCAACACCTACCCGAATCCCGGCCTTCCACAGCAAGTGCAGTCCTTCACTGGCAGCTTAGACCGAAGCGGCACCGGCCAGCCTGCTGCCGACACCGACGACTACGATTCGGACGATCTGGAAGACGAGGACGAGGACGAGGACGACGGCGTCGACGAAAACTGGGACTGGCTCTTCGAAGCCGAGCCAACGGACGCCAACAGCAACGGTGCCGTGCCTGCCGAAAGCGACTACTACTGGTCAGTTGATGCTGATGAGCGGACGGCCTACGAGCAAGGCGTGGCTGCTATTGACGGCTACGACACCGGATGGACGGCAGACGAGAAGCGCCTTCACCGGCTGCTCTCGCTTCGTGGCTTCCACCCGCTGCTGCCGGCTACCTGGACACGCGACTTTTTGGGTGTGCCCGTGTACCCGTCCCTGTTTGCAACCGCGGACGGTGATGCCCCCGAGCCGACCCGCCCGGTGGCCATCAACAACTTCGGCAGCCAGTTTCACGCCACCAAGGCACTGCGTGCGTTGTTCGACCTCCAGTCGCGGGTTAGTGGCCTGCGGCAGACGGGCCACAACACGGCGCGCATTGGCGCCATCATTGAGCGCGAGCTGCGGCGGTACATTGCCTGGGCCGCCGCCGACGCCGGACTCGACCGCTGCGGGCCCCTCGCGGCCATGCCCAACATTGCGGCCAAGCAGTTCCGCGTGGGCCGCCCAGAGCGCTCGCCCAACAAGAAGGGCAAGAAGACCAAGAAGCGCAGCATCGCGCGCCAGGTGCAGGACTTTTTTGGCGACTGGGTGGCGCGGTACCGGGCCTACTATGCGGGCCTGCCCGCGTTTGATGTGGACGAAGCAGAAGGCGAGACGCATGGTGCTGGTGCTGGTGCTGGTGGTAAGCGCCGCCTCCGTCCGCCGCGGCTGCTGTACGGGTTCGTGGTTGTGCAGCACGCGGTCATGTTGCTCGTTGTGGACGCGGCGGGCAACCGCAGCAGCCGGCACCCGCGGCCGCGCTGTCTCGCGGATTTCAACCTGTCGCTCGGCGACCGGTGGCTGGATGCGAGCCTCAGCGTCGCCATCCCCGTGCACGTGGCGCGGGCGGCGCAGATGCGGTGCCGGCGCGGCTTGAAGCTGCCGACGGCGGCTGTTGACGATGCGGACGACGATGCATAGATTTGTATGTTTTTGCAATGTTTCCGGGATGGCGTTTGTTTTTGTTCTTTGTTTTCGTTTCTCGTTCTATGCATAGCTTTCTTTTCCTTGTGTTCTGCCTCGTCCGTCCGATTTGTTTTACACTTCCTTTGTCAATACCCAGATACCCCAAAGATTGTCACAACTGTGCCCGAGAGAAGCCGAGAGAAGGCCTTCAGACGAGATGCGGTTGCGCCGCAGTTGCGTTTTTTCTTTGTATCCCGGAGTTTTATTCTTTACCAAAGACAAACGCATTGTTTTGTAATTTCGTTGCAATCACTATAGTTTATATCAAATTCCATGAACCCCGTTCTCCTTGCCGCGTTACTCGGCCTTGGTGATGTCCTTTGGAATACGGATGGCCTGCTGCTGTGGGACATAGTCGTATGTCGCCGACATGGCCAAGAGACCGGTGTTCTGGTAGTGGTTGGGTGTGGAGGTGTTGCGCGCGGCGGTGTGCGCTAAGAAGTTGTGCGGGAAGCCCAAGTCGAAGGGCACCGCCGCCTCGATCTCGGCGACGTCCTCCTTGGTCAGGACGAGAGACAACGCGTCAATGTTGCTCTGCAGCTGTGCCGCGTTGCGGCCGCCCACAATGGGGAAGACATAAGGCGTCTTTTGCATGACATAGGCAAGGGCCACACTGGTAATCACCGTGTTGTGGCGGCTGGCCACAGTCTCAAGGACGCGGCTGACAGCAAGGGCCTCGGGCGAGGCGGGCGCCTGGCGGCCCTCCTTCTGCTCTTGCTGGCGGCGGCGCTGCTCCTCCGTCTTGAAGGCGCCACCGCCCAGAGCGCCCCAGGGTGTCAGAGCCATGCCCTCGTCGCGGGCCATGGGGATAATGTCGCGCTCAAAGTCGCGCGTGGCGGCCGAACACATGCCCTGGTAGACGCTAAAGGGGCGGGGGCCGTGGTTGCGGGCGTACTCGTTGGCCTTGCTGACGACCCAAGCGGGCGTGTCGGAGACGCCAAGGTACAAGACTTTGCCGGCCTGGACCAGCTGGTTGAGGGACTGCATCACCTCGGGGATGCTCGTGGCGTAGTCCCACCAGTGGACGTACAAGATGTCAATGTAGTCGGTGCGGAGCTTCTTGAGGGACGCTTCGACGGAGACACGCAGGCTCTTGGTGCTGTTGCCGCTGGTGTTGGCCTGGATGTGGTCGGGCTTCATATGGCGGTAGTTGGTGGTATACTTGGTGGCAATGACCATCTGGTCGCGGACGCCGCGCTTCTCCATCCACTCACCGATCCACTGCTCGGACTCCTCTGCTGTTGTATTAGTATCTGACTGACCCAGCTGCTATCCCTGGAAAGCAGAATATATATATGTATAATATAACGTACCCCACTGGTAGTTGTTGGAGGTGTCGATAAAGTTGCCACCCTAGACTTGTCAGCTGGCTGTTCGTGAAGCCTGTACTACAATATCACCTTCACACGAGACACCCACTTTGTCGTAGAAATAGTCAAGCAGCTCATCGGCGGTCTTGTGGTCGACGCTGCCCATGTAGTCCTTCCAGGCTTCGCCAAGGTTCATGCCGCCCAGGCACAGCGGGCTGACACGGACGCTGGCGAGCGGCGAGAGCAGACGGTAGCGGCCAAGGGCCGACTTGGGGGGAGGAGCCGGGGCAAAGACGGACATTTTTGCGGATTTGTTGTTATTGTTATTGTGGTGGTGGTGGTGGTGGTGTCTGGATAGTTGTGATATAAAGTAGACTGGCCTTGAGAAGATACCGACGACTAAAGTCAAGGACGGAGAGAGACAGAGTAAGGGCAGGGGGGAAGAAAGTAAAACAGGAGGTAAGGCAACATATATACACTCGGAAGAATAGCTTGTAGCTGCAAATGAAACCCCGGATAAGAATACCAGGAGACACAAAGAGGAAACGAAAGGAACTAACTACATCGAGCAACCCAAGACAATCGCCCCCGTCGGCAATATCACCAGCAAGAGGTCCAAGACATGTTGACTGATGACTGTTAAGCTCGTCGCAACGTAGGCAACGGTGTCAATAATCTTAACTCCGGGGCCTGACTTGGATGGTGGTCGAACGGGTGGTCTGCTTGAAGCCCATAGAAAGACCTCACGCCGGAGGCACCGGCTGGATGAGCTCGTTCACTTGTTGTCGCCCTCTTCTTTTCCCGGGGAAGGGGCCCACTCTTTGCATGTAATTGCCCTGGGGTGATACTGCCGCGGTCGGTAGCTGCATGGCCTACTCCGCATCAACCTTGTGGACGTCCCTGTTCTTGTCTTCCTCTCTCTATCGGCTCCATTGCTTCGTTTTGCGCTAGAGTCCACTTGGCACGACCCCGGCAGCGAGACCTTGCCGAACACGTTCTGCATGCGCGGTCGCTGGCGTCATTGGCGCCGAAGATGTTGGCTCGCCTCTGGGGTGTGGTTGTGCTGTTCGTACTTGTGCTTTATGCTGAAGAAACGGTAAGATACGTTCGTGGGTGACGTCCTGGACAAGGAGACTATGTCGAGCAAACACGGGCAAAATAAACCAAGCTACGGTATCGTTTGCTCTTTCCCTGGACACCCGACAAAGCACAATGGTTCCTGGATTGGAAGGCACGTCGTGACACTCTGTCACTTTGTCCGTTCGGGAAGGAATGTTGTGCTCCTGCCCTTCGTTGGCACATCTACCCCCGCAACTGCCAAGTCGACATCCCCTCCTGCCCCGGTTGTAAGATTGCTTTGTCACATAACGCCGTAGTGGCTGGTGGTGCATGGAGTTAAGACTTTTGCTGACGGCAGCACCAGAATTACTGCCGTCACACTATGTTGCGTTGTCGTCTGAGCGCCGTCTGGAACAACCGTAGCTCTGCAACAGTGCTAGGCGACTACCCTCGTCACTATTGGCTGTGACAACATCTCGCCCAAATAATGCATAAAACGAACAGCACAGTCACCTAATTACATATGTCTATGGAACCGGACGTTCCGAAACTGGACATATTACAAAACAGGTGCAGAAGACAAACCTGCTTACTTTCTTTGTAACGCTGCCAAGCGAGACCGACCTCGTCGATCTCGCGACGTCGTTGAGCTTGACTTCGTTTCGTATCGAGGCTGTTGATACTTGGTGATGCCCAAGAGCATTCACCGATGCCTTCCAGCGCCAAACTTTGGTGGAACACGTCTATGCCAAAGAATGTATCCCCAATAGTACTCTAACGTGGAGGACGACGAACAGACAGCACACTGGAAATACAGGGAGTACAAAATCAAAACCAATAAATACATACAGTGTACAAAAACAAATCGATGCAGAATGTGTTTCCTCCTTCTCCAGCCCATCCTTGCCCTGTTTGTTGCCCATTTTCCCAACCCCTCCGTCAAAACCATGAATGGTGTGTTTTTCTCTTTATATATACGTCCTCCTTTGCCTCGCGTCTTTCTAACAGGTCCACACGCCGATGCGGCCGTCCCGCCGGCCCTCCACCATGTAGCCGTCTCGTATCCGCACATGCTCCACAATCGCTGGCGCCGTGTGGCCGTCCTCGGCCGCCGTGATCCCCGCGCCGCAGTCCCATTGCCGGCCCTCCACCTTGTCGTACACCTTGACCACGTCCTCGCCCGCGGCGCTCACAATCCGCCGCGCGTCAAACATCATGCTCGTCACCGAGTTGTCGTAGGCGTACGCATCGTAGATGGAGCCCGTCCGCAGGTCCCAGATCCGGATGCTGCGGTCCATGCTGCCCGTCACCAGGTGCACGTCGTCAAACTGCAGACACGTCACGGGGCCCGTGTGGCCCACCAGGCTGCGGTGCACTTGCCCGCTGCGCAGATCCCACAGCCGCACCATGCCGTCGGCCGTGCCGCACGCCAGCGCCGCGTCAAACACCTGCACGGCCCCCACAAAGTCCGCCGCCTCCGTCTGCGCGCGCGACGTCTGCCGCCACGTGCCCTCGCTGGTGCCGGCCGCGCTGCTGCTGCTGACGCTGGCCGACGCCTGTGCCGCCGCCCACATCACGTCCAGCGTCTGCACACACCGGCCCTTTTCCAGGTCCCACTGCCGCATCGTCTTGTCCGACGAGCCCGAGACCAGCACGTCGCCCCGGAAGTGCAGCGCCGTGATCTCGCCCATGTGTGCGGACAGCGTCATCAGCGGGCAGTCGGCCATGCTGTCGGCTGGCGGCTCGACGGGCTCGTCGTCGGGGTTCTCAAAGGCGATGCCACCGTCGTCGTCGTCATCGTCGGCGGCGGCACCGCCGCCACCACCGCCGCCCCCGCCGGCAGCACCATTGCCAGACTTACTGAACAGGCTGCCGTGCGGGTCGTACCGTGACCGGCTCAGGTCCCACAGCCGGATTGTCGCGTCGGCCGAGCCCGTGGCCAGAATGTTGTCCTCCACCTGCAGCGTGCGGACCGACGCCGTGTGGCCCTCAAGCAGGCCGATGCAGCGGCCGGCGTTGAGGTCCCAGACGCGTACCGTGTCGTCCATGCCCGCCGAGACGAGCGTGCCAAACGGCGCGTCAAAGTCAATGGCCGTCACAGCGTCCTGGTGCGCGCGAATTTCGCGGATGCTCGTGCCCGGGTGGAAGTGCTCGTGGAGGATGGGCATCGACTTTTTCCGTACGGCCTTGGGCGTCCTACGCCCAGCGGTCGACCGGGACGGTGTGCTGCCGGCCGAGGGGAGTTTCTCGTAGATGGATTGTGACATGAAACCGGTCGCTGCGCTGCCGTTGGCCGCCACGCCGTCCTCATCGCCGTCGTTGTCTAATGCCAGGTCGACGTCGGATTTTGTGGGAGAGTTGGCTGCGAGGGTCTCGGCCTCGTCCGCCAGCTCCTGTGCAATGTCTATTCGGCCCTCCAGGTCCATGACTAGGGATGTTAGCTCACACGGCGCATGACCGCATCTCTTCGACTGCAACTGTAATACGTACTGTCGTGCTCCAGCAAGGCCTCGTCCTGCTCCAGCGCAGCTAGCCGATCCAGCAGAATTTTGCGCATGCCAGCCAGGTTGGCCACTTTGATGTCAATGTCCCGGATCTCGCTGCCAGCCATGTTCTTGCGGATGCCCAGCATCTCAAACTGGTGCATCATGGCCGCCTTGTCCTTGCGCATCTTGTGAAGCGCGTGCGGGCCGTCTGGCGTGGACGGCTTGTCGTCGAGCATCTTGCGGCCTCGCGACGAGCGCCGCCGGTGGCCGCCGGTGCCATGGCCGTGGTGGCCGTGCTTCTTGCCCTCCTCGGTCATCTCGGGGAACGTGGCCTGGAAGCCCTGGAACAGCGAGTAGGCGTTGTCGTCCTCGGGGATGTTTTGCAGCATTTCTTCGGGCAGGTAGGACAGCGCGCGGTGGCGGATCTCGCTCGTGGACAAGCGCGAGCGCACCATGTCGGTCGGGGTGGTGCGTGCCATGGCGAGCACGCTGCGTTGGACGTGGGGCCGGCGCAGCTGGCGGTGCACCTCGGACATGGCCGACTTATAGTGGGCATTGGCGGACGGGTCCGAGGGTCCCATGAGGTGGGAGGCTGTGGTCGTTACCTTGCGGCCAAAGGCCTCGATGCCAGCGGCGGAGATGATGGACGTGTCCTCGTCGCCACCGAGGTCGTCGTGGTAGTCATGGTGGCTGTCGTCGTTCGCCATGCGCGCTTACAGCAGCGGGTTGTGCGGCCGAGAGTGCCGGAGGAGAAGGGTCGTGTCGTCACGGTTGTTGCGTCACGTCTTCGTAGCCGAGCCGTCTGTTCAGCTTGAGGGTTGCTCTTGTTTCGTGACGTAGGTCGCGTGTCCCCGCGCGTCAGATGCTGCTATCAGCTCTCGCGAATCGTGCCGCAGTCGAGTCGATTGTTGTTGGACGTGTGGCGCCGGGTCAATGGCTCGCTGGAACCGGGCAATTGACACGTCGTTTCGTTGCCTCGTCGTCGTCTGATGTGTTTCGCCAGGTTGCAAAAGATTTGTGCGAGATGAAGGGCACGGAGAAAAGCGGGTATCGATTCCGCCCAGACTGGGGTGGTGGACAGGCGCGCGAATCGATCGAGAACGAGGAACTATGCAGCACAGCGAAGAGAGGGAGTGAAGAAAGGGGGTCAGGGAAAAGACGGATGTCGAAATCAACAAAGTTTGACGTAGAAAGAGGCAACAGAGGCGGAAAGGAAGGTGGACGTGAAGATTCACCCCTTGGTTTGCTCTTGGCCTGGCTGCTTCCTGTTTTGGCGCCTTTTGATTTGCTTTCTGGCCTAGACAAAGCCGAGCAAGGTTGATGAGTAGCGGAAGGTGCGACCAGTGGCTCTGAGTCGTCGCCTCCCAAAGCAGCCTAGCTGCACCTGCCTGAACCTGTATGGAAGAACGAGGACGCGCTGCAGCAGCATCTCGCCTGAAGCCCGCTGATTGGCGACAGTGTGGCAAGCGCGGTGGGGCCTTCTTCCAGTGATTGTCGTACGTCACTGGCTCTTCCGGGCGTGTAGCTGTGCCTTGCAGTGCCCAAATCAGTGAGCCCTGACCACTGCCGCAGCCCTGAAATTCGGGGCAACTCCCAGCGCATGGAGCATTGGCAAATGAGAGCTCACTCCCCTGCATGGAATCACGCCCGGCGCCGGCGCAAAATTTGGGTCGAGCCTCGTCCTCAGCTCCGCTCGCCGGAATTCTCACGCCACTTGCGTTTTAATCGAGGACGATTTGAAGGAGACCCTGCGCACCCGTTTCCCGTGCTGCTTGCAAACTCTGAGAGCTCAGCTACACAACAAGCCGCGTATCGTCCACCCGCATCGACGCCGCCATGGACTCCTCGATCGACTTCTCTGACCCTTCGCATGCCCTGGACCTGGGCCGGATCCGCGAACAGCTGATGTGTGTATATCATGGGCGATGGCGACTGGACTGATCTGTCGTGGCGTGTTGGCTTTTGTTCGTGTTCGCAGCACTCGCTAACGGTATAGCCGTCTTGAGGATACCATCACGTTCCACCTCATCGAGCGTGCTCAGTTCCCGCTGAACAAGAGCATCTACGAGCCCGGCGCCGTGCAGATCCGTGACACGTCGCTGTCGTGGCCGGTCGGCCTGCTCTGTGGCAAGCGCCGCAGGCAGTACTCGTTTATGGACTGGTACCTGTCGCAGCAGGAGGCGCTGCAGTCGCGCATCCGCCGCTTCGAGTCGCCCGACGAGAACCCCTTCTTCCCCGAGGCCGTCCAGAAGCCCATCCTCAAGCCGCTCAACTACCCGCACGTCCTGCACCCCAATGACGTGGTTGTCAACGACCGCATCAAGAAGTACTACGTCGAGACACTGCTGCCGGCCGTGTGCGCCGATTTCGGCCATGGCGACCGCGGCGAGACCCAGGAGAACTACGGCTCCTCAGCGACGTGCGACATTGCCGTGCTGCAGGCGCTGTCGCGGCGCATTCACTTTGGCAAGTTTGTGGCCGAGTCCAAGTTCCGGTCGGAGCGGGCCAAGTTCACGGCGTTGATTGAGGCCGAGGACCGCGAGGGGCTGGGCGAGGCGATTGTCAACAAAAAGGTCGAGCAGACGATCCTGCAGCGGATGCGCCGCAAGGTCGAGACGTTTGGTCAGGAGGTGTCGGCGGACGGCCCGGCCACGGCGGCGCCCTCGGCCAACAAGCTCAACGCCGAGGCGGTGGTCGCGCTGTACGAGAAGTTTGTGATCCCGCTGACCAAGGACGTCGAGGTCGAGTACCTGATGCAGCGCCTGCTGCCGCCGACACCGACGCCATGGTACGCCTCCCTGCGCAAGTCGAGCGGGCCGGAAACACTACTGTGGGCGGTGACTATGGGCGGTGCGGCGGCGGCGGCTGCTGCTGCTGCTCTGTGGTGGATTCCCCGGAAGTGATGAAAGTAAAAGACGAATAACGATGGATAGACCAAGATTTTCACTGCATTTATTACGAAAATTGAGGAGCACGGAGCGATCAACAGCGCGAAGGGAGATGTGTCTAGATAAAAGACTGAATACAGTCCAATATTAAATCAAAACCAAAACCTTTTAATCCTTTTTGTTATGGGCATTATTTTTTAATAAAAAATAAATAAAATAAAGGAATTAAAGGTCATAAATGCATGTCATTTTTGCTAATTGAGCCCTGTCTATATTTACTTTTAATTGCCACGTCACAACGTCCACTCGCCCTCTCACGCCGACTGGACGTACTTGCTGACGGCCTCGACGGCTGCCGGCAGCTTGCCCGCTTCAATCAGCATCAGCAGCCCTTGAGACTTGACGCCCAGCTCTTGGAAGGCCCGCTTGCTGTCGGCCACGGATTCGTCAATCTTGGTGTAGGGAAACGTGCCGGCCGCCACCGCGTGCTTGCGCAGCACCTCGTCCTCCGGGTGGAAGTAGTAAAACGGCTCCGACGTCGACGACCCCGACGCGGCCGTCTTGGCCTTCTTCCGCTTCTTGCTCTTGCCACTGTCGTCTTCGTCGTCGTCGTCGTCGTCAACCACCATCGCCGCCAGGTCTGACTGCACCTCCTCGTACGTCTTGGACAGGATCAGGTAGTGTGTGAACTGGTACGGCTCGCCGTCCTCGACGGCCGCCTCCACCTCGTCCATCAGCATCGTGTACAGCGGCGGCGCGATCTCGGCCGGCATGTTGATGAGCCGCTCCGACAGGATCAGGCCAATGTGTGGCTTGCCGGCCTCGGAGGGACCCGAGGACTGGTCGCTCAGCAGCGGCAGCAGCGGTGCAAGGGCGGCGTTGGTTTCGGCCGCGGCCGCGGCCTTGTCGGCCAGGTACTGCGTCAGTTGCGCAACGGCCTTGTTCTCGCGCTGCTCGCGCAGGCTGAGCGCCGTCAGCATCGCATAGGCGTCGTTGGCCTTGCCATCGACCTTGACGGTGGAGCCGATGGTGGACTGTGCCAGAATGCAGTCGGCAAGGCCAGAGACGTCAAGGAGCGCGGCATCGACATCGAGGAGCTGGCGCAGCAGCGTCTTTGTGCCGTGGAAATCGACCTCCAAGTCAAAGTTGAACCACTCAAACTCGACATTGACAACATCAAAGTCCTGGGAGCCGGAGTCAGCTACTGTGCATCCATGCCGCACAAGTCATTCAATATCAACTCACCTCGCCCGAGTCGGAGTCCTCCATGCGGTCCTCGTCGTGGACCTTGTTGGCCGCCTCTCTTGACCGCTTCTTGCCCATTGTGAGTGAGTGTGTGTTTCGTGAGCGACAATGAGTTGGAATTGAGCTGCGATGAGCCTGTATGAATTCCCTGACGCCGTAAACGCCGTTGATACGTCTGTATTGTGATCTTTGGATGCCGTTTTGGTCACTGAAAATTTATGACGTCGCCCTGTGATTGGCCCAATTAGGAAGCTTACTGGCCTTGTATGTCTTGGATTAAGGTACCTCTACTTGTGTGGAGACCGCACTGCATGTGAAGTACCTTTCGTACCTGACTCGATGGAACAGTTGTGAAGCCTCGATATTCGCAATAACTCCCTCTCTAACCTCCTTCGATGAAAGATGACGTGAAACCTCTACAGCCAGGAGTAGATGATCAGTTAACGTCTTTTGCTACGTTTGTGAACTGCATATATGATACATTCGTCCTGCGATGATCCGAGCACACAAAAGTTTGATCAAGACGTATTGGGGACTGACTACGTCGAACTTCAGCGCGTCGCATGCTGTAATAGAAGTCGATTTTTAGAGGCTGCTTCTGAGTTTCAGGTGTTTCTAAGTGACATAAGCACACATCTTGGCCGTTTAGGCCTGCTGTCAGTGATTGAATTGCGGGGCCTTTGCCGTCAGCAACAGGCGAGCTTTGCTGTTTTTGCGACAACGTGCCCCTGGCTCCACCAAGGTCACTTTTCCTTGGCACAATGTGGAGAAGGTACAAGCGCTACATCATCGCCCCCTTCCGAGCGCCAGGCCACCCACAGGGGGCAGGTGCTTTGTGACTGTCCTGGTAGCAGGGGCAGGTGTATTTTATTTTATTACGGCATGACGGGAGGGATAGCTCTTGCTGTCCAGGTCCTGCTCTTGCTGTGCCATTCCGCTTCTCTCACAATCTTGCTGCTTGCTCCAACCACCGAAACTATTCTGCTGCCTTGCTTGTCCACGTTTCCCACGTTTCCCTCCAAACAACACAGCCTACCCACGTCACACGTCCGCCCAGCAATAAAACTTTCAGTTCATCCGATCTCTCAATCTTTGACAACCATCTTCGCCATCGGCCCTTTCGTCGCATCGTCTCATCGCCACCCCCCCGACACAGCTCCATCAAACGCACCACGTCTGCCGCGCGCATCCAAAAACAACCAGCAACAATGGATCTTTCCAACGCCTTGTGAGCTTGCGCCAGCTTGAGGAAGCATTGATTCGTCGTGCGGCTTAGGCCGTACGTACTCTGACGCTGGCGCACACTTGCTAACCATTCGATCTTTTCCCGCAGCCGCATCATCAACCTTGGTGTTGGTGTCATCATGGTCCTTGGTGGCATCTCGCAGTTCTTCCCAATCACCTTGTGAGTTGCCGCCCGCGCGCGTTTCGTTTCTTCCCCCGTTCTTGCTGCGCGCCACGCTGCTAACCACCGTCACCTATCGTGCAGCCAGTCCGTTGTCATTGGCGTCTACGTGATTCTCTTTGGTCTCGGTATGTGTCTCTCCAGCGAGCTCCTGTGGCATGGCTTCTCGTCGCCCGTTTGCTAACCATGCGCGCCCCTTGCAGCGACCGCTCTCCTTGAGTTCCAGATCCCGCCCCAGGTCTCCCGGTACGCGTCGTTCCTGTTCTCCTTCATCGGCCGTGGTATCTGTAAGTTTTGGCCTGTCCCGTCCATTTTGTCACCTGTTCATAGATTGTCCGCCTCTTGTCGCTGACCCAACCCCAGTCTACGTCTTCATCGGCTCCATCCTCTTGCACGACCACACCCTGCGCATCATTGCTGGCTCCATTGTCGGCATCATCGGCCTGGTATACTGCGTGCTCGAGTTTATCCCGTCGATTGAGCCGCCTGCGAACATGCGCGAAGCCGATGCTGGCTGGGGTGCCGAGCAGGTGTAAAGAGGACCTCGTAGGGGTCTACGGGGAAGTGCCGGCACACGACGACAACTGTACGCGATAGGACGCCTTGCGATGCGCCCACAAGACCATGTCGACCGACAACAGCCTCCCCCGAAGCTTTGCGAAGTGAGAACGCGGCCTTTACCTGGCTCCTTTTCGACAATCATTTTGGTCGCTTTGCAAAGATGAATGTCGGATTGGACAAGACGTATCCGAACACCCTTCCTTTGCAATATAGTTGGAATGGCTTTGTGTACTTTTACGGCCCAAAGGTGTGGGCAGACGTTGGTGTAGAGAGGTGGCTACTCGCTGTCGAATACCATGAGGAGAAAGTCTGAACTGAGTGAAGGAAGAGATGGCGCCCGAGCACAATATGGGAGTTTGAGGGGGCGACTGCGCAAATGTGGTCTATGGGTTTCTGGCTTGCCCACCCGAGTGTAGGACGAAGCCTGTCGGTGTTGTTTGCAGCAGTTCTTTGTTGGGTTTGGTGGATGTGCGCTTGTTGTGCTTTTGCATCTGCATTTGCATCTGCACTTGTTTTTATTTCTGTTCTGTTTTTAATTTCCTTGTGGATTTACCAGGCTGTATTATTTGCACCCATGTATTGCACCTATTACTTTGATGTTATTAGACTTGTTTTACGTTGCACACGTTCCAGCACGCTGTATGATGTCATTTGTGTTTATTATAATAGAGTTGCCCGTAGCGAGATTTGTGTGAACGTTGGCTTCCTATCGCGTTTCCCCCCTGACATGAAACGTAAACATAGGAAAACGTGGAAGTCCCGATGGCCTCAGAAACAAACAGGTTGCGCGTATCCCTTTGAACTATTTGCTGTCGCCAGTTTTGCTAAACCAAATTATACTCCATATGGCCGTGTCAACCTCGTCCATTGATGTGATATCATCCCATGCCAAAATAAAACAAAACTTGTGCCGGAAAATAAATGTAAAAGAAAATATTTCGAAATAGAAAGCAAGAAAACAAAGAAAGCGCCAGGTATTGTGCCCCGTCGTTGCGTAGAAAGTGGTATCATCACAAAATCAACGAAGAATCCAAATCTAATCGAGCTCAGCGAGCTCCCGTTCTTTATCGGCAAGCAACTGCCGCATACGCTCGGCCTCCCGCTGGAGGGCAGCCCGCTTCTCAAGGCGCGCGTCCTGGCTGTCGCTGCGACGCGGTTCACTGCTGCTCGAGGGGTGCGACGTCATGCCGCCACCAATGCCTGGGTATGGGCCGGCCATGCTGCCGAGCGAGTTGTCGTCATTGTCGTAGGCCGGTGCATTGAGGATCGACTTGATGGAGGACATGCGCTTGCTAGAGGCCTCGCCGTTGCTGCCGTTGCTATTGTTGTTGCTGCTGCTGCCGTACAGCGAATTGTCGTTGTGCGACGAGGGCAGGGCCGGTCCACCGTAGTCGTTCTCGCTCGATGAGAAAGACCGCTTGCGGGAGGGCGAAATAAACGATGCGGGCGACAGAGATGGCTGGCGCTCGATTGGACCCATGCTCGTGAGGCTTGTCAGCGGTGGTAAGCGGTTGTCATCGTTTAGGGAGCCGGTCATGTCTATGCGCTGGCCGGCTGGATTCGGGTGGTGTGCGTGTTGCTGGTGCGACGACGACGAGTGGTATTGATTCAGGTCATGCGCACCGCCGAGTCTCGGTGACGGTTGCTGTTGCTGCTGTTGCTGCTGTTGCTGTTGGTTCTGGCGGAGAACAGGCTCAGGGACAAGTGACAGGGCATGGTCGGCCCGTCTCCGAAGACCTAGATTGACAGATCCGTCCGAATTGACTGTGCCGCGCTCCACATCAACGTCTTCGCCAAGCTGTGAATCCGACCGAGCTGCGAGAGAGGCCGGCGCGCCCGGCGGAGGCGTCGCACCCTGCTCGCCCGACGAGGAATAATCCTCACCATGCGGGTCTTGGGCGGTCGGAATGACACGCTTTCGCCGTTTGATGACCGATTTCTTCATAAAGGTAGGACGGTGGACGCCGTGGAGTTTATAGTAAAGGCCTAGGTTGAAAAGTCAGCATAAGCCTGTGTAACAGACCACATTGTTTCCGTCCGAAGAGACAATGTGGCGATCGAATAGGAGCACTCTAATTTCTGAACATACCACAAGCATTGCAGATCGTGCGGCCATTCTCATCTCGCCTCCACAGCGGCGTGATGGTTGTGCTGCAGTTTTGGCAAGCGATGATGACGGTAGACACTTGGCTCTGCAGATTCGTCATGTCGATGGGTGCCGCAGGGTCAAGCGATCCGGCCCGGTCACACGCGTCTCCAGTTGCTGCCGCCTTCCCGGAGCCACAACCGGTGTGCTCCGGTGGCACAGATTTAGAGCCGTCGACAGGCACAACGGTAATGTTGGCGATCTTCGACATACGGTTGTTATAGGCGGGACAGCCACTGCAACCCTCGGCGCCGCCTGTGCCGTTGCAGTGGCCACCACCGGGGCAGGTGCCCGAACTTAACTGGTCGGCAGCAACATAGGTCGCGCCAGGTGTCGCAGACTGCAGTTGGGAGACACTCTGTGGCGAAATGGGGACAGCATCGGCGTTCTTCCGTCCGCGAGAACCGCCGTTGCCTCCGGCTGAGGGGCCGGTGGTGGGGGGACGTTTTAGATAACTCGGCCGAGCAGTGTTCCGAGCCTTTTGATATAGGCCGCAGGCATTGCAAATGATTGCGCCCTGCGGCGAACGGCGCCAGAGCGGTGTCCGCGTGATACCGCAGTTGCTGACAGGGATACATGTTAGCCAACATAGACCATATAGTCATATGATATGCCAGTCGCTGTAAAGCTTACCTGCAGACTTGGCCGCTCAGACCCTGAACAACGCTTGACCCAACATCCGACTGTACGTCCACATCTGCTTGCGAACTGGTCGTGGTACCATGGGTCAAAGCGGTCTCGGCAGTCACGGAGGTAGGGCTGAGCGGCTGCGACAGGTCGGCGGGCGACCCGGAGTTGCGCCGGCCGTTGTTGGGCGACCGTGCCATAGATGAACGGCTACTCTGTGTACCGTTCTCTTCCGGCGGGGGGGATCGTATCCGGGTCTTGGACGAGTTGCCGTCGACTACGGCTTTGGTGGTTGTGGCCATCGGCCGGGAGGGGAGGGCGGAGCGCATATTTGATTTTTGGGGAAAATATGCGGCCATAGTTGCTGCCTCCGCGAGTGGGCTTCGGTCAGACTGTTGGAATCCTTTGAGACCCTGGCGAAACGCTTTCAAGCCCTTGGGTTCGGTCTTCTCCTCGCGACTATCGTGATGTTGGTGATGGAGATGGTGACGCTGATATTCCTGGGATTTATGAAATGGTGCCACTGAGTGTGTCTGTAAGACTTCACCCAGGGCCATCGCCAAAAACCTAAGTAGAGACGAGTCCGATCAAGACGAGGATGATGCTGTCGGCAGTTGCATGACACAGATGATGCGGGAAGTAGAGGTCCTGTGAAATTGTGGACGCGACTAATCAAAGACCAGTGTGGTCGAAGGCACGCGAAGTCGTCGTGCCGTTATGATGTCGTCGACAAGATTTGTGAAAGGACGGACTGCCAAAGACGAAGCGAGGTATGCTTCCTTCGAACAAGATGATGTCCTCGGTGTCGTCGTCGTCTTTGCCGTAGTAAAGATGGTTCTCCTCGTCGACGATGTGGTAACGAACAGGTGGAAGTGAGGGAGAGAACAATGAGAATGATGGCTCAGAGATGGCGCCGTATGGAGTGGATAACGACGAGATTCAGACCAGTAGAGCGAGAGACGAGATGTGCGGGAGCAATGTCGACGATCTGGAATCGGAAGACTGGACGCCGAGGCGGAAAAAAGTGTGGCACAAGTAGGAGGCGTCAGCTGTTGTGAGAGAGGGAGTCCGAAAAAAAAAGACGGTCACCACTGCGCGTTATCGAGAAGGGTGGGTTAGGTGGCGGCGGTCGGCGACGGCGTCCGTAATATTGGGTCGGCACTGGTGGTTGTTTAGAACAGACGTTGAGAGGTTGAGAGTGAGGACTGCAGAGATCCCAGGTGTCGTAGTATCGTCTTTAGCGGTGGTGTTCGCAAGTGGAGCAGGGGTGGCATCTGCAGGACAGGAAGGAAGTATCCACTCACGTCGCTTCTATTTACAAGTGTGAGTTTCGGTCCAAAAGGGCATGCGAGGACCGGATGGAAATGAGGAGGAAACAGCGATGGCCGCGAAGCAAGGAAGTGACGAAAAGGGGGGTGAGCAAAGAACGTGACGACGGGCAGGCAATTGTAATCATGCGAATCAGGAAATCGCATCACTGTATTTATCTGATGGGGAAGGACCGACTAACAAAACCAACATACCTACCACGAGCGGCATGGGGCAACTGCTTCTTTAGGAATACTGTTTAGTCCGAGAAACATAATTCGTACTTCGTAGTCAGATTGCCCAGCAGTAGGAACGTGGCTGCCTTGGCATGGCCGCAGTTGCCTTTCGGGGGCGTTATTGCCAAACGTGATGCCGAGAGAAAGCGTGCCCTCGTGGGCACGTAACGCGCCTAAATCAATGCTCTCTGTCTCTATTTTTCACCGTTTTGTACTTTCGTATTTCTTCTACTAGCAGTCCGGCTGCCCAACGCTGGTGTGCGTCTACTGGACTCTGTGTATTTTGCGGCATTGTGGCCTCTTCTTTGAAATCTTATCACTCAGACTTTCCCTGTCAGCAGTTGCTCTTTCCTTTCGGATCCCAACGTGCACTGGGCTCCGCTGTCGGGTCGCTTTATTGACCAATCAAATTCGCCATGAATGTAATCCCAACGTTTTAGGCTACGCCGCCCCGTTTCCCATCGATCCTTCCCTGTATTGGGGTCTAGGCCAGCATCTGTTCGTAGCGCAATCTGCCCCCGACGTCGCAAAGAGCACCGTGTTGTAAGATACAGGCGTAAGCCCTTGCGAATGGGGGCATTGCGCGTTGCTTCCGGGCAGTTTGTTCCCATTTCGCTCCGTCGTATTACTTGTCCGCGGAGGCAGGTGTTATGCCCGTTATGCCGATAGATGCATCTTATATCCGAGTCCGTACGCTCCCCTGCCCACAAAACTTGTATCTAGGCGGGTGCCCTGGATGTGCAGGGGAAGGCGCGATGCAGCAACGATGCCGGGGGAAGGAACGGGTTATGTTGTGTTCTGGGGCATGTTCGCAACTGTGCATACATGCCAACAAAACAAGGACAGGCCGCGATACGAAGGCCCCGTGAGATTATCTGATCCAGTGCGATGGCGCATCTTATCTTTCGACATCCGGCACAGGGCCGACTTGGTCCATTTTTAAGGTCATATTTAGAGAGGCAGCAGCCTGAAGCTGACGAGTATAGACGTCTTGTCATTTTGTCGTCAGTCGCGCCTTCCTCGCTTGAATTTTGAGGATTTCTCCTTGCTTCTGTCCTTTTCTTTGGGAAACGACGACCCAGGTAAGACTCCTTCAGACGAAGTATGTCATCTGTTCGATCTGGGCCCTCAATTGGAAGTCCACTTGCCAAAAGAGCGAGAAATCAAATGTGGGCCAGAAGCATCATTCAAACCCGTCCAGAGAGCCAAGCTTCGGCAGAGATCCACTACTCGTGCTGCCGCTTGGTGGGGACAAATAATAAAGAAGCCGTAAAAGAAATAATCACAATAATTTTCGATTTTCGAACACCGGAGTTTGACATGCAAGTTCAAGACAGCGGTATATAATTACACTTGTACTTTGTGCCTGCAGAGGACTCGAACGTACTCGAGCAGAGGCTCGCCCTTGACAGAGACAGAGTAGAAAAACGAGCTTCCAGCAACGCCTGTGCACTTATACTGTGACCCAAGCCGCTTTTTATCATGGGACTGAAAAGGAACGAAGAAAACTGAGCGGCGAAAAAACTAGCTATTTCCTGCATTGCAACCGGTCCCAGAAAGCGGCCAGTTTTTATGGGGATGTTCCATCGATTTTTAGTGTTGCCATCTCTTTTGTCTTCTTAGGGGCGCGCGCTGATGTACATTAACCATTCAGGACGCGCGCATTGTCAATTGTCATGGCCGGTAATGGTGTCATGCAGTTTACAACGGGGTTCATTGGACAGTGACTCCATTTCCCAAAGCGAAAAACTATAATCGCCAGATGCCAACCGCCCCATTGACGTTATTAACACGCAAAACGATGACATAAAATGTTGTTCAGAGACGGCGTTCCGCACAGGACCATTGATACACACAAACAAACAAAATCCGAGGCGAAGAAAAAAACGGAATGGCGATAGGCACAAAATTGACACCAGAACAAAAAGACGGGTGACAGGTTGATGCAAGTGGAAAAATAGCGCCTTCTAATACGACAACTACCAAACCGATGGCGTCAGGCAAGCTGGCAACGACGAGCCTCGCTTGGAAATGCTAAAAAGGAAATCGAAGACAAAACGATATGATGGCAGGACGTGGGGCACGTTGAAGCTTTTTTCATCCACCGTTATTTTCAGCTGGGGAGAAGATATGGCAGTGCCAGGAAGGCTTTGTCTCTGTCTTGATTTCGATAGGCGCGGAACAGCCCATGAACGGGAACCGCATTTGCTGCCTGTGTCTTGCCCGCCTAGCATGGCGGGTGGAGTTTGCCATTGGACGTTACAGTCACATACTTTGACATCTCGTTCTGTGTTCAGGCCTGTTGAGTGAACCGATGATGTCGTCGGCCACAGCACGCTTACCGAGCCGCATACTATTCCAAGGATGCAGCGAAGACAACACGTCTACGAAGTAAACGTGAGGCCGATATTATCTGGCGATATCCTTCCTTCGCAGTCGTCGAGTCGTAGTCTGACCAGCCTATTGCCATGGGCGACACGATTTTGAGGACTAACAGCCAAGGCTGTTGAAGCAACCAATGTCTGTCTATCAAGGTGTAAGCTGAATGGTCTTGTAAATTCAAACAGTAGAGAAAATAAAACCGACTTGTGCTTTGACATTCTATAGGACTAGTATGAAAAGCGCTTGTTGAAAATATGCCATGTTGTTGGCCGAGAATCATGTTGACTGCAAGTCATAGGACAAACGTTTGGTTTCCATCGGAAGATCATACCAGAGAACTGAAATCAATCCCGAAATCCATGTAACACCGATCTATCTGAATCTCAACTTTCCAACGCCACCAAACTCGAATATGTTGGCGACCTCCTCCGCTCGTGTCTCAAGGGTGGCAATGCCGAATAGTGAACCGCAACTTCATCGTCTATGATTTCGTTGACCTGTCCATTTTCGTTACAGCTACTGGGAATTGCAACGACGTCATCACCCATATTTGCGTCGTCGACTTCTGTCTTGATGACAGTACTTTGTGTGCCGTCAAAGTCCCAAGCCATGGTCGGTTGTACATGCTGCAAAGGACGCAGCGGAATTATTTCCATGACGGTGTTGATTCGGGAGGTAGCCTTTGCCGCGGCCAAAGCTGCCCCCGCTGCGGCGGCCATGTCGATTGCGCTCTCCTCCTGGCTCAAAGAGACGATGTCGAGAGACCCCAGGATGGGCGACGCGTCCGCCTTTTTCTTTCTCTTGCTGGACGAGCCGACGCTATTGCTGCTGTCGCTCTTGACTCTCTTTCGGGTCTTGTGTGGCCTGGCCTTGGCCTCATCGCCCGAAAACCCATCACCTAGAAACTGCACGGGAAGTTGTTCGAACAATGGCTCTTGGCGGGCTGTGGGCAATAGGCGTCGGGGTCTGAATACACGACTCTGCAAACCGTCGACAGAACTATGTGGCTGCTCCATGTCAGAGCGTGCATTGGCCCAAGTATGTCTTCGAGAGCTGCGGACCTTGTTGAGTCTTTTGTAACCCGGAGGCGGCGCCGTATCGTAGACATCCCGCTGTGATAGACGCTCTCCCAAGGGGTCCTCCATGCCCATCGCTTCGTCGGCAGGCGGTGACAGAAGAGGCGAGAACAACAGGGGCAGGTTGGACCGAGAAGGTGTCCGAAGCAGGAGCACGGCGGTGTCGACATCGGATTCAGCGATTAAGTCAGTATCGGCTCTTTTCCCTGTACGTTGTCCCCCATTTTGTTAGTGGTCTGATGGCAAATCGGGTATGATAGAACACCCACAGGCTTTAAGTAAGAGCTTACCTGCAGCCACTCCTGACGCCATTCTTTTTGCGCTGCGTCTTGCACCTTGTCCATGTCGCAGATATAACAAGTCATCCTGCTCGCGAACAACATCGGAGTCCATCAACGTCGGACTGCGCACCTTCCGCTGCGGCCCATGTGATGAAGCAGCAGTCCTGAGAGTTGGCAGCGTCGTTTCGGGCTCCCGGTTCTCCCCATGCGAGAGAGGCATTGTTGCAACGGCGACATCGGGTTTGGGCGACATATATAAAGGAGTATTGGATGGACCAAAAAGATGTACAAAAGGGGCTCAAAAAAATAAAAGGGGGGGGGAGGGTTCTTTCGTCATCGCGGGAGTCATGGCCATCAGAGGAAAGAGCTTCCCTCGAAACGGAAGGAGTTCAGACGCGGCATTTGCGGGCATTCCGTACGAAGAAGTCACGAACTGCATCGCTCAGAAGCGAGGAAGGAGCGAAGAGCGCCGATTACTATCGAGTTCTGTGTCGACTGGTAAGAAAGGCAAAAGAATTGGCAGGGTTTGATTCAGTATTATGTATATAAGCAGCGCACGATGCAATTCCAACAAGTAAAAGAAGAAAAAGGAACGAAGGCTGTTCAACCATCGCATACTATTTTTCCAGATCCCGCTGACGCCGATGTGGTCCCCAAATCCCACGAGATACGAACCAAACAAGGAGCAAGAAAAAAAACACGACAAAACATGAACAACGCGAAAACGCACCCAGCAGATGCAGCCCTGGGCGCTCTCACTTCTCACTTGCCGCCCTTGCCCTTGGCCTCCGTCTCGGACAGCTCGCGCACAATAATCTGCGTCTTGCCCGCGCCGCTGTAGTCCTCCTGGCCCGTCTCGAAGCCGGGCGCCACGCCCATGGCGAGGTAGCGCCCGTTGCCCGAGAAGGACAGCGCCCACACGCTGTTGGGGATCTTCTGGTACTGCTTCATCCGCCGCTTGGCCTCGGCGTCCCACAGCGCGACCGTGCCGTCGCCGCCGCCCGACGCAAACGTGCCGTAGCGCGGGTGGAACGCCAGCGCGTTGACGGGGAACACGACGTCGCCGCCGCCCTCGTCCTCGGGCGCGGCCTGCCGGTGGCACTTGAAGGCATACTTGCGGGCCTGCGACTCGGCGCTGTCCTCGAACCACTCGACGGCGACGCGGCCCTCGATGCTGCTCGTGGCATAGCCGGCGTCGTTGGGCATGCAGGCGACGGCGCGCGTCAAAAACTTGAGCGAGGATTCGCGCTGCTGCCAGGGCTTGACGGCGGCCGGGTCGGTGGTGCCGGCGGCGAACAGGGCGGCGATGGTGGGCAGATCGTAAATGTGGACGAGGCGGGCGGTCATGGCGACGACGACCTTGGTAGGGCTCGTGGACAGGGCGTGGACCTTGCCGGGCAGCTGGATGGCGAGGGGTTCGTGGCGGCCGGAGACGGAGACGTCGTGGAAGTGGAGGGTGGCGTCCCACGAGCCCGAGATGACAAGGCCGTGGTCGGCGCTGTAGGCGATGCAGCTGACACCCTGGCTGTGGCGGCTCAGAACCTGGAGTGCGCCGGTGGCGAGGTCGATGCGCCGCACGGCGTGGTCGAGGCCGGCCGAGAACGCCTCGGAGTCGTCCTTGCCGAAGCAGACATCGAGGACGGGGCCCGGGTGCGGGAACGTCTGGACGAGCGTGCCCTCGCCGCCCGCCTCTCCGTTGTGGATGTCGTAGAGGTATACGTTCTTGTCCCAGCAGGAGGCGAGCAGGCGCGTGGATTCGGTGCCGGGCGCAAAGCTGAGGGCGGAGACGGCGTCGCCAGGCGCTGGCGCGACTTCGAACTGTACTGTTTTGGGGGGGGGGGGAGGGATGATTAGTCGGTGTGGAGGGCACACGCGATAGCTTGAGAGGCTGGGCAACACTCACCTGGCGCCATATTGGTGGGCGTTTGTAGTGGGTGACAAGAAAAAGGCTTCAGACGAAGAGCAGAAGCCGCGACAGTCAGCTGTAAACAAGGAGGCTGCGACGTAAATAGAGATGAAAGTCGGCCGCCCGAAAAGAGAAGCCAAACGCACCGCACGCTAAGGTGATAAGATAAGGCGTGGGGTGGGAGTGTTGCCGCCTGTAGGACATGTGGGGCCTAGAAGAGCTCTTCCAGCACACCCATCGTCCCTTACAAAGATGCACTAAGTTTTTCTACGGTCTTCCATCATCATCAGGTTTACATCAACTTTGAGACAGGACATCACGCTCTGACGACGCGTGAAACGGACAGTTGACTTACCCAGCATTGACACATCTTATTCGTACTCTCTCACTCAGCTAGCCGGCCCTCCTCATGCCGTTCGCCCAGCTTGTCCTCGGCAGCCCCGGCGCCGGCAAAAGCACATATTGCGATGGCAGTACGTACTTTGAATTGATCGTGCAGTTGATCTGACACGCCAGTACTGTTGCTGACAACCCGTCCAGTGCACCAGTTTATGAGCGCGATCGGCCGCCAGTGCTCGGTCGTCAACCTGGACCCGGCCAACGACCACGCCAACTACCCCTGCGCCGTCGACATTCGCAACCTCGTGACGCTCGAGGAAATCATGGCCGACGACAACCTGGGCCCCAACGGCGGCGTGCTGTACGCGATCGAAGAGCTGGAGAACAACATGAGCTGGCTGGAGGACGGCCTCAAGGAGCTGGGCGACGACTACGTGCTCTTTGACTGCCCGGGCCAGGTCGAGCTCTACACGCACCACAATTCGCTGCGCAACATATTTCTCAAGCTGCAAAAGATGGGATACCGGGTGAGTGGGACGACGTTCTAGTTGTTCTTGTTCTTTCCGTTGGACTCGTCACGCTAACTACTTGACCACTTGTAGCTCGTCGTCGTCCACCTCTCCGACAGCTTCTGCCTGACGCAGCCGTCGCTCTATCTCGCCAACATTCTGCTGGCGCTGCGGGCCATGCTGCAGATGGACCTGCCCCACGTCAACATTTTGACCAAAATCGACAAGGTCGCCGCGTACGACCCGCTGCCGTTCAACCTCGACTACTACACCGACGTGCAGGACCTGTCGTACCTGCAGGGGGCGCTCGCGGAGGAGTCGCCGGCGCTGCGCAGCGACAAGTGGTCGCGGCTCAACACGGCGGTGGCCGACATGGTGGAGTCGTTTGGCCTCGTGCGGTTCGAGGTGCTGGCGGTCGAGAACAAGCGCAGCATGATGCACGTGCTGCGGGTGATTGACCGGGCGGGCGGGTATGTCTTTGGCGGCGCCGAGGGCGCCAACGACACGGTGTGGCAGGTGGCGATGCGGGACGAGTCGTCGCTGCTCGAGGTGGGCGACCTCCAGGAGCGGTGGATCGACAACAAGGAGGAGTACGACGCGATGGAACGGCAAGAGTCGGAGCGCGAGAAGCAGCTGCGCGAAGCGCACGAGGCCGCCGCACGGGTCGAAGAGCTGGACGTGCCGGGGCCATCGTCTGCTGCCCCCCCTGGTGCCGACGACGACGAACTCTTTGACGCGGACTTTTCTCAGCCGTCCACGACGGACAATGGCATCAAGGTCGTCCGTCGGAGCAAGAAATGAGTATACGATGGGCCGAGGAAGGTTGAGGAAAGGAGCTCTTACAAATGGCTCCGGTCTTGTTGCTCCCAGGGGTTGTCCTCAGTCCAGGCCTGCTGCTTCGCCTCCGTCATCCTCCATGCCCTCGCCGTTGCCGTCTTCAAAATCCGAAAAGTCGTCCTCCTCGTCCTCGTTTCTGTCATCGTCGTCGTCGGACATGACATCCGCCAACAGGTTCTTTGCCTGCTTTCCTTGCCCGGTGCCTTTCGTTGCCGCTGCCGACTGTGTCAGCAGCTCAAATGCCGACGTCGTGTTGCCAGCCATGTGTGCTTTGGTCGCCAGGACCAGCGTCCGGGCCTGGCGGATGGCTTCTTGCTCGACCTGTCGGATGGTGCCGCCGACGCGCGACACGCGGAAGACGCAGGGCCGGCCGTTGCGGACGGGTACGTGGCGCATGAACGTCAGGGCGGTCCAGACATAGCGCACGTGTTCGCGGGTGATGCGGAGGATAAAGGTGGACGTGGCTCGAGAAAAGTATTTGACTGTTGTGTGTTAGGGCCGCGGACTTGTGTTGTGTCAATCAGAGAACCATCGGGGCCTACCACTGAGGGTCCGTTCGACGGCGCCGGCACCGCAGTCGCCAAAGAGGGCCTTCGCCTCGGACTTGATGCCGCGCAGGAGCAGCTGTCGCGTCAGGTCGCTCTGCGTCGGGCGGCGTACGGCGACGAAATGAGGCTGTTCCTGACTGTTGGTGTTGCCATTGCTGTTCTTGGAGTCGGCTGTGCCGTCGCGAGGGTAGAGGATGTTGACCAGTAGGTAACGCTCTTTGACGCGCACCATGTTTGCGTTGACCGGACACGTTGCGGGCCGCTGGTCAGGTTCGTCTGTACTGTCGTTTTGTCGCTTTGGTGACGTGAAAGGCTTCGACCTCAAAAGTGAGACTCAAAAGTTTAGCGGGTCAGAATTTGGAGCTTGGGCGGATGCAAAAAGTGGAGAATAGCTGTACCTGCCTTAAGCGGGGACTCGCCCGCAGGTCACCCGCACTGAACGCCAATGGCCATATCATGACTTTACCTTAATCAAACATTGTGAGGTGTTTGCCAGATACCCAACCTGATTGTCTCCCAATTGTTTTGGATTTCTCGTTGTCGATTACTTTTACACAAGCCTCGGTAAACAGCCACGGAGCACGGTAAGGGCCGGCATCACATTGATCTCCAGTCGCACGACGTCCATTCGTGTTGCATCGTCGCCGTGACTCCAGCAACGTCCTTTGCCCACCGATTCCATAGCAGTTGTCCCACGTATGGCATCACCCACAACACTCCAGGCGGCCATCTTGGTCGTGTCGACAACAGCCGCGCGCGATCCGTCGACCGATGCGGCCATCCCGGCGCTGACGAGTGTCTTGGAGGAGAGCGGCCAATGGACGGTGGCAGAAACACAGATTGTGACCGACGAGGCGGCCGCCATTCGCAAGCAGATACAGGCGTGGACGGATGTCGACGAGAGCAGAGAAAGCTTCATCAGCCTCGTCGTCACGACCGGCGGCACCGGCTTTGCCGTCTCCGACATTACCCCCGAGGCCGTCTCCGAGTTGATCGAAAAGCCGGCACCGGGCCTGGTGCACGGCATGCTGGCGGCCTCACTGCAAGTAACGCCATGTACGTATTGCGTGTCTGGACTGTTGGTCTGTCTTCAATGCACTCTCACTAACCAGCAGTCGCCGTGATGTCGCGGCCGGTGGCGGGCGTGCGGAAGCGCAGCATTATCGTGACTCTGCCAGGGTCGCCCAAAGGCGCCAAAGAGAACCTGCAGGCGATCGTGAAGATGTTGCCGCACGCGTGTGTCCTGGCCGCCGGCATGGACTCGCGAGCATTGCACGCAGGTGGGGTGAAGAAGCTCGAGAAGGAGGCGGGCGTTGTTGCTGGTGCTGGTGCTAGTGCCGGTGCATCAGCGGCCGTCCACAGCCATTCGCATGGTCACAGCCACGGACACGGGCACGGGCATGGGCATGGCCACAGCCATGGTGGCCACGGCCACGGGTTAGTTCGTCATGCCCCGCCTGCAGACGCGGCACCGGCAACGCCTCTCTCCAACGACCCGAGCCTGGGCCCTACTCGACGGAACCGGGCCAGCCCGTACCCTATGCTCTCTGTGGACGAGGCTCTAGCACGCATCGACGAGTTCACGCCGGGCTATGTCGAGGCCGTGCGGCCGGTCAACGAGGCCCTCGTCGGCCATGTCTTGGCGGAGGACGTCTACGCAGCCGAAGACGTGCCGGCCTTCCGTGCCAGCATCGTGGACGGGTATGCCGTGGTGGTGCCGAAACCGAGCGACGCCGATGCCGACACCGATGACCATGCCGATGGTGGCAGTCGCACCCTGTCGGGCGTCTTCCCTGTCGTGGCCGTCTCGCACGCGGCGCCCGACGAGGGCAACGTCCTCCGCGCCGGCGAAATCGCCCGCATCACCACCGGAGCACCCCTGCCGGCCGGCGCCAACGCGGTCGTCATGGTCGAAAACACGGTGCTGCAGTCCCGAACGGACGACGGCGCCGAGGAAAAGGACGTTGCCATCCGCGCTGCCAACGTGCGCGACGGCGACAACGTGCGCGAGGTCGGCAGCGACGTGCGCCGCGGCCAGCTGATTTTGGCCAAGGGCGCCAAGATCACGGCGGTCGGCGGCGAAGTGGGATTGCTGGCGTCGGCGGGCGTGCAGAAGGTCGCCGTCTGCCGGCGGCCCGTGGTGGGCGTGCTGTCGACGGGCAACGAGGTGGTGGAGCACACGTCGCGTCCGCCGTCGCGCCTCCGGCTGGGCGAGGTGCGCGACACGAACCGGCCGACGCTGCTGTTGGCGGCGCAGGAATGGGGCTTCGACACGGTCGACCTGGGCATTGTGGCGGACCAGCCGCACACGCTGGAGCAGCGGCTGCGCGACGCTCTGCGGCAGGTCGACGTGGTCGTGACAACGGGCGGCGTGTCCATGGGCGAGCTGGACCTGCTGAAGCCGACCATCGAGCGGGCCTTGGGCGGCACCATCCACTTTGGCCGCGTGGCCATGAAGCCGGGCAAGCCGACGACGTTTGCCACAGTCGAGGTCAAGGAGGCGGTGCGCGACACGAGTGTGGCCAGTGCCGGCGGAGGCAGTGCTGCCGGCGACGTCGTCCACAGCACGCGCCGCGTGGTCCGGCCTGTCTTCTCGCTTCCCGGCAACCCGGCCTCGGCACTCGTCACGTTCCACCTCTTTGTCCTGCCGGCCCTGCACCAGATGGCGGGAGAACAGCCACGCGGCCTGCCACGTGTGCCCGTCGCGCTGTCGCACGACTTTGCGCTCGACAAGGAGCGGCCCGAGTACCATCGCGCCGTGGTCAGTGTCGGTGCCGACGGCGTCCTGAAAGCGACGAGCACGGGCGGCCAACGCAGCTCCAAGGTCGGCAGCATGCGTGGTGCAAACGCGCTGCTATGTATGCCGGCGGGTCCAGAGCCGTTAAAGGCCGGCGCCACGGTGGACGCGTTGTTGATGAGCAATGTTCGGAGCGAACTGTGACAGTTGTTACGACAGCCTGGTCAGACGATATTTAGATGTACAAATTATACAGATTTTTCTACCTGCTTCCGTCAAGCTACCGTGGTAGCGTCCTCTATTAAACGTTGAAGTTGTGGCGGGTTGTCCTCCGTAAAAGGAGATGAAATTGCAAGTGAAAAATGGAACGTGGAAACAAAATCAAACGCCAGACAAATGCCGTGTCAGCCCTCTTTGTAGGTAAAAAAACAAGATGCCAACATGTGTAAACCAAACGGGAGAGACAAGAAAAAGAAGAAAAAAGGGAAGGGAAGGAGAAACAGGGAATCATGCCAAGCAAGCCCGTCAAAGATCGCCATACTCAACATCACAGAGAGGAGGAGCAAAATGGCAAAATGGTGCTCTCATCCACAACTGTCTTTGAGTAGTCCACCACCCCAACAAAATCTGGTCTCGCCTCCGCCTCCATTTAGCCAAGAGCCGCCAAACTATCTGGAGCCATCGTTTGGCCAGTCGGTGGACGAGCACGTAGTCGTCTGCACCCTCAGCTCGCCGCGGCCATATTATTCCGCGCCAAACTCGCTGGCCTTGCTCGACACCAGCAGACCAATAATCAGGCCAAACAGACCCAGCACGGAGCTGAAAATCTCAATCACCAGGATCCGCACAAACAGCGACGGGTCCGCCGCGTCCGCCAGCGCAGCGCCGCTGCCGTTGATGCCGACCGCGACACCGCACACCAGGTTGCAAAAGCCGACGGTCACGCCGGCCCAGAAGAGGGCAAAGCCCGTGTAGTAGGAGTCGGCGCTGTAGAGGTCGGCGCCGGTGACGGCCTGGATTTTCGACGAGAAGATGATGGCCATGATGACGCCGTAGATGGCGACGACCTCGCAGAAGATGATGGAGATGAGGTTCTTTGTGCGGATGCGGGGCGCCTTGACGCCGCCGCCGAGGATGGAGGAACCGGTAATGAAGATGCCCCTGGCGGACGTCGCGTTAGCATCGTCATCGAGTCCAGAGATTCAGAGACCAGAGACCAGAGACCAGATTAACCGATCGACGGATCAAAAATAGAGAGGGTGCACCTACCATGCCGCGCCGACGACGGAGAGGCCGATGCACAGGGCAATGCCCAGGGACGCCCACGCATACGGCGACACCGACTCGAGGAAAGCACCCACGTTAAAGGCCTCGCCGCTGCCTGTAAACAGCATGTCTGTCCCAAGTCAGTATTTGGTTTGGTCGTGATCCTCCTGCCATCCGGTTGTCCCATCGGGGATCGCAAAAACGTACAGGCGCCCACAATCAGCAGCGCGGATCCCGTGCCGCCCAGTCCGTACGAGAGACTCATCGTAGTGGTCGCCGTGTGGTGTGCCTGGAAGATCAAAGACGGAAAGAAGAGAAAGATGAACAGACGCCGGTGCCCGCGTCCGACACTCGTTATCTCGACACTTGTGGATGAGGTGATGGGGTTCGCCGAAAAGTAGTGTCGTCTCAGTCGCTCAATCGATGCCGTCCAGGGCAGATTCGGCCGTCGAAAAGAATGTCGTCGGAGAGGAGGGGCTCCCGCATAGATGGGGCCGTTGGCTTGTGATGTCGCAAAGAGCAAAGGGGTGGCGTTCTGTTGGTGGTTTGCGGTCTTTTTTCCAGGGATGGGATTTCGAAGGTCGACGCCAGTTGTTGCAAGGCAGCTAGTTAGTTGCTACCTCGAAACCGCGAAGCGTGCTGCCTCGGATTCAGCCAATCAGACGGTGCCAGGGAGCTTAGCAGCACGTGTTTTATCACGTGATATTCGGAAATTATCACGTGCTTCGCCGTCTATCGTGAACGAATTTAAGGAAATTTCATGTATTTTGTTTATTTTTTGTCTCATTTATGTACCCTCTCTCCCTAAGGCCGTGAAGTTGCTGAAGGTTCTGACATGAACGTTGATAATATGGGTGATGTGTAGCCTCGCGAGCTTCCTTGCTGGCATCGTGCACTCTAAGACGACTTGGTAAACAATTGCTTCTTGAAGTCGTCTATGAACTGTAGCTTTGTAAAAGTCTCGTGCAGGAGAACATAGCAAAGGTAAACAAAGCCAAACCGATGGCTAGTTGACTGAGAAAAATCGAGTAGAAATAATGTCTTTATTTATTTACATATCATGTATTTGAAAAGAAAAAGTAAAATTAAAATAAAGATAAAAACAAAGCAATCTTAATTTTTGAAAATAATGTACACCCCGATAGAATGAAACTGTACTGTATAGCAATCAAGAGATAGAAACATTTCCGTTAGTTTACCTGTCAGCTGGCTGCTTGACCTACGTTGTAGATACGCAACTTATACGTTTACAAAGACCACAGCTGAGTAAACATACAAAGTGCAACGGCACAATAAGGTTCATCCAATGTAAAACACATGACCTTTATGTTTTCCTTTCTCCCTTATGTTCGACTTCCTTGCTTCTTCTCATTGAACTTTATTCACTACCGTGGCCAGATTACCGTGGCCAGACTCGTTTTATTTCCTTCTCGTTTTCTTCTTTCCTTTACTATTTAAGTCCTCCGCTTCCTTCTTTCTATCATTCTTACATCTTTCTTACATCTTTCTTACATCTTTTCTTACCTCAACAACCATCACACGTCAACACTTAACGATACCTCCGTCAGTCGCAATGTGCGGTTACATTTACTACAAATATATATCGACACACTGCGAGCTCAGGCCGCAGCATGTGAAGGCCATCCCAATCAACATCTGGTGTGACCATGCCAAATCGATCAACCAGGTCTGCGATGGCTCGGCATCAAGGCCCAAAACATACCAGCCGGATTTAGAGCCCAGGGCGTACATTGTGAAAGAGGGAAAATGTGTCCATTGTGTGCGGAGGAAGAAAACGGAGTGATGCTTTGACGGCATTTCAACTGTGTCATGACTGTTTCTCTGCATTTCACATCTACAACCCTACTTTTTTTGGACGGTAGCGTCACGTTACTTTCCAAACATTGACCTTGGACGAACACATACGGCCACCAAAACCGGACAAACTGTACCTCCTTACGACTGAGCACTCTCTGCCATGCTATCCCGCAGCGGCTTCGGCTGCAGCCTCTTCCTCTTTGTTGTGCTGTCCATGCGCCCCAGTGTCTCTGCGACGGCTTTCTCCTGTGCCTTTTGCCTGACCAACGCCTCCAGCGCATCCGCCGCCTCGGCTGGCCCGTTGTGTCGCGCAAAGTCGTCGCGAATCCGGGCTGCAACCGCACGGTAGTCATGGCCCGGGGGGTGCAGGGCCAAGGGCCCTCCCTTCTTCTTGTTGCGTGGCGCACGCGCGGATGCATCGCCGTCCACGATGCGCAGCACCGCCGCCCGCACGGCCTCGGTCGTCGGGGCCGCCGTGGCCAGGTCGATGCCCGCGCCCGACCAGGCCACGCGGCTGCTCACGTCCGCCTTGTCCTCGGTCCGCCCGGCACAGACCAGCGGCACGCCGCAGCTGAGGGCGGCCAGGACACCGTTGTAGCCGGCATTGGTGACCATGACGCCGACGTGCGGCAGCAGGCGCAGGTGGGGAACAAAGGCGGCCGTGCGCACGTTGGCCGGGCGCTTCATCTTGGGGCTCGTGTCGACACCTTGGACACCTTCGACCGCCTCAACAGTCTCGACATTCGTTTCGGCGGCACCTACAGTACGAGGCCCTGCTGAGGCCATCGCGGTACCGGCAGGCGGGTCGCTTTCAAACAGGGCCTCGACGTTCTTGCCAGTGACAATGACGAGCAGGTCGCCGCGGTCGGCGAGGGCCTCGACCGTCGGCTTCACCAGCAAGTCGGTGTTGGTCGCAATGGTCCCTTGGGTCAAATGGACGACTCGCTCGCGTGGATGGGCCAGCATCTCGTCCCACCACGGCGGCGTAGTGTCGGCCGGCGGCACATCATTCGCAGACGGCGCGCGGTCGGTAGGCTGTGCAGCGTCGGCCGACGTTGCGTTTTCGCCACTGGGTGTTGCGTCGGCAGCTAACGTGCTGGCGTCGCCTGTTGTTTTTGCGTCGGCCTTCTTGTCCCCCTTCTTGTCCCCATCCAACCACGACGGCAAAAGAGGCCCGACAAACACGACGCTGCGCAGCATGTTCTTCCGGGGAAGCTCAAACGCCGGCGTCGTCATCATGATGTGGAGGTCCGGCGACCGCACATCGTCGGCATAGCTGCGCCAGCGGCTGCGCGGCGGCAGACCCAGCGCGCGGCGCTGCTTGTTGAGCGCCGCCGACAGGCGCGAGATGAAAAAGACAATGCCCAGCGCGTGGCGCACACGGTTGCGCAGACGGCCCCCGGCGGTCCGCGGCGGCTGCTCGCCGGACCCCCAGGGCGGGATTTCCGGGTCGAGCGTCACCAAGGGGTTGATGCCGAGGGTGGCATAGGGCAGGCCGGCGCGGTCCATATAGCAGCGGGCGGCGTAGGTGCAAAAGTCGACGACCAAAACGTCGGGGACAAACCCGTCGGCGGCGGCGGCGACGCCCTCATAGTCGCGGACCTGGGCGGGGATGCGGTCCAGAAAGAGGCGGCGCAGGTAGTCGGCGACCTTGGCGAGGGTGACTTTGCCGTGGATGACGTGGATGTGTTCGTCGTCGATGAGCGCGTCCGGGGACATGGGCACAAACCGGGCGCCGGTCTGTCGAACGCGGGCCTCGTAGACCGGCCCCGTCATCCAGACGACATCGTGGCCGCGGCGGACGAGCTCGCAGACGACGGGCTGCGTTGGGTTGACGTGCCCGGCGTAGGGATAGGTGGACACGAGGACCTTCATGGTGCGGTGAGGGATGGTGGCAATGGAACGAGGCGAAGGGCGTCAGGCCACGACGAAATGGGTGTGCCAACACATAAATGTGCAGACAAAACGATGCTTTCCAAAATGTCGGATAAACCAGACCGTTGGAACGAATGGCGATGACGGATCGCCGGCCTGCCGAGGTTTCATCCCTGCCGTGTGTGCATCGAGTTGCTGGGGTTGTTGGTGTTGTGCCACTTTTCGGGACAATGCCGTGCCCGTCTGTCGATGCTGACATTTTCTATTCCAACAGGCCTAACGAGCCAGGAGCCTGGAAGACGGGACCCGATGTGGCAAGCAATCAAGACGAAACGATTTGGAGGGAATGCATCAGGCGATGGCAGAAGCCAGAAAGTACAACATGTAATAGAAATATGCCTAAAAATACGACAAAATAAATACGAATGCCATTCGTTTCATAGTCGGTATGCTGAATAGATGCCACGAGTTTCGTCGACAAAACCCAGCACAGATTGCCAAACAGCTGGGATCGTCAGTGCTCTCTTTGTTCGTCAGACAAGGCAGCAGTGTCAGTGCAGCCCCAGAGTCCGAGGCCGCGCGACGCCAGAACGAGCCAGTCGCATCGCCAGAGGCTTCTCTCGAAACCAAACGACGAGCGAGGCCAGCCATCATTCTAGACGCTGCAACGACCCGTGTATTGCTTCATCATCCGACCGTCTGTTTGTGTTGTGCTTTTCCGTGCCTGGGAAACGAAGAAAAGGGAAATGAAGTAAAAAAAGACATCAAAAAAGACATCAACAAAGACCAAACCAAAAAGATCAAAATGAAACCCGTCTATACTTTTCAACGCCCAAGAATGCTGCCATAGATGTCATGCCCATGCACGATAGATCCGTGCATCCCACGCCGCTCCCGTCTATTTCTTCTTGCGCGACGTCGTGTTCACCTTGCGCTTCTTCTCCTTCTTGGGCATCTTGACAAGGCGCTTCTCGCGCTTCTCCTCCTTGACCGCATGCTTGTGCGCCCGCTTCTCGTCCTTGTCGTCGAAGCGCTTGCCCCGCGGCTTGCGCGGCCGGCCAAACTCGTCGTCTGAGTTGTCCGAGTTGCTGACGGACGAGCTGTCGGAGTCGGAGTCATCCTCGTCGTCGTCGTCGTCGTCGTCGTCGTCGTCGTCAATGTCATTCGCGTCAGCTTCCGCGCCAATCTTGGTCTTCTCACCCGCCAACAGGTTGCCGTAGAGGCTGTCCTTGGCGTGCAGCGCCTCCACACCACCGACAGGTCCGTCGCCGCGGGCCACCATGCCCTCGTCGTAGATCTGGTGCAGAGACTGCGGGATGTACTGCGCGCGGAACACCTCGTTGTCGACCTCGAGCGCCGCCAGCGCCTCCGTGTTGTCGCCGCTGGCGGCCGCCGTCTCCTCCTTGGGCCGCGCCGCGTACAGCGCCTCAATGGCAGCCGCCGCATCGGCCGCATCGGCGGCGGGATCCGACGGGACAGGCGACGCCGTCGGTGCCGCCGTGACAAACGCAAAGACGGTGCGGTCGCGCAGCGTGTCGACGCCCTTGCGCCGGAAGAAGGCGCCGATGTTGTGCAGGTCCATGCGCAAGAAGTCGTACGTCTGCGGGTGGTCGTGGCCGACGCTCTGGGAGACGTCGATGATGTACAGCGTGTGCGCGTGGTACAGAATGTTGTACTCGCTCAGGTCGGCGTGCACGAGGCGGCAGACTTGGTAGAGGCGCCGCACGAGGCCCAGCAGCTGCACGTACAGCGCGCGCCACTGCCGGGCAATGTCGGCGTCGGCGGCCTCGCTGTCCTCGCCGCCGGCATCGTCACCGTCGGCCCCCGCCGCCGTCAGCTCGACATCCCGCAGCCGCGGAAACGCGTGGCCGTCGCCGTCGCCCAGAAACTCCATCAGCAGCACATTCGCCTTGAGCTGGATCGGGTACGGACACGCAATGCCCGCCCGGTTCAGCCGCTGCAGGTTGCGGAACTCCTTTTCGGCCCACTTCTTGACCATCTTGCGGTTGTTGCCCTTGTGCCCGCCGCCCCGGAAGCGGTGCTCGCCCGCAATGTAGCGCTCGCGGTCCACGAAGCTCAGGATCGACGTCTTGTAGATCTTGGCCGCCCGGTACAGCGTGCTGGTGTGCGTGCCGTCCTCGTCGTCAAACGTGTGCAGCGGCGCCGCGTAGACGTTGGCCTCCTTGCCCGTCGAGATCACGCCCTGCAGCTCCGAGATGAGCTCCTTGCGCACCATGGCCTCGACGATGGCCTCGGTGCGGCGGTCGAGCACCTGGTCGCGCGTGGCGCGGTCGGCCTTTTCTTTGCCCACGTGCAGCTTGCCATCCTTGTGGCCGGTGCCCGAGCCGCCGTCGCTGATGTGCACGTTGGAGACGCCGCCGGCGAGAGAGGCGACACGGTCGTCAGAAGCCATTGCGGAGGGCTGCGTGTTGTGTGTTTTGTCTGTCGTGTTTGTTTGTATATCTGTGTTCTGTGTCCGTCTTCGCAGCGCGTCTGGTCTCGTAATCGTCCTGGGCCTGGATCCGGCTTTATATGCACGTCCGGTGACGTAAAGTGCACGCTGAAAATTGAAGAGGCAAAAACGCTGAAAAAATTAGGCCGCGATGCGTCTTAGTGGGATGTTGTCGATGCAGGCTAACGCAACGGGCCTGTCACAGTGGACGAGAGCGGCAGAAACCCCGCCAGAACGGTGTGTTAGCGCTGTAACCTTGCTGAACTGCCCCTACGTGACTCACCGCCTCCACACCTTCCACATTCGGAAACAACACACATGACCGCCCGTCGCGGCTTCCATTTGCGAATCACGCAACAGTTCACTCGTTACCCCTTTTATTCTCGCTATTTCTATGTGCTTGTTTTCTTTTGCCTCACATCATCACATATCGCCACGCACCGCCACCACGTCATAGCCCCCTCTGCCCGCCTACCCCTCCGTCTTCCCCTCGTTTCCCCAGCTCTACACACGACACAGGCTCCCGTCGGCCTCCTCGGCCCACCGCTCGCTGCCTACGCAGGGCGTGCACCACAGGACATCGGTCGGGTCCACCTTTCTCTTGATGGCGAGCAGCCGCGGGTAGTGGTCGCCCCAGAACGTCGTCTGCCAGTTGGGCTCGTACTTGGACGCCTCGTTCATGTACGCGCCTGTGTCGGGCGCCAGGTCGCGCATCGCCGACGAGAAGAAGGTCGTGAGCTCCCTGGCGTCGGCCGCGTACGTCGCGTTGTTGGGCAGGGAGTAGGCGACGCTGGCCGTCGCGTGCACGTAGGTGCGCCGCCAGACGGGCAGCACCGCGTTGCCGCCGCCGCGCGGCGTGGCGTTGTGCACGCCCGGCCCGGACACAATGTACACGGTGGCCTGGCCCGACGCGGAGAACTTGGCGAGCGCGAGCTTGAGGGCGGCCGGGTCGGCGGTGAGGGCCGGGCGGTCGAGCAGGCGCGAGCTCATCAAGTTCTCGTGGCCCGTCGGCGACGGGTCGTAGTTCTCGGCGTACCAGGCCTGGAAGTCCGGGTAGTACGTGGTGTTGTACTCGCCGTACATGTGCGGCCAGGTGGCGTTGACGTGGTCAAAGATGGGCTTGATGTGCTCGATGAGCTGCGACGCGTTGCGCGCGCTCGGCAGGATCAGCTTGCCAATGATGCCCTTGATGAAGGTGTCGCTGTTGTCAATAAAGTTCTTGACCGTGTTGAACACGATCGGGTAGCCCGAGACGCCCGCGTCGGCCAGGCCGGGGAACTGGCCCACGACGTACGCCAGCATGTCAAAGGCCTGCGTGTTGTCGGCGGCCGTGCCGATCCAAAAGGTCATCCCGACCAGCTCGGGGCTCGGGATCAGCGCCATCGTCGCCGACGTCAGCACGCCAAACGTCGACCCGCCGCCGCCCCGCATCGCCCAGAACAGGTCCGTGTTCTGGCACTCGTTGAGCGTCAGGATGTCGCCCGACGGCGACACAATCTCCATCTCGAGCACGCTGTCTGTCGCCAGGCCGTTCTGCGGCGCCAGGATGCTGTGGCCGCCGCCCGTGATGAACCCGCCCAGCGCCACGGTGCGGCCGTTGCCGCCAATGACCGTGTGGTTGATCGTGTGCGTCAGCGCATACGCATCGTACATTTGGATGCCGGCACCGGCCGTCAGCGCAGCCCCGGCAATGGTGACATTGGAGCACCCAGTGGGCGAAAACGACGTCCGGTGCAGCGTGGCGTTCTTCATGTGGTGCACCCAGATGGACAGCGCGTACGGCGCCGCGGACCGGCCGACATAGTCGTGCCCGCTGTTCTTGACAATGAGGCGGATGTTGTTGGTGCGCGCAAACACCACCGCCGCCTGCACGTGCTGCGGTGTCGTCGCATTCACCACGTACACCGGGTAGCCCGCACCACTGCACGGCTGGCTGGCGTCGGGCACGCACGTGTCGTTGGTCCAGTTGTTCCACTCGACGGACACGGGGTTGTTCGAGTGGAAGAACTCGTCTGTCCAATTGGCCTGCACGGCCGCGCACGCACTGGCCGAATACGTCGGCTGCGACGGGTGGCACACGGCGCCTGGTGGTGCCGGCTTGAGCAGGCGGCCCTCGACGGTCGTGTTGAGTGCTGCCCAGAGATCTGCGGACGGCCAGCCAGCACCGCCCGGCACGGCACGACAGGACGGCGATGTCTGATTGAGAGCGTTGCGGTGATAGAGATGGGGACGATGGGCCGATGCTGCCGTAGCAGAGCCCGCAAACGAGGCGACCGCAAAGCAGAGGAACCGCATGTTGGCCGTGGATGCTGCTGTCAATGTGTTGCACGAAGACAAGACGCGGTGCAGGAACGTTCACCAAATCGTCAACAGAGTCGAGCGGCTGTTGTTGGGGGGCTGTCGTAATGTTGAGAGGATGCGATTGCCTGGAGGTCGTCCTCGCGTCGACTGTGAGGAGCGCTTCTGGATTCTCTGGATTCCCTCTCCCATGTTCTGGATCCTGCGATGGGAGTACCCCTCACCACCCGCTTCTGCTTCCTATACCGTGTGTGGTAGGACCACGGACTGAAGCGAGGATAGTACTCGGGACCAAATTCTCCTCGGAAGCGCGAGGAAAACATGCGGCTTCGGCCGTCAGGACCAACACAGGAACCCAATCGCTGTTCCGTGTTTGCTATTTTCGGACGATTGACAATCAAGAGCCTCCACTCGTTAACACTTCCGCTTTATACAAGGTATAAACGGAACAGAAGGTGATATGCCAGGGCACTGCAGAGTTTCTTTTAGGCGGCAGAGTGTCGCATGCTCTTTGAAAGGATTACTGTGAAAGGAACATCTAGGCTAAAGTCGAGATATGCACAACAGCCTAGGGTTCTCGAAGTTGTCAAGAACACCGCTGGAGAATTAATGTTGGTTTAGCACGCAGAAAAAACATTCGATTTTCTATTTTTACGACGGCCGGATACCGTTTCTTTGATTTTCTCTGTCTTCCCCGCAAATCGAGCCTCAACATACAAGCCGAATGCGATGCCGTCAATCACCAGCCGGCTGCATCTACCGCCGGATAATTATGTGCCCTTGTCCATTGCCCCCGTGGATTGATTTTTCTGGATAGAGGGCTTCAAATTAAAGTGAGAAGGGGAAGAGAGACTCGCTGCAGGAACCGGAACAAGAGCCGATGAGGGACTGTGCAGCGCATCGACACCATCAAACCGGAGGCTGGACACATATGGCTGCGTCAATCCTTTCCATCCACACCTGCATCGCATCACATCCTCCTCACTTTGCCAACGGCGACGCAAGCGAGGGACGCCAGGAATTCGTTACCGTCTGTCGGACCCGGCAGGCAAGACTGAGCAACGATTGATTTCGTCTTTGGCGGCGCGACAACGACCATGGCCGAATTCCAATCACGAGCCAGCTTTGGCTTTCGTTTCGTTCTGCGTTGGCTCTTGTCAATCCTGCTTCTCGTGAGCACGTTTACTTGTACTGCCTCCGCCAGCACTGGCTCTTCCGTGCATCACAGCCCCCTCACGGGCGACGTGGTCAACTTCTTTGGCAAGGTGCCGGCGTCCAACAATGCCACCGGCCGTGCCAACGCCACGGCCAGCCGCAATCGGTACCTGCCGCCACCCAGCAAGGACGCCTGGTACGCGCCGCCGGCCGGATGGGAATCGACGAAGCCGGGCACCGTCCTGCGCACACGGCCCCATGCCTACCCGACAATCAACATCCGCAACGCCGTCGACACGTTCCAGGTGCTGTACCGCACGTCGGACAGCCACAGCAATGCGTCGTGGTCGGTGGCCACAGTGTTCATCCCCAAATCGCACGCCAACTGCGTGCTGAATACGACGTCGCCGGCCTACAATGCCAATGCGTGCGCGCACGCCCTGGTGGCGTACGAGGTGCCGTCGGACAGCGCCGACCCGGACGCGGCGCCGAGCTACCTGCTGCAGATGCGCGAGCCGTATGGCGAGATGCGCGACATGCTGGCGCGCGGGTGGTTTGTGCTGGTGCCGGACTACGAGGGGCCCAACGCCAGCTTCTGCGCGGGCGTCCAGGCCGGGCATGCGACGCTCGATGCGACGCGGGCCGTGCTGAGCCTGGCGGGGCCGCAGCTGGGGCTCCGGACGGACGCGGTCAAGGTCGGGCTGTGGGGGTACAGCGGCGGCGCGTTTGCGGCCGAGTTTGCGGCGGAGCTGGCGGCGACGTATGCGCCCGACCTGCGGATCGACGCGTCGGTGATTGGCGGCTCGTCGCCGAACCTGACGACGGTCGACGAGCGCATGAACGCCAAGGACACGGCGGGGCTGGTGGTGACGTCGATCCTGGGCATCACGGTGCAGCAGCCGGAGGCGCGCGCGTTCTTGCTGCAGCAGCTGCACCCCACGGGGCCGTACAACAAGACGACGTTTCTGAACGCGACGACCATGACGGGCGCGGACGCGCTCGACGCGTACTCGGGCCAGAACGTGTTTGACTATTTCGTCAACGGGCGCAGCGACTGGGCCAACCCGGCGATGCAGGACGTGATCAATGCGGACGCCGTCATGGGGCTGCACGGCGTGCCGCGCATGCCGAGCTTCTACTACAAGGCGGCGCACGACGAGATGAGCCCCGTCGACGAGACGGCCGAGATTGTCACGTCGTTTTGCCGGCAGGGGGCCAACATTCTGTTCCACCGCAACACCGTGGGCGGCCACAACGACGAGCTCTGGAGCGGGCGGCTGCGCGCGCTGGACTATCTGTCGGCCAAGCTGGACGGCGCCGTGCCGGCGGACAGCACCAGCAACCTGACGATTCCGGCGACGGGCTGCGCGACCGTCGATGTGACGATCGCGCTGGACCCGCTGTACCTGCTGCCGGACTGGTGGTGGACGGAGGGCCCGGGTGCGGGTCTGGGCTTGATGGGGGCTGGTTAGGGAGGGGTGACGGGGGAGCGAGTGGACGACGATGAAGCACGAGCGATGGTTCTTATTCTTTATACAGAGTAGATGAAAGGGAACGTACATAGAAGGAGACGCATAGATGGAAGCATGTTGTCGGGCAAGAAAACAAGAAAAAGAGAACGTACATCCAAGTAGAAGCAATAAACCAAACGTATGGCATGCCTTTCTTGTTCACTACGACGTCGTCCTTCTGGTCCCTCTTGCGGCCCATCTCCCGTGAACCATTGCCCGGCCCGTCGCCCATCCAGGCACTGCCGCGCTTGTCCAAGGCCATGGCCCTCCAAAACAAGACACCGACCCCTACTCGACAGGGAATGCGTCGCATGATCCGCCAACTGAGATTCCTCGCTGTCGTTTCCGATGACCGATGTTTGTCTTCACGTCGGCCGTAGATGGCCCTATGGCCGTTGTATTTGCCTCCGTCGCTCACGTCCTCGCATGACCGTCTACCTCACAGCCTGGCCTGTCCACTCATGGGGCTTATAGCCGTGCTGCGGCAAGGCCTGAAGGGGCAGCTTTAGTTTAGGGGGCTTGGACTGCATTCAGGGACCATGTGGACGGCACGTTGGTGTCTAAGACGACGTGTAGGCGCTGTGCCGGCGTATTGTCAACCCTCTTCGCCGGTCCACGCCGTTGGTACTCTGTTTCTAGAAGGACTGCTTATGGTTGAACGCACACTCTGCGCCGTAATTGCACTATTTTGTGGTGCTTCCTACGACGTACTGTTGTACGGCGCTCCCATTTCCAGCCAGTGGCAGTTCACTGCCAGCAGCCAAATCCAGTAACATTTGCCCCTCCCTGGTGAAAGGATGTAATGGGATTGGTGGTAGCTGGAGAATAAGTGGGCCAACAGCACTGAGACAAGAGACTGACACCACCAGAACCCAATAATTGTTTTTGGTTGTCTTGACTATGGAGGTCAGGGACAAAAAGCAGAGTCCTTGTAGTCAGTATCAGCACCGAATAGGTGATAGTTGATACGAGAGAGCACAACATACACCACAGCCAAGTGTCACAGTATCACAATCCATTCACAATCGCAGTAAACAACAGTAGGTCATCAGAATGATACATTAGGATTCAATCTCCGAGAACAAGTAGACCTTTTTTGGTCTCTGCTTGCTTGTTTTGCTTTTTGAGGCTTTTAGTGTAGGCTGCAAGACGCTCACGATAAAATAGGAATAAAAGGACATCAAAGCAAAAACCCATGTGAACCCCTGAACACCGACGCCCGTTATACCCAAATTATAAAACGTAAACCCATCAGTGCTTGACTAAAATCCCGGCGAGTCCCTCTGTGTGTGGTTGCGTCCCTTTGCACTGGATCCCTCGCCCAGTCTTGTATTGCATACTGTTGAATAAGTGTGCCGTGTCCTCGTCTTCCCTTTTGCTTGCACTCGCCAAGACAAAACCAGACTCAAATGTATGGCCGCTTCGCAAAATGAAATCGTGTCATAAAAAGAACAGCATGAAACAAATTAGACGCCAGTGTACCCTTTTTCCACCTGCACCACTGTATGTGCGGTCGCAAAACAAAAACAAAATACAACAATAGAGGAGGAGAGGAGGAGAGGAGGAGAGAAGCAATAACACAATATACGCTTTGCACAGAAGGAAGAGGAAAGGGGGAGGAGAAGGAGGAGAACATGATACTGTCGTCATATCGAGATACTGCGGAGGGTGGGAGGTGCAGGAGTGTGTTGTGGTGGATAAGAGAAGTGGCGGTATTGCCGGTTTTGGTGTATGACATGCTGCATCGGTATCGGCAGGAGGCATTGGAGGAGGACTGTGGCCGACCAGCCCACAATTGGCCTCTAGCCCTTGATGGCCGTACCCGCGTGGCCGTCTGCATTGGCAAATGGAAACCGATCTTTCACGAAGGAATAGTCCGGTGGTGGCGGCGTTCCAGCAAAGGGAGGAAACGCGCCAGCAAGCGCAGCAGGTGATGCAGGCGATGCAGGCGATGCCGTGTTGCTGCTGCTCGTGCTGGCGCTGTCGCTGTCGCCGCTATCCGCCTTGTCCCCCGGCAGAATGAGGGGGCCGGTCGCGAACATGGTACCACGGCGAGGCTGGCCTGGGACGCGGCCCTGGTTCGTGACCGGAGAGGTTTGCACAAAGCCAGACGTAGGTGGCGATGCGGAGGAGGTTGGTGACCCGACGCTCTGGATGGACAACGAACTGGAATCGCGGATCGGTACGTCGGCGTGCCAGCGGGGCCGGGAAGGTTGCTGATGGGTGCGGGCGGTATGCACGGGGCTGCCGTCCGAGGTGATGGTCGAAGCGGGGCTCGAGGTAGCCTTCGTGTCGTTCTGTCCGTTTTGCGCGGAGGAACCATCCTTAGTGGGAAGTGATGGCTTCGGGACATACTAAATGAAGAGGAAAAAAGCGCATCTGTTAGTGTTCAATGTCCGGTGCTCTGTGCTGTGCCGTTCACGTGCGCTGAGGTGTTTGATGTTGAAGAGAAGGCAGAGGGTTGATGAGACAGATCGTCGGGTGACCCAGGCATAGTACGTACAAAGCAGTATTTGCTAACGATTTCGTCGTACGACTTGGATGCAATGCCTCCGGGGCCGTAGAGTGCCGATTCGGTCAAAATCGTACGCGAGTCGCGATCGAGGGCGGCGACGGGAAGGGCGACGGTCGTGGGCTCTTGGGTCGTGTTGACGGCGATGACGCGCTCGTTGGTGTTGGCCGAGGCGGCGGCGACTTTGACGGCGGCGTCGGCGGACGGAGCGGGGACGACGGCGACCTTGCGGCTCGGCTTCATATAGAGGCCGTCACGCTTGTTGGTCGCCATGGCATCCTTGGCGGCCTGCATGGCCGCGGAGAGCGAAGCGCCGAAGTCGTACCGGTTGGCAAAAGCCTGGCCGCTGGGCGATACCAGGCGGGCCGTCAGGTTGTCGCTCGCCAGGCTGGGACCGGTTTGCGACGACTTGAGGCGCAGGGCCGGGCGGTCCGACTCGCCAAGGTACTCGTGGACGGACTGGTCGAACATCTTACTGCCATGTCCGTTGGCGCTGCCGCCGAAGTCGTCCAGGGACACCGGCATCGACACAGGGCGCTGCGTGGACGTGGCGTTTGCGCGGCGGTGGTGGCTGCGCGGGAGGGCGCCGTTCTGCAGACCGCTCTTGCCGTTGATCGCGAGCATCTTCTTCTTGAAATCAAGCTGGAAGTTGCTGCCGTTGTTGTTGTCCCAGAACTCCTTGCCATCGACGTTGTAGCGGATGCAGAAGTACATGGTCTTGGACTCCAGATTGGCCAGGTCGGACAGCTTGATGGTGAAGTTGAAGCGGTCGTTGCCCTGCGGGGTGACGCGTGGCACAATCTCGGCGCTGTACTCGGCGGCGATCTCCGAGGTCGTCTTCCAGTAGTCGAGGGTGAAGCGGCATACGACCAGCTTGGAAAAGGCCAAGTTCAGACACGACACGGAGCCGTGCAAGAACTTTTGGTCCGGCGACAGCCACACGCGCTCGAGACGCACAGGCAGGGCCTTGCGCTCGGCCGTCTCCACAGGGAACTTGGTCAGGACAATTTCCCACTCGAAGGGCGGGCCACCGCGCTTCTGCTGCTGCTGCTGCTTCATGCCGGGGATGCTGCCGTTAAAGGGGTACTCCGATTCACTTTCGTACACCTCGACGGGCGACGAACCGGCGCTGACGGCCAGCGGGCGGTCGACCTGCAGAAAGTGGCGGACGTGCTCCAGGTGGGAGTCAAAGTGCACGACCTTGGAGAAGGTGGGGGTGCCAGGCATACTGGAGGGACGGCGGCCCGAGCCCAGGCGCAGAGCCGGGCGGACAAGCTCGCCAGACTTCTTGCGCACCATGGGAGGTTTCGCCAGGATTTCGAGGTCGTTCTCCTCGTCCGAGTTCGCCACAGAGCTGCCAGCCGACGGCGAGACCGAGACGCTGGGCTCGGTGGCCGACCGCATGTGCGAGATGCGGCGACCGTTGCTGCCAATGCTGCTGCTGCGGCCACCGCCGATGCGGAGGTGGTCCAGAGAGGTTGTGCTGAAACTGTGGCGCATGTTGCTCTCCGCGCTGCTGGTGCCGTTCATGCTGCTGATGCTGCTGATGCTGCTGATGCTGCTGATGCTGCTGACAACAGGCGGGATCGGCTGGACGACCAGGACGCCTAGGTCGGCAGGCTCGTTGTTGGGCGAGCTGGCGCGGCGCTGCTGGGGCAGCTGGCTAACGGCGTCGTGCAACTGCTTCAGCTCAGACATGTTCTCCAACCGGCGGCCACGGGTCTCCATGTGGCCCTCGTCGTCGCTTGTGGGCGGCGAGTCGGGCGGCGAGATGACGGCGCCGGTGGGCATTCCCCGGCGCTCACCTGTGATTGGCGGGGGCGACTGGCGGACGCTGCTGTTCTCGTCATAACCGTGGCCGGCCACCACCGGGACCATGCCATGGAGGTTGTCGGACGTAGGCTGTGGCGTAGGCTGGCCGCTGATTGTGGAGACAGACGAGTTGGAAACAGCCGAGGGCGTCCGGCGGTGTCTTGTCAGATAGGAAGACGACCGGGGCAGCGCCGAGGATGGCGCCGGGGAGAAGGAGAGCGAAGCATTTACAGGCTTGGAGGCGGCATTGAACGAGGGCCGCCGGCTCGTGTCTGGTGACGAAGCTGCGGACGAGGCGGGCGAACGACTTGAGGGGGGCGTGTAAGGCATTCCCACCGATTGGGAGGGAACTCGGGTCGAAGGGGGTAGGGGGAAAGGGAAAACGGAAGGGCGTGAGAGCCGGTCCAGAGGCGTCGTAAGGAATATTTCCAATAGATGACGGCGGACAGTGAGAGCGTCTTTTAGGTGACTAGGAGAGAGAGAGAGAGCGGGAAAAAGAGACAGGACGCAGTGATGCGGCAGAAGGCGTCTCTGGAGATTGAAAGTCTGTTTCTGTGTTTGGCGGTATCCGGGGAGTAGGGACGCCGCAAATGTCTAAATTGGGAAGCAGCGGGTTAGCCAGCCGTTCAAAACAAGTCAACAAAGAATTGTTGCAAGGGCGAGGCTGTGAAGACGGAAGTTGCGAGTGTCGATGTCGAGGTCATCTGCTTCCTAGGGAAGGGCCGAAGGAGCCGGGCATTTGCTGATGTGGTTTTGAATTGTTATGTCTGGACGTTTTGTTACTCACCAAGATTATGAGGTGAAATGGCGAGCGAGGTCAGACTGTCCGAGCAATATTCCAGCAACCGGATCAATGACTCTCGATTGTTTCAAATCAAGCCCAGCGTCGACCAACAGAATGGGACACGGGAGCAAGATAGAGAGAGAGCGAGAGAGGTGGAGAGACGGCGAGACAAGAAACCCAGTTCAGTTGTCTGAGACAAGACCGGGCGAGTCGCCAGCGACAAGTTCGATAGAGCGAGAGGAAAGGAGAAGGGAGAACGAGTCGAGATGTGATGAGGTGTGTCGAAGAGTGTATCCTTTGCCGGTCGAAAAAAAAACGTCGAAAAGCGAGGGCGTTGCAGAGAAGGCAAGTGCCGATCGAGAGCGGATGAAGGAAGAGCGAGGGAAAAAGGGAGGAAGGAGGCCCAAAGATATACAGAGTCAACAACAAAAACTATGTCGTGCAGAGCCAAACAAGGGAAGAGAAAAGAAACAAGAAAACGAGGATACAGCAAAAAGAAGAGGGAGAAGGAGAAGAAGGTGTGGGATCATAGTTAAACGGCGGGAGGCGCGATGGTTTTGAACATGCGAGCGAAGTCGAGGAAGTGGCACCACGCTGCAGGGAAGGTGCGAGGGCGTGGCGTGGGAGACTAAGAGGGGAGTGTGGTGTTAGTGGGAATGGGGATGGCTCACAGTTTTTTTTTTATGTGTTTCCTTCAGACGCTGTGCTTTAGTGCCGTTTTGGGATTGGTAAGGAGGCACAATGGTGATGGCAGCGCCGGGATGGGATGGATGTCTGTAGGCCAGACCAGGCCAAGCTGGGGTCACCTCCGTTTTGGGGAGGGCTAGAGCCTGGGCTATAGGCTTGGCTGTGCTATGGGCCGTTTTGGGCATGGCACAGCGACACTGCGGCACGTTTTTGAGAAGACGAAGAGCAGCTCACGCATTCCAGTGCTGGCTGTTACGAGGGAAGGCGCGATGCAGGCGCCGAGAGCAGCTGGGAAAGAGCGACTGGAATGACGCTGTCAGCTGTGTGAGACACGAACGCTCAGAGTCAGAGTCTGGCTGCCAATGTGAGCCATTCTAAGGCCGTCTGAACGTCTCTGTTGACATCAGTATGAGAAATACTTCGTACGACCGTACGACATACAAGACATGGGGGGAAGGCCACTGTGGAGAGAGTTGGATAACGGAGGAGACAAAACAAAAACGGGCCACACGCCCATCTGTCAAACTGACAAAACGGTGCACTGACAGCCTCCTGGACGGACTTGCGCCAGGGAGGCGAGTATTTCCTAGGAAGAGGGGGCTATGGGCCAGGGGCGAGACCAAAGCCCGCCGTCTCCCCTGGATACCTGCGCCGGTTGGTGCGGTGGAAAGCCCGGCACGGTCGTAGCGCCAGACCTTTTTGACTTTTTTGAACTTTTTGTGGTGATGTTGGCGGTCCATCAAAGCGCTAAAGCAAGAGCTACCTTTAGCGTGCCTGATTCTGTGCGGGTGGGCTCGGTGTGCTGGGGGCCTTGTGGGTAAGAAGCGCTGGGATGGGGAGAGATAGGTGGTGAGGGTGGAAGGTCTGCAGGTTGGGGAGGGGGGAATGGGGGAGGCAAAAACGAGGAAAAGATAAAAAAAATTTCATTGTGCATTGGTGATGGTGGGCGAATGCAGATGCAAAAGCAAGTGAAAATTGCGAATGGCGTACATTTTGGCGAGCATTTCCGTCGCTCCTGCCTTTCGACAAACAGCCGGGGGCAAATACGTTGAGGTTGCCTCGATGAGCAAGACCAAAAACTGCAGGAGCAGCCATGCGTTGCACCGCCAAAGAGGGCAGGTGGGTGGCCGGTCACGGCGAGACGATCAAGCAATATGGAAGGTGCATTCGTACGAGTATTACTCCGTACTTGGTAGTCTGGGCTGCAAAGCAATCAAAATCAAATTCGGGCCCGGAGCCTGCAGGCTGCAAATTTAGAAACAGCGAGACGCAGGACGCATGAAACAGGACAACATTGGCGATCGCAGAGGGCGAGGCTCTTGCAATCTGCAGGAGCATGGTGCGTCTGGGCCCTCAATTGCAGATTTTGCTTGGAAGCTTGAATCAGTGCCCATCAGCGATCCTCCAACCCTGCCACCGCCGGGGGTCTTTGGTCTTTGGGTCCTTGTCTTTGGGTCCTTGTCTTTGGGTCCTTGTCTTTGGGTCCTTGTCTTTGGGTCCTTGTCTTTGGGTCCTTGTCTTTGGTCCTTGGGCTTTACGGAGCACTCCGTCATACAATGTTTCATTTTGTGTGCGTATCTGCTGCACAAAATTTTCCTGTTGGGATTACATGACTCCATGAATCCATGAATCCATGAATACAAAAAAAAAACGTGAATATGCGAGGATTCGTCATGAAGTCTTGTCTCCGTCGCTCCTGCCTTGGAAATGAGACGCCTCGTACTCCGTAATTGTCGCAAATTTGGGTCGATGACGTCGTCGGCGAAATGCTCGCTTCCCACCCAGCCAGTCAGCCACTTGTATTCTGCCATTGTGACTGATTGCGAATGCGCAACACCAGCCTTTGCGTTCAGCCTTCTCGACTCCACGATGATGGACGGGCCTATCACAGGCCGGGGAGGCGCTGCTGCACGATCGAGGCGTTGTTCTGCAGGTTTTGCGCCGCGCACAGTAATCTATCTGTGGCCCGAGTGCCCGAGTTCAACGGTCACATCGCCGGCGGCCGTTCGTGGTCAATTGGCGTGGCTTTCCATCTTCTTTCATTCTTGTCACAATTGACGACGAACGGGGCTGACAGAAAAAGAAAATATGTAATCCACGCCAGTCCAATGCCGAGTATCTAGAGCGTTATATGTTGTACAAAGCACGGCGTTTACGCCACACGACTAGAAGCTGCATCTTACTGTGCATATTTCTTTACGCGTCTGATCCTGTCGGAACAGGAACAAGGAAATGGGATGGCATGTAACGGACAAAGCTATCAGACAACTTAGTCAATGTACGGCGTATGTAGTTTCTTTACCTAGCACTAAGTTAGAGGTGTGAAAGAACAACGGCCAGGGGACGGGCCAGCCCTACGTTTTAGAGAAGACTGGTCAGATTTGTATAGCGGTACAATAGGTGACATACAGTCCAGAGAGTCATCGTCGACTCGATGCTTATTTTGATTACGTCGTTTGGCAGTCTCAATGACTTGTTCTTCAAAGAACAATGACTGGCCTATGCGGGCCTGGCCTCCCGGCCGAACTGTGAAGGACTTTGGTCTATTTTTGCCTCCCTCCCCAACAAACAGGTGCCTGGCATTGTAATTACATTGTAGCAATAATTCGTATCTTGGCAGACTCTTAATACGACGCAGAAATTGCCCCAAACGGTGCCCCATACGCAAATTCACTTACAGGGGCTTACAGCGACTTTTTTGGCGTAGCTCAGCGCCAACGCGCCCCAGCGGCACTTTGCCAGCAATTGCTTCGATCGAGATGGCGACAAAGAATTCTCTAGGCATCGACCACGATCGACGCAATGAGCGACAAGAGGAAGCGCAAAAAAGGTTCACCGCTAGATCGACTGGCCTCCTTTGACCGTGTTTCAACCGTGTTCCGCAAAGGAATGCTGCAGAAGGCACATAAGACAGAAATTGCCAGGGATCGACCCTCGATGGATGCACCGAACGTTCTCAGGGCATTTCCTTCCTTTCTGTACGAATGTATTGTCTCTGTTGACCCTTCTTTGCCCTGGCCGTCAGACGAGAAACGACACCTGCGGCTCGCCGCAGCGTGTGTGAAATGCTTTTGCGACGGACGCGGGCGTCCGAGTTCGCTGGAATGCCAAAGGAAGCCCACGGTCTCAGTCTCATCTCTGGCGTCAGATGTCTCACTGGGACAAAGCACTGCGTCCAACAGAGCATGCAAGGAAAAAGAAAACGTCCCCACAGTTGACTGCTCGATACGGCCATAGCTGGTCGGTGATGTGCTTCAAAGGGAGCCAATGGCAGTCGACTTCTGTAAGGAGTGGTACGGGCAAAGAGTGGCCCGGGCTCTCGCCGGGATGATGTTCTGCGACCTGCGCTACAGCGTGCTGTGACCTGCGCTGGGGACAATTGAGCGGGTTTATGACAGTGGCGGTGGGGTTGCCTCCAGTTGCGTTACACAGTTTACAGTGGACTCAGAACTGCGCCCTGGCCCACAATGCTCATAATTACTGAGGGCAAACGGAGACGATACGGAGCATGAATACGGCGTACGAATTACCGGGATGCTCGTGTCGCAGCAGCGCACCCACCAAGCAAACCGGTGGCCAAGGCACCATTGCAGGAGAAAAGCTTTGGGGAAGGCAAACCAGGGAAAACGCGACAGCCTATCATCAGCCTTGTTGAAAGAAAAGAGTTTTCTCATGCAACCCTCCAACTCACCAACAGCGGCAAATCTGTCGTACGGTTTGCAGATATGTGGTTCTTGCAGAGATTTTCTACGATGTATATTGCCCGGTGGTTCAAAACAGATGAAGGAACGAATGCGGTGAATGTGCTGTCAACGAAACAAAAGAGACGAGAAGAGATTACGAGATAAGCCACCCAGCC